ATCCACAAAATAATGGTGAGATAGTAAAAATTTTCAGATAAGATAAAGGTGCTTTTACCGTATTATTTATCAGCACATGCCGAATTTCTCGAGTAAGCCATAGTCTGCTCTGTTTGCCAGGATCTTCAGGGCATTCTGCCCTTACAATTTCCCGACCCATCTTTTGCATCAAATCATGCATCTCGATCTTGTTTTCTGAAATAGCTATAAGAGACTTATCTTCCAGAACTTTGATCCCAATATCAGGATAAACCGCATTTGTTCAATATATCGTTTATGCAAACAATGTTTTTGGACTTGAAGAAGCACGCAATGTCCAAGAATATTTTCCTTTCAGTTTCCTGTAGTCCGTCATAACTTATTTTGAGAATTCTTAATGTCTTTTGGTCAGGAAATTCTTCCATTCTTTCCAATGCGCATCTCCATTCATTTGTGGTTCTACCACACAGAAAGGAACCTACCACTTCAACCGCTCGAGGAAGACCACCCACAAAATGTACGAAACGCTTGGAAAGCTCCTCATAATCTTCTGTAGGATTGTCTCTTCCAAAAGCTTTCCAACTAAAGAGCTGAAGTGCCTCATCCTTATAGTCCTTTGGCCATATATATTTCACCTACTCCATGGTATCTTAGCAATTGTTGGTCTCTAGTTGTAATGACGATCCGGCTTCTCGGACCAAACCACTCGCATTTTCCAGCTAAGAGCTCTAACTGCTGTGGCTCATCGACATCATCAAGAACAAGAAGTATTCTTTTACGACACAAACTCTCCTTAAGCGCAATAACTCCATCATGCACATTCGGCACTTTCACATTCCTGTCCTTCAGTGTTTCAGAAAGCAGTTGTTGCTGTAAATGATGTAGAGCACCTCTTTTAGAAGCTTCTTTCACATTGGCAATGAAGCTGCTACCTTCAAAATGACATGAAAGCATGTCATAGGCAGTGCGGGCAGTGGTGGTTTTACCTATTCCACCCATACCACAGATCCCTACCATGCGAATGTCGTTCAACCCTTTGCATAAGTGCTTACCAAGTTCTGCCATGCGGGCTTTTATTCCAACCAAGTCCTTCGTAAAGATTGAGCAACCACGAGCCAACTCACTCACTATAACTTCAACAATGTCGTGGATACATTTTGACTCATACCTATGAATCAGTTAAATACATCACTCATTATTCAACCACGTTATCCTGACATAAATATAGCTAAAAGATAGGTTTCAATTAAAGGAGAGACGTACTAAACGAACTCTACTATGGAAATGAGCCAGAAATAACTTACAGAAAGTCATTGATGGTGGCAGAAATTACCTGTCACGCAAATCCCATCCTGCGAGACCAGCCACTTCTGTCAGTGCATTCCTCCAGGTCTGCACCTTCTGTAAATTCCCTGTGAAATTCTCTTCATGCTCAGCGAAAGCTTTCGCAAAGTGAACTGTCTGTTTGCGTACTTCTGAGGGATCCACATTGTAGAATACCGGCCAAACTCTCTGTCCTATCAGATCCTTACACTCCAGAATCTTCACAAGTTCATCCAAACACCATCGCGAAGAAGCATTGTTTTTGGACAAAATCACTATAGGGAACTTCGATTCTTCAATTGCGCTGAGCAATTCGGGGGATATAGCTTTTCCTCTCTCAAGCTTTTCATCATCTCGGAAAGTCACAACGCCTTTCAGATCCAAAGCCGCATAAAGATGGTCTGTAAAGTTCTTTCGGGTGTCTTCTCCTCTAAAGCTAAGAAACACGTCATATTTGCAGCATCTTTTTGAAGAAAAATTAGATGGAGGAGCACTATCCTTTCTCCTGGAAGCCATAGAAGTATAGCAGCTTCTCTGTGTATGGAGTATGAAGACTTTGAAGCAATGTCTTAATCAGTTAACAATCAGCTGCAACAAAAAAAAGCCGTTATTGGGAAAGATAATATAGCAGTAAGATTCAAGTCATACTATTCACTTCCAATTTGGCACCTAGTGAAAATAGACCATGCATATGCATGCATCTTCATCATATTTCATCGTGGCAATCTTCTTGGGAAAGTGGAGTATTAATGTAAAAAAAATGATCCAAAAAGTGCTTCAAGTGAATGTAATTATAAATTATCGTGAAAATCGAAAGTCAAAATATGACGCTAAGTGCGCATGAATACATCTATGCGGCTATTTGACGAAAATGAATGGAAAACAATTTCAGTATTTGAGGCGTTTGATAAACTAACCAAAATTTCTATTCTAGAGTAGAAAAGAGAAATGCGTTTGTTAAAAAATTTTATTCTCAAATAATATTTTAATAATATTTTGAATTGTTTAATTTTTTTCTTTCTACCCATTCTTCTTTGGCCTGGCTCAAATATGACACTACGATCAAATTCAAGATACAGATTGCTGCAGGCCCGAGTGGGAAGAACAACACAAAAATAAGAAAAGAAAAAAAGAAAAAGAAGAAAAAACTGATTTTCAAAATTGTGCTTAGAAACAAGAAGCAACTTTTTCTTCTTGTTTCTCTTCCAACTTGTTTCGGCACAATTTTTGCAAAAATGTGTCCGGGAACAAAAGTTTACAAACGTTTGTTCCCAAACTATTTCGGGAACAAAAGAACGAAAATTTGTGTGGCCGTTCTTGCAACGGGCCCTAAGATCAAATTCAAATGTTTCAAGAGTCCGAGGTTCCTTACAAGAGTATATATATAGCACTATTCTCAGGAAATCCGATCAAAACTCTATTCAATATCAAACATCTCGCCACATTTTCAACATCCAAATGCAACTCATGAGATGTGTGCTTTGGACAGAAGATACAGAAGTTCATGGTATTAATGCCTAAGCATAGTTCCGCTTTGACCATCCTTTTAGTTTAGGCAATCCCTTCAAGACAAAGCGACGAGATTATCAGGGAAACTGGCTGCTTGTTCTACGGAGTCCTTGGCTGTGAAGCTGCTCAAATAGTCTAATCGGTGATGCGTGTGGCTCATGGTCATAGTCACAGTGACAGAATTTGGTATTCTAGATCCTCCAATTTAACATAGAACAAATTCTAGAAGTATGGCAACGAGAGATATTTGATTGCAAAAGTTTTTGTCTATCACTTGGAAAACTATATATAGATTCAATAGGACAATAACGAGAATTAGTCTGCAATTCAACGGAATCACAGCCACTGCCGATCAATCAATAGGAACTCAGCCTTTTTCAATGCATTTGAATTGCAGCAACTTGGCAAATTTTGATGTACATTTAAGCCAATGAAGACTTGAACTACTGCGAGATCAAATAAGATCCTGAAAAAAAGTGTAGCCAAGACAAAAGGTACTGTCAACTCACTGAGGCTCAGAACAAATCGATTCACGGGGCGGAAAGACAATCTTTATGTTCCAGAAAATCACCACCAGCTGCGCCAAGTCGAGCCTCGAAGTAAATCAAAGTCAATCAGTGATGATTAAACTTTTCGTTTCACCAGTTACAAAGGGATAGTAGTTGGTGGAGCCATCCATGGCCTCACGTCAAGAGTTGAACTTGAAGGATTCAACTGTATAATGTCTATGCTATTTTCCTTTTAAAGAAAGGGATCGTGCAGTGAAGTATGGAGTATAATCTTTAAAAATGATGGAAGATGCTCTTCTTCTTCTCCTTCTTTTAGCAACCTTTCCTTGTGACGCCCGTATATTGGTCACTCAAACCAGAACCATTTTAAGCTAGTTTTCGTAGTCTTGATACGAATGTAATCAATTCCAATCCTAATTTCTTTTGAGTTGAACCATAGGTGCGGCTATTTCCACGTTCATTTTGGCTTAAAATACACATTTCTAAGTTGATTATCTAAACTACCCCTCCAATTTAATCAAACTTGCACTGAATATAATAACAACTTCTTTAGGCAAATTTGTGATCCACAAATTGCAACTTCTTTATCTCTGTTTACTGCAAAAAATTTCAGCTTTATAATCTCTATTGCGCCAAGCAGGAAGTTCTATTCTTATAAATTTAAAGGTTAATACCGCGAAAAATCACAAACTAGTACTCCTGTAACAAATTTATTCAAAAATTATTTCTATGACCACAAAAAACCCCAGATTGGTAAACCTGTGACAGTTTTACCCTCCGTTAGTTTCTGTTAAATTTACCATCAAATTTATGAGTTGGATGACAAGTGGCAGTTGACGAGTGTACCGGTTTGGGATTTTACTCTCCTTTTGCCACAGATATACCAGTTTGTAATTTTTCGTGGTATTAATCCAATTCAACGGAAGGTAAATTTGTCACAAATGTACCAGTTTGGAGTTTTTATGGTAAAAAAATTATTTTTGAGTAAATTTGTCACAAATATACCAATTTGGAATTTTTGGTGCTCAAAAAATTAGTTTTGAGGTAAATTTGTCATAGATATACCGGTTTGGGATTTTTTGTGATATTAATCCTAAATTTAAAGATAAATATGGAAAGAAAAGGAGACGAAAAGATTATGACTAAACAATCTTACTGTTCTACCCTGAAGAAAGTCGTATATATTGTTCGTACTCCAATATTTCCTGCCCTCAACATTTTTTACTACGATAAAACATGAGTTCAAATGTGAAGAAGCTGTAACCAAGTTTGGACCTCCATCAATGTCCAGAAAAAGCGTGACTCAATGATTTTCTACCATCTCAAACCAACAAGATTACGCCGTCAGGCGTCGGCAAACTCATTAAACGAAAGTTGTCTTCTTTACATGGTTTTGGACAAAAAGACATCTTTTTTTACCGGTGATTCACTTGTCAAATTTGTGATGAAAAATATGGTAATGGACTCGAAAACTTAGCAGAAGTATGTTGAGTGACTCGAAAACTTAGCAGATTATGCAGTTAAGGAAGCCTTAATGTTTGCAAAAACAAAAGAATGAGCAACAATGCATATTACTGTGGAGGTGGATACTGAATTGACTCTATTATCCAATTTCCAACATCAACCCAGACTTATTCAACTCTCTAACACCGCAGGATTCAACTTATATACAAACGCAGATAAATCTAATGTGAAATCATCTCTGAAACATTAAAGAGATGACCCTTTGAGGAAATACATATTACTAAGCTTCCCATCCTACACAAACTGTAAAACCCAACTAAGAAAATATTCTGTAGGTCTTGGCTGAGAGAACAATCTGTCTCACTCCTCCAATCGGAGCAAGCACTGCTATCAACACCCCGATTATGATAGAAATCTGTTATCAAAACACATAAACAAACAGATGTCGCAAAAAAAATGAGAAGAATTTGATGAAAGGTGCATAAAAATGTAAATATCCTTGCTTGAGTCTAAGTTAACATACCCATGATGCTATCCAGTGGAAGCTCCAACTCTTAGGCCGGTGGACTGCGAGCCACATGATGCAGGGTATCTGAAATTTAACGTGGAAAAGAAACCAATATCATGTTAAAACGTTTTGATCATTTTACTGTTTAAAAAGAACCATTTAATTAGAAGCGTCGTTATCGATTATCATTTCGTCTTTCGACTTACAAAGTAAGAAGTGGATGCGAAAACAAGTCCTCCGAAGAATCCCAGCAGTCCCCCGAAAAATGGGATGCACATTCCGATGAACCCAGTTAAAGCTGTCGTCGACACAGAAGAATTCTCAAATCAGCCAGATGATTGATCCCAAATAAAGTCAGATGATCGATTTCCTTCTGTTATTTAAGGAAATCTCCCTGGTGGATCAGTGAAAGAGTTGAGCATTGAGGGAAGTATGATGATCTTCTTACCAACGTAGACACTGCGAGATATGAGGCGAAGGGGACGTCCCGGCTTGTAATTCAACCGTTTGACCAGGCATGACTCGATCTGATCGAACACGGGCATTGCAAAAACCTATGATAGGAAACAAGTAGTAACAAGTGAGGTAATTGCATACAGTTCTGTATCTTCTTTTCCCAAAACACAAGTAAATATATATAAACCAGACATCCTGCTCTGAGAATGTTACCTGATAGCTTCCAAGGACGTGAAGAAACACCATGAAGTTAGCCACGGCAATGAGCCAGTTTGGCTTCTCCAGAGAAATAAGGATGTCGTCTTCAACGAGCGAGCCGAATGCCCAGAACCCGGAGGCTGCAACCGACAAGTAGCACAGCGCCACGACGGCATAGGCGACGATCACGCCCTTCCACATCGGCTTCTTCGACGGCTTCTCCGGGGTCGACGGAATCGTGGCCTGGATCTCAAGGACGACGCTGTGCCCGGCGAACGCGAACGCGATGGTCCCGAGCGCGTTCAGCGTGTCGAACACCTTGCCGGCCGTCGTGTGGGATCGGACTCCGTACTTGATCCCGTGGTGGTGGTGGGCCCCTCTTATGGTTGAGGTGACGAAGGCCACCATCGAGTAACTGCATCCATGCAAAATTTTGATAAAAATATGGAAGCAAATTAATAAAGTGCTCGTTTTGAACTCTATAATCCAAAATTGCATAACAACTTGACATGAAATTGAGAGCCAGAGAAAAAAAACTTAGTCTTCTTACCAAAGGGACATGAACGCAGCGAGCAGAGAGACTCCCTTCAATGAGTTGAAATTAGGAGTTTGGGAGAGCAAAATCTGCAGGCCAGTGAAGAAGAGTATGTAATACGTCTGTCTGACGTTCGCCATCGCTGGAAATACCAGCTCCAGGCACTTCTTCAGCGATTTCCCTCCAGTCACGGTGTACACGATGTCCGTTGCAACCTGGACGAGCGTCTGCTGAGGCATGATGGACCAGTACCCGACCTTCGAGCCGAAGGCGTGCTCGGCCAGCTCAGTGTACCGGTCAAACCGCTTCCCCGGGACCACCTCGTGCATCTCCACGAGTTGCCACAACGTGTACAAGGTGACCAACCACGAGACGATGATCATGCCGATTCCAGGAACCCTGTAAAAGTTGCGCTTAATTAACGAATTTCGACGGATAATATTATGACTTGAGCCAGTAGACTTTCAGTTCGCTGGGATTCAATATACATCCCAAATTGAGGGCTATGCTTATTCAGAAGTAAATATATGCGACTTTAGCATACATCGTCAGCCTAATAAAAGTTTTACACAGGCGGCTTTATTTGAAACTGTGGGTTGTTATAATCCTCAAACCAATGGTGGATAAGGCTATTTGTGTAAATTTTTTTCTTTTGCACTCGACGTACTTTGATAAAATAGAGTGATTGTGCTTTAAATTCATCAAGGATTTTCATCTTCTCTAATAACGATCGAAAAGAATTTGTTCATATAGATCCATCGCTGAGATCTATGTAGGGATGGGATGATCACAGAAGGCGATTTTATATGCTTATCTAAGATAGGTGCGAGGACGTGAGAATGCATACAAAATTTTGGGAAGTCTAAAGTTAGTAACTTAGCAGATAAAACTTATGAGAAACATACCATCCAATTTGAGACACCGCAAAGGGCAAGCCAAGAACACCAGCGCCAACCATCGCAGTGACATTGTGAAAGGCCGAGTGAGTCCAGTTTGCCTTCCTGGATGCTGTAACCGGAAGCCAGTCGTTCAGATCCTGTTCGTCTTTGTCCATCTTGCTTGCATCTCCTCCGTTACAGTTGTTTTCCTAAGAAAATTAACAGTAATGTTGAATGATATCTGTCACGAGCGAAAAATGGCCAGGGCTTGCTTTGGCAATTGGGAAGTGTTGCGAAAAACAAGCGTACCATGGCGTTATGAACCTTTTTGTCCTCGATGTCCATGTTGCAGATTGTCTCGTCTCTTGGAATAAGGAATCAGCGAAGATTCTTCTGCATGAACAAGAGCCTCAACGTTATCTATCTCCGCACGAAAAAAACTTGAAAGAAATTTGTCTAGTGTGAAAATCATGCCATAGGAAAAGAACACAGCGATCCAAACACAGTTTTTCGAGATTTGCGCATCGACGGCGACGATCAGAAATCTTAAATACAGAGAAGAACAAGACAAACAATTGCATAGCAGCCAAACAACCACCCAAAAACAGAACTTTTGTAATGCTATTCAGGAAAATCAAACAACATACGAGGGCAACGAACGATGATGAACCCCCCCCCGAAGAACGCGAACGAGTCAAGAACAAGTGATGTGTGGAGAACGTGCAGGAGATCTGAATCTTGCCTCTTAAGGAAGGAAAAAGAAAGAGGAAGCTGAAACCTCGGAGGGGTGTGTATATAGGCGAAAGACCAAGGTTTCAAAACCGACGTTGATGCGTTTACTCGTTCAAGTCGAGGTTTTGGTTCCGAATCTCACTAGATGTCAGTTGGTTTTTGACAGTTGAAATCGTGCCCTATTTGTTGCCTCAGGTTCCTAGCGCATGTGGGTCTAATCTCTCTCTCTCTCTCTCTCTCTCTCTCTCTCTCTCTCTCTCTCTCTCTCTCTCTCTCTCTCTCTCTACTTATCTGAAAATCCAACGGTTTGCTGAATTTTGAGCTTCCATGTTTATCTGCTGTTATGCTGTAGTTATCTATATCCATCTATAGATATGGCAAATTTGTATCAATTGATGTGCCTTATCCGAGCAAAATAAATGCTTTAAAAACTTAGATTTAGCATCTCGTTGATTGCGTGATTTCGATTACTGTATTAAGGAAATTGGAGAAATCGAGTTTAGGATATACCCATTTCCCACTTTACAGAGGAGAATGTCACCAGAAAATGTGCTGATTAAAGTGAATGTCATGCTTGCATTTGTGCATGCATAAGCCTAACAAAATATAATTTATTTACGCCGATGCACTGCTAGGGTTTCCTTAGCTTTGCAGAATAAGGGCCTTCTGTGTTTGGGCCGTTTTCTGTTGCATTAGGCCTTATGGCCTCCTGTTCCTGCTTGTGTTGTTCTAGGCCTCTTTTGCTCTGTGTTTCTCTTGTGTCTCTGTTATGTTTCCAAGCCTCTTTTGACTTGTGTTTTTGTTTTTGTTGCTTATATGATTGTTAATCTTTATCTGCCGAAAAGGAAGAAAAAAAAAGTTAGATGAGGCGACTGTGATTAATTAAGCTATAGAAAAATTTTCAATTTCTGATTTATTAAGTACATTGCCGCACTGCTTTATCCATTTGATATAACAAGGTCATTATGTTAGGGCGGGATGTGCAGAAGTTGTAACCCATTTTCAATGTAAATCGGGGTTAGAAACCCTAATCAGGGCGATATAAAAGCATAGGAATTAAAACCACGATTTCGAGAACTTTTTGTTCATATGAATGTTTTGAGCAAGTTTATGGTAGCAATGGAACGGGAATTTTGGAGAAGAGTGACGAAATTTTTAAACTATTGGACTTAAAGAGTTAATTAATATTTTACAACTACGAAAGAACACTATGTAACAAATTAATGCAAAAAGTGAACACTTTTTTTTATTTTGGCTGAGATAAAAATGCTAAAGAATATTGATGAAATAATCCTAGTAAACGAAGTGTCCACACTAAACGTTGTGGAGCTTATCGTTCTTGAGAGCCAACAAATTCGTCGCTTCAATAAGATTCCTCTTAAATAAAGAAACTTAATTTCATCATAATCTCGAGATCTTTATAAAAATCAATGCGCATTTGACCTTGAAGCTTGTATCGAAAAGGATAATCCGACTAGCCCCAAGACTAGATAGCTGTCCGCTGCCACGACCAACAGGGGTGGGGGGACCGAACGGTCGACACATGCCAGATGGGCCTTCCTATTTGCAAGAATTCGCTTTTATCCTTCGACACAAATTCAATGCGGCTAATGGACATACTTTATTTTTCGCATCGTCTTACGAAGTTACTAAAAATATGTTCAATCTCTAATCATGATCACGAAAATGATTAACTTGCGCACAAGCTTAAAAAAAAGAAGGGTAAAAAGGAGCACACGAAATCCGAGCGTTCGTCGAAGGCTATCTCCCCTTTAATTTTGACGGCGTTGAGCCGCGCGCATGTTCAAAAAAGTCAAAATAACTGACTTCACCATCCCGTGTCAGCAGTAAGTCCTTGAAATGGTGACACGTGGCAGCCCCTTGCTTGTCCCCGCCTGGCCGCGTGGCTGATCCAACGGTTGAAGTTTTTTCTCCGTCGTTTTCAGTTTTGGCGCACAAGATTACTGGCGGCTCTCTCTCTGCCGCTTGCAGATAAAAGGGAGTACAAAGAAATGGAAACAGCTAGACAAAAGAACCATTAGAGTTAAAAATCGCGAAAATTCTCGGAACCGGTCCGCCCGTGTCACATTAACTCAAACCGATTCGCATCGTAAATATACCCCACTATTGCCTTCCGCCTAATATCCCGCGAAATCAACAATTTGTACATCTCGACATGACAGTTAAATCCTAAATGAATCTCTCGAACGATATCGTTTTGGAAAGCCGAATCCAAAGAAAAGGAGTCGAAATTGGAAATCCACTCGCCTTATTCTGGACTTCGATATATCCGTCTAGGATTTTCTTTCGCGGAAAAAAGAATAGATCGAAATAAGCACAAAATTTCTTCTGGCCAAGAGAAGAGAGAGATAATATTTCCATTCTTGAAGATATAGGAAGAAAAAAAAGAAGATGAGGCATATTCCCCTCTCTCTCTCTCTCTCTCTCTCTCCTCTCACTGGCTTACGAGAAAGGCATCGTTTTTCCCCTCTGTTTTCTATCTCGCTCGACAAATCTGTTACTTGATTTTCTCACCACCCGCAATCACCCCTTCTCTCCCTCTCTCTCTCTCTGTCGCTCACGCACACAGTGGCATTGTTTATTGCGGTCGCGACCCACCAAAAGTCCAACTTTCCTCCATCAAACCAGCACTCTCTCTCTCCCCCACCTGAGCGAGCTGCAAGAACGTAGTTCGAGCCCCAATTCGTCCCCCCGTTTCCCTTTCCTTTCTGGACCCAAGAAAGCAGCATGGATCTGTGGTCTCTGAACGTCAAGAACGCAGGCGGCAGCCCGTGTCTCCTTGGCAGTTCGTTCCGGGAGGTTTGTGGGCAATCTGGGAGAGGATCCGCCGCCGCCAAAGCCGCCGCCGCCGCCGCCGGGTCGAGGGTCTTCGAGATCAGCGCGTTCAAGAAGCGGAGGCCTTGCCACGCGCCCCGTCCCGTTCCCCACCGATCCCTGGCTGTTCGAGCTCTGGCCAAGAAGAATAACGGCTCCAATTCTTCCTCACCTGGTGCGTTGAAAAAACTCGTCGTCTTTGAGAAACGGGAGTTTTTTTGTGGGTTGTGGGATTTGTTTTGGCCCTTGTTTGATGTGGGTTTGTGTTGTTTGGTTTCCTCGCGTTGCGATGATTCTTGATGGCGACGGCCCTTGTCGTCCCTTTTCGTTTTCATCCGTATGTGTCATCAAGTTTGACTTTTTCTTTTTTTTGGCGGTGAAATCCCTTTGAGGATGGGAAAAAGGAAAAAGTATATGTTAATCTGCGGAGGCCGTGATCTGTGCGGATTTTGAATGCGTCAATTCGAGCTCTAATTTTGCTAATCTAGTGGATCACTAATCGTGATAAATCAGAAACCTTTTTATGCATGCGAACGACTTTAAATTGTCCTTGGGCACTGGATGAAGGCGGCGATCAAATGGAAAAAATCGGGAGTTGCTCGCTTGTTTTGATGTTGTGCTCCAAAGGGTTTCATGATTATCTTTCACTCTGCAAGGCTGCATGTTTCGGCTTGTTGAGTTTTCGACTCATGGATTGCTAAGTCATCTGTGCATTGTCATCAAGATTATTTTCTCTGGGTATGTCTGTGGTTGTGTTGTAGCTGTTATGATATGTTGTAACTTGCAAATTTGGCAAGCGTATCCTTTATAGTTGTAGGGGCTGCTGCAGCTGTGGAGTGCTTGTCACACACTTTGCAAATAGCTGCAGGACCTTTTTCACACCTCCAGCTTCTATGAGAAAGTCATACGACTGTCCAAATTGGTACCATAAATTGTCAATTGCTACTATTGGCTGTTAGTACCGTTTAAGTGGGTCAGCTCTTAGTTGGTTTTCCTGTTTTGGCAGCTCGGGAAAATGCTATACCTTTAAGCTAAGGACTAGAAATTTTCTTTTCTTTCTATTATGTCGTTCCCTCTCGGTGGAAAATCTTGTGGAGCTATGTAGAGCAAAAATAGTAGCTCAGGTGAATTAACAGTCTCAGGTTTCATATTTTGATGCCCCTGGTATGTCCTGTTTTTTTCCCAGGGTGTAAGTCCCTTTCTGGTAGTCTTCTGTGAGTATGTATTAGACATGTATACGCATATCAAGAAGTAGGAATAGAAAGAGTATTGCTGCAACTTTATTTTCAGAATGTATGATTGATTAAAAGCAGATTGCTTTGGAAGATACTGGATACCGCAGTAATGCTAGAACAGATTGCAACGGCGGTTTTAATTTCCACATTGACCTCTCTGTGGGGCAGTATTTAATCTCTAGCTCAGAGGATGATAACTCTAGTGTCTTCAATCCGTTAGGACATGAAAGGATTTGTTTTTTTTTTTTTTTGTTGCTTTTTGAGTTGTGATGTTCTAGTACCATGTCCTGAAAGGAATCAGGGAGAAGAATGTGTTTGGTGTGTCGGTTGCTTAAAGATAGATATATACTTCTTCAAAATTATCGCTTGGGAAGAAAGTAGCAAAACAATTGTATTGAAGCCAAATTCTACAACACTAACAATAATGTTGACTTAACGTTCTGTAAGACTTCTTGAAAAGTAGGCCAAGGTAACGGTTGTAAAGAACTACAACTCATTGTCATCATAGCAAGGATAGATTAGATTAGTATAAAATTGAAAAATGCGACATGAGAAACAATAATACCCTAAAAAAGTTTGTCGTATATTTGCTTGCTCTTTTCAACATGGAGCTTTTTGTAATCTAAGGAATGGAATGTTTCTGTTGCCTGATTAGTTTTTGTTGCCCTCTTGCGTAGTCCTTGGGTTTTCTTTTGCTAAAAAATTCTGAGCAATTGGTATTTTAGAGTCCAGGCAGAGAAAGGAAAGACTCGGAATTGAACCTTGATTTTATGCGGTCTGGACTTGTGCTAGACAATTCTCAAAAAGCTTAGTTAAGGAATTTTTTGAAAGCTTTTTTTCCTTTAACCATCAGTAATCTCTGTGGAGACAAAAGCTGCATGAACCAATTGTCCTACAGCTGTTACTTTTTGGCAACGAGGAGCAATCCTAGCTCTTGACTGGCAACTTCTGATGTTGATCAGGGGTTGTTCTTTCTATCAAAGATATTCTGTTTAGCATTTATACCTTTATCTAATGCAAGTGAGTAGATATTTACTGAATTCTCCTTTTGGTAATTTGTAAGTTAATGGTGATGTGAACTGAAGAAGTACTCAAATTGTAAGTGGAAGAGATGATTTTTGCAATATACTATGCATAAAGCACTAGACAACTTGAGAGTATGTAAAGTCGGGAAAGTCTTGCACATCATGGACTTTTTGGTAACTTTGTCACAGGAAATGGCGATCATTCTACTCCAGATTCTTCTGATGTCAACAGATCCAATGATACCGCTTCTCAGAAGTCTAACCATAAGAATCCGGATTGGAGAGAGTTCAGGGCAAATCTTTTTGCAAGGGAGCAGGTAACGTTATTTCACTTAATGGCTATTCTTTATACAGAGACTCAGAGAGGGGACTGCATGTCTGGGCATGTCATTGTTAGTCGTAAACAGTTACATCTAAATATCCAATCATGAGTCTATTTTGGTGTTAAAAGGGCCTGCATGCAAGATTATCCTGGTCTGACCTGTCTTTTGTTGTATGAAATTACCCTACAAAAGGTAAATACAGGCTGAAATTGAACTGATTGAATGAGGACAAATGGTGGTGTTGGTGGAGAAAACCTTGTTTTGGTTGGACAAAAGTAAAAGAAGGTGAATGACAATGGATTATGAGCTATTTGAAAGACTCTGTCTATTGCACAAGTTACAAATTGACCTATACGCCAGAAGTGTGGTAAAGATGCATTTTGAAATTTCTAAGAAATAAAGGTGCAATTTTAAATTTCTCGAGAGTAATATACAGTCACTCCAATCTCTCTCCAATATCTCTCCAACTTTATAGAGAATGTGGGCCCAAGAGATCTTTTGTCCCCTCTTGAATCCTCTCCTCAACGCAAGGGAAGAAAGAGTCCACCATCCTCTATCAGTCTTGTCTCACTTTCTATCATACAATCCCTTCCATGGGCTAAGGTGTCAGTCTGAGATGTCGAGCGGACTTTGTTGGAGCAGTTAAAAAATTTGCAAATCCTAGTGGACAGTTTGACTTAATCCTCCACTGGTGATGAATATATGCTTCCCTTTAATGACTTGGATGAGTGGTTATTTACTTCTTGAAATTATTAACAGGCAGAAAAAGCTGAATCAGAGGCTCACAACAAAGATGAGGGTCATCATGAGTCCAAACCTCTAGGCATCAAGTGGGCACATCCCATTCCAGTACCAGAAACTGGCTGTGTCCTTGTGGCTACGGAAAAGCTTGATGGGGTCCGCACTTTCGAGAGGACAGTTGTTCTCCTTCTCAGATCGGGAACTAGACACCCACAAGAGGGGCCATTTGGAGTAGTCATCAACCGGCCACTTAACAAGAAGATCAAACACATGAACCCCACTAACCTCGATCTTGCCACAACATTCGCCGACTGTTCTTTGCATTTCGGTGGCCCTCTCGAAGCGAGCATGTTTCTACTAAAATCTGGGGAAAAGGCCAAGCTTCCTGGCTTTGAGGAGGTGATTCCTGGTCTATGTTTTGGCGCCCGCAACAATTTGGATGAAGCAGCTGCGCTTGTCAAGAAGGGAGTTTTGAAGCCTCAAGATTTCAGATTCTTTATGGGCTATGCTGGATGGCAGTTTGATCAGTTGAGAGAAGAAATAGAATCTGATTATTGGCATGTCGCTGCATGTAGCTCAAATCTGATCTGTGGTGGTTCATCGAGTTCATCCTCAGGCCTCTGGGAGGAGATCCTGCAGCTAATGGGCGGTCACTATTCAGAGCTCAGCCGAAAGCCTAAGCAAGATATGTAGATACTTGTGGGCTTGAACTGAATAAAGAAGCTCGAAAACAATTCAGATCTTTGAGCCAGAATCTTGTGGAAAATAGTATTAACTCAAATGTACAGTACTATAGCGTAGGTCTTCCTTTTTCCAACTTTTGTTCCTGGATAGGAGCATGGGTTGTTGGTAAAGACATGTTCTTGTTTTCTTTGATTTGATTAATGCACTGTTATTTATCTTTTTAAAGAAAGGTGTGCTAGATACATTCTCTTGGCAGTAACCATGTGCCTATTCTGTAAAAAACTCGAGTAAATGGTTACTTGTTATTATTGTTAATGCTTCTTGACTAAGCATTTTGGCGATATCTGTCCTGCCTTCCCTAGTGATTACACTGTGGGAAACATCACAGCGGCTCATTATTTCTTGACTCCTACTTGGTTTCATAAATACCGAAGTTGAAACATGAACCAGGAGTTGACAATAATACATGTCGAGAAAGGAAAAGGAGAGAGAACAAGGCTGAAGTACCCTGTTTCAAGTTTTTCTCAGTAAGCATGGTTTGTAACTTACTCATGAACCTTAAACTTTGCCTACACTTTTTCCCGACATAAGAGGAACTCGGAACAATAATTAAGCTAAACTTGTGCTACAAAACTAGAGTTGACTTTGGATGCGTGCAAAATTTACTGGTAAGTTTCGAAGGAAAGGGAAACTTGTTCCCCTTATGGGCTTTCACTTGACGAGAAAAAAACACTCTTCATGTTGTACCCAGCAAATTTCCTTCCAAGATTTACAGAGTGACACAAAATGCCAAGAGGCCCTTCTTTTCATCCACAAAATAGAGACGAATATACATTTAACAAAAGCTACACTCCCCATTTTATACACGTAACACCTTTTTATTTCAGCTTCGTAATGAAGTTCTTGAGTGTTTGTCACAGATAGGTGTGCTTTCACTGGTAACAGCAGCCATGTCCTAAGAGAACATTCTCCCTGTTGACACCTCCTCCAGACTAATGCGATTGCCCATACTTGTTGGTTTTGTTCCTGCCCAACCGTGCATTTCGAACTGCCTGCTGGATTTGTCTCTCGTGCTCTTTCAGCATATCATCGATGTTCCCTCCTGGTGGCACCAGCGGTCCTGAATAGTGGATCCTGTTTTTCTTCGGTACATATCCCTAATTTGCAATTACAGAGGATAACTTAGCAGGTGTAAAGGCAGAGCCTGGAAGTTCTTTGCTAGGAAGAATTTCACGGCGCATTTATGTGCTTGTCTAACATAACACCATGTGATTCATAGAACCCTTCGGAGTACAACCACAAGTCCAAGCTGCATTTTCCGTTTTTAGAAGCGTCGGATCAGATATATTATGACTCGATACACCTCAGGATGCATGTGAATTTCATGACAGCGGCATATATTGTAGTCAATAAACTCAGGCTTTAAATTTCAGGTGATATTTTAAGTATTGTAAGTGACTGAGCAGAAAATGCAAATGTGGCTGTACCTGCACCAATTCTTTAGGAGGCCCCCCCTCGTCCTTTTTAAGAGATGCATTTGACAAGTCTGCTGTTGCATGGGGCATGAGAGACTTCTGCGTGTTCAACTCTGCTTGATGCTTCCTGGAGCTACCCTTACTGGTCAATGAAGATTCGGTTATGCTGGGGTGAATCATTGAGCTACAATGAGAATAACCATTCGGTCTGTTTACTCTCGGAGGCTCAATTGGGAAACCGGACCCACTATCCTCCTGGGGATTGAACTTATGACTAATGCTTATGGAATTTGACTGTCCCTGCAAATTTCCAAGTTTCCATAGTGAGAAATTGAAGAGAACAAAAGAGAATGTTTCCTCATAACCTTACTCATACCTGCAAACAAACCTCCCCCTTAGCATCAAATTCTGGCGTCGGCAATTTACCATCTCTTGAACCCCTCCTAACAGATTCAGGTCCTCGTCCCTTGACTGCCTCTGCTTTTTGCCTGAAGTTCAAATTCATAAGTCGCGTATAAAAGCCTCCCATGATTAGGGAAGAATAGCAGAACATCGTAAAGGGCAACGGAAGCTGCAGTAGTATCCTCAAACGTTGCCAAAAGAAAATTCAAGAGCCACAAAATTGTAGAATGAGAAGATAAAATGGTCTACAATGATACTGGCATACCTTCTTGCTTCCACATTTCGTAGCTTGGCGTCAAACTCTTTGCTTGGAGGATACTTTGGCAGACTTGATATGTCACATGGAAGGGGTCTTGTCATAAAAAACTGAAATGGAAACTAAACTTAGAACTGTGGGGGCAAACCAGGAATATATCACCCCATATTTGCAATCTGAAACATTTTTAAGTTTTAAGTTCCATTACACTATGAATAATTGAAAAACATCACCATCTCGAGAGAATGAAAACAGTCTCTACGTATTTCCCATCAGTAGAGGCAAATGCACGTTTAACAAGACAACCAAAATGACTCAAGCAGCTTTCCTTCCAAAATCGTAATGAAATAACCCGAAAGCCTAGAAAATAATAGCAAGTTATCACCTCACTTTTCAGTGCAGAAGCAGCGGATCCTCTCTCTTTTGGTTCCATTGCTAGGAGCTTTTCAATAAGTGCCAGAGCGGAAGATGGAAAGTCTTTGAATTTCTCGGCTACCTGGCGTTTATGATGTTGCTGAGTTCTGAAGCTAGTTGCTTGTGGAAACCTTGTATTACGCCAGTAATCCTCAGAAGGAGAACCACACAACTTGAAAATTTTATGCAATTGCTCCACCTAAGAATGTTCACAATTTTGTTGGTCAATCATAGCAAGAATTTTAAGTGTTAAGGAATAATCAAAGAAGCAACTCTCAAACTGGGAGAGGTATATTTTCGTTAGTGTAGATGACACAATAGCACAGAAATCACATTAGGGAGGCTACCTCAGTTCTTCCAGGCATAATAGGCTCTCCTGCAAACAATTCGGCAAGGATGCAGCCGGTGCTCCATAGATCCACGGCAACTCCATACTTGGTAGCACCAAGCAGCAGCTCAGGTGCCCTATACCAAAGAGTTACTACACGACTGGTCAGTGGCTGCTGTTGGTCAGGCTGAAAAAATGTGGCAAGACCAAAGTCGCCAATTTTGAGGACTCCATCATTATTGATAAGGAGATTAGAACCCTTAATGTCTCTATGCAAAACACCACGTTTATGGCAGTGTTCCAGTCCACGAAGCAGTTGTTGCATATAACATTTAATCTGCAAGATCACGAGGAAGATCGTAATTAGGCGTCCCTGTAATGCAGGAAAGTGCTCTCAGTAATGTCTGAGATAAACAGAAGAAATTTAAGGATTAAACTTTTTAAGCAGTAAAAATAAAAATAAAGACAGAAATTTCGCTGAAAAGACAAACCAAAGTCGAACTCTAAGTTCTGTGAGTCAGAAGTTTAAGCTAGAAAATGTTATGTGCCTTTTGTTCAATTTTGTTTAAGCTCTTCCAATTTGATAGGCTAAAAAGAAGGAAAAAGCATGTCCCCTTAGAGATCAAGTCTATTAGACTGATGGTGCACCACAATCATACTTTCAATGACTACCTCTGACAATTTTATAATGTTACAGCAGGAGAAACATACCTGAGGCTCGCTTAACTTGACACCAGGCCTGGCAACAAGGCCAGCGAGATCATGCTCCATATACTCGAACACAAGATACAAGCTCCCTGAAATCCTGGAAGTGACAAGACCCTCAAGCTTCATAACATTGGGGTGATCAAGTTTCCGCAAGATATGAATTTCCCTAGCCATGAAGCGCACACTCTCGGGATCCATGTTAGCGAACCTCACTTTCTTCATTGCAACAATTTTACCTGTTTCGAGGTCACGAGCCTTGTAAACAGTGCTGTAGGTCCCTTGTCCAATCTACATGAACAGCATTTCATTCATTTCATTTACATAAATGACAAGGATGAAGTGGAGACAATCAGCTAATTATCCTAGAATCATGAATCAGAGGAATTCATTGTTACTCAAACAAAATGAATGGTTAACATAATTCCAACAACTAAAGTTGCTTTAAGAACGTGGTTACACAAAAATAGGAATTAACTATCATAATTGTAGCAAAAGTGCATTGATGTTCTTTAGTACTGTACAAGGAGAATATCACCAGGAACTCTATTCTTTATATCATCAGGAGCCAGGAATTAATGCAAAAGAATAAGGCCAGGAGGAACACTCACTTGGTTTAACTTCTTGAAGGACTCTGCTTTCCTAGGCACCAATCCTCTGATAGCATCTCCGGCGACCGAAGTTAGCCAAGATGGCCATCCAGCAACAATTTGCTCTCCTTCTACACCGTGAGGCATACTGATGATCCTCGACATCCCCTGTTGTCCTCCATTTTGTCCTAAATCCATGCTCATCCCTCTCTGATGTCCCTTTGTGGGTCTCTCAACAATCCTGGTTTTCTTTTCAGCTTCTTCTGCTGCGCCGTGCACAGAACCCCGACGCACTTGCGAGGATGCCTTTGACATTGGACGATTTGAGCCATCTTTCCCGCCATTCCCCTGTAACTCTATTGCAATATCCTCTCTCTTGGCACTGGGAGGGACCAACTGGACAGAGGACTTGCTCAATTCCGCAGCCTTCACATCTTCCTCAATCTTTTCGTCAACGACTGCTTCTTTCGAACACAAGCAGCCCATAATTTCACCTCGCTCTCCTGGCCGCCCAACAGATATATTCTGAATTTGTGAAAACACCCTTTTCGAGGCACCTTTGAATTAAGCATATAGAATCTTGTTTCTTTCCTGATTGTCCCTGTAAATTACCTGCGTCGTTTGAGGTTATCCCCAGAGTTTTTTCCAGCCTGATATCTTGAGAAAGGATTTGATGCAGCACCCTCAATCCGACCAGATATCTTCAACCAATATCCAGAATGAGGAGGGTGGCGAAAGGCAATAATGGAAGGAACCTGGAAACGTTTTCCGGAGACAGAATGAATGGAATGCTGCTTTCAATGACAAAGAAGATTCTTCAGGGACAAAAATCGCAATATGTTTATGATGTTTTGAACAAAGTGGGCCAACAAGAAACGAGATTTATCTTTCACAGATGGAACAGAGAAGACAAGGATGGATGAAGGAGAAGAACACAGAATCAATCAGCCCTCTCAAGAACAAGAAGAAAGAAAAGAGCCCAGACCAGAAATCCCAGCTCTGAACACCCAGAAAAGAGAAAGGGTAAGTTTACAAAATGAGTCACATTGAAAGGTTCGTTGATGCAGGAGTTCTGGCCGGTGTTTCTGGGTGGCAGGTTTCTCTATCTCGGTTTCCTAATTCTGAAAAGCCGAAAAGAAAAACGCCTAAATTCACGAAAAACGAAAAACAAATAAATTTCTGCAAGTTCTTTGAATAGGCAAAGCCAGAGATGTGCGTGTGAGAGAGAGAGAGAGAGAGGACGGAAACGGAAAATCTCAAAAGATCAAGGGAAAAGGGGGAAAAAAAGAATAATGGGATTCGCAGTTTCTTGATTTCGGAGATGGATAGTGGGTGACAGATGCTTCAGAGAGAGAGAGAGAGAGAGAGGTGGGTTGGGTGTTGAGAGAAGCCCCCTAGGAACGCGGGAGACCATTGGTTTCGAGGAGTGTAAAGGTTGGAATGATGGTGTTCATCTCTCTCTCTCTCTCTCTCTCTCTCTCTCTCTCTCTCTCTCTCTCTCTCTCTCTCGAAGGATGACACTGGAATTGTCAAACTGCCATAAACAAACATTCGGTACCAACAAGAAAGAAGTCTCCTCAGTCTCAGAGGAATGTTGGTGTGCGGAGTGCCTGAAAGCAGAGGGACGTGCTCTGCACTAACATGCTGCAACCAAGTGGGACCAGCTGTCCTCAGTGCCACGTCGCAAATCGAACGAAAAATTCTTAATTTTAATCAGTGTGCATGTGAGCTCGATGCATCCGACACTTTCGCCGTCATGAGGCCCGAAATACACTAGCTCACACGGCCCTAGTGCCCATTGAAACCATCTCTCGACTGTAAGGGGTCTGCACAAATTTCTGGTGGGGTTCTTCCCATTTGATAGCATAAATAGCTCCGATGCAAACTAACAATGGCGCCTTGCGAAACTATTGCATGCACCTAAAGAAGTACACATGGGCTCGATGCATGCGATTGGTTAATCATTCAAGATTCACATGATCAAATGGATCGCACGAGGCAAGGCCCGCCCCATTTCGTGCCCGACCTCCCCTATAATCGGTTGTACTCAGGCCGTATCAAAAACTTAACATAAAAAATGACAAGGTGGATTTTTATCGGACGGAGTGCATACTTTACTATTTTATATTGAAACTTAGGACATGGGCACACGTTTTCCAAGTTAAGGTTTCACGATGAGTCCACATCTAGTCCTCTTAATTTATGATGCTGGGACAGGAGCAAATATTCCCCGACTCCATAAGATCTATTCCTAGAGAAGATTTACGTTCAAGTAATTTTGACTTTAAGGAAGAAGAAAAAGATTAATTATTCGATTGTAAACGTTAATATGAGCTCAATCTCGAGCCAGCTCTCGACATTATCCATCATGCAATAACGTCCAAAATTCCCTTACATTCGTCGCAAAACTAGCTCCTCTCTCAACACGGGTCTCGTTCTGCATGAACACATACAATGGCGTTGCTGGGTGTTGCTCTCTCTCTCTCTCTCTCTCTCTTCTCTGCTTGCCCGTGTCTGTTTCTGCCTCTCCTCCTTAAGACCGAGCATTTTCGAGCGGTTTTGATCGAACCCCTTCCTCGAGTGTTCCAGCTATCGGAGCTGATGGATCTGGTGAACTCGTTCATGAACTGGGTGGTGCCGCCGGCGAGCCTGGTGATGCTGGCCTTCGCGTGGCCTGCTCTGTCTTTTCTCAATGCATGCGAATGGCTCTACAACACGAACCATGGCGAGAACATGGGAGGACAAAGTGGTTATCATCACCGGTGCTTCCTCCGGTATCGGAGAGGTGAGAAAACAGAAAAGCTTCTGCGAATTGTCACCTCTTCAAGGCGCGCGCGCGCAAGAGAGAGTACTTACTAAAACAGAGATGATCAGGCACAAGAATGAGAGGATTTAACATAGGCCCCAATTGGGATCAGAAGAACACTGTTGCACGGTTCGATAGGAATATTTGGCTTCTGTCAGATGTTATTATGTGTCAGATTTGTAAGTGTGATATGTTGCTGTTTTATTTTCACATTCGCATGACCCTGTTACACATGATGAGTGCCTTACCTTTTGTGAAAGTTTGGTGATGGTTTTTAGTATTTTCCCAGATGACGCTGTACTCTAGCATGTGATGGATGCTTTAGTGTTGTAGTACAAGCGAATTCGCATGACTCTCTGTTGATTATAATCAGGGCAGTTTTCTACAAAAGAGTCATGAATCCTCTAGACATAACTATACCATTGGATTACGACATTCCGAGCAGTTTGTTTTGGGCGATAGCGGGCCGATAAATGTGGAATTTGGGGTGAGAGCAGCTAGTCTTGCTGTCGATGCAAATGAGTCATTGCTTTCTATAGGTGAATGTAACTTCGCCTGCCCGGCTGAATATAGCAAGTTATCAATTTAGAAACTCTGGTGAGGTGTAGAGAGTCTCAGAGTCGCAAGAGAGGGCTACTTATCTGCTTGATAACACTTTGCTGTGTATGCGTCGACTTAGAAGATCTATTGTTCTGGATTTCTTTTGTCTGAGTTAGTTTGACTGCTCAGAGTCTTGGCATGTCCAATCATTTGATCCATCTTGTTAGCTGCATCATTTTATTTTCCTTCCTTCTTGGTAGATCTATATAACTACATGAACTTGACTTTAACCTCAGCAAATTGCTTATGAATATGCGAAGAGAAGAGCAAATCTCGTGTTGGTTGCACGGAGGGAGTTTAGGCTCATTGGTATCAGTGAGAATGCGAGGCAGATGGGTGCAAAGCATGTCCTGACCATCGCTGCAGATGTTGTTAAAGAAGAGGATTGCCGGAGATTCGTCAATGAGACCATAAGTCTTCACGGGCGTTGTAAGTATCACTTAATTCTAACTCGTGTGTGACTATGGTTGAATGATCTACTTATTTACTCTCTGTTACTTGACTTTGGAGTACTCCAAAAGCGGAATCGAGCCTTTTTTCCCCTGTCAATTTTATAGCTTGATAGAAATTCTCTTAAATCTTTGCAGTGGATCATTTAGTGAACACAGCAAGTCTTGGACATACATTCTACTTTGAAGAAGTAACAGACACATCTGTTTTCCGGCATTTTATGGTATGATCTTCTTGTGCTAGTCAAGTGGATTTCTGAGAGTACCACCCAATTTTTTGCTCTCCAATTCACGCATATCAATTTTAGCACAGACTAGTGGCAATGTCTCGCTTCATTGTTGCAGGATATAAACTTTTGGGGAAATGTTTATCCAACTTTTGTGGCGCTGCCTTATCTACACCAGAGCAATGGGAAGATTGTAGTAAACGCATCGGTGGAGATCTGGTTACCTCTGCCGAGGATGAGCCTGTATTCTGTGAGTATATTGAGATCAAATCCGGCACGTTCGAATATGTTGTAGAGGACGTGCAGTTGACATATTTTCATTCTTTAATGATTTTTTACAATAAAAATCAAAGTGATTGTAGTTATGGCTGAATGATGAATCGAAATGTTGATTCTAACTTGAAAAAAAATTGTTTCGTGGACTATCAGCAAAAATCAATGCCAATCATCATGTGCATTGTGTACATTATTGCATTTGTATGAAAGACGACAGAGTAAATCTGATCTTCATGGCGATTAGTTACCCTCAATTGGAGAATTAATGTGCTCGAATCGTCATCCGACAAATACAATTTTGGTATTAGAGAACTGTGGTCCTCTACTTTAATTCTACTTTGCTAACTAGGCAGCGAAGGCAAATAATTTGCTTATCACTCACTGGTTACGCTGTCACAAATAGAGAACCATTTTCTGGTTTGGTTTTACGAGTTTGTCAACTATTTATACGCAGGTACATGTCAGTGGGGGGCCCGTGGAAGAGTTTGCAAAGTTGATCGTATCGGGCGCTTGCCGAGGAGACCCATACGTCAAGTACCCGAGCTGGTACGACACGTTCCTCCTCTTCAGGGTCTTTGCGCCAAACGTGCTCCGGTGGACATTCCGCCTGCTCCTCGCGACACACGGTGCTCGAAGGACGTCCGTGGTGGGGAACGGGAGGCCCATCTGGGAGGGGGCAGGGAGGCCGATTCTGGAGGGCCCTTCGCCAAGGAAGCTGATTGCTAGTCCGGTCACCTCGTCGCAGCTCAACCCTCAGTATCAGCAAAATGTGGAATGAATTGGGGAGGCTCCTCTTGATGACTAATCACGTTGTGCAACTTCACATCATCTTTTCGGGTGCCTGTGTTAATAATCTCTGCTTGCATTTAGATTCTTGTGAGGGAGAATAATATGAACTGAACTTGACTCTGTGCTTTGTTGGAGAGAAACAACAATAAAGTTCGGCTGTTCTTTTAGTAAACGAAACTGAGCTTGATTCTGTGCATATGGTGTCAATCACAGTGGAACTCGGGTAAGCATTTTCAGAACATTTTAATCGAACCAAATCGAACCAAACGGACCAAGATCGACCCGCGGGGGTGACCGTTATGCTTTTAAATCTACTTCCGTAATAAATTGTTCAAGTTAGTTTATTGTGAATATGACAGTCAAAAGGTTGAAGTTGAATATGGTGTGGTCAGACAATCTTACCTACTTTGGAGAGTCTCATCTTGTCTCCTCCGTTTCGTTTTCTCGCAAGCTGTACGAAGACTTTTTCACGTCCTTTCACGTGTTCTGAGTTTGGCTCGGTAAAAATGGTTAAAAGGTAGGGTACAAAATATAACAAAAGTTGCCACCCCTTTGTGGACCCGATCCTGTCCGAATACGACCGTTATCCAAAAAGTCTTCTCTTCCTGATCGAGTTCTTTAATCATTTGACCGATACATGCTCGGTCTGTATCTGTCGATAAATAGACCATTTTTAAGTTCGTCAGCGTTCGCGAAGTGAATTGCATGATCAATCAGAGTTACTGTCGTCAGAGCTCATTCTACTAGATACAGACAGCAAGCTCCATATGAATCTACCGTTGTCTATCCGCGATACACTGTTCATCAAACGAGTTTATCTAATTATTTTCGGTTCGACCAAGCAGTCGGAACTCGTAGTCAACTAGTGTGGTTCTAATAATATACACAAGCTATGTTGCATTCATATGCGTTGGGAAAAATCACAAGTAGTCGTCCACCGAAATGCTCAAACCATCATCTGCTCTCCTCCCTCCCCAGGTCCCAGAAGAAGCCTCATTCCCGTGCGCACATTCCCAACCGGCATGCGCGCCGCCACCGCCACGGGCCCCGGGGTGGTGGCCGGCGCTCGTCCCGTCCGCTTCCTCGCTCGACCTCCTGGCGATGTACTGCGCGTCGACCGCCATACCGGCGTCCGAGGCGGCCCTCTGTACCGACCTCGGGGACATGCCGGGCTGCGCGGTCGGCGGCAGCAGCGAGGGGAAGTTGAGCTTGTCGAGGCAGGATGGCCCGCGGAGGCAGTAGGAGGCGATGTCGTGGGCGACCGCGGCGCCCTCTGGGGAGGCGTAGGAGCCGAGCCAGAGCCGCTCCTGCGTGCCGGGGACCCGGATCTCCGACACCCACTTACCCCACTTCCTCCGCCGCACCCCGGCGTACTTGGACTCCTCCGACGACGAGCTGCTCATCCTCTTAAAAGAAAACCTCGGCCCCTTCGCGCGCGCTCTTTTGCTTCTCCTTCTGTGCTGTGCGGTGGGTGTGGGGTGCGTGTGTTGCTGCGGGAGGAGCGGAGGAGAGAGGGGTTATATATATATAGGTTGAACATGGATGCGAAGGTCAGAAGGCACCAATAAATGGACGGGCAACTTTCGGGAGATATCGCAAGTGGGGGTACGACCCGAACAGAGTCAAAATTTTCAAAGGTCAAACGTTGAACAAAAAAGGAAATAGAGAGAGAGAGAGAGAGAGAAAGATTGGCGTCCTTTCTTTCCCGCTCATCCCTTCGCTTTCTGGACCAGTCGAGGAGGAGGAGGAGGGGCGGTGGGGTGGACGGTGGGGGGGCGGGAGGTGAAAGTTAGTGGTCATTTTGTAGCGGGTGACGTGTTGAAGGGCATTGATGGCGGAGGAGCTTTCTTTTGGGGAGGATAGACTGATGGATGAGGGAGGGAGGGAGGGGAAGAACAGTAAAGACCACGTGGGGTGGGGTGTTGCTTTGATCACAGCAAAGGTTGGGCTGAGTCTCTCTCTTTGGCTCCACCACCACCCCTCCAGGAATTTTGTGTACCTGGACTGAGTCATTGGGACTGGGGCGAGCGGCTGGCTGGCTGACTGGTCGGTGATTTCAAGTGATACCGCCTCCTTCTTCTTCTTCTTTCAAAACGATTTTCAATATACATGTATATTATATATATATATACATGTATGTACACATCTAGAAATGTATATGCTCCGATGGGTGACGCGCCCTTTATGGTGAATTGGGCTCTAAAGTTTTGGATGACGATCGATTCCTTCGTGGAATGGAGCAAAGCACCCGCAATTATTATGTTCTGACGGTTTTTTTCTTCTCGTTTGGCAGTTGACTGATAACTCTTTGAGATAGCGCGGCGGACGGTTAATGGCGATTTTCGATTTTGAGTGTCGAATGAAGAAAATGGCCTATGAGTGATTTTTTTTTGAGTTATTAGCATAATTTGGGTTTCGGGTAGTTTAGACTGGGAGTTAAAAGTGGAATCTCTCCCTTAGACTATAATATAGGTACATAATAACAACCAATATTTCTTTCTTTGGTTTCTTGGTCTTTACTCTCAAGAGATATTGAATTGGGTGAATTTTAAATGATACTTGACATCTGTCCGCTACATGTTACAAAACACTAGTTCCTGCCATTGTGCTACTTATTTTGTTCAGCTTTTCTTATGATTTAGGGTCACTAACGTAACTAGTTAGCTATCTGAAGACAACAAGCACGGAAGCCCACTACCATAATCTCTTACTTAAATCCGAACTCTCCAGCGTAAGAATCGAACCCGCGATCATCAACCCTTGAGTCGAAAGGATGAGATCGCTCTTACCACCAAATCGATCTCGAGGTGCTACTTTCCTATCGATACGAGGCTTTCAGATTCGATTTCTTTGCATTATAGCTTTCACTTTCATTGTAAGGGCTTCACACATCATATTGAAAATATAGTGCATCTCAGCTTTATATGACCATCATATTCATTGAAGTCTCTCTTGTTTCTGTGTCATTCCAACGTGGTACTCTTTAAAGAGGTCACAGGCTGAAATTTTTTTTTTTTTTTTCTAAACTTTCCTTTATAAATACAACAAAACAAGATTTCAAGCATAACCAGACAATGCTCGAGTTCAAATCAAACCTCAAGAAGGACTCAACTTCTACATGTGTACTCTTTTGCGTATAAGCGCAAATCTGTCAAATCCATACACTTATTATGTACGTTCAAATTTTCCAGTAAAATTTACTTGCGAAAACGGATATATATATCAAGAAAAATCCTAGACTTACCGAGACTGATTAACAAAATTCATTTACTAAATCGTGTGGTAGTCTGTTATTTATTATTGAACATGACCCACATATCTAAAGGGTCAGTTACAGTCCGACACATCACTTAATAAATCGATTTTGTAAATTAGCCCAAGTATGTTTGGTATCAAACATAAGCAGACAATGCTCGAGTTCAAATCAAAACCTCAACAAGGATTCAACTTCTAGATGTGCTCTTTTGGGTATCTGTCAACTCCAACCTTTTGGAATCCTCTTCTCAATCATGGCCAAAGGTGGAGTTAGGCCCCTACACGTGATAATCTGAAACGGGCCACGGAGCATCATGTAGTCATCACATACGCACTTGCCCCCGTGCCACTACAATAGTCAAGTCAACCATTGACCAGGGTTTTATTCCACATGATTAGACTCCTCGCCATGAAGGATCAAACGACCTCAGCCACCAATTGATTCCTCGTACCATCGCGCACCCATGTCATTTCCATTCCGACGCAAAGTTGAGGATGAGGTTGCATTTACATTGACAAAGTTCGAGAGATCGCGTCGCAAGTTGATCAGCTCCTATTGTGCTTCGGGATTTTCTTTATGGCATCGATATGCATCCGTTCGGGTCTGCATCATATTGGGTTCGTTTCGTGTTTGGATTGGGTCGATCTCGGATTACTTGATATTCAAGTCTTCTCGGGCGTTGCTCGTCAAATCAAGTTCGGATGGCCGACTTTTCTAAAGCGACTTGAGTATCATCAGGCGGATTCATCGAGCACGGACCTTTCAATAGTTTGATTCCGACAGTCGACCTTTTAATAGCTTGATTCCGACAGGCGACGACAATATCGCAGTATGAAGTTTTTGCTCCAAGTCGTCTTTAACCTCGATTGAACGGCAATGGAGAAGTTAGACTCGTTCAATCTAATTTGGCAGCTGGCTGTTTTATTGGCAGAGCCAGGGGGTGGTTTCAAAGTCACCTCGTCCCAAGTAGGAAGGTGGCGGCTGATAGGTAACTCAATTATTGAAGAAAAAATTCAAACGGGTCATTGAGCACTTTTTACCTCGGGATGCTCCAAAGAATTTCATAGCTTTGACTCGTTCAGCTTGCCACCTCCAATAGTCGCAAAAACTCGATCACGAACGTTCGCTTTCGGACAGTAAATCAACTGGTTTCCCACGGTCATGCAGATAATCTTTGCCTTCTAAACACACTGTAAGAACTCACTCAATTGGGTAATTGCCACGTGGGGACTAAGCACTTTGGAGAGTCCAGGAAAGATAGGAGACAAATGGGTGTGGTAGGAAAAGATCGAGCACATCAGAATTTTGCACAGTAGAGGGATATTCAGAAGCTAAGGTTAAAAGAAAATGGTCAGGATCGGAAGTGGAACGCCTAAAGGCAGGCGAAAAACTGACTTGATTTTGCGTCCAGATTTGATTTCGCGTCATTTACCTTTCGATTGTAAATTTCCTGCCTCTTTCCGGATCAGTTTTTGTCTAGACAGATCGGCAGGAGTTAAGAGGCACTCGTAAAGTTATAACAGCTATTTTATAAGTTTCCCCTGATCAAGTACCTCGATAACGCATAAACACTTCAAAGGGTATGCAACTCTATAGTGTCTCACAACATTTTGCAAATCAGATGCAGTGAAGACAGATGAACACACGGAAACCTACATGAATCTTGAACCATCTAACAATCTAGAAGACAATCAGTCGACAGCCGCTCTGCTGTTTGGTTTGGCTAATCAAGACAATCTTGTTCTCTATCCTCATCTTTTGAACTTACAGTAGATATTGATATAAAAGAATTAAATGTGTGAACAAAAGTATCAAATTCAGCATGCAGTATACTTCTAAGCATCTTTTATGCATCTTAAACAGATTAATGTGCCTACAGATAAGAAGGATATGCTATAAAAGCCCTACTATTCAGAGACTTCTCATCCTCAAAAGCCTTTGATATTTACTTGAAAGCATTTGAAGCAGCGTAAAGGAAGTCCAGAAATCCAGTTCCTTTAAGAAGTCCTTTCCCGGTCAGCAGTTCGAAATCCAACAACAAGAGAAAACCGATTACGGCAGCTTTCCCATTTATCAGTTCATTCTTTCCGGTGAAACCAAACCCCACAAATTCTTCATCAACCACCATTCTCACCTAAATAACATGAAATAGGGATTTCACCAAATGAATCGACAGCGCTGGCTAATGCTTTTGCTTGGGGAGAATTTTTTTTTTTTCAGAAAGTTTAGATGTCCTTACCTCATCCACGTTGACATCCGTAGCAGTAACACCAGGTTGAGCCTTCCCGCTAAAGACTATCTCCGCAGATGCATCAGATCTCGCAGTCCCTTTCATGTTAATGAAAATATTCTCTTCATCGGTCTTCACAGGATAAACAAAGAGTGTCCTCAAAGCGGGAGTCAATACTCTAAGTACTGGGTTTTTTGGGTACCAATCCTTGATAGCCCCACTTTGTAGATCGAATGTGCTATCAGTTGTTGGACAAACTATACAGCCATCCTGCAACAAGGAGTGAAAGACTTCTCTTCTCAGGGCATCAATTTTTCACAACATTTGAAATAAGAAATAACAGCATAGCAATAAAATAAGCAGAGAACATAGAGAGAACAAGAAAAGGTCCCCCGTTATATCCAGGCTCAAATAGAATAAAGGTTATCCATCAGGGTGTAAGATTATCATTAGTTAGACCTGTCAAATGGTCGGGTCGGGTCGGGTCGGGTCACAAATGGTCCGACCCAAATTGACCCATTAACCCATTTATAACCCATTCATGCGCAATGCAATTTTCTGGACCTATACCCGACCCGACCCATATTGCTAAAACACTTCCATATTTAACTAAATCTAGGAAAACTCATACCTAATATGATATGATAGTGCGGAGTGAGCGAGTGCGAGATTGAGTCGGGGCAAGAGAGATGAGTTGAGTTTAAATAAGTTGTAAACCCATTTACGATCCATTTAACACCTATATTATACCTATGCCCATTTATGACCCATTTACTAAATATAGCTAACCCATTTATGACCAATTTATTAATATATGGATTAAGAAATGGGTTTATGACCCATTTTGACAGGTCTATCATTAGTTAGATGCATTTCAGTGCCAGATTAACATTTATGCTATTGAAAATGTCTGAATAATCCTGCGAATAACAGATGCTACATCTCAAGATAAAAAAATAGTAAGCCGTGTGATACTGAAACCTGAAACATAGGAGAAAAATGGCCGACACAGATTACTGCCGAGAGGGACAGAGAAGTTTTTGCGGAAACTGGAGAATCAGTCTGCAGTCTATCACAGGTTGTTTTAATTAGATTTAAAAGGAATGAGACATGGAATCTTGTTAGCCATGTGATCCTGCTGTCAGAAGTACAAAAAATTTAGCTGCAAAAATTATGTGTGAATCTGCTGTAAGTGAGGTTCAAGCTTTAGCAAACGACAGTTTGATCCCCTTCAGAATTTTAATTAGAAAAAATCAGCACTTGTTATCCCTGACGCTTCACCAAATTGCAATGTAGTCATTCATTTTCAATATTTTGAGGTTGTAGTCCCTAAACTATTATTTCTGTGCAATCTTGGTCCCTTATCCTCGTTCGAGCAAAATTTAAGTTGGCGACTCTTGCACGTGAACTAGAATCCAAAGGGTATTCTGAAGTAACTTTTGAACTGTCCATGTAGACTGCGTGACTCAGCTTGGTCACTTGCAAGAGTTGGGACCTAATAATTTCCACTAATATGAGGGTTAAGAGCCAAAACCTTGCAAGACCAGAAGTATCGAGATAGAAACTAAGATCCTCAACGATTATTGGTCAAGTACTAAACCAAAAAACAGGACAACAATTAGAAAAGGTGGTGAAATGAACTCGGAGATTATTAACTGCATTCAGTCCTACTCTCATTAGGATTGATTACACAGTATAAACAGCTATATGCCGTAAACAGACAACAAAATGAGGTATAATAATTAAGCTCCGATTGTTTCTTCCTTCATAGGTCCCCTGAAATTCCAATGCTACAGAAAGCTCCTTAATTTGCACACAACGCAAGACGAAATTAGCTTTTCTGCGGATCAAACAAGCATGGTGTTATCAGTGCGCTTGTGCTTACATGCGTTAATATTACCAATTCAAAGGAAGCGAAAATGAGCGAGCACACGAGATATTGATCAAGAGCAAACATCTGCATCAGACCATTAACGTCAGACCATCGATTGGTTCGTTAAGATTCCATGAACAGGTTGGTTATGGGAAATTCGAATATACCAATGTTTGCCGACTGATAATTGCCAGGCGCATTTCCACAAAATAGGACTCACGATTCACACCTCGCACCAAACTGAGAAGGCATAGAAGCTGCGAATAACAGTGGAAGCTTAGAATTGAGCAAGAACCGAAGAAGTTACCTGAGTGAGCTTGGCATTGAGCAATCCCTCGCTGTAGGCGCCCTCGGCGGGCGATCTGTTCTCGATGGCGAACACCTGGTTCTTGTACCACAGCAGCAGTATCGTCTCCCCGTCCTGGATGATCACCCTCCGCTCTCCTCTCGGAAGCGCCGTCAGCGGCACCACCGGCACCCAGTTGTCGCTCGACGAGGACGACGGCGAAGAAGAAGGAGAAGCAGAAGAAGAAGAAGGCTCGTTGTCCGCCAGGGAGACCTCCGTCGCCTTGCACGACACCGCTCCCCGGCCGCCGGCGGGCGCGGTCCTGGGGCGGCTCAGGCGGAGGGCGGCGCGGACACGGAGGCAGGCGGAGGCGCGGGAGGAGATGGAGGGCGGCGGCTGGGAAGGAGCGAGGGAGTAGCCGCGGTTGGGGAACGCGGGCGCCAGCGGCGGCGAAGCGGAAGGCGCGGTGGTGGCCATGGAAGTTGCAGAGAGAGAGGTGCGAACTGCGAAGAGAGAGAGAGAGAGTTTTCGGTCACCACGAAATTTTTGGTTTTGTTTTGGATTTTTTTTGGGTTATTATTTATTGGGGGGATAATGAGTGTCGTGGTGGACGCTCGGGATCCTCAATTTCTTTTCTTTATATATCATCCAAGAAAAAGGACCGATTAATTTTTCTTTTTAATTTTTTTCTTTTAAGCCCTTATTAGGAGTTTTCTATTTGAAATTTTAAACCCAATAGAAAGAATTTTAAATGGACGAAATATCATTTTGCATGTCCACGCGCGTGTATACATATATAAATATAAGGAAGTCTCGTATTCAAATGATAATATAATCGTGAGAATCGAGTTAATTTGAACCCCATGAAGACCTCCAACCCTCCTTTAGTGTGTAGGCGGCACCATCGCCGCCCTCGCCCCAATCAGCTATGGTCTTCTTTGGCGCATGGGTCGCCCCTCCTAATTAGCTATGGTTTTCCTCGTCTCTTTATCTCTAGTTTTATTTGTTTCTCAAAAAATGAATAATAAAGTGATTGCTTATATCACTCATAAAGATAAATAATCGAAAAATATTTTCATCATCCGCAATAATGTTTAAACATAAACTAGAATATAATTTTTCTTGATCAATTATTTTAAGTGATACGAATAATGATTTTTAAGAAAATATTTTTTAAATTATTTATTTTCCGCAAATCAAACAGAGCCCCGCTTATTTTCTTTCCTCTTTACCAGATTTTTGTTTTAGGAATTTTTGGAAATATATTTGTTTTGTTTAATATCTTAAAATATTTTTAATTGGCAAGTAGGATGCCAAGATGACACTTAACAGAGACATGATGGCCACAGGACCAACTCGAACAAAAGCAATGCAGTTCAAGGATCCAATTGACCACAGAAAGCTCAATGACCAAATTAAATAAATTGTTAAATTTCAGGGACCACGAGTACTTTTAACCCTCGATTAGAAGTACCAATTTCGAATACATTTCTATGTAAGGTAAAGCAATTTCGAATGTATTTAGAATCACTACAAAATCATAATACCTATTCCAATCATCTAGCAAAGTAAGGACTCTCTAGCCAGTTTATATTGACCACGAATTCATCCTTTTCCTTAAGCAGGGGGAAAACATAGAATTTTAGCATTTTACACAAGAAACGGACCAGCAAGTTCTCGAGCCTTGAACACACACTCCTTGACATCGCTTTTGCTAATCTGAATCGAAGTATAATATAAAATCGGGCGAGTATGACTAAAGTACGAAGAAAAGTCGAATTTCACGAGATGACCAATGTAAAAGGAAACGGTTTCGATCGAAGGAGAAGAGGTGGAGGATGGAGATGGGGTACTTCACAGTTCCCATGCAAAGGAAGGCAACAGAATCCATCAAGGTTGGTATACGCTTTAGATATTGATGTCAAATCTATTTACCAATGCAAAACTTGCCAAAAATGTTGGACAAAACTTCTTCAGAGATGTCTTCTCCACTTATCTGACCCAAAGCTAGTGCAGCATCTCTCAAATCGATTGTCCAAAAGTCGAGCGGCATTTCTTGCCCAGCCGACGTCTCCAATCTCTTGAGAGCTTCCTTGGTCCGAACAAGCTGCTCGCATTGCCTCTGTCCATAAACAATCCAGTCGCAGTTAAAACGCCATGTCAAGATATTAAAGGACTCGAATTGCCCCACGGCATTCAACGGCATTGACAATTTCAGCAAGATCATGTCCAAGAAATATTGGGAGCAAACCTGGTTCACAGTCCACCGCCGCCCACCTGCAGGGATCCTGTTGAGACCCACAATCTCCGACACTGCCCTTTCCAGGTCTTGCACGCCATGACCGGTCAAAGCAGAGGTGAATACATGCTTACTGAAGAAACTGTCGTCCGCACCATCCCACTCCAAGTGAACAGATGGGACACGGTCCATTTTGTTGATTACAAGAATAGCCAGAGTTGAAGACCCACTTGATTTCTGCAGTAGCAAAAGAAGCCGTTTCATCAGCGTCAATAAGACACTTCTGTCTATATAGTATGATTTTTGAATGAGTCAAGAGACATTGTAGAGAATATGACTATGACATTATGATGATGCCATTATTTTTGTTTTTAAGCAGACCTTAATGGATTTAACTCTCTCGAGAAGCTTAGCATCTTCTGAAGTCCATCCATCAACTGCGCTCATTACCATGATTACGACATCAGCACCCACAGCTACAGCTTCAGATCTCTCCACTCCTGGAGAAAAGACACAAGAAGACTAAAATTAAGGATAAAATAGCCTGGCAATTGAAACTAACGGCACGATAAGTTACACTTATGAGGAAGTATAAAACTCTGAATGTCATACTTAAATTCAGTAATATAGGGGTAACATCCGTGTGATACTGAAATTTGCAGCAATGACCAAAATTCTAAAAATTCCAATGCATTAAATAGAGTATTGTTATCCCGTCACCAGAAAGAGGACAAGACGAGGAATTTGATGATAAGTTTGGTAATATACAATTTAGACTTCAGTCACATCACAAATATGAGGACTTCTTCGCCACTTCAAAGAATTAGAGTTTGCTAATAGAAACAACTGGGAATTCTATCCTTTAACAATAAAAGAATTGCTCTCTTACCAATTTTCTCCACGACATCGTTGGTTTCCCTGATGCCGGCCGTATCAAGTAGCGTCACTGGAATGCCATATACGGAAATGCCAGCTTCAACCACATCCCGGGTGGTTCCAGCAATTTCTGTGACAATCGCTCTCTCACTCTGCATGCTAAATTTAAACGTGGGACTCAAGGAGAGGTACCGTGGAATGAAAAAATCATCTAGAGCAACATCAACTTGCAGTAATATCTTGTCTCAATTTGTGGTGTCAATAATGGGTGCATGGTTGCAAATCTAAGCTCTAACATAAGAGCACAGCAAGGAATTTTAGACATTAATCATTCCACGCGTGGAAAAGAAAATGGTACATTGTTTGTTGTTTAGTAATATAGATCTGTCCGCAGCTTTAGCAGGATTAAGTAGAGATGATCATCCCTGATCAACCATATCTGTCGAGGTTTCTTTTCCCTGTAATTTAGGTCAAGAGCCTCATCAGATGGAATCTGAACAGAATATAGATCTGTCCGCAGCTTTAGCAGGATTAAGTAGAGATGATCATCCCTGATCAACCATATTTGTTGAGGTTTCTTTTCCCTGTAATTTAGGTCAAGAGCCTCATTAGATGGAATATGACCAGAAACAGGTAGACAAGGAGTTGGGTTCCTGAAGTAGGTGAAGGCTCTGGCAAATTGATTATTCCTTCTTGAGTTCAAGAAAATTTAAGGAATTTCAACCCTAAAATAACCAGACAGGATCAGCAAAGTTATTCATGTTTGTGTTCACAATCATTGATCGAGCATTACGCCCAAGGCTTCAATTGATAACACCTAAGAATGGGGCCAAAAACCAACTTATGGTTGATAAGAAATTATTTGCCTACTTACTGAAGAAAAGAAGTAACACCAAAGATTTGCCGAAACATACCTTGCTCCAAGCATTTAGAAGGCTCGACTTCCCAACATTTGGACGGCCAATAATTGCAATCTGTAGGTAATGATTATCATAGAATGAGTAGACAGTTCCAAACCTTCTGTAAAGACACATGACAAGAACTATAGTTAAACTTCTACACAGATCAGGAAATACCTCTTTTAAAAATAAACATATATTAACGAGAAATAAAAATCTCTTGCAAAGTGATCGGTCTATGTTTGACTTTAATTAACATTCAAACAATGATTGAGAAGTCAAATTGAAGTACAAAAGTTATACAACATATAATAGCTTTCTCTACATATCTAAAACAAATTTCCAAATGACTGCACACAAGGTATGATTCATACACCCGGTGTATTTGGAGATTTTCATGACTCCGAAGAGAGGGCTTAGACAAACCACAGTTAATAATTTAACAACCGTAGGCTATAATCAAATGAGCACTAAGATATTAGATCCATCTAACTTGGGCATTGTCATTTGAAAAATGTGATGCCAGAACCATGATTTAATAAATACTAAATTCACATGCACCGGTGACCTAAAGATTGCACAGTGAAGAGGAACTTATTACACTAGGGTTTCAGCAGCCTTTATTACATTCTCACGATTTACCTGCAAACCAGATTGAAGAAACTTGTCATAGTTGGCTGTTTCCAAGGCTGTCTCAACATCTTTCACCATTGAATGTATGGTATGCACTATTAAATCTAAGTCAATGGGTGGCATCTCGTCATCAAAATCAAGTCGAGCTTCAATCTCAGTAAGCAATTCAATGCACTGTGATCTTAATTTTTTGACCAGAGAAGAGAAACCGCCCTGCCAAAAGTTACAAATCTCAAGAATTTTTGGTCCAAACTTTTATATCACTGTCTAAAGTTTAACAAATACTATTCAATGCATGAGATTGTGACATCTAGCAAAGACGTTGCAAATAAGGCTTTCATCTTGAAAAAACATGCCTGAAGTCCAGCTAATGCTGCATCAGCTGCAACTGTCGACTTTGCTGAAATTAGCTTTCCAACATTTTCAGCCTGGGAGAGGTCTAAGCGGCCATTAAGAAATGCGCGGAGAGTGAACTCACCTGAATGGGCAAGAAATTGAATTTTTATAGAAATGAAAGCATCTAAAGAGCCTTGTAATACCATTCCTGACTTTGCCAAGTCAACATGGTCGATATTTCGAAGGTTTCAGCCACATCATAGTTCATCAAAAAACATGTTGAAAACAGAAGACTAACCTGGTTCTGCAAGCCTTGCCCCTGCTTCAAGACAGGCCCTCAAAACTCTATGTAAACAGATGTCGCTTCCATGACATTGAAGTTCAACAATATCTTCGCGGGTGTAAGACCTTGGAGCTAACATTGGCACAGCCAAAACCTGATTAATATGGTGAGGAATACAAATATGTGATCAATATGGAACCACACTTTTCCAGGACAAAATGTGAAGTGAGCAGGAGAAAGCTTAAGCTATCATATGTTTTTGATAGGTAGAAGCTTAAGCAATCATATAAGCAGCCTTATAAAATGCACATGATATGGCTCTCTCCATGTCCATTAGCGAATGCTGTGCAGACTTTATCTCCTTAACCCCCTCTCAAAGTTCACCAAGTATTACAATGACAATAGCAGCTAAGTTGATTCACTTTGTGATCTCAAGGGTCAACCTATTGACAAAGTAGGGCAGACTAACTATAATGCTACTGATAATATCAGAGGCAGACACGACACGAACATGATCATACTACCAAGAACTGCAAACCACCGTAAAAATGGTGTATGGCATAAGGTGGTCACATAAAATCTGTAATTCAGACCTACTCAGATTTCACTTCATGTACACCGCATAGACAATTGATCAAGTTCGAATCATTACAGATGATGCCAACAACGAGCCCCATGAAAAGTTTGAATAGCCATGCCGTTTTAATCACAAATTTAATCAAATTGAAGACACTTTAACCATGCTAACTTGATTGCAAGCACTAAAATGGAAAGTACCTCTGCCCTTCGGGAGAAACTAGTAACAAACAATAAAACAACGATCATAACACGACAAGCACTATCCTGGTAGAGTTTCATTGATTTGGAGAGAGAGAGAGAGAGAGCGAACCTCATCAACAACATTCCCACTGGAATCCATAACCAAACCATATTCTACCATATGGCTAGTGGGCCGCCAAGAATTCGAGGACACCGTCCTCCTCCTCCTCCTCCTGGTTTTACTCGCTGGCCGGAAAACCCGACTTGCAATCGCTACAGCGGAAGGACCAGATAAACGCACGATCCCGACCGCGCCAGGCGGACCCCCGACCGAAGTCACGATAGCAGCAATCGTACTCGAATTCTCGACACGTCCGATCCCATCGACAGCACCAGAGCACCCCACCCGCTCATCGCTGTTAAGGACCAGAGTCCTCTCTGTCGCATTCAATCAGAAAAGAAAAAGCAATCGCCATAAGAATGAGAAAACATGGGATTGGGTATTTGGGTATGTGCAAAGATCGTACCTTTCGGGGCGAGATGGGACGTGGAGCGCGTGGAGAAGGCCTTCCGGGGCTGGGAGAGCAGGGAAGAGAGTGGCTTCTGAAACTGGTTCAAGATGGATGAAGCGACGAACAGATGAGGCGTTAATGGCGGAGATGGCCCGAAGAGATGGGCGACGATGCAGCGGAGAGCTGGAACGACAGACATTGGGGCTATCGCCGGGGAAGCTAGCCAATCAGTGAGCTTCGTTAGATAGGCGAACTCCCTCAACCATGAGTATCGGCTCCTCCTCCGGATCCCTTTGACCGGAGAGAGAGGGAATGAACTGTGAACGAGGTGAAACAGAAGCAGCGGACGACTTGAGCGACGGGGAAACTGTGAAATGGGACGGGCGACGGCGACGGCGGCGGTGGCGGCGGTGGCGGCGGCGAGCACTGGACGGATGGCTAGAAGGCGGGGACGCTCTCCCTGCGTGAAATACATTTTAGAATTATCATCTCGTCTATCAAAGGCCGTGGGCCGGGCTTATGAAAACCTTTCAAGTTTTCTTCCTTGCTTTTAGTTCCCATCTATATATCGGTTAATATGAAAACCTTTCAAGTTTTCTTTTTTGCTTGCTGAAATTTTAGTTCACCATCTATTTTTAATATTTTTTTAAATTTTTTTTTTTTATCTATATATATTATTTTTTTTTTTTTCACTTCAACCTACGGCCGGTCAGTCCGCGACGCGGGCGAAGCGCGAGGGTCGCCTCTGCCCACGCGAGGCCGCCCTCGACTCCGAAGGCGACCCCGGACGCGAGGGCCATCCTCGCCGCCGTGAGGGCGCTCGCCGGCCGACGCAAAAGCGAGGTCGCCTCGCCGGGCGCCTCACCTCGCGCGAGGCGCCTCGCCCCCAAGGATGCCGGCGGCGGGCGACCTCGCTCGCCGGGCGCCGGCAAACCGAGGTTGAAGATAAAGAAAAAAAAATAAAAGGAAAAAAATAAATAAAAATAAATAAAAAATCGAAAAATAAAAAATAATATTAAAATTTTAATTCGGTAAAATTGTCACATACATGGGGTTTTTGTGGAAGTTAGTAAAATTGTCCTGATGTCTGGGGTTTGATGGTCAAAAATAGTGTACAGTTGGGTTTTTATTCAAAAATAGTTTGGGGTAAATGTGTCCAAATGTAGTTTAGGGTTTTCGTATTAACCCTATATTATATAGGACCAATACACGAAAAACCTCAATCTACGTCTGCGACATATTTACCCTCTTTAGTTTGTTAAATTTACCTCAAATTCTTGTGTACCAGTTTGTGATTTTACCACTCTATTTGTGTTTACCAATTTGTAGTTTTTTCATGATATTAATTCAATTTAACGGAGGGTATATTTGTCACAAATGTACCAGTTTTGGATTTTTGGTACTCAAAAAATTAGTTTAGAGTAAATTTGTCACATGTGTACTAGTTTAGAGTTTCTTGTGGTAAAAAAATTATTTTAGAATAAATTTATTTCAGATGTACCAGTTTAGGGTTTTTCGTGATATTAATCCCATTATATATTGCTCTGAACATAATAATTTGCATCTTTTTATCCAAATCTTTTCAATTTTGTCCACTGTTAACAAAATCCGATAGAAAATAGAGAGATGATTGCAACTCCAAGTCCAAGTAAAATTAAACCCAAGATACAAGCAGCCTGTCGTTATTTTCTAGTTTTGTGGTCGAGCTAAGCACCTACAGAGGAAATTGGAAATGTGGGAAAGGTATGCGTTCTTCTATAATCTTAAGCGGTTCATGTGTCTGGCCAGAAAAAATCACTTAGCCGTTATTTACTCAATAGTTCCATATCTCTTACAATCAAATTCAGTAAGTGAAGCACGCTTCATGAATTCAGGTTGTTTCATCCGATCATTAGCGAATGCGAAGCAATGCCTTTTTCTTGCTAAACATTGAAATGGCGCTATCAATCATTCTGGCGCCACAGATGATATACAATCTCGAGTTTTTTCTTAAAATAGCATCACCAAAATAGAAACCATAAAGAAGGGTGAAGTTCGAATCTTGAATAAGAAACCGGCCTGACCTTCTGACATTAGGAGATTATCAACACTGGACATCAGTCAAAGGAGCAACAAGAAGAAAATGTTCCATCTTGCTTTTACATCTATGTCAAAACCAAAGCATATTCATGATTCTCCCTAGACTCAGATAATAAATTTATATCAATCAAGAGAACAAAGGGGGTATAGTTGAACTCGGTCATAATACCCGTACAGCTCAGTTTACAGGGAGGTAACATCTCAACAAAGTGTACTGTAGTCATTGCGGTGTCCACAGCAAATATGGTTGCGGACTTTGACAGAACCTTACTACAACAGAAGAATACTCCACAATACTTCAAACCCATTGACCATTTCCCTGCGCGAGTCGAAATTTAGAGAATCGCAACTTCTGCATTCATGTCCTCACAGTCAGTAAGACCAGCATCCTTCATTACATCACTCAACCCCTCCATTAAAGGGTAGATCTCGTGAGCATGAGGATTTGATGCATCATCCGCAACAAAAGGCGAAAAACCAGAACCCGCATCCAGCCAAGCACAACCAGGCGCCTTCTTAACACCCAAGTCACGCATGTGAGCCCTCACCACTGCGAGCTTACTCCAGCAACCGGCAGCAGCATACATGTTAGCTACAAGCACGTAGTAACCCGAGTTCTCGGGCCTCATCTCCAATAGTTTTCCAGCTGCCCATTCACCCATTTCTAGACTCCTATGGTTTCGACAAGCTCCTACAAGAGTGGCCCACATGGCAGGAGTGGGCGAATGAGGCATTCGGGCAATAATATCCCTCGCTTTAGATAATAAATCGGCCCTCCCATACAGATCCACCATGCACGCATAGTGCTCTAAATATGGAGTTATTTGATAAACTCTCTGCATATCCTCAAACAACTTTTCACCTTGGATGACCATCCTAGCATGACTACAAGCTGAGAGGACCGCAGCCATGGTTACATGATCCGGTGTGATTCGTGAATTAACCATTTCTTCGAAAAATCTTAATGCAATATGTCCTTCTCCCTGCATCCCATACCCAGAAATCAGAGAAGTATATGTTACCGCATCCCTCTCTGTCATCATATCAAATACTTTTTTAGCTGCCAAAACTTTACCTGAGCGTGCGTACATGTCCACAAGAGCATTCCATAACAATAGATGGTTCACAAAACATTCTCGTCGTACAATGTAGCTATGGAACTCCCTACCATGCTGGAGGTTTGCCACTCGAGCACACAGGGGGAGAATGCTCGCGATTGTGACAAAATTTGGTTCAATTCCTGTCAACAGCATTTCTCTAAAAAGGAAAGAGGCTTCCTCAGATCTTTCCATGTGGCAATAGCCAGAAATCATTGAGTTCCACGTAGTGATACTTTTCTCTTCTGTTGATTGAAACAAAATGTAAGCATGCTTTAGGTCCTTGCACCTGGAATACATGGTAATCATCGCGCTTCTCACATTATTGAACCCGTGATAGTAACCACGGATAGCAGAGGCATGAATCTCTTTGCCCAACTTCAAGGCCCCTATGTGAGAACATGCTCCCAAACCAATGATCATTGCAACACAATCCAAATGATTGCCGTGAATTTTAATTTGAGAGATCAACTCCAATGCAGCTCGGTAGTTACCCACCGATAAGCAACCCCCAGCAATAGTATTCCAGGTTACACTAGTCAATTCAATTTCGTCGGTCCACATGCTCTCAAACAGTTCAAATGCTATCTTCCACATACCCTTAAATGCATAGGCAGATATTAGGGTATTCCAAGAAACAGCATCCCTCTCTGGCATTTGTTCAAACAAGTCGCGGACAACGTCAATCTCCCCAAACCTTCCATACATGGACAGCAATGCATTCTGGACAAACAAGTCCCGACCAAATGGACTATCGGCAATTAATTTATGAACTTCCTTCCCGAAATCAGTATCAGTCTCTTCGCCGCAAGCTTTGAGAACGGAAGGGTAAGTGAATTTATTTGCTCTAATCCCCTTACCCAGCATCTCTCTAAAGATGGATATAGCTTCCTTACACGACCCATTCCTAACATGACAAGAAATGAGAAGATTCCAAGCAAAAGGCCGTGACACATCCGAAGTCCTGACAAGAACACTCGCATCGGAGAGGAGATCAAACGCCGTATAAAAACTAACGAGCCTCGGAACCAGAACAGGGTGATGCTGAAGACCCAGGGAGACAATTTGCGAGTGTAGCTGTTTCCCTTGGAGGAGCAGCTTAAGGTTGGTGCACAGTAGCAAAACAGAAGATGCAGAATGTGGCAGAGAATCCCTAAAGCCAGAAGAAGAAGAAGAAGAAGAGGAGGAGGAGGCATGAAGCCTGATGACAGTGAAGGTCCTAAATGCATTGGACAAGTCGCCTTGCTTAAGGAAGCCTTCAAGCAACCTCGAAAGAGAATCTATCATCAATTCATCACTCGACGCAGAGCCCGACTCCACACGTCTCCATTGTTTCGGTACGAACCTCTGGATATTGGACAGAGAGAGACGTCCTCGAAGTGACAGAGACGGACAAGGCATACATCATCGACAACATTGCAAGCGTCACCAACTTCAAGCAAGGAACTAATGTCACGGACCTAGCGAAATATTCAAAATACACGGCATATTAATTGGGATAGGCAGTAGATAGAAAGATTCAATCTCAATTGTTGGATCAAAGGGAGATCTACAGTCATAAATAATGGGATTCACGTATAAATAAGTCACTTCTCCAAAAATCCAACACAATGAGTACCCATAGAAAAAGGAAAACGAATCAAAAGAAGCTAAATGCTGCACGGTCTCGACCTCAAATGTTGGCCCGCGGCACTAAGCGCAGGATGCTACTCGATCGCCAACATATCGAACATAATCCTCGAGGGACAGCATAAGATCGTGTAATGTGCCCACGAGTTCCTCCAAAACCTCACCGTAGATTGAGTTTGCGGAGCCACCAAAATCCTAACTAGATGAACAGATATTCGGTGAAGATGCAGGCCCCGGATGTTTTTAGCTACTGGACATCTTCTTAACTAAGAGGAACGAAGAGGGACGGGGCGACGACGAGAGCACGCCTCGAGAGATGCGGCGGAGGCACGTGCCGCCGGGTAGGGGTGGTGATAACAGTTCGAGCGCATCAATTGCCGAAAATGAAGAATGCCCCCCTAATCTAACCTACATCCCGATCCTAACAGTTCAAGAGGCATTGAAACGGATAACCCAGCCACAAAGAACGGATCGATTACGACGGAAGAAGAAGTTACTTACAGGAGAGAGGGGAGCGATGGACGGAGGAGGGCTGGCGGTCGTCCAGCCGCGAGCGAGAGGGGACGGAGGATGGCGTCGCGCCTCCGAAGAGTCGACGCCGCCGCCGCCGCGAGCGAGAGGGGGTCCTGAGGATTAGTGAGGAGGGTGGCGGGAGACCGAGAGGCGCGACTCCTCGGAATGAGAGTGGAGCGTCGTGGCTCGTGAGCGAGAGAGGCGTGTGTGGCTTGAGCGTTGCGCGTGACTGACGGTGAAGAGTGGGCATGGGCAATTAGGGTTTTCAGCGAAGAATGGACCAATTCCTAGGATTTTCAGTTTTGTAAGAATAAAGATAAAATGAAATCTTTATGGTCTCGAATAGTCCGGATGGGTGAGTCCTCACCAGGTATAGGAACCGGATCGATCTTCGCCTCTTCCAAATTTTAGGAACCGGGAATGGGCCAGAACCGGACGATTCAATCTGGGATGCTCACCCCTACTTGCCGGCAGTGGTGCTGGAGAAGATGAAATGCCGCGCGAAGAAATAGGAAGTTTCGAGACAACGCCGAGGCGAGAAAAGACTGGGAGGGAGGCAAAACTCTATGTTGGCTCGTGAAAGTTCGTGGCATAACTTAATCTCACCGTGCTTGCAATAATTAAGTTGATTGATTCCAAAAAAAATTGGAGAATTCTAACGATCCACGTAGAGTGCTAGGAATTTGCAAAATTTTTGTAAACTAGAAAGATGTCGTGCATTATACAAATATAAAATTATATCTGTTGTATTATTATTTTAAATGTTGGTATCGACATTATTGCGGCAAAATAATTTACATCAATCAAACTCTCTGCTATGTTCACGTGAAGTTCGGTTTTTTGGTATGAGCCCCATCATACTGACTTATCCTCCAATTCATAGAAAACGTGAGACCTAAAATTGCAATAATTTTCAATCATAATATAAGTATATGGAATATTTAGAGCACGTAATTATAGGAATCAATTAGCTTTCCTTTCATTTGTTAGATCCTTCACCATTGTGTCGTCAACTTGGTGTGGAAGAAGTCAACAAGCAACTTGGACTCTTCACTCTCTGGCTCGTGGCAAGGCCGACCTCGTTGTCACTAAGCGAGCGACAACAAGAGAGAACCCAGCGACGACAAAATCGACCTCGCCTTGGTTGGGCGAGGTTGAGCCCAAATAGGGGCAGGCGCCCTCGCCAGTGGCCAATAAGGGCGACAGGCTGGCGAGGTCGTCATTACTAGCCAAAGGAAGAAGAGCAAACAAAAAAAGGAAAAATAAATAAATTCAAAAAAATTAAAATTTGTGCACATCAGTGCCCACGACACCATATAGGACGGTCAAAATCTATATTAATAATTTTTGGCTAAAATTGACTTGATGGACTCAATTGGCAAAAAGTGAAAAGGTTTATAACTCAATTAGCATAATTAAAAGGTTAATGACTGAATCAACAAAAGTACAATAGATTTAAGATTTTCTAAATAATTTTCCCAAAATTTTCAGACAAGGCAGTCAAATTATCAAATTAATACAATCGAATCATTCCATTAACTCGATTCGATTTGGCTGACATTGATGTCGACTTGGCTGCAAACCTGCATTTGAGTACTCGATACGATCAATCGATATTGAAATTTACGAGTGAACATCAAAGTTCACTCACCATAACGATCTCGAGATAAGTTTCCCAGCTTATACTTACCAATAAATGTCAAGCTTACCAACTTATAATTATGAATTAATCAGGAAGGCTTTGTTGCGGAACAAGAGGGGATGAATATAACAAAAGCACTTAAAAATTCAACTTTTCCTTTTAAAAAAATCCAATTTTCATCTAAATTTTCATCCCGTCAATTTTTCCTCGTTTCCCCAAACATCGCATAACTCCCTATGGAAAATTACAGGGAATAAATAAGCAGCTAGTCTGGAAAATTGTATGTTTTTAATTGAGTTCAAAATAGATTCGAGAGCTAACACTGAGGTTATGATCTGGCCATAAAACACAACACAATACCCATGTCTTCTTTAAAAAAATATTTCAAGCACATTCGCAACATTTTAAGAAAGTTCTCCACTATTTTGGGTAATCTTTTTGAAAATGAGAGGAGGACAAAACGTGAAATACAAATCAAGAAAAAGAAAAGTCCCTATTTACGCAGACAGAAGTCTGAAGGATGGGGTGCTTGAAACAGATCCCATTAGCTGGAGAATTCTATTTAAGGGTTGTAATCACATCCCTTCTGCAGAACCTCGAGTATCACATCTCGAGCATCGAGATTGTGATCGAACATTAGAAAAATTCACTGATGAATAGAGAATTTTACATCTACGGCGCAGGTTTTCACTTTTTCCTCTAGAAACGCGAGGATACGTAGTACGTTTAGAGGAAAGGGGAAAACAGAGATGTGTAACATATGGTACAGAGGGAAGATATTGTATGAGGTCTAGACAAAATTTAGGCAGGGAGGCGTACTAGTCAGAGAAAACTCTACATTGTGCAGTCTGCAAAATGATGGGGACCGGGCCAGGTCTTCATTTCAGCACCTGGAAAGAAGAGGAAAGGATCTTGAAGAGGCCGTCGGGGTTGTCAGCATGTACCTGGCAACAGAAAAGGAATTCAGCTATGAGAACCATTAAAAACCTCTTCGCATCGAGCGAAGAGCAAGAGAGGAAAGCGAGCGTTGTGATATGATGATCCCAGCATGTCCTTGAGCAGAATCAAACAGAGGAAGCGACAGAACATACCCAGTGGCCCGCGTCTTCAAGGACATGCATTTCAACTGCTCCGCCTTCCTCCGCGGCTAGCTCCTCCGCGGCGCGAATTCTCTGAATGTCTTCGAGTGCCCATCTGTGCAAGCTTCTTTCTGCCTTCAAAAAGTTCACATGCACTCCTCCAGGAACATCTTCTACTATTTTCCTGCATTTGTACAAGTCAACACTGAGCAAAGGGTGGCGGAAGGTTGGAAATCTGAATCATGTGCAAGACTATTTTGACAGGTGACGAGTGCATCTGCTCTTTCTGGTGTCTCTCTTCTTTCTTATTAAAAGTTAAAACAAGTCAACCACAAGGTTGTGCAAAGTAAACAAAAGACTACACCGCATGATTGACTGCAATTTACGTCATTGTCACTAGGGAACCAGAATGAGTCACCAGTTCCGTTAAACAGATTAATGTTCACCATCCACTAACATAATGCAACCTACTAGAGCGATCAGATGGAACCACTATTAGCTAACTGAAAGCAGTAGATACCATAGATTTTTTTCTTCATATGATTGATACATTTCAGCGATTCCCTCAAGATCAAAGACCCAGGAGAAGCTTGTTGGTGAACCAGGAGACTCCGTTGGTCGAAGGTTGGTTACCACCCACTAGACAAAAGGCAACATTAGTCAAAACAAACAAATGTCGCACAAAATTTAAAAATGAAAATCAACGACCATTGCGGAGAGTGAAAGAAGAAATAAAGTGGATGAAAGACTTAAAGTGAGGATTACCAACATTGTAGATCACATTTTGACACGCCTAAAGATCATCTCAAAGATGAAAATTTGACTGACATGAGAGGCACATGCATCACAGAAGTGGGTAAATAGCTCAAAGATTATTACCATACATTCATCATGAAACACATATTAACTATCCGCTACTATAAATCTATTCAGGTGACTATCTCAGCAAGCACATGAATGACAAAAGAAACAAAGGAGAAAGCACACCGATGGAACTGACTCCAGGGAACAAAATAGCAAGAAGAAACCACTGATAAAGGATGTCAAAAGGCTAATATTATGGAGTTTAACATTCGATTAGGAGAGAACAACGAATTGACCACAATCTTAATTAAGATGGAATGATTTATCAACAGTTCCAGATGAACATTTTCAACTCAGCTAATGTTAATTGATCTCTCCTTCAGTGACATCATCACGCAAATCATTAATTTTCTCGTCCAGATATCAACTTGCAATATCCAAGCCCAGCAAATTTAGTATCTCCAAAATTACCTGGGCAACATCCATAGAAAATCCTTCTCGGATAAGAGAATCTATTATAGTACGCTTCGAGGAAACCTACATTGGAAATGGAAAAGATTAGTATATAAATGCCACAAACGACCACATGAGGGATGGTGAACAGCAAAGTCTATCACTAACTTGTCACGCACAATAAATGCAAGGTTTCCCCTTTCAAGCTAGAAGACCAGCTAATGTCCAGCTGGTAACTAGGACAATTCATGACTAATCCCAAACAACGACGTAATAAAGACGCTAAATGGGGCCAAAACACGCGAATTATTATGAAATCAACATACTGACCATACACGCACCTCCTTAGGCAGTGTGCTGAGGAAAGAAATTAGCTCAGCAGGATGGTCCTCTTTGTTTCCACCTGGCCGAACTTTTCCCGGAGTAGCATCTAGGACCCAAACCTATAGGGAGAAGATGATCACTTACGATATACAAAAGAGGAACTCATTATTTTGGCACTACCAGGGACTTAATATGCTTGAAACTATGCATGCCAACATCCATTAGGTTACTTACTCTGACTGGTCGTGCAAGAGGTTTTGCAGCTTGTTCAACCACGCTCAAAGCAACTGCATCATGGTTAAAGATTATAAAGGACTTCGAGATACAGCAATAAGAGAGAATGATAGCAGCTATCATTGCTTAACCAATGGAGTACCTTTTCCTCCAAAACTGTGACCAATTAAAATCCGGGGCGTTAGCCTAAGCTGTGCGACCTACTTTGTCCAAGAGAAGAAAAGGAGATTAATGCCAGAATAAATGGAAGGCATAGTAAAGATATAACCATGCACTCATAATTGCAAAATAACCGCTTCCTATCATCTGAAATTCAAGGTACAGCCAGAAAAACACTCCAAATTAGTTATATGAAATTGAATCAAACATTGGACGTAAACTGGATTTTTTACAGCAGTACTGCTGTTTGAAGTTACATTCAAAACGGAAATGGAAAAACATATTTCATTGTCGGATTAAATGTCAATCAATTGGAATTTAGGAACATGGTTATTAAACTTGACGTCTTTTGTTGCTGAAAGGAGAAAATCCATTCGATTCATTTGAGTATGCATCTTTTTCTCAGGTCATGCCAATAGGAACAACCCCTAAAAGTGGATACTCTTTGAATAATGATGAAAGAAAATATTAAAATGCTACAGATTTTAAGTCATGATGTGTCAATATCTGTAAGATATTGTTGAAATGCTACACCAAAATGCATTCTCATTTTCTATCATGATGCACATTAAACATTGGACTAATATTTGACAAATGTGAAATACTATGCTTGATACACATAAAGCTGATGAGAAACATTCATCAGCTGTGATATGTTCATTCCACTCCTTTGACCTTACACAATCGGGATCTATAAGAAGATACAAGACATGCAGGTTCTCAATAGATAAACTTGATAGTAAAAATGTCTAACATCTTTGTATGACAGAGATATGAAATGTATAGAAAGATTATCCAAAGACAAATTGAAAGAAAACAAAGAACAAAAATTCACCTAAGAGCACATACTGCTTGGCCCAAAAAGAGAACGCGATTAGATACAGCTACGATGATTGTCAAAACAGTAAACAAGAAAAGGTGCCTCGAAGAGAATTCGCACGGAGTAAAAAGCAAGAAAAGTGAAGGTATAATGTAATGGGAAATAGGTGAAACAGGGAAAGGTCTAAAAAGAAAGATAATGGCAAAAAGGAGGAACAGAATATTAGCAATGAAAATTTTTCCACAGTACCACATCCATTTGAAAAAATCTATGGAAAGGGTTCATGAGCAATTGGTGCAAGTTTACATAAATTGATAGCTCCTTGGGTTACATTTATTGTTCCCCTTGATAGGTGCCCGGAAACTACTGGTACATCCATCATTCTCATTGATAGGTGCCCCAAAGAGTAACTGTCTTTAAAAAAATCTGTGCATATCAGGTTTGCAAGTCCAGATGTTAGTGAACTTTACTCTAGACAAAACGGAATAAGTTTAAAAATGAATACCAAAATAACCAGTGATGGCACAGTTCGACAGCAGACTCATGCAAGCACACATATTATGTAAATGAGTATGCTAGAAAAGGAGAAAAGAGAGACAATCCAAGCATACAGTTCATAATCGATGCTCATACAATACGCACCAGCTTTAACACGTCGAGGGCAGTTGAGGAAACCGTATGAGGGCCTCGCTTTTTCATCGATGCAGAATCCCCATGGCATCGCAGGTCAACCAAGAGAAACTGTGTTAAAACCCAATTATGTGTGAGAATCGAGCATAAACTTTTAGAGTAATGCTACATCTACTAAAGGTTCACCAACTCTGGTTTAACAAATGATGAACTTCTTGAATTCAGTTCATCTTCTTTGAAGAAGATGAAGAGCAAATTAACTAACTAGATTGAAGGGGTTTAGTCCTCGTCAAGCCAGTTCATCTTCTTTGAAGAGGAACTTCTTGAATCCTTCTTCAGATCTTCATCTCCTTCAATTGAAGAAGATGAAGAGCGCCATGTTTAGCTAAGTCCAATACACCCTGATTTTGGTGGAACCAGACATAGAAAACCCCTTAGCATTGCAAGCGCGGCACTGGCAGAAAGTCTGACGACAAGTCGGGTTCACGATATTGGAGGCGGAGAAATTAGGCAAACAAGCTCAAACAGAGATGAACAGCATTGAGCTTAGCCAGAGATGTTGCTCGGTTTCCTTTTTCTTGGAGAGCTAATTCATAATTTTTTCAATTGTCCTTTTTTTCTGTTTGTTTCCTTACTGAGCATTTTTAGTGACATAGCAAGTCCACATAAGATGCCACCTCATTTAGTATACCAATCTTAATAGACCTCTGGTAGATGTAGCATTACTCCAACTTTTAACAGTCAAAAGAAATCTACACTACATGCTTAGTTGTCCTTATTCCAAAGAAGTTCCAAGACAGAGAAGACAAATGAGCTCAAGAAAACCAGCAGCTGCATATCAAAATATTTTTTTCCTATCACTTAAGAGAGACTATAAAACAAGATTAGTTTTTCTAATCGGAAAGGATTATCTTAAAACTCATTATCATTTGGCTTAAAATTGTAATTGTCGAACTGCCTTGCACGTCAGCACAAATATGTTATAGAAATTGATCATCATAAAGCAAAGATTTGATTCACATGCCTGCCATGTCGGGAATTCTTGTGCTAATCGTCGAGCAAAGCTTCCTGAAACATAAATATAAACCACTTAGGTTCAAACTATTGATATGCACATGAATGCCTTAAAAATCTCAGACTATCGATATAAACACAAGCCATCAGATAGAAAATATTGTTGAGCACCCTTGTTTCCCAAATTGCACCTTCAACCATATTTTATGTCAACAAACTGAAGAAACCACAAAAATAAATTAAATTTACGATCTCACAAAAATGTTGTTTTCATCCTTTGTTGATTGTTTGTATAAGGATGGTTTCCTTCTTAAGTTTTTTTTTTTTTTTTTGGTCGATGTTTCCTTGTTAAGTTGGAAGAGTAAGAACGATTATGGAATATACCAGGGAGAAAGAAAAGACTAGCGAACTCAGTTGTTCAAATGGTGTAAAAAATACAGGCCCACACAGGAACGAACAGCAAGCTGTACACTGTATACCTTGCCAAGCTGTACACTGTATACCGTACCAAAGGTTTGAAAATCGAAATGAGTTAACGACAAAGAAAGAGACATCAATTGAGTTTAGGACATTAATCAAGGTTAATGAATGACGAAAAAATAATAATGATCTTGACAGGAGGACGAGTAATGCTGTCATCCACTCCAATCAGGGTTCCCCAAGCAGACTGATTTGTTTGTGATGCTAAAGTTGCCATTAAAATTAGTGTTCAGAACTACAATTTATAAGAAGATGTATCACTTGTGCTTGCACTGTTAGATTTTTCAAATTGATCTATTGATTGGAAGCTTTAAAAGCTCAAATCTAATGCACAGTTTTACAATCAGAACATGAAGCAGGGCATAGTTGTCTGGCTTGTGTTTCCTGGAATAAACGGGGCATAGCTACTGATGAAAAAAAAATACATGATGAACCGTAATCTTCACAAAACTCCTCTATGTGATATGAGTGAGATAACGTTTGTGGCATTAATGTCCATGCACTTTCCGAATTCGCCATTAGAATGTTTATACGTCCATATGCGACACCTTTTCGTGACACCTGAGTCCACAGTCTTTTCACTGTTGTAAGCAGTCAGAAAAAACTAAGTGATCCTGAAATGTCTGATGTACAGGATATGGTTTTTCACCTGCTTGAATATGAGAGTTTATAAATCAAATTAGATAACCTAAAACAAAAACCAAAAACTAAACATCAGATTATAGTACCTACCCCAGTTCTTCCTGCAACCTAAAATTCCATGCAGAAGGACAGCCGTTGGAGGATCCGGTAGCGACTTGTCAACAGTGGAACTCCATCTAACCTGGACACTTAAAAGTCAAAAGCAAAAAAATAAGATGTATGGTAAGGAAATAATAACTGTTAAAGGTCCACTCAGAAAGCTTCAGTTGAGTTCCAAGAAGCAAAAGAAAGTATTAAGAACTTTGCCTTTAATACATGTTCTTTGGTAAAACAAAACAAGGGTATCATTCAAAAAAGTGAATCAAGCTCCTGTTTAAACTCCTTAGATACTCTAAGCTTGAGAGATAAAAAATTCCATGCACAATAAAGTCCGAGAAACCACCATATGAATGAAAATCACATGTCCAGGTCTTTTTCTAACCAGGACAAAGCTCATATGAGATCCTAATACATCTGGAAGAAAAAAGCTAACAGCAGAGAGAAAACAAGCACGCATATAACATAATAAGATTCAAATTTCTCTGAACTGATAAAAAGTTTTGAGCTTCGTTTCCCTCAAAACTTTAGGAAGAAACATCTTCAGTAGGGTATGACAATCCGACACCAAATATTCCTTAGAATCTCTGAAGTAGATGAACTCACTCAAAGACTCACGACCAAACCTGAAACTGTATCATCTCTCTAAAATAGATGAACTTACTCTAAAACAGACAATGATGTCTCATATGTACTATCTTACAAAGAACATTGATTTACATCTCAGTGTACAAATCAAACATTACAAGGAGCAGTAGACAACATTTTTAATTAAAGGAAAGCTCTTCGCCCATTTGAAAACTAGTGGTAGAGTTGAGCACTTTGCCTCCTAAATTAAAAACTTAAAGAACTTAACCACCCCAAAATTTCACTTTTACGGCATCCCTGAGGCTCATTACTCACATTATACCTTCCTTCAGCCATGTTAAGCTGCAGAATTCATATTTAAAAAGGAGATCGAGAATTTTCATCTAACTCACCAATGCCCCTTGCACAAGATCGTATGCCTGCAAAGAAACATCAGACAAGTCAAACTACTAGTGGCAAGACTGGATATCTTGTATTTAGTTTTTCCTTTAGGCCTTCTATCAAGATACAGTAGAAAACCAATAGAATAGTTCATTACCAATACTCCAGGAGGCTTAGCCACGTCTCTGCTACGAGCAAGCCTCTCATCCACTAGGGCCATGCAAATATTGGGATGTTTAGCTGTCCGCCTCGAAACGGAGGCCAACTGACAGTTCTCAAACCTATCGTCCTGCAACATGGATAAACATAGCAACATTTACACAGGTCATCAAATATCAATAAATACTGCGCTTTTACAAGTGATTACACTCCTACGCAATCAAAGAAGCATCATCATACAGCAGAGAGTGTAACGGGTTAGAACTAAGGAGGAGGATCGTCCACATCAAAAGATTTGTCGGAAAAAAAACTCTAATTCTAGGAAGGAATTCCTTCTGCTGGAATAATCTTAGAGAGAACACACACGGGCGATTTGCCGATAACAGCAATAACACATAACATTTGTACATTTGTACATTTGTACATGTCACTCTCTCGCTGATCGCTGTCAATTGGAGTCACTGCCCTCTTTCAATCAATGTAAAGCTAATGCTAACGAGAAAGGACACGGAGGCCTCCCTACGCTACCGCTCGAACGTAAAAGCGCGCGCAGCAGCAGGTGGACCTAGGGTAGCTCGCCGAGCCACCAACATCATCCATCCATCGAAAGAAACGCGAGATGCTCCCCGCGCTAACGAGGGAGGGGGAGAGATAACCTTAAAGAGAGTGGAGATCCTGGTAACGCCGCGCCATCGGACGCCGGCGCGGCTCGTCTCGGCCTCCGCGGGGGGGCGAACGGCGCGGCCGGACGCGGTGGGGTTGGGGAGGACGGGCATTGTCCCGGCGGCTCGCGGATCGCGGCAGCTGAGGCGGGAGAGATTGCCGCGAAGGCGATCCGATCGGCGGCGATCGGCGGCGGGGGGGGGGTGGCGAGGAGGCGGAGAAAATTAGGTCTCTGCTTTGTCTGAGCGCCGATAGAGAGAGAGAGAGAGAGAGAAAGTATCGAAGTTGGAGGAGGCGGAGACACCGAAGCTCCGGGAGCTGCAAATGGCGTCTCTCTCTCTCTCTCTCTCTCTCTCTCTCTCTCTCTCTCTCTCTCTCCCTCTGTGTCGCTGAAAGGGACGAGCGTCCCCTTCCTGTGAAGCGTCGTGCGCTGCCCCGCGTTTGTGGTTCAACTGTTGCGCCGAAAGGAGGGGGGAATGACCGAGCTGCCCCCCTCCTTCCAACTGTCCGGAGCAACGGCCGGTGCAGCAGCAGCTGACGTGGCTCCTGGTCGGCTGCTTTCTTTCTCGCGAGAAAATGTCGGGAGTTGAGACCGACCGACACGACGCTCCATTCAACGCGCGACACGTGTTTGTTTTGGGAGGTGGAACTCGTAAAGAGGGGGAGGAAGGGAGAGAGAGAGAGAGAGAGAGAGAGAGAGCAGAGACAGTAAACGGAGAACTAACGGAGAAAGAAAAGAGAGGCGCTTTCCAAAAAAAATTTGACAAGTGGCCCGCTGGACACACGTGTTCCACGTTGAATGGAGTGTCGAGGTGCTGACTTGGCAAGTCGGTATCATCACTAATATTTTCTCATTTTCTCGCTATGTCTTTGTTCGAAGGACGGATTACACGACTCGGGTCAATGGACCGTATCCAGACGCATCGGTCTCATTTACCATTCTTTGCATAAAAAGCATTTTTCATGTAAAACACCAAACAACCTGAATCTCTAAAGACACACACACATATATACACAAGCGGGTCATCGTGTCGATATGGACCTTTTGCTATCATTTATGTCCTTCGACTTAATTTTCTCCAATTAGCGAAAATATTAAACAAGCACCTTTTCTTTAAAAAAAAAAGTCGTCTTTTTATTTGAGAAACAAACGAGATCTGAAATACTTATGAGACTATCGCCTTGCAGACGGGCGTATCAAATATCGCATCGACAAAGGATGATTTGATCGAGCATATTCAAAGGGTCTTTAAATGATTTTGAATCGTAAAGCAGATCTCATAAATTTTATTTTATATTTTCGAAGAAAGACATTTGTTCAAAAAAAGAAAGGAGAATTTCAAGGACAATCTTAAAATTTATCAATTTCGGGCAATTAGGCTCTAAAACTTTATCTCATCCATTCAAGCCCTAAAACTTGCAACCTCAATACCCTTTTTAAGTCGACGGAAGGATTGATCAAGATTAAAAGTTACAAGTATAAGGATTCAAATGCACAAAAATGAAAGCTTTAGAATTTAAAGTGCACAAAGTTGACAAATTCTCGAATTTTCATGTTATTATTCACACCAAAAAAATTTTTTGCAAGGGCTAGCCTTTCTGCATGTCCATAAGGTATGTATGGTGAAATAAGAGACAAGAAGTGAAGGTTCTGTTTGTCTATTTATTTATATAAGTCTGAGTGGAGGCTGTCAATTTACCGACGTTAACAAAAAAATTTGCAAAATGGCAAATCTTTAAAATGAGTAAGAGCGGTTCGTATCTTTCCAGAACCCTCAATAAATAAATTGAAATGTAGACAAGAGCAAGAGTTCCAGAAGTCTACCGGACTGCGAGTCTTCATCCATCCATTTAGACCCGACCAGGAACGCACTTACTGTCTAATGCCGTAGATAAAGCATCAAGGATCCAAAGGTTCGATATGGGCATGCTAATTTCACCATTTGACCAATAGCTTATCTCGTCCGACAAACTTTGAATCCGGGCAAAATTCCAGTTTGAGTGGTTCTACCAAGAGCAGCATGACGAACATGACAAAGGGGTCTCATAGATAAAAGAACATGGTCCCCTCAGAAGAAGGGCACATACACCCATCACACGATGCTTGCTTACAAACACGAAAAGTGCTGAACACTTCTGGAGAATCTATTTAGGGCTGTACATGCTCATTTCTAGCTCGTTCTGCATATTCTCATGAGAGTGTTCATCTGAATTATTTCGAGTCGCAACAACTTACGGTACAATCGGCCAGAAAAGCCACCAGAAGTTTTTCTTTTACGGTCTTCCCCAGAAAACATACCTACATATGCTTCCCGGCTCAATTCTCCCTCGGCTTACAGGGGATTTGCCAGGTAGACGCTGCCGAAAAAGCGCCCTTTTGAGGAGAGAACTGAGCAAGCGAGAGAACTTCACTTCTTAGAGGGGGCCTATTCATCTTATTGCAGTTCGCCACACTAATTTCCCTATAACCAATCTGCCAGCTGCGGAAATCTCTGAAGTAGCCCTACCACACCTCTGATTGCTACCTGCAAATGCAAACACAGTACAGCAATCGACCACATTGAGCCCTTGTCGTAGGTAAAACGACTACATTCCATCCATCAAAAAGTGATTCTCTTTAAAGCCAAGCTTAAGAATCTCAGACTGTCATGACCCCATTTTTTCGGAGGCGGTGATCTGGGACAAAGTAAACAAACCAAATTTTTAACTGAACTGTGACTGATTCAGGAATTACATTATTTTCACGATTTTTTCACTCCATAGTTGTCAACTAAGCCTTTTGTTATGCTTAAACATGATCTCCTCTTCCCGATCATATTTCTTTCCAAACTTAACTTCAAAACCACAACAGAATCGTCAGATTCTTGAGCTTTTTCGTGTGACAACGTGCATGAGAACGCACGAGCATACAGAACTCCTCAAGGCCTGAGCGTCCGGTTAACTTAATGTCATTGCAAATGCCACAGGCCCAAGAATCCCTGGCTTGTTATTAGGTGTCCCACATCATTCGTCTCTACCATATTCATTTCCTCTTTACACTTACTTCATTGTCAGGTAAATTTTTGCCACAAGAACGCAAGAAATAGCTCAGAAACATACCAAGGCAGTCTCCCCAGGTTTTAATGCAGGTTCGACACTGTCTCTTCCATAGCTGTTCCACAAGGGACGAGTCAGTTCGCGTCCACATAAAATAAATGCAAGTTAAATTGAGCTGCTACCATGAATTTCTCATTAAGGTACTCTGTTTCTAGAAGCACGCATAGCATTTCGTATAGCATTGAGGAAGGAATGGTGATATTCCCATCAGATATAGACAGTAGAAGGTAACACAGACTTTCTTTGGAGTTCCTGAGGGGTAGTGAATCAGCGTACAACAAACTATTTGGTTTATGCAGAGCAGCACATGTTGAATAGTAGGACACCACTATTTAACAAGTTAACTAAGATTGGTACACAACTATATATATAGCTGGAAGGAAGCTCACTCACATTATCTGTCTCTTTCCATTGATGACTTCAAGCCGATAAAAACTGCATCCTTTGCTAAATGGAAAAGGCTTTCCCTTCCACTCTGATGAGAAAGTCTAAAGTCAATTGACAAATAGAATTGAACAACAGACAAACGGAACTTTAAGGAAAAGAACTTTTAGAATGCTAATTAAAAAAGATGGTTCAAGGTACCTAAATGCCATGTGACGCCTACACCGGAAGAATCCTCCTCTGATATGTCGTCAATTACAAAGCGGAGATCCGTGCCTATGATATCGCTAAACTTCCCGAAGAAATCTAGGATTGCCTGCACAAATATTGCTATTCAGCGAGCAAATTCGCACTGCATTCTTCACCAGAGAAATTGAGGATACATTTAGGAAATCCAGCAAACTAATGTGCATCCCATATAAAACCAGTTTCTTGAATCCACTCTTTACAGTACAGTGAACGCCAACATGTGCGCCTCAAGAACCATGGTCATGGACTTGAATCTCGGAGAAAGCAACTTCCTTTCCTTAAAATCACTCCGAGGAGCCTCCTGACTGGGTAATTACTCCGTCGCATTGCCGGGAGTGAATGTGATTAGTCGGGTGCCCTACGACGCCCAATTGTCATGAAAAGAACAGACATCTTCCAATTCGCAGTTGACGAAAGATTTGGTCTTTTTCGCTCATCATAAGCAAGTCTCTCAGTATGTAACCCCAAATATACAGAAGCAATACCAGACAAATCCATCTTACCTCGCGACCGACGAAGGGACGGGGAAAGACGAGGTCCTCGTACACGCACTTGTCGGCGATGAGGCCCTCCACGGCGGAGAGGTCCCGACTGTTGATCCCCCCGTAGAACCTCCTGACCACTTCCGCAGCAGAATCCTGCTCCAGTGCCGGCGGCGAAGCCACGACCGCCGTCTCAATGTCCGAAACCGAAGACGGCGGCGGCGGCGACCACGAGACGCCTCTTCTGGGAGTCCTGCTGCTGGCGGGTCGGAGCGGGATCGAGGGAAGAGCGCGCCGATTGGCGGCCGAAGCAATTCGCGGCGGAGCAAGCGATGTTAGTGATGCCGTCGTCGCGCAGGTTCGCATTGCTCCAGCCATCGCTCGCTCCCCTGAGATGAACTCGCTCAAATCATGAACGTTGATCGAAGTACGTGGAGGCAAAACAACCGCAACGGTAGAAACTTCCCCGTTTTGGAGCGCCTCTGTTTTCTGCGAATCTCGGATGGTGTGACGGCGAGACGACGACAAAGTGTGGTTTGCTCGGTTGCTTGTCAGCCACCAGAAAAGTAGATTGAGTTCACGTGGCATTCGTTGGCGCACGCTTTTCAAAGGATTAAGGCTTGTAACGAGGAGTCTCCCTCCCCCTCTCCCTCTTCCCATTTCTTTTAAGTTCGCCGTCTTTCGTTTTCTCTCTCGATCTGTTCTGAGAGCTTGAATGTGTGAATAAGTTTCTGCTGCTGATCTTAGGTGAACGTAATAACCAGTTCGACTGATAGCCACCAAGGAAGATGTCGGTAATATGGCTCCATAACCTCTGCTGCTCTTTCTTACCGGTTTATATTTAGGTCAAGCTTTAGGGTTTTACTCTCTCGAACTAGATTTTGACAAAAATTTTGGAAGCTTCTCACAGCCTTTTTTTTTTTGGGGGTCATACACAGTTATTTGATATATGTTCTTTCAACATTTTGAATTAGTGTCTCTGCACGGCGATAGTGATGAGGAGGTTGAACCTAGACGCACATCTAGAGCGAGAGACCTCGGCATGTATTCATTAGTGATCTCCCATCATTAGATTTGTTTTTAAGAGATAAGAGTACGCTTTTAGCTGCAAATTGTGATTTGTTATTTGCTTTCTCGCTTTTACTTTGTTTTGTATATATTTAGGATTAAGCCTTCTATGTACCTCTTAAGTATCATTCTTATATATGAATGGCATCTTTCTTTCAACCAAAAAAAAAATTAAGAAAGGAAAATAATACAAATGATCCATGAACTTTGACTTGATGTGTAATGTAGTCCATGAACTTTTAATTTATTCAATGTGGTCCTTGAACTTTTGATACATGTTCAATGTTATTTCTAGTCCAGAGACTAATTTGAGTATGTATAAAAAATCTAAGGATAACATTGAATAAATTAAAAGTTCATGGACAACATTACATTATAGATAAAAGTTCAGGGATTATTTATGGTAGGAATAAATGCAAGTTTACTTATTAATTGCAAATAAAAATATCTTAAATTTTATAAAATTAGGAAAGATTATGTACCCGTTGAGACGTTGAAGGCGATTTAGTCCAATAGCAAAAAGTTATCCTAATGGTAACGATTTTTAATGTTCAATGAACAATAAGTTTTCAAAATCCGGAATTCAATTTTCATTCTATCATCTATCAATATTCAATATAAATATAATTAATTGATAGGATCTCGCCCTTATAAAGGTGCTTAAATATTTGAACTAAGACGATTCAATATATTCAAGACTCTCAAAATAATGACCTTTTATATTTAAAAATTTACTCTCTATTTGGAAAGCTCAATAAGTTGTTTATTATTTTTATTTATGGGTTTCCCTTTAAAATTCGAAGATGCATATATTTGGAGTCTCAAGAAGTTATGAATAATTTGTAAGCGATTACACGGATTGACCAAGAGTTGACTTAGGATTGACCAAAAAGGCAACTCTAAAGTCAACCTCGGATTATCGAAGGAATCAATACCTAAGTTTAGACCGAATTTAATGGAACTTGAAAAACCTCAAAAAAAAAAACCTAAAATGATTATTTTTGGCCGAGAAACGGGCCCTTGTTGTGATCAGGGACCCGATCTCATTAGCCGATCGGCTTGCGCGTGCGACTCGCATGCTTATCCGGCGGCAAAACGGCAACATCTCGCGATCTTTTTGGCAGGGCTTTTGGTAACGCCTCGCCCGCGGCATAAATGATTATAATAAGAAATAGTAAAAAAGCAAACACACTGACGGAAAAACGAAACGATGTGAACAAAAGAAGAATCAGTCGGACCGACAATAGCTCACGACAACAATCGATCACAATCAAACGAACACAAGACAAGCCAATACGTTTGACTCGAATCAAAAAGCCCCCACCGCCCCCCCTCGAGCAGATAAGAAAAAGGTATAGTCATACAAGTGAATATCCCCACTCCCCCAACACATCAACATCAACATCACCGGCACAACATTTGGCACGCGTTATTCTAAGCAGCTAGGGCAAAAGAATACATGGCAATATTTCTATAGTCAATTTCGAAGGGGGGGGATGACCCGCCAAGCACTCTTCTTGGCTCCACTTTCCACGGCCCAATCCGATCTTGCCTTGGAGATCAACACCTGGACGGACCCTACAAGCATTCATTCAATGTGGAGACCTGAGAGCCATGCAGTTCTTTCTTGGAAAATGGTTAAAAGTTTCTCTTATTGAATGGGACTGGTGAGTTCAAAAACAATCACCACGTTTGCTGTTTGCTGTTTACTGTTTTGAACCAGAAGAATGGGGAAAATGCAGCAGCATAAGTTGAAGAATACCAGCTTTCTTTTTAGGACGAACTTGAAAGAAAACGAAGAGAAAAAAGAACACACTCTGTTTTTTTTTTTTTTGGGGGTTACCTGAGGGTAGGTCAAAGTACGTAGATAGTAAAGCTCTGAAGGTGTTTTTCATGCATGCATGCGGAAGTATACCAGATTCTTGTGTGTATGAAGTACGTGCTAGAAATGTAATAGAAATTTAGTTAGTGGGTGAAAAGGATAGCGTGTTAGAGATCCCAGAGAGAATCTTCAAAGTCATCCTCTTCGACATCGTCGTTAGAGCATCCGGGCGCCAGAAGATCCTCCCCCATTTGCATCCACATCTTTGGAGAATCCAGGGTCGACTCGTTGATCGCTTCGATTTGGCTCGGCGAGAGCCTCACGGTGAGCGGCGCCGGATTAGAGCCAGCCGAGCTGCTGCCGCCACCAATGTCCTGGGATTGCGCCGGTGCCGCGGGAGCCAGCCTCAGCCGCGCCGCCGCCTCGTGAGCGGCCGCACGGACGTCCTCGGCGCTGGGGCCTGCGGGGCGAGGGAGGCTGTCCATCAGCTCGGGGAAGTTGAGCCGGGCGCCGCGCCCCCTGAAGTGCAATGCCGCCACGTCGTAGGCGGCGGCGGCCATCTCGGGCGTCTCGAAGCTGCCGAGCCAGATCCTCGTCTTCGTCCCGGGCTCGCGGACCTCGGACACCCACTTCCCCCACTTCCTCTTCCTCACACCTCTGTAACACGATCTGGTGCCTCCGTGGTTGTTTCTCTCATCCTCCATAAGAAACCAAGAAAACTTTGCAATGAACTTGAATCTTTTGATGAATAAGAAGCAGGAATTGGTAAGCGGTGATCAACCAAGGAGTGCAAGCCAGCTGTGCATGGGTATATATAGACGTTGATTGGGTTCTTGTACCTTTGTATTATCTTTGGTTTGTGGGCGTTTCATTGGCGAAACGTGGAGCCATTGCGGGCCGGGGGAAGGAGCGAGCTTCCGCGTAGCTTCGGACAATGGAAGATGATCATCATGGGCATGCTGAAATACATGCACGTTCGTATATTTCCATCGTAATGCCTCCCAGGTTAGCTTTTTCTCTGTGTTTAACAGCACAAGCTGATGGAACCATCATCTGTCATTTTCATATTTTTTTTTTTCGAATTTTCTATCTTTTTATTTTCTTTTCTTTTCTTTATTTTGTTTTTACATCTTCGGTCGGCAAGGGCCATCGACCCTCGCCTAGTCTAGGCGAGACCGTCGCAGCCCTCGTTGGTCACGGGCGAGGGCCTTCGTGCCCAGATCCATGCGAGGGCCGACACCCTCGCCTTTGGCCAGTGAGGGTGTCAGGCCTCACCTGCATCTGGGCGAGGGCACCCGTGGCCCGCGACCTCACCGGCCAGAGTTGTAAAAACAAAGCAAAGAAAAGGAAAAAAAATTGTTGAAAAAATAAATAAATAATTAAAAAAATCATAAAATATTAAAATATTATTAATATTGTCTATGTCAGCTTGGCCGGATGGACTCAATTGATAAAACATGAAATGATCTAGGACTCACTTGATATAATCAAAAGATTCGAGATTGAATTGGTAAAAATGCAATAGATTTACGAATTTTTCCCGACAATTTTCTCAAATATTTTACGTTCTCGAATAGAGTCAGAACGGACAATCGATCGCCCACCAAAAGTCAGTGCGAAAAAACGGGACAAATCTTTAGATGAGGAGAAGACGAACCGTTCTGTGTCTCTCCTGTTGAGAAACGCGGTTTCCGCACGTGAGGGCCCACGCTAAAATCCGAAGGTGGATAACCGGATGACGTCAGAGACGCCGTCACGGACATATGGTCTTCGGATTGTCGCATAGAATAATGTTTTCCTTAAGGAATCTCCCGGACGTGTCCGAGAATTTAGTGAAAGAATCTTTTGGTACCGACGGAATACGTAGAGCGAGTACCGTAACGTCCTTCCCTTTCACCAACCCTAGACGGAAATGAAGTGATCTTAGAATTTGAATACTCCTTTCACGTAGCTGTACTTAGTCAAGACGCCCCATTTGACTCTTCTTCGCTTGGGCTCCTCCCTTTCCCCTTGTATTTCGAGACGCTTTTTTATATTGTCCGGCTAGCCTAACGGCATTGTTTCTGCTTGAATCAGTAGCGGTGTTCTTGTGATATCTTATATGGGAGAATTGGGCTCCTCCCTTTCCCTTGTATTTCGAGACGCTTTTTATATTGGGAGCGGTGTTTTGTGATATCTTATATGGGAGAATTTGAAATATCATAAATCATTTAGCGGCGGGGCAATTCAGTCATGAACCGTTCAATTATGCCGATTTAATCCTAAACCTTTTGAGAATTTGACAATTTAGTCTTGAACCTTTTGACGATTTTTCAATTTAGTCCTTTCGGTTAATTTTAGCCGAAAATTGCTAACATGACAGTCTAGTCACAGCCAACGCTCAAGTTGGCAATTTTTTTAATTTTCTTTCTTCTTTTCTTTTTCTTTTCTTTTTCTTTTTCTTTTTTCCCTTGTTCCCTCCGCCGGCCCTCGCCGGTCTCAGGCGAGAGCGTCAAGGCCCTTGAAAGGTTTAGGTCTAAAATGGCTGCAGTACAATAGGTTTATGACTTTTTGAATAATTTTCTCAATCCTAAATCATAGTAGATTGACAACCGGGATTATGACAAATTCGTGGGATGACAAGGCTTATGCATTTTATAATATCAGTGCTAAAGAAGAGGGATTTTGGCATTAGAGTTTTAAACTCTTATAAGAGGAAAGGTTGGGAGGAAAAGCATGGTGCGGCATTTTGTTGCGGTCGTCAAAGTTACAAGATCCAAAAGGAATTAGTTAAGTCAAGACCAGGAAGATTAGAATTCATCTTGACGAGTTTTAGATATGGGAACTCACAGAAGTTGTACCCGATCATAATCACTTACAGCTCCTACAAGCGTTACACTCTTCACATCACACAGAAGTACTGGAACCTAAACGAAAAATCGAGTGGCCTTTGATGCATGTATTAGAACAAATAAATCGTTTCTAGTATTGGTTGTTGAAGTAGGAGCGTATGAGAAATTAAATTTTAAAGAAAAAGATGTTAGAAATCATGTTGCATAGTACAAAAGGGTTGAATTTGCAAGAAAGAGATGGGCAAGCACTTTTCAATTATTTTTCGATCAAGTAATTGAAAATTTCCAATTTTCACTTGATTTGGGTGGTGATCAGCAAAGACAATGTAATGATTCTCGGGCGGATGCACGATCAAAAGATGCATACAGATACTTTGGGGGTGTAGTCAGATTTGACACCACTTATTTGACAAATAAAATATGAAGTCTTTTGCTCCATTTGTCGGTGTAAATCATCACGGTCAATTAGTTTGGTTAGGATGTAATTTGCTCGCGGAAGACACAAGCATCTCTTTCATCTGGCTGTTGAAGTCTCGGTTGATTGCATGTCGGGGTGCAGCTCAAGCTATTATTACCGACCAGTGTAAAGCTGTAAAATACAATTTCTGAAATATTTCCCTTTGCTTGTCATTGCCTTTGTTTATATCTTATAAGTTACAATGCAAAAATTGCCACAAAAATTAGGGGGTTATTGTCAATATAAGGGTATAAGTTACCTGTAGAAACAGTAACATAATCGTTCCTCAATTCCCACAAAGTGAGAGTTTCCTATTGTAATTTTCACAAGGAAATCGCTTAGATAAGTTCGGCTTCCTTCGAAAAATTAGAGGTGGAGAAGCCACCGCGTCTTTTTGAAGACTTACGACGACTAGCTAATCCTATTCCTTGTTACATACATTACAGACATCTTTATCAAAAAGTTATTTGAGACCTTGCAAAGAATGAGAACAATATAGTGTCATGAATTGGATTTGTGTATTTATTGGTGGGAGTTACCGTAGAAAATGATTATCCACTTACTGGTGTATAGTATTTACACCTAATAAAAACCCGTGCAACTTCAACATTGTTGAGTTTGAAAAAATTGCATTAGATTATAATCGATCCATTGGAATCGATGATAAGGATCTTCTAAACTTAGAAAGGCAAAATTTACATTTGCAATCGATCTCCTTCTAGATCATCAATATGTCATCAATCGGCTAAAGGGTCTATTTTAGCCAAATCACTCATTTGATTTGTAGGAAACTCACACATATGCACATCATATCCTAATCTCCAAAATCCCCCCTTCTTTCTTCACTCTCATCTTTGTATTCGGCCCGCGCCTTCTCCATTACATCTGGTCGTCGTATATCTCAATTGAAAAGAAAATGAAAAAGAAAAAAGGCTTTTGGAAAAAGAAAGATTAGGGAACATATCTCAAACTCAATCGTTGAAATTCTATGCGCCAATTTGTCTGTCCTTTTGTTGGTTTTTCTTTTTCGGAAAACTAACATAAATAGTCTTTGAATTTTGGCCAAATGTGTCATAATGTCCATAAACTGTAACCTAATGTGCAATGTGGTCCATGAACTTTCAATTTGTTCAATGTAATTCATAAATTACATGAAAATGTTCAATATTATCCATGAACTTGAATTAATTGAACATTGGATATTTTTATATAGTTCAGGGATTAAGTTAAATATATATACAAAAAGTCTAGGGATTATATTGAACAAATTGAAAGTTCATGGATCACATTACATATTGAGCTAAAATTTAGTGACCGTATTAAATAAATTAAAAATTCATGAATCGCATTTGATATTAAGAGAAAGTTTAGAGGGTATTTATGTTATCATCATTTCTTTTTCTGGTAGAACGTAAGTTTCAGAGGCATGTTTAGGTAGGTCCTCAGGATTTCAACCTCAGAATCAATGGCGGTACTTGAACCTTGGTGTTTCCAAATCTTTCAGGGACGATATCCAGATGGGTCCCACTTCTGTCTGGTTGACAAGATCCATTTCTTGGAGCACCAAACCCTCCCCTTGATCCCAGAAGCCAAGAATCAACACTGACCACCGCACACGCACAGACACAAACAAAAGCTAGAACCTACTATGTTCTCCAGGTTTGAAAGCCTCTTGATTTGACTTCCATGTCCCCTCCCACTAACACGCACGACACGTCAAACCGAGAATTTTCGCGAAACAAATTAATCTTTTCTGCCAGCTTTCAAGATTGCAACGTAGCTGGTGACGCATTCTGAAACGGTCAACCCGGTTTCGTCTCCTCCGTTTGCTTCGACCCATGTGGCTCGTCATTTCATTTTCAGGGTCTCTTGAAACACCGCGCCCCATGTTTCACTCCCGGCTAATACAATTCATGTGCAAGGGCATGGCGGTCTGACTCCGACCAACATAAGGCAATTGAGATCAGATAATCTATTAACAAAAACTAAAGGAAGGCGACAGCACTGAATCCAGAGCTCAAAAGCCAATGATGTTGGCCCAATATGCACCGACGGGTCGTGGGACATAAAAAAGTGTGATGCTGTTCATCGTGCACTAATTTGGAAAATTCTTGCATAAAGGGAAAGGGATGATTTGTTAGAACAAATTGGAAAAGGCAATGTGGGTCGTAGATCTTTGGTCCCGACCACTTGAGAAGTGAAAAGAAAAACACAAGGGTGTGTCTTAAACCTTTTGGAGCCTTTGGTCGCGAAGTTTAATAATTGATCAATTGCTGTAACCCAACAAGAAGAATGAGTGATCATTTCGGACTATGGGAAGCAGCAAGATTCCATATACGGCCCCGCCAAAAAAAGCAACTTCCGACTTCTTTTTAATGCTTTCAACGTTGATAGGCAGAAGTGTTAGGATTAGTTACACAAACACAACGAAAGATAAAGTAAAAGCAAAGAAGAGACAAGGTTTTATCTCGATTCACCTTTAAACTAGAACTATATCCAACAAATTATTTTCACTTTAATTGATACTTCACATCTCTTTGTTACAATCTTTAATTACAGGAGAATTATATATGCTCAGTAATTATTCATAGGCCCAAATCCAAAGTACCAATAAAATACATGCCTAAATTATAAAAGCGCCCTGGTTGCTAGGGAGCGGGCCCCTCGAACCTCTGCCAACTCGTTAGGGAAAGGGACCCCCATGCTTTCCTGTCGATGAGGAGTATGAACCACACTCCAATACAAAGTCCCACCACGGTCGATGAGCACAAATCACGAGTTGCCAAGTGTCCGATGTTTCTCTCGTTAGTACATTCGATGTTGACCGGCGTAGCGGGCTAGATTTGCGTGGGCTCGAATCTACGTGGATCGATTCGATCTCAACCATCCATCGGGTATGGCCCGCATGCAGCCCATTTTCCTAACGAAGGGTCTCCACCGCAAAACCAGTTGATACTTATCTAAATAATTCGATCTAAATTTTTTTTTTGCAAAAGTCCTGAGAGAGTTTACCTAAGCACGATCTTAAAAAGTTTTAATCTCAGTTTTCATCTAGACCTTGAGATAATCGAGATGTAAAACTCTAAGAGGGTATTCCCTCGCCTTGAGGAAAACAAAGATACATGGGGAGGCACCATCACTGCTTTGCAAACGGACATACCACAAATGTCCCTTTTTTTGGTGAGATTAACTCTTAGCCGAACACTAAGGATCCATAGAAAGCCCCAGGTATAAGAGCATAATAGCACTGCAATTGATCCTGGCCTTTTGGGTGCATATAATTAAATCCTAACGAAGTTTTCCTATTCTAGGTCTGTTTTTCATGGACGAAAAATTTAGTTTCCATTCATTTGTTCATGTATCTATTGGACTTAGATTGCATAATGGAAAAAAAAGGTTTCAAGACTAAATTATCCTTTTGGTGTAAGTCATATTAAGTAGCTTAAATTGATAGGTGGAGGGACACCACAAGTATATAAATATGGTCAAGCGATGTGGGATATTTCAACACTCCCCTTACATGTAGGCCTAATTAGGAATGAACGAATTTGGCTCCGATACCATGTTCAAAAGTTCAACTCAAAAATTTAAGCTGTTAGATAAAGGCATGATTAATATTTAAATGTTCTAACACTCATCTTCACGTGCAGGTTGGATGTTAGCCTAAGTTTAAATAGCAGAAATATGTAATTGTGGAGATTATACGAACCCTGAAAGATTTGAACTCATGGCTTGAAAAAGATTTGGACTTTCTAACACAAATAAACTCCATAGTGAAGTGGTATGTATATTTCAAAAGCATTTAAGGCATGAAATCGGGTGATCTGAAATCGTTTGATAGTCTTTCCCTTCATTTTGGACATGGATTGCGTACATCCTCCGCTCGTTTCTAGTACAATGCCCCTAAATCTACATCAATCTTTGGTGCCACTCGATGCTAATGTGAGAATCACTTCGTGCAGTGGTTGTTCATTGTCGGTGACTCTTTACCTCCACCACGAGCCACCGTCTCTAGCAAGAACCATGCCACCGAGAGTGGCGGAGCAATAGATAGACGACGTTGGAGAGAGGGGAAAGATATAGACATGGTAGTAATAGCTGAGATGGTCGTGGTGAGTTCGTTGGAGGTGGTAACGGTGGCACGGAGAGTGGTGGGAGCAATGGAAATAGACCGATCGTGTATAGTGTGTGGTTTTATTATGGTGTAGATTTGATCAATGGTCGGCCTACGCTTCTTGACAAAGAATAATGTCAAATTTTTCATGAAAGTTTTGACGGAACGAGCTGATTTGGGCAAGCCATGATTGACAAGCTAGGGCTCAGGAAGGAAATTGCTTGTCCAGACTCGTCCGATTTTCCGGGCCCAACCGGATTGGCACGGATTGAGTGAGCCGCCAACTTGGCGGCACCGAGCTCGTGCTCAACCTCTGATTTTGATGTAACATTTTTGCCCACGCTCAATGATTCAATTATGGATTTGTTATATAATCAATTGTATAAATCATGACTTGAAATCTCTATCATTGTAATCTTGAAGTACTCAACTCATTCCTAATCCGGTGGGACCAGGCAGTGTTATCATCCCATCTTCATCTTACGTTGGCTGCATCAAATCACTCTCATCGTGCTTCCGGGGTTGGTAAGAGACTAACGTTTAGCTTAAGCCTCGGACGACGCGTCGGGGCTTTTGAAACTTTCAGCCATATTGTGCAATCTAATTGCCGAAATTCTTAGTCTCATGGCAAAATCATTTTAAATTTTCGCGAGAAATGAATGATTTGAAAAACATCTTCCTTAAATTAATCGCTCGTATCGATTGAAATGATTAATCAATAGAAAATATTGACAACAATTTATAACTGAATACGTTTATCGGCGATGAAAATAAGGCGACATGAGTAATGATTTTTTAGAGAAAATGTTTTCCAAATCATTCATTTTCTGCGAAACAAATATTCGCTCCTATATTTAACCTAATTTTTCTCCTCGCGATATTAAGGATGCGTGAATTTGTATCTTCTGGGTAAGTTAATCAATAGGCCGATCTCGTTAAAGTATGCCGCATCGCTTATTTACAGGATTTATATGCTCTTTATGTCTTCCCTTCACTTAAGAGTTTAAGTTTTTGGATTAGACTTTCTATCACGGTATCAGAGCCAAGTTCCGCCCTACTTTATATCGCGTATACAGCCCTCGTTCATCGAATCCTCCTATTTTATATATGTACATGCGATCTCCCCCCTTCCCCACGCATTTTTCGAGATAACGACGATGCAAATACGACCAGTACCGCGAGTTAGTTCCGCCGCGACAGAATTGCTTGGATTTTTAGTGGCAAAATAGGAGTCACCAGGTTAGTGCTTGTGTTGTGGGGTTTACATCTTTGATTAAATGCCCATCATCAACTTCCTAATGTGGATCGAGTCAAATCTTCAGTAAATTAATGTTTAATCCGAAACTGCTACTTCTAGTTCCAGTGGCCATAGCATAGCATAATGAAAACGTCACATGATGCAACTCAACTAGAAAAAAGGAGTGATATTGACATAGTAGGACCTCTAGAGTCTTAAAGAGCGATTTATGTCCGGAACATAGGTTCAGCTGATTAAGTAAACCATAGAATTCCGGGCCACCTAAGCTCGAAACCGCGTCCCCCAGCCCGGACATCACATCGCTCATGTGTGATCTCCTCCGTTTCTTTTAACTGATTTCTCGATTGCTTTACGAAGTAAAAGTATCGAGCTAGTCCCGTCTCACCAACACATCAAGTGGGTGCCGTTAACTTCGAGAAATCAGTCCTTGCCGATGCGTGCCCCGTTAGGGTTACGCGGTGAAATCTTCGTGGGATTCGGTCATTAATCTCGCATGATTTTAGTCGATGAGATTATGCTTAGCCACTTCTGTTTTGACATCTAGAAATTACCCCGACTCTTGTCGCGCCGTAATTATGTTGTTTTTGCAATGACTTTTTACCGTATTATTACGAGGATGATGCGACCTGATGTGGCTAGCAAGTATCTGATAGGAACATGATATGATGATGTCCCTCGTCTAATCCCGAAGCTACGTGGAAGCTCGCTCGCTCGCTACCCCCTGCAGTATCTCCACGATTCACCAGCGCTCGCAAACATGCCAGTCGTCTTCTCGTCTATAAATACATGCAGTTGGATTACACCTGATCTTAATCATGATTACCTTCTCTTAATCTTTGGTCATTAATCATTAGTCGGTAGTCATTAGTCAAGTCATACTACTGAGGTTTTTTAAACTCTTGTTTACTGAAAAATGGAGGACGCAGGAAGCGGCAGCCGGGGAGGGACCAGCTCGTGCTACCGGGGCGTCCGGAAGCGGAAGTGGGGGAAATGGGTGTCCGAGATCCGCGAGCCGGGGAAGAAGACGAGGATATGGCTTGGCAGCTTCGACACCCCGGAGATGGCCGCCGCCGCCTACGACGTGGCGGCCCTGCACTTCCGGGGCCGCGACGCCCGCCTCAACTTCCCCACGCGGGCCGCCGGCCTCCCCCGTCCGGAGAGCTCGAGCGCCGACGACGTGCGCTTGGCGGCCCATGAGGCGGCACTGCGGGCCCGGGCGGCTCCCCCCGGCCCCGGCGCCGCCGCTCCGGGAACCGGCAACTCGGCCTCCCTGAACAGGTTAGCCCCGGTGACCGTGAGCCTCCCGCCGACCATGATCGCGGCCATCAACGAGTGGCCGCTGGACTCGCCGACGATGTGGATGCAGATGGCGGAGGCGCTGTTGGCAGCGGACAAGTCGCCGGAGGCGTTCTCCTCCACGAGCAACGCCAACTCCAGGGACAAGGAGCTATTCGGGGACGTGCACACCGAGTGTTTGCTCTGGGAAAGGACCTAGCCTTATAACATCTAAACAGATGATATCTCTGACCCCAAAAAAAAAAAAAAAAACAGATGACATCGCACATCTCTGAAACAATTGTAAGACTTCATTTCCAAGCAGATCGCGAGGTAACAACGGAGAGCTCGCGTGGTGATTGTAATAGTTTTTCAAAGTAATATTAGACATAAAAGTACTGGTTTTACAGAGAGAAACATGAGCACGAAGTGAGACTTTGTACGTGCAATAATTTTCTAAGTCCGAAATATCGGAAGCCCATGATGTCGCGCTTCCCGAGCTCGATGCTTCGTGGTTCGATATGGAGGCCCAGCACAGCAGGCGCCAGGATTCCGCTGCTGCTAACCCGAGGAAGGATTAACAACCCGAGGAAGGACGATCTTTGCGAAAAGCACGTTTAATTGGGCACGTGTATAGTACCAAAACATCGCCTTTTGTTTGATGACGTATTGGATGAGTCATTGTTGGCGCAAAGCTGCAGTACTTGGCGACTGGGAGACATTGAATTGGGCGAGGGAGAACCCGTCGAAAAGATGTGCACGACGACATCATCATTGCGGAGGAAACCATAAACGAGACCCGTGGGAATGGTAAATCTTATGGTCCGGCTGCGCCAAAATAAGTCATTGATTCAATTTTTTTAATCGAATCGTAAATAAATTTAGACCCGATTCTATGAATAATAAGTGGGTCGTAAATAGATTTGTTATGGATGATAAATTCCGTGGCTCTCTCTCGTTATCACTCGATTTCAAGACTGCTCATTTCGTACTTTCATTTTCGTTTGGTATAGATTTTTTTATATTTTGTTAAATATAAAAGTATTTTAGGAATATGGTTCGGGTATGGGTTAGGTATGCGTCAATATGAATCGGACCATTTTCGAATCAATCCGAACTACCCATTTGACAGGCCTATTCTTACGTAATAGTGCATGAATTATTATAAAGTTGGTTTTGTTTGTGTTGGTCTTTTCGTCAAAAGATCAATCGAAATGGTGTTACAGTTGGAAACGCTGGGTGACGTGGGCAACTACGTGGCGGCAGGGTGGCTTCATTACCAATTTTAGAAATTAAAAGTTAATGTTTCCAATAAATAAGAATTCTTTTTTAACAGAAAAAAAGGATTATAACACGAAAAACCCCAAGCTAGTACACATGTGATATATTTACCAAAAACTAATTTTTTTACAACAAAAAACCCCAAATTTGTATATCTGCGACAATTTTACCCTATGTTAGTTTCCGTTAAATTTTACCCTCAAATTTCTAAGTTAGATGACCCGTGACAATTGACGGATATATCAGTTTGGGGTTTTACCCACCGTTTGTCACATGTGTGCTAGTTTGTAATTTTTCGTGATATAAACTCAATTTAAAAGAGAATAAATTTATCATAACTATACTGGTTTCGGGTTCTTGGTGGTCAGAAAATTAGTTCGGGGTAAATTTATCACGGATGTACCAGTTTGGGGTTTTTCGTGATTGAGATCAAAAAATTAGATTGCGGTAAATTTGTCATACCCGTAATAATTTGAAATTTTACGTGGTATTAATCTAAAAAAATAAAAAATAAAAAGAAGGAAACTTTTTGCGGGTCATTGGGTTTGACTGCTTCTTGGAGCTCCTTGTCTTCACCTTCTCCCCTCTGTCGCCATCGCCCCTGTCGAAGAGAGGGTTCTCAGCTTGGACCGGGTGGAGTCGGCACCGCGTGCAAGTGCATGGCGTCCTGGGCGGTGCCTTGAGCTTTGGGACTGAGTGAGTTAACTCGGGAGCGGAGCGATAGGAGGTCGGATGGCTTTGGGTTTAAGAAGATTGGCGATGAAGCGGTCGAGGTCGAGGTCGAGGCCATCGCCGATGGGCATGACCGCACCAGTGATGGGCGAGGCCTCGCCGTCTGTGGTGGTCGGGGGTGGCGTCTCCTTTTTGCCCCTGAGCGGAGCGCAACGAGGGTCCAGCCGGCCACCCTCGCCGGTGGCTGGAAGGAGACTCCACCGCCGCCCTCCGTTGTCTTTGCAACAGTTTTGGCCCTTTTTTTTTCTAGGGATTTTCTTTGCAATAAATATTGAAATTGTGGATTTTGTTTAACTTTTTAAGCCACGTAAGAGGTACGTGGCTGTTAAAGTTACGCATAACTGTCATTTCACGTTTTCGCTAAGGCTTTAACGGAAGGTTTAGCACGAACAAAGTTACCTATGCAAATTAAGGATTACATTGCACATAGTTCTAGAGCGAAATTGCATAAATTGTTAAAAATTTCGGAAATTGTAAATGATATTATCTCTGCAAACATTTTACAAAAATGCGTTTAATCGAAAAGTAAAGTCAAGAGACGCAAAAATCGGAACTATTCAACGCTCACCTTGATGGCTAAGCTTAATGTCATAATATCTGGTCAATCGGATAAGATCCTCTATCTCTCCATTGTTGTTTCAACAAATTTCAATCATTGATTAACATACTTTTTTTTTTAACTTAGTGATTTTGATTTATTGAGATGCCGATAAAAGAATTGCATATAAATGATCCATGTCCCATTTGATCCTAAACTCTCCACAGAAGTACTATTAAACTCTTGTATAAAACTATTTTAACTTCTTATTGTTTATAGGATTCCCCAAAAGGCAGAGTAATTAAAAATGGTTGATATTTTTATTAGGTCGATATTGTCTAAATTAAAATTTGTACATTCAATTAGGAGTGAATGATTCTAGGATGGGCTAGAACCTACCCTGTCGAGACTGGTTCCCAGTTTTTGAACCTGGAATCTACTCCCGATTCCAGGATCAACCTTGGGAACCGATCGATTCCATTTTTTATTTCATGTTTTTATTCCTCAAGAGTGTTGTTTGAGACTTCAATTCCTCAATCACACAATGCAAGTATCTTCGAAAAGCCTTTGTAACTGCTGGAATTTTCTTGTATCTGCTGGACTTTCAGAAATAGAGCTCCATCGTCTTTCATTCTTCTTGTACACCTAAGTGACCAGTCTACAAGAAGCTCGTGAGCTTCGAATGGTTGATTCGTGATAAGAAAATGTGAAGAAGTGGGCGAATCAGAGCAGAGAGTGAGAGTGAGAGAGAGAGAAACCAGAGGCAGAGGCAGCAACAACAAGGAAGCAAGATATAAACCAGGCAAGGTCAGTCAGGTTCGATACCAGAATCTATCCCGGACCGATGCTCACTTCAATGTTCGGTGTGAAACATTGACGTGACGAGAGATTTTAGCTACGCAATTGACTCTAAACACGCACGTTATTCACTCACCGGGCAAACGGAGTAGACTTTTTTCGCCCTTAAATAATTGTTCGGATGGTCAAGACGACGAATTAAACATAGGCGGGCAGAAGAAAAACAAAAAGACACGTGGGTGACTGACGAGGAAACCACGACTTCAATCCTAAAAAGCAAACTAGAATCCCTCCTTCACTCAACGACAGCTCCGCACCAGAGGACAAAACTTCGGCAACGCTCGCTCAACAGGTTCGACGACAGGGCATCGTAGATTAATTCCAAAAGGGAAAATTGGGAAAATCCCACGTGGCAGCATTCGCGCTGGGTCCGAGGTTCCCGTGTACGGGTCGTGGAGGTCACCGTGGATACGGTCAAGCGGCGGGCCGGCGGCTGCCACCCCATCCCCGAACGCGGAAACCGTACCGGAACAAAGGGGGAGGGTGGTGGGGACCGGTGGCGGTGGCGGTGCCGGTGGTGGCGGTGCAATTATCAAATCCCGAGAGCCAAAAAGTCCCTTTTTTTTTTGTCCTTTTCTCTTCTTTGGTTCTATTTTTCATTTTTAAATTCGACTTGCTTTTCTTTCTTCTTTGACATATCTGGAATGGGGTTCGCTTTCGACTTTTGACTCGAGACTTGGTGAGCAAAATGGTGGACAAATTAACTGGCACTCACTACGATCCAGCTGTTAGTGATTGAAACCCATTTTTTTTTTACTAAACTAGTGCTGCGATCGTGTGGTCCGACGGGGGCATCCGTGGGAGATTATACATGCCGAGGGGGACTTTGTCAACGTGTATTAGTTAGGTTAACTACCTGGGGTTTTACAGTTCCAAGGGAAAGGAACCTTGTAACTCCTTGTATTAACTGGACCAGCATGGGACCAATTCACGGGATGGGTCGCGTAGTCCAACACATGATTCGCATGCCGAAGGTTCTAAGGTTCAATTTTCTAGCTTATTCTTGACCTTGGGAAATGTCGATCAGTCTATGAAGTACGGGTATATTTAATTGTCGGGCTTATCCATCGACACCGGATAGAGCTGCGATGACGAGCTCACCCGGTGGACAGTTGATGTTTCGTCTGTATCTTAAACCGAACATTTCAGTCAGGGGGAAGTCGGTCTTTTCTCCCTTTAAACTTTTTGTTATGCGGAAAAACAAAAATTAGGGCTAATACGGGTGGGTAGGGGTGAGCACGGTTCCGGGGTAAAATAGGGAACAGAAGAATCGGATAGGGGTGAGCATGGTTCTAGGGTAGAACGAAGAACCGAAGAACCAGACCGGTGTCCGGTTGCAGGTTTCAGGGTATGTAGAATAAGTTTCAAGTTCCAAAAATTGGGAAATCGATTTTGATAGGTAGGTTCTAGGTTCTTAGAATAAGTCTTTGTGTTTTTCTTATTCTATATCTTCGCGCAATCTTGCGGTTTTTCATGGCGTCCGATGATGAGTATGTAAATTGAAACCACTAGTTTGGACTTCTATTTTCGGCAATATCCATATTTGAGAATTTACTTTATTTATGTTTCATATTATTTATGTGTCTAAATATGAGTTGTGCTCAGTGGACTGTAACAGCAAAGAGTGGTCATTAGATATGATGATTCACTGTGATCGTTCAATTAAGGATACATGTACAATCTAGAACCGACCCTAGAATCTGTGATAGTGTAGGTCGATTCCAAGTTTCAGAGCATGTTAAGTAGGTTCCAAATTCTAAAAAATTGAAAACTGATTCCGACATGTAGGTTCCAGCTAGAATCTAAACTGATCGGGGAATCGTTCATCCCTATGGATAAGTGCATAGATTCCACGTTCACTCAAAAGAGCACTTTCCTTGCATTTGACGATAATTTGTTCTCAATCTATTCGTGCTATGATAGACATGTTATTTGCGAAGGATGGGATCATGAAGCCAAAATTGAATTTAATGATAAAAATAAAGTATTATTTTGTTTTGTGGAAAATAAATAATTTAAAAATAAAATTTCCTAAATTTTTTTTTATGTAAACATGGCTGCAGTTGAGCATTTCCTAATAATTTGCACAATGCGTTTGTCCCCAAATTGAGCATTTACATCATGTAAGCATGGGTGCAATTAGATACATTTTTATATATGGAATTACTAATAACTCTGCTTGATATATGGTGGATATAATAACACAAAATACTAGTGAAAACTCGCATGCACGAATAAAGGTGCAACACGCACGAATCTCAACTCAGAAAAAATTTCAAATCAATTTGTACTTTTGAAATTAGACAGCTGGTTTTCAGATTGAGTAAAACTAAAAAAGAAATATCTTTGAAATCCTTGTTGACCGTAATTAGTTGTAAGTACTAAGAAATACTTAGTGATTGAATTTACTTTTTATTTAATATAATCGTACGACGCGTGCATTTTGATTTTTTTAATTCTTTAACCTGAAATCTTCAAAATATGCAAATATAGACATGTGAATTCACATATAATTTTTTCGATTTTTAAAAAATTAATAAGAAGACGAGAAAAGCAACGAAAAAATTTACTTTCATCAATACATACAAGAAATGGGCAATGATGAATAGTAAATGGGCAAAAAATGTGAAATGTTTTTTACAATTACTGAAAAGTAAAATGTATTTTTCTGCCTTCTTGCCAAAATTTGAAACATTATTTAAGTTACCAAATATTATGAAATAATATATGCGAACCTATGTGTCCATCTATCTTTATATATTGTAAAACTTTTAGGTTCGTAAACAGTCAAAATGTGTGGGCAGCAAGATGTTGATTAAAATGAAAAGTGTAACAAAGAAAAATGAATTGAAACACGCCTTAAAACATTATGAACGACTTCCTCGAATTGTGATTCCAGCGGCTCCACGACTCTTCGTAAATAAACATCATGGCCTGTCGATATTACGCATAGTGCAAAAAAATCCAACCTATGGGCTCAGATCTTTGATTCCTGCGTGTCTAAAACCACTCCATAAACTATGTTACCAACAATGATTTGACATACTAACAATATTTTTTTTTTTTTAGGATTTCGCATGATGTTTTTTACATAGCTATGCAATTAAATAGACTACCCTAGCTTGACCCATCAGCCAAACAACCAAACTATCTGGTTAGGGTTTACTCTAGAACAGTTGACATTTGCATCATGGAACTTTTATGCAGCTTGTAACGAGTGATGGTTGGTAGCATAGTACGACCTGGTTAACGCAAGTTCTTTTATATTAAATGTGGGTTTTATGAACGTGGCATTTAACGTTAAAAAGAACTTCGTAAATAACACAAAAACATCAAAAGACGCTCGGGTTTAGCCAGCATGTTCCCACTGACGTAAGTTACGTGGAAGCTCACTCCTTGAGGTGACGTGACTAGCTACAGTCTCCATCGCCATGTGAGCAAAATGCGAAGATCAAGCTCTATATATACACCCAAGACGAAGTGGTCTCGAAGCTCAGACTCGATCCCTCGACACGTTCACTCGTTCTTGAGGTCCGACGGATGAAGAGGATGCAGGCAGGAGGTGAGCATTATCTTGGGGATGATGATAATGCACCTTGCAGTGCTCGGTACAAGGGCGTCCGACGCCGGAAATGGGGCAAGTGGGTGTCCGAGATCCGCGAGCCGGGCAAGAAGACGCGCATCTGGCTCGGGAGCTACGAGTCGCCGGAGATGGCCGCCGCGGCCTACGACGTGGCGGCGCTGCACCTGAGGGGGCCGGGGGCCGCCCTGAACTTCCCCGAGCTCGCCGAGGTTCTGCCGAAGCCAGCGAGCTCGAGCGCCGAGGCGGTGCAGCTGGCGGCCCAGGAGGCGGCATTGAGGTTCAGGAGGGCGGAAGGAGGGGCCGGGGGAGCCAGCGGCAGCGGCACGGGCAGTAGGAGCTCGGCGCCGGTGCGAGTGGGGCTGAGCCCGAGCCAAATCGAGGCCATCAACGAGGCGCCGCTGGATTCGCCGAAGATGTGGATGGAGATGGCCGCGGGCGCTGCCGGAGCCGACCCGACGGTGGTTTGGGAGCTCGGCGACATGGAGCTGGATGAGTGGGGAATGCTGCAACACTCCATCTGGGATTAGCAAATGGTAGAATCATAGAAGCCTTTAGCATTAGCAGCATCGAACTTCCCTTTTAAATTTTTTGTCGGTCCTTATTAATAATTTGACTCGGACAGTGAGAAGTCAACAGTCCCTGAACACGGCAGGTTGTCATTTTCAGCACGCCTGCCCCGATTTGTGTAGTTAAGAAACAAAAGTTAACGATTGCTGAACACCGTCGTTAGGGATTAACCCGTATTCCGATTATGCTGATCTTGATTTAATCTTCAGAGATACTGTCGTGTTGGGGTTAATTCGCATAGCATTCTTATATTGTGTTATGTGTCGGCTTTCTCAGTCTTCTACTTTCACTTGTTCTTGTAATTCTCGTGCAAAGTTGCTAATGACCTTATCAATCACCATTGTGGAATTTCAGAGCAAATTCGATCTATCATATCCTCGAAACATGGTGTTATATTGAAGTGATGCGGCAAAGCAAGGGAACAACTCTCAAAACTCCACTCATGTCTCATCGATGGAACCGACCCGTTCATTATATGTGCAAGCCAAGGCCGATTTCAACTATCACTTGATAAGATGGGTTAAGTTGATGTTGCCAATTATGTGATATGTTTATCGCCTAGATGCTAATTTGCAAGCTTGTTGTCGCATCCAGAGGCTGTTTAGATGGACTTCCATAGCTGCTTATTCATCTCCAAGGATGACTCTTTGGCTTCCAAGGAAGGTGCACGGATTTGGAAGAGTTAAAGATCAAATTTCCATGTGATTAAATGCATTTCCAGTTCCTATGGCTTTATTAGTTGGGTAATTCTCATGTTTTAGTGCTTAGTCTATTTCATATCTAATAGTTCCTTTATATAAATAGGCGAATTCTCATGTATAAGTCAACTTGAGCATTGATAATACATGAGATTTTCCTCTGTTGAGCGAATATTTTTCCCGGTTTCTTTATCTTTGGAAAGTGGATTATTCCTTGGTGGTGGACCAATAAGCCCATTATCCTTAGCTGGTGGTTTATCCTTTAGGCCCTGGTGGTGAGCTTCTCTTATCCCAAAATCCTTTATCCTTGACAAGTAACTTTGCCTTTAAGCTCTTGCGGAGAATTTCGTCTATACCGATCTTTATCCTTGACTGGTGATGCGTCCTTTAGGCCTTGGTGGTGATCGTATTCTATCCTGCATTTAAATTCAACCATCCACATTCATTCCCTTATACTCTGATTTATTCATACTTCTTTTGACATCACTCAAAACATCACGCACCCGCTCTTGTAACTGCATCATGACGAAATCATCAGATACGTATGTCTCGTCTTAAGTCGTTGGATAATCTCTTGTTGACTGGGAATGTATTGGAATTGGGACAAATTAGCACAGTTTAACATTCAAACTCGCCAATAGGCATGTGGCCCTAATGGTAAAGAGATTCGGGAGGTGGGGTTGGAGAGTATCAAGTCCGAGGTTCGATCCCTGTGAACAACGCATGCGCTTGTATATAGAAGAGATGAGTGAGACAAAGAAAAATCATTCAAACTCGCTTTGGCTTGACTATACCACGGTCAATACGTGTCTCGAGCTTGTCAAGCTTGATTTCTCACCCTTGAACTCTGCTTAATAAGTTCTCAATAAACTCAAGCCTGACTCAATTAATAAATAAACTTCAGTCTAAACTCGAACTAATCTTGAACTTTTAGCTCGAGTTGTTATAGTGTAATGTAATTAGAGATAATAACTATCATTCTACACCTGTAAATATAATATTCACCGCCAAAAGAGTTGTTCATGAGTTGCTCATCACACTCATCTTACATAATAGCAAGAGATTGAATATCCAAAACCGACGCAAGTGGAATTGGCAATAACCGCAGAGCAACGATGCTGATAAGAAAAGAAAAGTCTAGACTTACTATTGTATTACTAAATTGGCCAAATTGATTGAAAGAAAATTGTATTCATTTCCAAAAAGGATACATGAGAAGTACATAAACTTTCATGGCAAAAAATATCGAAGTAGAACAAAGCCTAGAATACTACAAAATAAAGCCAAATTCAGAAAGTAAGGAGAATCAACAGAGCACTAACAATATTAAGCACACACTCGTTTCATGGGAACGGATGTGTCAAGCAAAAAAAGAAATTGGCTAAAGTGAAAGGTTTATGATAGAATCAGTATTCGTAAAAAAAGGTTAATGACTTTTTTTTGGTAATTTTCCCGGGATAAAAGAAACCCTAGATCACCATCGTTCTAAAAGCAACAATAGTCGTTGGATGAGGACTAATTGTAGCCATTGGATTTTGGACCGGATTGGGAAGCTCATGTTCGGCCAGCCCAGCCCAGCCCAGCCCGTTACCTTGAAGACTGATATTGCGGGCCCATTAGCTCTTGACCAACAAACTGGATAAGCCCGATGGCCCACTTCTTAAGAAAGGGAGTTTTCATGTTCGTTACCTTGAAGGCTTTTACCTATTCTGTGCTAAATAAAAATTAAATTGCCTTTTCTGTTAAAATTTGAGAAACTACGTGTACATTCCAAAAAAATTGCGGAAAAGTCACATATTTCGAAGGCTTTTTTACTTGTCTTTTTTTTTTTTTGTGGAATGAAAATTGAACTACGAAAGCCACAAGGCCTTCACCAAATAAATAAGGGAAAATTTCAAATAATAATCTGAAGTGCGGTAATTTTCTCAAATAAAGATTTGAAGTGGACCTTATTTCAAATAAGAGTATGAAGTGGCCACGTTAATCTCAAAAAAAGGGCTTGACTTTACAATGGTCAAGGGCATTTTCTTCTTTTAATTTTTTTGATTTTTTTCTTTTCATAAGAAACAAATTCGAAAAAGGAAAAAAAAGCTAAAGTTAAAAAAAGAAAAAGAAAAAAACAAGTGGGAGGGGCCTCCCGTCCCATCGCTGGTAGGGTGGCGGCGATGGCCGGCGGGGTTGCCTGCGCCTCAGCAAGAGTCGTTGACTCTCGCCGACCAAAGCGAGCCTTCTTTTTCTTTAAAAGAAATCATTTTTAAATTTTTAATCTAACTTAATTAAAATTTATGTTAAAATTATTTTTTGTACAAAAATGTCCTTGACTGGCCGGAAAATTTTGTCGACCAGCGGGGTTAAGCCCTCATTATAAACCACTTCATGCCCTTATTTGAGAAAATGATGATATTTCATGTCCTTATTTGATACAAGGTTCATTTCAGGCCGTCATTTAGAATTTTCCCAATAAATAACAAATCGATTTTCCCAATAAATCGATTATTTCGAAAAGTCGAACCCCCTAAATAAGAAGCGAAGCTCTGACCAAAAAACGAAAAAGCAGAGAAATAAGCAGCGAAGCAAAGCGGACACGTGGCGATTAGGGGGCGCCGAGATGGTTAAGGGCGAAGTTCCAGTTCTGCCCCTGACGGACGTGCAAAATTTGACGTAGACCGCCGTTCAAGGAAGAGGGGCCGAGGAACAGGGGAAGAGGGCGGGGGACGCGCCACTCAGAACGCGCCACGTGTGAGCGGCCCGTGCGGGCCACAATTCTAGACCATTCCACCCCTCCTCCGCGCGATCGCTTCCTTCATTCAGAGCGAGCGTGCCCTAGAACAACAAACAACCACGAGAGCGAAAGAGCGAGAAAGCTAGAGAGAGAGAGAGAGAGCGACGATGGCGTCCTTCGCTGAAGCTCCACCAGGCGATGCCAAGGTCGGGGAGAAGATCTTCAAGACGAAGTGCGCCCAGTGCCACACCGTCGAGAAAGGCGCCGGCCACAAGCAAGGTCCGCTCGCTCCCGGGATCTTCGTTCGTCCATCCATCTCCTTTTCGCGTGTGTCTCCCCCGCGTCGAGCGGTTCTGGTTCCGTGCGATTCGTCTTGTTTTTTTTTTTCCCCGGCGGCGATCCGCGGTGCGGTTGTCCCGCGCGGAGGTTCCGTGCGCTGGCCCGGCGGGTAGATCTGAGCGATTCGACGGTGGTTGGTTAGATCCGTTTCCGTGGCTGCGTGCTTCGCGCGCGCGTGCCCCGCGCCTGTTTGAATTGACGTTCGAGGTGGAATGAATCGGGATTGACTGGGAAATGGAATTCGCGATTGGTTTTCTGGGATTGGGTTATGTGCTCGTGTCCTTGTCTACATAGGGTTTCAGCTTGGTTTTTCTTCTTTTCCTTCTTTTACTGTTTTTTAGGTTTAACCGCGAACGCTCTCGAGCTGGTGTCTTTGCGATGGCAGATCTATGTAGTAAAGAATTTCTTGTTGGTCTGAGACGACCAAAAGCCTTATTTTTTTGATGGGTTTCTGCACCTTTAGATGTCCTTTTATCTTGTGACGCGGGCGTTGTTGACTGAATGTCTGGACATTAGTCTTTGAGGTTAGGCTGATGCTGCGCGTGTGGAAAGTTGGGGTCTGTCGTTTCTCTTTTCGATTTCGTATGGAGCTTCGTTTTTCTTTCTATCTCAATTTATGTCATTCTGAAGCTTTGGTATTTGGAATTTCTTTATTATCATTCGTGATGTGCTTATACTTGTCTGGATTTTCAGGGCCCAATCTAAATGGACTGTTCGGTAGGCAGTCCGGCACGACTCCGGGATACTCTTATTCCACTGCGAATAAGAACATGGCTGTCAACTGGGAGGAGAAGACATTGTACGACTACTTACTAAACCCCAAGAAGGTACCGACGCACAAACTGATTGCTAGTTAGCCGTTGCCACTACACTCGTTTTGTAGTTTTGCATGTTTGATTAGTAAAAATTGATGCGTTTGTAGCTGTCATTACTAATGGTTTGTGCGGAACTTTTTCGTTTTGCGTGACAAATAGGATTTGACTTTCCTGTTGGGTACTTTCTCTCTGCATTCTCTGCGAATTTTTATACGATTCTAGGGAAGGGGAGCTGTGGACACAAATTGAGTGTAGATATTTGTCTTACAGATTACGAACTATTGTTGAGAATACAGCAGTGCTCTGAAGCATCTTAAATCGTTTGGTTGGTTTTAGAGTCAATAAGTCCAAAAGTTATATCTTTGCTCTGGAGAATGCCAGATTGGAGTTGAAACTTTTAGTTTGTCCTTGTGCACTTATCATTAAGATATAATATATTTTATAGGTTTCTTGATCATCACAAGTCTAAATTGGTTCCTATGAATTGATGAGGCTGCACCTTTCACTGTCCGAAAGAAGTTGCAAATGTTACACTCAGGATAGTCAGTAGACTCAGTACTGTGAAATGCAATGAGGAAGTTTTGACTTGTATCAGATGCTAGACCTGAGTGTGTCACTATATAAGGACTACACATGGATAGGCAGACATGTTAGGATGTTTGGATCTGTATTGACCGCCACTTTTCCCTTGTTTAAGTAACGCAATTTTGTTAACTACTTTGGGCTGGTGCCTATCTTATGTTACGACTATGAACCATAGGCTAGGGTAGAACCACGAGATTGTTTTACTTTTTATGCATTTGTGAACTATCAAAAGATACTCTATTTTTTCGGGTTAATATTTTCTGTTGGGAGTATGGTGCCATATCTCTTTGTATGCATCTGTGTTAGTCGCGTTCGTCTCCTTTCTATCTCTTTGTATATCTTCTCACTCCTATCTCATTCGTGTGTTTCTACAGTACATTCCCGGAACTAAGATGGTTTTCCCTGGACTGAAGAAGCCCCAGGAACGCGCTGACCTGATTGCGTTTTTGAAGCAGTCAACTGCGTCTTAAGCGACTCAATGGCATCCCCTGTTCCATTTGATTAAATATTGAGATTCCCGTTCAGCCACAGAGAGAATGAGGCGTTATTCTTTTCCCTAATAAAGTAGACACTATGTAGGTCTTTGCAAACTCTTGGCTTGGCGAGCATCGCCGAGGTGCATTTTGTTGTTTGCTGCGAACAGCCAATTGAACCATATACTCCTGAAAACCAGGAATTTTTCAAGGTTTTATTATAAAGATCTCTCGAATTTATGCTGCATTTCATATGGACAGTGGCTCGATTGGCCGGCACCTAGTTTGTGTACGGCCTCATATAAACATCAATTCGATTGAGATGCCTAGCGGATGCAATTTACAAGAAGTCGATAACCCCTGCAATCCCTTTTTGCGGCGGGGTTTTATCTGGCCGAAATGTTAATTGCTAGCCTGATTGCAAAGTGACTTGGCCTCTCAAGACGGTTACTTACTCCTCGGTTGCTCTACATGAGACGTGATGCTTTTGCATTTCTTTGGTTTTATCGCAGCGGAATTGACCACGAGCGCGGGCAAATCTATAGCAGTTCTGCTTGCGGTTTTTGCACCAGCATGCGTTGTTCTTTCCGTCTATAATTTCCTGTCCGCTATAAAGCCGATGACTGCTCCTGTCTCTCTCTTGCACACAAATATGTTAATGCTAATAAACGGCCTAATTAGATCCTGGCCAAAATTTTAGATCCGTTGTCTAGAGCGGTCAGCGCGAATGTGGCATATTCTTGGCAAAGATTGATTCGATTCTCTAGGAAAAAGGAAGATTTATATGTAGAATATTTTTTAGTGGACAAAGGAAAAGTGCAACCGTGCGAGAACACTGTAATATTCGACCTATTATATTGAATTAAAGGCAACTAGTTAGCTGAATTAAAGGCAACTAGTTAGCTTGAATGTGCTGGGCTGGTGCCTGATCTCACGTTTTATAACGTGAGATGGACCTCGTCAAGGCGGCGCATATGAGTGGAACAGGCAGAGCATACAGTTAAAGCAAGCGATGAGGTCAATGAAATCCCCGAACACAGACGCAGTTATTGAACTTCCCGACTAAATACCAAGAAAAGTAGATTATGCACGGGACATGAGCCAGAAACTGTAGCCTTCACTTACACAACTACGAGAACCAGGCATTGACACACTGGAAAAACTCCATGTTTGAATTATTTGAAGCATCTTCGAAAACAAACTCCCGGATGTGAACCATCACCGATGGAGATGATGAAATAACGAGACCAGTCCTAATTCTATGCAAGTTAACCTCCATATGAGCTGTCGTTCCCATTTCCACCAAAGAACAAAGCGAATAGGAATAAACTCAAGACGAAAAGTGATATCTTAGTTCTTTTGTACCCCGAGGTTATCACACCAAAGGCACTCTATTCTCAAGATTTCCATGATCGAATCCCTGGGATCTGCAGTAAGTAACAGAAAAATGTTAAGCAAATAACTTGTTGCAATTAATAACTTAAAGCACCAGAAATTCAAATGTGGTCATCCCAGGTCGGCTAAAAGCGGCGGTCAATGGTTGCTTGAACACGGGGGACGTCAAAGCAATTGGTCAATTTCACTTTCACTGCATCTCTCTTCGATAACCAAGTCAGATTCGACTTGATTTCAGAGAGATCTAGTTTGGGAAATCTGATTTTTGTCCCTTTTGTTTGACCTAAATAAGGGGTTTTTTAACCAGGTCAACTATCTGGTACGGGTTTTTCCCGACACCAAACTAAACAGGGTACTTCTACAGGTTTCCTGACCCTGAAAACTGAATCTTCTGACCCAACCAGAACCAAACTTACCAGTTCGAGTCACAGCTGGGTCAGATCAGATTTCTGGGCCATGCTAGTAAATTTGACATCATGAGTTACAACAGCATTCACAGCTGACTCCATTTGAGTATTCAATAGTTTCTTCTTTTCTTCAGAGTATTCAATAAATCAAACAAAGTCATCTACTTCATATTAGTTCCCAATTTTTGCACTATGCAAGTAAATTCATTAGTTTCTACGTCATTCAGGTAGTGCCTCCGTATAATTGGAGTAAAGAGATTGCAGTAACAATGCCTCAACTCTGAAAACTGAATGCAAAAAGCTAAGCGTTCTGCATAGTTATTTACCTGGACTCCATGAGGGCCTATTCTGTTGTGTGAGATAAAGTTAAGTATCAGACTAGCGAATTCATCAGGTACATCTTCCTGTATATGGTCCACAATGAAAGTTTTAATTTCAGAAAGACAAATCTAGACTAAAAGCAATTTAACATTGAGTAGTCATATATACCTGAATGGCATGGCCAGTATGCCTGACAACAACCATTTGAAACTTTCCTTGCATCTGACCTATTGTAAGAGATCTGTTATGACAACAACTAAAACATCATCAACATGTACCATAATGGGATTAAGCAGACTAAACAACTGCAATGAATTTGTCAGGTCTAAACAGAGATATATTCACCAAATCAGCTCTTTGAGGAAAAACCTACACAGTCCAATCATATAATGTAGTAGACTAAAATTCCTTTCACCAGAGTTCACTGCATATTTTGACATTTTTATCACAGCACAGTTATAGGAGTATATGGGCTATTGAAAGATATTAAATAAAGCTGCAAATGATGAAAGCAATATAAAGAAAAAATTGCCATGTTATTATTTATTAAGCTAACATTGTCACTTGCAAGAGTTATCTATTGAAAAAATATATCCTGTTTGGAGAAAGGACTTCACACTCTAAGAAGCCTTGAGATGATAAGATCACACACAAAGCTGCTTCCACGAGTCTCGGGAGCTGTGCCTATTATAATTTATCATCAATATTACACTTGCTTAACAGTAATAAGTACCATCTCATTTACATACTTTGTGTATACTTCACTGGTTATTCACTTAATATGGCTATCATAACTGGATAATAAATACAATTGCAAGTAAAACATCATGGAAATAGTGAACTTAGAAGCAATGACAACAAGAGCGTTTGTCCACTGAATACTGTTTAATAGAAGTAAAGAATACGGATATATAAGTTGTGATAGATATAAAATACTTTCATTAGAAATGTATTAAAACTAACCTATCCAGTCTATCGGTTCCCGCTAAAAGCAAGAGTTTTGGGACTGGGCATGATAAAAATGTTTCTGAAAGGCCTTCGTACCTGCAACGGAATTGACAGACTCACCAACAGAATTTACAAGAATGAACTTCGCTACAGGAGCAACACCAGCTGACCAAAATTGATAAGGTAAAGTAAAAAAGGAGTAACTACATGAGACAAAATTTGTCAAGGTTACAAAGTAGAAAAACAAAGAACTATATTTTAGGGCTAGCACATGTATTAAAATAGGGCTACCGATTCAAACTAGAAAATCAAAGCGTTTTTAAAAATCCACCTGGATAGAGATCACTAATATTGTGTTAATTCTGATTGAAAACTTATTGATAGAGTGCTAGAATCAGAAGAAGAATAAGAATAGTCTCATGTTCACAGGAAACATATGTTATTAACGAAAGATGTCACAATAGGCTACACTACCTACAGACTTCCATTTGACGACACCACAAGAACCACAAGTAATCAAAAGGATTAAAACAGTGCTACTTCCAACAAGAATTATGGAGAAAACGATACCAGCCTCTCCAATATTGTTCTGTTTCTTCGAGCCGTGTTCTGTAAACGTAACTGCATAAGAAAATCATAATATGATAATGCTTATTAGGCTAGGTACTGCATTAGATCTGAGCAGCGAAAAGTTAAATGGACCGAATGTAATAGAATATATAATTCCAGATGGTTACACAATACCATTTCTTTGAATCATCATACGTCAAAGTGGTGGGAACCGATACTCGAGCTGACTCGATGTTTCTTAAAGAGCCTCCTTTCAAACTCCATTCAACCTATTGAAAGAAAAGGAAAAAATGGCATAAATTATTCAAATGCCATTGTCGCAATTTGAATCTGAGATCGATCTCACAGTTCAAATATGTTGGAACGAGGCAGCTCATTCAGAAAATGTAGAGAAGGAGAAAGGTAAGATCGAGCTAAAATCGCATGTTGGGCTGTTGAAATTGTTGAAATCGTGATTTTGGAAGCGATTCTAACAATATCAAATTTGCGCCTTTTCTTAATTATTTACATGGGCTAGAGAGTCCAAGCCCCAAAAAGTAAAGAATGATCCTTCTAATAAATCTGTGCAACTCAAAATTAAAAGACTATCTCTCTTGCATTTTTTTTTCTTTTTAATCTGTTTCCTGATTAACTCTCTCTCTCACTCTCTCTGACATCATGTTTTCTTTTTGCTACGTGGTCTTCCTAATTATGCTGGTACGAGCTCAGAGGAAGAATACCCTTGTCGAAAAAAATTTTGTAAGCAAATGAAGGAAAACACCAAATTTAAGATAGAACGCGAGACTACCAACTGAACAAAATAATGTTGTCAAACCGCAGTTAACTAGATGGTAATCAATGTGGCTTTGTTTTATCTGCTAATTGAAGTAAAAGAAATCATGCTTTCAGTTTCCAATATATTACTTGAAAGTCTCAGCTCTGTTGATCCTAAACAAATGATCGTATTCCAAAACCTTTTGATTGTGCTCTTAAGTAGCATTTGAATATCTTGACTATGTAATTTCATATCTGTAGCTTAGTTTCTGCACAGCACGGGTTCTAATAGTGTGTCGTGGAAATCCTCACGATTTTTTCTAGCTTTATTTAAGTTTTCCATAGGATTAATTAAATAACGTATATTGTCAAATCTTAGGATTTTACGATTCGATCTTACAATACGATTTTATGACCCTCTCATCAATCTTAGATGAAAATGATTTTGGCGACCTTGAAATTACCGCTTTAAAACTATTTTATATCAATCATGTGCCACTCAAATATATCAGGAAAAGTACTTGCTCTTTTCCAGGTAGAGCATCTCGAGTACGTCTTAGCAGTTTTGAAATGGTATAAAGTATGCTGAGTAAACAAAATCAGAGGAGCATTACGGCACAGATATACTGCATAAAATGGGGATTGAGTTTAGAGAAGATCCTTGCTTATGGTATTTCTCCGCTAACGTTCACTGTCATATTTGTCGTTCTTGTTTCTCGTTCAACACATTTCAACGGTTTTATGTTGGTTCACGAACTTGAATAATACTAAAGTTTCCCTGATTAACAGATCCTGGATGTTATATGGTCCGAGAGATATCACATGAAACAACATTTTTGATAGTTAAACATGTCCATTTCCAACTTATGCAGCACCTGGATTTCCGATCTTTCCAAGAGATACGTCACTAGTTTAAGGCCGCAGCCGAAAGAAGTAGGAATATATCACAACTACATGGAAAAGAGTTTGAACCTCAGCTAAAGGAGCATCACCAAAGAGCAACAAGTAATTTTAGAGATGATAAATAAAAGGAAGTCCAAACATACCGCTTTGTCAATGCTAGAGAAATGCTGCATCCTGCTTGATAGGATTTTCTGCATGTGAATCAATGAAGCCATGGCTGTACCCTAAAACAACTCTTTGTCACTCAGCTGTCATTCGATAGGTAATTTAAAGAGTGGATATCTTATATTGTCCAGTTACAAACCACGCAAAGCAATGAATAGTATTGTACCTCCACCACATCCACAACAACCAGCCCAGCCAAGGTAGGAAGTGCTTTCTTTGCAGCAACATGAACAGCTACAGAGCCTCCCATACTGTTTAACATGCACAAATCAGCCCACTAAGGTAAAAATGGGAGAAAGTAGAATTCTGAAGGATGCAAAATTCGAATATTTCAAATGATGTGATCAAAACAAATAATTGAAGTTGACAAGTGAGGATCATAATGCTGATTTCGTGCAGAGTGGGCAATAGGGCCTCCTATAAAAAGGCAGATAACTAGCAAGATAGGACAAATCAACCACATGTTAATCAGCCTTGAAGTGTTTCAAGACATTGAACACTACTCATGAGCAGCAAACTTAGTATTAGGCTGAATTACGATGGTATAGAGAAATTGATGAGGGTTTGTAGGAAAGGTTTGATTGAAAATATTGGGATTGAGTAAGGAATTTTGGAAGGAAACGGTCACAAATCTTTAGGCATCATAACCAATGTTTTGTAGTGTCACTCCACAACGAGGGTACTTATGTATCACAATTATAAAAAAGAATTGCAATACCCAACTCAATAGTAAACAATTCTAAAAACTCAAACCTTATGAACAATAGCAATCCCTTTTGACCCGAAGAAGACTACACGCAATTCAGGATAAACCAAAGGGCCTTAGCCCAACAGCTACGGTTGGACTAGCAAAATGAACAACCCCACCCTACTCCAAGTCGAAAACAGAAAATTCTTGAATAGACATGTAATACCCTACTTCTAATAATGTAGGAAACATGGTATCTCCAAATAGGAAAAATAGACTTATTCAAATCCTAACATTATGCTAGCTCTAATCCCGGCTTAGCACGCCTTTTGTAGGTCCTCAATGGAGTTGCCTAAGTTTGTCATTAGAGAGTAAACTTCCTAATAGCACGGTATTATCCACCCAAAATTCTGAGTTCTGAGCTTAAAGGTCGATGTATATGAAAAAACAGAAAAGTAAAGAACAGTACTTTGACCCCTTAAGTTTGCTTCCATGAAGGTATTGTTAATGAAAAGTACGAAAATATACACTTAATCCTCCATTTCTGTACAAACCTCACCCCTGCTCAGACTCATCACCCCATTAACCAGTGTTTCAAGCACCATTGCACTACAACTCTTTACTCTAGGGCACAAATAAAGTCAAAAACTAGAGGCGGTCTTCATGACTCCCGTCTCTTTGTTCCCCACACATATTTCAAGAGATTCCATATGTACCCCCACCCAACCTACCAGTTCTCATACTTCATAAAAATAGCCAAACGATTTACAATCAGTAAAGTTTCACACTAACTAGTAACTGAGTCAAACACAACAGTGCCTACACGTTAGGGTGACGCACAAATACAGAAAGAACTGAGGAATGAAGGAAATCTATAATGCAGAAGGCACACAACATGTTGACAAGTACATTGCCCTTCCACCAATAAAATATCCATTTGGATCGTGATTTCTGAAGAGTCTGAAAAGGCTAAAGAAAGATATAAAACCTGTGGCCGACGAGCACAATTGCTGGTGGGGACTCTCCATACATTCTCTTTACAATAGCCAGAACATCATTGCATAAAGTCTGGAAAATCGAATGCATCAAATTCAAAAGAAAGATACACACAATAGTTCTACGAAGGGAACTTGGGATTTAACAAGCTAGTAGATGAACTGAAACCAGTCCTCATCCAAAACTCCAAGATACAAATTATACCTCAATCGAAAGGTCAAGTTCATTTTCTGCGCAGGACTTGCCATGTCCTCGCAGGTCCACTGCAACCACGCGGACTTTCTCCTTGATTATACTAGCCGACAATGCAAATGAAAGCCTAGACAAACCACGAAAACCAAAATCAACACGCAGCCCATATTAACAAAACGAACGAGGTACATAGGCTAAACATTCAATGCTGCGAACAAACGCCGAAAAATCAATAGAAGATGCGAAAAGGTCCGAGAAGCGACGAGAACAGGACCCGGTTCTATGCACATCGTCTCAAAAAATAAACAACTCCGCAAACATGGCTGTGATCCTCAGCAACAGAAGCAGGAGACGAGACGTGCATATGACTCGATCATGCAGAGAACGATCGCATCAATTAAAGGAAAAAGAAATCCATTACTGACTAAATTCAGAAGCAATCTCTAGGGGGAGCTTACCCAGAGTAGCCACCTCCATGAAGGCAAAGCACTACCGGTCCTTCTTCCCCGGCCACATAGACATGGAAGCTCTAAAAAAATCCCAGAGCGCGCGCAAACAAAACAAGAAGACGAATCGAATCAACAACACGACCGAAGAGCAAAAGAAGGAAGAGCTCGAATCCGATTGCTCACGTCGTTCGATTCCGGGATGACAACATCCTCCTCCCTGTCGAAATACTCGTTCCAATCGACCGGCGAGTACTTCTTCTGCGAGCTCCTGCAAAATCGAAATCCGTAAGCAAGGCCGAGACGATCGAAGCGCAGAGCGAGAGCGGAAGGAAGAGGAGGAGGAGGAGTCATCATCGGGAAGGAGCTCACTGCGAGGGAGGGCGGAGCGGTGGAGAAGCGAAGGCGGATTGCTGCTGGCTCTGAGGCTGGCCTTGCTCTTCCGATGCATCGTCCTCGGGAACGGCGCCGAGGCGCGACGGCTCCATTTTTTTTGCTGTTGTGTGTGTCTCTCTCTATCGATGGATGGATCGATGGACGAGGAAGAGAAGACGATCGACCTTAATAGATGCGCTGCGCTTCGAGCGGTGTCGTGGAAAAGCGCGCTGGTTCATGGGGGCCTCCTCTTCTAAGGGGAAGGTTTTAGTATACCTTGCGGTGACATTAGATCTCTCACCCCCTCGCGTCATCCAACTAGACAAAGACATTTAAGCTTAGCGTTTGATAGTCTAGATTTGAGTTCGGATAAGAGTATTGTATGCGGTATATTCGGTGACGTACTTTGAATCGGACAAAACCCGATATAGTGGGATAAAAATGCCAAATGAAAAAGTTGGGCTAAGGATGGGATAAACCCGAATTGAATAAGAAAATAACAATTTTCTTCCGATGATGTAGTGATGAAGTGACACATCCTACTTTACTGGCTACCGCGTAAGGATCACCTTCATGATAGTCGATCATTGTCACTTCCGAACACCATGCAATTGTCGTCGCCTTAGACCACTCGATCATCATCGCCGTCCGGCTGCTCGTGATTCGACGACTGAGGGACTAAATGTCTGGTTGATATGACGATTGATGATAACTCTGGGAAAGATAGATTTGATGTTTGGATAAGAAAGGAAGATTCTTCTAGTATTATGTTTTTAAAATTGAAAGTGTGTTCGACTTCGATGGAAGAATTTGTTTAGGCAGCAATGTTCTCATCGAGGAAGAGGACATATTCAGGAATAAAGTATACCAGCAAATGCAAGAATTATGATATTGTTCATTATAAGCTTCATTACTATATCGAGTTATCGTAAGATAAGTAAAACGTTACCGTGCTGATTTGAATTAGTTAGTGAAAGTTGAGGTAGATAGGTCACTAAATGACGAAGCTATGATACTATTTTAAGAGTGTTACATAAATTTAGTGATCAAGGGATTCGGTAATTTACATAAAATAGTGTCTTTCTCTTCTTATTTTCTAGCTATGAAAAACCAGTGCCCTCGGTGTAATTCTTGAAGACATCAATATTGTCTATCCAATCATATCATTTGATGTCATTTTTTCAATTCGAAAGAGCTGCTGGAATTGTCATTTGGATATACTACATATAGGACCGCGCTTTTTCCACACTCACTTTTACTAGTGCACTCCCTTTCATAATGTCTTGACCATTTTATCCTTCCACGTTTTTAGCATCTAAAAAAGTTCAAATGCCGTGCCCCTTCCTTTTATTTGGTTTCTTCCCTTGCGGTTCCCCATTCGTTCTTCTTCCTAGTTACTCCATTGTGTTCTCTCTGCGTGCATCCAGAGTGTTTTTCCTTGTCGGCTGGCAGTGATGAGAAACAAACGGAATGGATGCATCGAAAGCAATACATGATACTTCGGATATCCCATCATCCATTGCACCTAGTTTTAGTTTAAGTACAGCCCAAGAGATGACTGGCTAGGTGGCTTGGGTGTACGAGGGCCAAGGCAGACGCAGACCACCCCTTCTTTGTTTTCACCTCCATCTCTATCCGCCCCCAACATGACCCATGAATTGAAAAAAAACCAACAACAACAACAACAGAAGAAGAAATAGTCCGAGTCTGAATTGGATTAGTCTACTATAACTGCTTCATTGTCATGGTGAGGATTGTTGTGGAGAATGGTAACAGAGGTCCAAATCTGAGAGAGGGAGCTCAGCTCGGCACGTGAGGCATGAGGCTCCCCTGTCCATTGAGGGTGGCCCCCTGAAGCCACCGCAACGGCGAAAGCCTCTCCATACCCGGGCTTGAAGTCCATCTTCATCTCGAGCACCGCGAGCCGACCATTCACGGCGGTTGGCGAAGATTAGGGAGAGGGGCTCGCTGTGGGGGTCGGAGGTCGAGAAGGTGGAGGAGAGTGGTAGCGGTAGGTTAGAGCTGGAAGGAGAGTTCCTAAGAAGGAAGCTAGCAGATGACGATGGTGGTGTTGATTGATAGGAGGTGGTGATACTCTAGTTGGTTCGATGCAGTGGGATTGTCTTCTTTTTCTTGGTCGTGGTTGTTTACCATTGACATTAAAGAAGAAGAATGAGCGGGACTCACAAGCTAAGTAGCACCGATACATGACTCGCAACACGACACACCGGCACGTTATTTCTAAAAAAATAGAGAATTCCGATACGTTAAAACACGTTGTATATTTAATGTATATATTTATATAATTATCATTTTTATGATTATTTCGATCAAATTAATTTGATTCAAATCTACGAATAAATAAATAATAATAAAAGAGTGTTGGACGAGTGTCGGTGTCCGACACCGACACGGCGGCCCATGGAGGGTGTCCATGCTTCCTAGCTCACAAGGACAGAAATGGAAAAAAAACTAAAATTAAAAGGAGGGACACCACATTCGAATCTTCGGATGCTAAAAACGCCGTACCCGCCAAGAATAAAATGGTCAAAATACCGTAAAATGGAGCGTATTAATGAAATTGGGAGTGGAAAAAGCGCAAGGATTCCGCAAAAACGGAAATGAAAGGAAGCTCAAGACGGGGACGGGTGCAAAATACTCCTTTATTTGCCGAAATAGCGCGGTAAATTAATGATAAAGACCCATCTATTTTTCACAGGAATACAAATTTGGCTCTCTCCAGATCGAAAATGATAGTTTGTTTTAAACGAGATATCAGGAATTGGTTTTCAAGAGTAAGGGACTCCTGGCAAGCCAATAGTGCTAAAGTGACGGATTTATCCTCCTCACATTATCATGTGAATTTACCAACATTCATAATTAATCGTACGAGCGAATGGAAGAATTATGTATTATTATTCATTGACTTTATTACTATCTCGAACAACCGTAAGATGAGTGAAATGTTACCGTGTTTATTTGAACGTGTTAGCAAAAAGAGGGCAGAATTACAAAAAAGAAGAAGTCATAAACATATTACAATTGTGCCATTCAGTCATAAATATTTTGTATTTGTGCTAATTTAATCAATCCGGCCAATTTTTGTTAGCAATCACCGACATGGATGCAGCCGTCCTACGTAGCGCAGCTGGCGCTGACGTTGACTATTTTTTAAAATATTTATATATATTTTTGACTTTTTTTATTTATTATATTCTTTTTCTTTTTTTCTTTTTTTTTCTTCTTCCCCTAGCCGTCGCCATCATCTAGCCATGGTAAGACTCGCCTCGTCATCCTGGGTTATTGAAAAAAGTAGGAAAGTGAATATCTAGTATACTCTGAATTTTCTATTGCTTTAGGATTTTGTAATTGATTAACACATAATTCAAGAAAGGTTTCTTAGTCTTAGCTTCTTTTAATTGCAAGATAGTGAGACGTATTCGTTGACGTCGAATTTTAGTTGGTATCTGTTAATGTATATATTTTAGACATACAATGCGTGCTTTTGTTTTTAATCTTGCTCAACTAGATGGAGTTCGTATTGAAAGCAGCTAGACGGACGAAAATTATGTTTGTGACAAAACAAATCAATTGAGGAAATACAAGAGTTTGGCTTGCCCGGTTTCGAAATTTGTAGGGAAGAACTTTGGCCCAATATGCAATGTAGTCCTTGTACTTTTAATTTTTTATGTGTATATTTTTGTGCAATATGGTCCTTGAATTTGTTTAATGCAGTCTCTGAACTTTTGATACATATTCGATGAACATGTTCGATGTAGTCTCTGGATTATATGAAAATATTCAATGTAGCCACTGATATTGAATTAATGGAAGGACAACATTGAACATTTCAGGTACCACATTGAACATGCACAAAAAGTTTGGGGACGGTATTGAACAAATTAAAAGTTCAGGAATCACATTGCACATTGTGCTAAAGTTCATGGACCATATTGAACAAATTAAAAGCTTAGGAATCACGTTGCACATTAAATCAAAATTCAGAAATCATTTATATCATCATCTCAATTTTTTTTTAAGACTTTCATTTATTAAAAGCACCGGCTGACATTAACGATTGTATTAGCCGGGCCCCCTGCTTTTTTTTTTTTTTTTTTTTTCCCGACGCAATTGGACGGAAGAGTTATAAGCAACGGTAGAGTAGATTTGGGACTCTAAAAAGTTTGAGGTTTTCTCGAGACATAAAAAAAAGAGTTCAGTATAATCGAGAGAAATGAAAGTTTGCGCTTTTTTAAATTAGGCCCACAAAAATATTAGGATGGTCCCACCGCCCACCGAATCTTTTCCCAAAGCTGCACCTAAAAATGCGAACCGACATCGAATCTTGTTCTACCCAAAAGGCCAACGTATTTTGACCGTGGATGAACAAGATTAGACTAATAAATTTTCCAGTGATCTTACTTTTGGATGTTAATTAGTTAATTAATTACAATTTAAGACTAATCGGCGGGTAGCTACTAGCTGTCACGATTTGGTCAACGATCATAATTCGAATTTACTGCCAGAAAGCTACTTTCTCCCATCAAGAAAAAACAATTTGGAAAGAATCGAATCTGATCACACATGTTATCGAATAAAGTGTATTAATAAATGTGTTAATACTATGAAAAACTCTAAATTAGTATATTTATGATAAATTTACCCCAAACTAATTTTTTAACTATAAAAAATCCCAAATTGGTACACTTGTGATAAATTTACCCTCCATTGAATTGGATTAATATTACGGAAAAACATAAACTGATAAATTTGTGACAAACTGAGGGGTAAAACTCTAAACTGGTATACCCATCATCTGACACGTGTCAGCCAACTCAGAAATTTGACGGTAAAATTGACGAAAACTAATGGAGGATAAACTTGTCACATGTGTACCAATTTGGAGTTTTTTGTGGTTAAAAAATTAGTTTCGGGTAAATTTGTCATGTGTATTAATTTAGGATTTTTCGTTATATTAACGCTATTGATTAAATCGTGCCCATAGATCCCATCCACTCGAAGGACGAATCAAAAGATAATTGGCCAATTGAAGATTGAAAAACCAGAACACTAGAAATTAGGATTAAAAATGACAACTCACATTAATCATTCTTTATAAATAGATAGTTGAGCAAATAAGATCTAGGATTTACCCAATAGTTTCTCTAACATGACTACTCACATGCTCTGCTTCTTTCTTCTGTTTTTGTAGAATAATTTGGTGTCCAGTCGGAATTGACGTGGAATCTACCTTCTTCATCTAGAGATCCCTTATTTTTCTTCACGAGAGAGAGAGAAAATACGTAGAAAACTTACAGAGAGATCCCTCTATCATACCAGGGAGTTCCTTCCCCTGTCTCCCCTCAAACTTAACTACTCACATGCTCTGCTTTTTTCTTTTATTTTCATTAAATAACTTTGTGTCCGGGCTCTCATTCGAAAAACCATTAGTAACCGAGAATAAAGAGGTCCTTGTCATATCGTCAACTGTGATACACCACTTCAGAGGAAGAACTTTTGTAAAGGTGGCCAACCGAAAGTCTCGACATTGGCATCGGCATCGGCATGGGCGGACGACGAAATGCACTGACTCGAAAAGCGCGATTGGATCAAAGGTTCGTACTTCCTCCGAATTGGGAATTTTTGTGCGTATAGATGAAGCATAGGATACTCAGAAGGCCCCACCTCTCTGCCGAATAATTTCCTAAAAAATTCTACCCTAATGGTCCAAACAAGAACGAATCTTGATGATTTGATCCTGCTCATGCCCCTACTGCACAAGGCCAACATATTATAATCGGGGATGGGATGAGGATAGGCTCTAGGAAAGACACTTAATTAGATCTTAATTAGTCAATAATTCCAATTTCAAGACTAGTGGGGGTAGGTATCAAGAACTGTTCTGCCATAGGTCTAACTCCTAAGGACGAACCGAAATAAAAGAGACAGTCGAAGATGGAAACAGATAGATAGAAAATAGGATCAACAAATGATCATTTGTGTACAAGTTAAACTGCAAAAGTTTGATCATACTTTGGCTCCGTTCGTTTCGTGAAGAATGAATGGCTCAGAAAACATTTTCCTAAAAATGATCGTCTGTATCGCTTGAAATAGCTAACAATAAAAAAATATTTTCATTATCAATAACAATTTATGTCTAAATATTTTCGTGAACAATGAAAATATTTTTCATCTATTCAATTTTAGGAAAAAGTGCAAAAATCAGTCATTCACAACCACTGATGAAGGATTCCTTGAAAAGTTAAGGATCAGTAATCCTTTTTAGAAATCGAATGGATTTGGTCTTATACATACGCAAGGAAGATGATCAAAAAAGAAAGAAGATGAGATTCTTCTTTCTTTTATCACGTAGGAACCGCGCGAGATGAAAGTCTCATGCACAATTTTGAATGAGAGAAAGAAGTGAGCAATCCTCTTTTCGATTATGACGCTCCCGCTTCGGTCGTTGCTTTTCTTTCTGTTACTTTTTATACATGTCGAAACAATGGAAAAGAAAGAATATCTTTTGCGTACCCTCGGTTTGTCAACTTTCTTGGAAATGATATGAAGAAAAATTTCTTTGTTGACGAGAGAAAAACTACCCTATGATGAATTGTATGATCATTGAATTTATACCAATGAACAAAAAAAAGAACAGCTTGAGCAAAGAATTTAGAAATCTAGAAGTCCTAAAACTTGTCACAAAAGTATAATCTAATCATAAATTTAGGACTAGATTGTACTTTTGAAAAATTTTAGGATTCGATTGCATTTTTATGATAAATTTTATAATTTGATTATATTTTTTGAAAATTTTAGGATTTAATTATATCTGTGACAAGTTTTAAGATTTTTAATTTTTATAAGTGGTTATTTTTAAAAGTATACTGGTGTGCTCACACGGACCAGGTCAGCGGTGGTCACTGGTCCCTGATCGGAGAGCCTATAAATGGACAGCTCCCGGCTCCGACTGTGACTGCAGCTTCTTCTTCTTCTTCTTCTTGTTCCTGTATCTGCTGCTGCTGCAGAACGCAAGTCCTCTCGGGATTCGAGGTGAGCCTCCATTGTCCGTCCCTCGCGAATCTTCTCCCCCTTTTCCCGAACCCCCCTGCGATCGCGCACTGTTCATTCCAGAATTCTCGCGGTGTCTCGATCGATTCGCTCTGAACCGAGAGGCTCGCGAGCTGCTCCGTTCATGCCATCTGATGCTTCGATTGGTTGCGCTCCGCCTTCTCATTGCCGCGATCGGCGATCGATTTGAGCTTCTCGAGTTTCGGGCGCCCGATCAGGGTCGATGTTTCCCGTGATACGTGAGGATTTTCGTTATTAACTTGTCCGCGCAATGCTTGTAAGGACTGTTGGTGTTAAGAATGAGGTGATACTTGATATGTGTTCTGTCGTGAAGAGAGGAGTTCGGATTCGCGAAGGATTCGGAGTTGAGGGAGAGGATTTCTGGAGTGTCGGTGATGAAGCTTGTCCAGTAGTTATTATTAGGAAAAGAATGGAATACTGTTTGGTCTAGGCTTACCGTAGTAACGGGCCGGCTAATCACAATGCAGGAAAATTTGTGGGGTTCGAGATTATGATTCTTTTTACGGATGCGGAAAATCATCTTGATGCTGATAGGATTATACTTGAAATCGCTACTTCGTTTGTTTAGTACTTTGCATGAGCTTCGCTAAGGATGTCTGTTGACTTACGCAAGGTCGAGCAATATTTCAGTAAAATCCAGCTATAGCTAAGCTGGGTGGATTTAAGCCCGAGTTCTTATTTTTCGCCCATGATTTACTCGTGAAACGTGATCTTAATGCTTCCATTTAAGTTTGATCCATTTCTGGTACAGTGCCCTGCGGGGAACAGTCATTCCTCTTCTTTGCTCTCTTCATATGTCTCTTGGCTAAAGCTGAAGTGGAGAGATTTGTGCACACATTACTGCCTTTGCTGATTTGTTTCGAGAGCTCGTAAGTTGTTCTCCCCTCAAGTTCCGTTGACAGATGGAGAATGGTATAAAAGAGAATGGAGAGAAAGAAAGATTGGATGATACTTCTCGGCACAAGGTGTGGTCTTCATTTCATCAAGGCCCTTTTCTTTTGAATGAAGGCTATATTTTTGTTTCAAATTCTTTTCAGCTGTTGTGTTTTCTATGTATATGTCAAGATTATTAATATTCTTCACGTTCAGGTTCCATGTCGAGCTTGGTTACCGAAAAAAAAAAACGAAGAAGAAAAAACTAATGCTCGCTTGCCTTTCATAATCTCTTGGTCAACAGTCCTTGAAAATGACATGAATCAGGCATTGCAAACTAAATGTTAAAATAAATCTGAAATCTAAGTGGTCTTTTTAACTTAGCTTCCTGTTGGATACTGTTTTTGTACGTCTTTATTTCCCGCCGTTAGTTCCATCTGTTCTCACTTGTTTTAGGTTCAACCTGAGCAACCTGCTCCACTGACTTGGCACCGCAAGTTAAGTTTTGAAGGGAGAACGCCTTCGAAGTTTACTTTAACTCTTCAAGAAAAGCTGCATTTGGTATGTCAGCAATTTTAATATGTCTATGATTTCTCTCCGAAAGTGTTTAATAGATCGATCGTGCACTTAGTGGAACTGCAGCTAATGAGACTGTTTTTCCTTCTTCTTTTTTTTTTGGGTCGAAGACTGTTTTACCTTATGTGTGCCTTTTGTTGTAAAGTAAATGATTGCTATTCCTAGTACTCCGGTTGGTTATGGAACCTTTTACCTGCTTAAAAGATGACTTAGGTGGTCAAAATAGCCTCAACAGCAATACATTATCAGTAATTCATTGAAGTCAATTTTTTTTTAATGTGATAAAACAATATGCTACTATACCTTTCTATCCTTGGTGCCTCTTAACAGTGGACAACAACATATGCAAGAAACCAAATCCCACAAATTGCGTGCAAATTGCTCTTGGTTAGGGCAGTTTGCACAGGGAAAGGCTTGGACTTAACAGGTTCATGGGGCTTGCAGGGTGCTTCATGGGTCTCCACCTAGCCAAACCTCTGCGCGCTGTTTCCAAGGATTATAGATAAAACGAAAATTGTTGAAAATGCACTGGGAGTCTTATATTCTGATTTTTTAATCAATTATATTGACTATGGACATGGGGAATAAACATCTGACTTCTAAAGACTTGAATAGACTTGTTTGATATAATTCTTGTGCAAGAATTGTGACCACACGTGGGAAATTTGAAATGCTTTAAAATTTTGGTGTTTCTTATGTTTTGGTTCTGTCATTTTGGTGCAAAAAACATAAAATCTGGCCATAATTTCGTTTGACCTACCAAACTGTAACCGTAACCCATTTTTTCTGTCTTCTAGAAACATTTTATTTTGTTAAACTGTAAATAAGTCACGAGAGATTGTGGAAACAGAAAAATCCTAGTGCGCATAGAGTTATGATCTGCAGTTGCTTGCTCTCATGCATCTAAAGATGTCTTTATAGAACTGCTTTCACCAATTATGATGAAGCCAGCTGATCTTATTTGTTCCATAGACATGTTAGTCTTTGAGGAGAAGCCCCATAGGGGAAGTGAAATATGATCATTTAAAAGTGAAATAGGAAGGTGCATAGTCTTTGTAAAGGATAAACTGTGTTACTAAGTTGTTTGATTTTTTCATTTAGTTAAGAATAAAACATATTACTATTTTTACATCAAGATTTATTACACAATTAATTTCCTTCTGTCTTCATTTGGCCTTTGAAGGCTCCAATAGGTGTTCGGTTGTGGCATCATTCCAAAGAAGAAGCTGTTCATGGAAGAGTATTCCAACTACGAACTTCTCTTTCTATTTATTTGGCACTGTATTGGTTCTTATATCATCTTATTCCCTTATCTTGATTGTAGGATACAATATTCGATTTTACTAAAAAGCGCCACGTAACTGGTCACCAGGGTGTTCCTTTGGGTGGTATTGGGTAGGCAGTCTAATTTTACAAACCACCAGATGACATGTTTATCACATGCAAAAGTACAAATGTGTTCTTCACTTGCCATCTTTTTACGGAAGTGTTCGCACAACTTGATGACATGATACCTTCTTGCAAGACATTTAGTGCAGGAAGCATTGGGAGAAGCTACAAAGGCGAGTTTCAACGGTTTCAACTATTTCCAAAAGTATCTGAAGATGCACCAATTCTAGCAAATCAGTTCTCTGTAAGTTTCTATGTTTTTTTTTTTTTGGGTCAAAAGTTCTCTGTAAGTTCAAATGTTGGCAAAGTTCAAGTTACCTCTATGACGGTGACACTTGCATCTGTGTTTATGAAATTGTTAGCCATTGTAGGAAGCTATAAGATGCTTGTATTTCTTGAAAAAACAAAGTTATTTTGGTGAGATCCGGAGCAGTGAGCATGATAGCACAAGCTCAAAGTTTGCAAGAAACTCTAGCTCTTTGGCCATTCTGATAGCAAACCGATCCATCTTCTCAAAGATAAAAGACTACAGCATTTGGCAGTAGTAAGATGGCCAGTTGAATTTATTTATATGATCAGGTTGAGAAATAAGTTGCTTCCTTCTTTGAAGAATACTCGATTCTAAATTTGATAGCTTTCCTGCCTACTAAGATTGTTTTTATGCTTCACATTTTGCGAGACTATGAAGTCTTGTGGAATTTTATCAACTGGAAACCTGCTTTAACAATTTTTTGCTAATATAAAGGACATTATATGAAAACACCTTTGTTTATCTGCTGCACTTATGAATTCTTTAGAGGCGCTGATCACCCATTTCTACCGGGAATATCCTCTCTTATTCGAGACTTAGCAAAGATAACATTTTTGTCTTGCTACCATCCAAAATATGTTCATGGGCACGATCGAGTAGCACATTAACCCAATCAATTATTGTTTAAGTTTGCTAAATGTCTATCTATTTCCGTGAATATGGATTGCTTCCTCTAAAGTCTGCTGGAGCTAATTCTGTTCTGTAAGAATACACATGTTCGATCTCATCATGGGACCAATGCATTGATTATGCTATTTTGATCCAATCATGATGATTTTTCTAAGCACAACTTCAGTTCTCTTGACCCTTAGGCTTCTGTATTTGCATTCTTGTGAAAGTGTAACTGCCTCTATAATCATTTCAAACTGTTCAAGGCCTTCCATGCTTTGGGGTTATACAGGTTATGGTTTCACGTCCGAATGGTAAAAAGTTTTCAACAGTATTATGTCCAAAAACCAAGTAAGTTTTCTTGCTTTACATGTTCTTGCTTCTCCACCAGCATTTAGTGTTAATTTACAATTTTCTGTGGGAATAATAACTATATTGGACGTATGTTGTTATATAGAGAATCAACAGGTTCAGGGACTGAATTTTGGGATTGGAACTTGAATGGGGATAAGTGTACATACCATGCTTTGTATCCAAGGGCATGGACAATCTATGATGGTACTTCGAAGAATCCTCAATTGCTAATGCAGTTAAAGTTTTTTATGATTGCAGGTAATCTTAGTTTCTTTGTAAACCAGGTGCACCTGACCCAGATCTCAGAATCGTAACTCGTCAGTTATCGCCAATAATCCCCCACAATTACAAAGAGAGCAGTTTTCCAGTCTCTGTTTTTACCTTTACGGTAAAATGTCTAGAAGATCCTATTTAGTTTTCGCAACATTTTATCAACCATGCTTTATTGGCTGCTTTTGCCTCTTCAGGTTTCCAATCAAGGAAGAACTTCTGCTGATGTCTCCTTGCTCTTTACATGGGTGGTAGGATGTAAAGCTTTATTCTGTTTGCCGTATTAGGCTATACACTTTTTTAGATTCCGTATTTCGGTTGATGCAGTTTGAATATTCAGTCATCTCCATGGAAAGTCTTTAGTTAACTTGAATTGGAGACACAATTAAAGAGAAAATATTATGAATTATACACCCTTTTTTTGCGTAGTGCTCACTATTAGCCTTTCAGATACAGGAGGTATCTAAGTTGTTGAAGAATTACCAATAACTGACACGTCTGGTTGTTTTACACTGCAGAACTCCGTGGGAGGAGTATCAGGTTTTTCTGGCGGGCATTTCAACTCTAATATGGAGTAAGAAATGTTCATTTCTTCAATTTTTTCGTTACTTATATCATTTCAAATATATAGTAAAAAAAGTAGTTGGCTTACTTAAATAATAATTTTCTGTCTCCTTCCAGGACCAATGATGGTATTCATGGAATTCTCTTACATCACAGGTGAATTTTGACATTCAAATCTTAATTTAGTTGCCACTTCAATGCCACAATTTTCCCGTCTCATTTCTCGGTCATACTTATTCACTGTCCAGAACTGCAAACGGACATCCACCAGTAACTTTCGCTATTGCAGCTGAGGAATCTTCTGATGTACATATCTCAAAGTGTCCTTATTTCCTGATTTCCGGTACATCCCATGGTTTCACAGCAAAGGATATGTGGTATGAAATTAAAAAGGTTAGTCGTATAGTCCCTCTGAATCATTGGGCTTAGTGAAGCTTTATTATCTTGTTATATCGTCAACTTAACTAATGATCCTGAAACATATTAGATGCTGGCATGCAGATACGATTCATTGCCATCAAGAATTCTTTTTCTTTGTTTTGTTGGATGCTTGACTGTTACTGGAGCAGTACACGTTGATTTTTTAGGGTTTTCACAAAAAAAAGTACGTATGCAGCGTAAAAGAATTAGAAATGTAACTGTGTCATCTCAGCTGTCCCTTCTTACAGTTTCCTTTTTCCCACTAGACCACTTTTTAATATATGTGACTTTCTTAAGCATAAATGCATTTGGTTTTCAATCTTATTGTTTATGGGAAATTGAATCTCCATTGACTCTCTTCACCATCTCTAACAGTGGCCTTGAATTACTGTTTGAGTGTCAATCCAGGTAACTAATTACATGCTTCAGTCCTCTCTTTATAGTGTCATTTTTGACAAACTTCTTTTGGATAACTAGCAGTGCAATCAATATGCTGTAGGAAACACTCTGAACTAGAAGAATGCATGGGATGATAACATGTAACATATGTTTTTAACAATACAAAAGAAAAACAAAAAGGAAACATTTTGAGCTTTGGGGCTTTCTTTTGGTATTAAGAATTACACATAATTTGTCAAGACGGCATTTTGTCAACCTAATCTAATTAAATGCAGCCTGGGTTGGTCCTTAGAAGTGCATGTAGCTTGCTGTTTGCTCATAGGCAAAAGAATAATGGAGTCTTGAAGGGGCCACTCTGCGAACCCATTACCTTGTGTGTCGAAAGTTCGGTTCTGGCAAGCATTATTCTTCAGAAGCAACACTCTTTGTACTGTTGCTTGTAAAACGAAAAAGAAAGCCAATTTACTCTCCACGTTTATGTTAAAATCGTTTTTGAAAAGTAAATTCTCCTTGGTCTTGCTTTTATTATATTATTTACTGGATGAACTGAAAGATCTTCTATGCACTTGTAGTGCGTGTCAATGCCTTCTCAATGCAGGGTTCTGAGATTCTTATGTTTTTACTACTCTTGCATATGTAGAATGGGTCATTTGATCATATCGTCCGGAATGATAATCTTGTTCCATCAGAAGCGGGGTCGTCTATCGGTGCTGCCATAGCAGCCTCTGTAGTAGTTCCTCCAGGATCTGTTCGTACGGTTACATTTTCATTGGCATGGGATTGCCCGCAGGTGAGATTTGGTGACAATGTGTATTACAGGTGAGTATTACCACACTTATAAGTCATGTAATTCCAGTATTCCTATTTGTCTATTAAAACCAATCTGCAATAGTAGGCGCTATACAAAATTTTATGGGACTAATGGGGATGCAGCAGCAAAGATTGCACGTGATGCTATTCTAGGTAATGGTTTCACAGGGCCTGTTGTATCTACTATTAATGATTGTCCTGCAACTAACAAATGTAGCTTGTATCCGACCTTTTCTGCTACAGTCTGGTAATCGTCGGCTACCTAATAACTCTATGTTGCATGCATATGAAGACGGATTCAGTCTTGTATGGTTCAGATAACTAATTGGTGCATGAGTCAGGGAGATGTCTGCTGTATCTACCAAAATCATGGACATTCTGTCAATCAAGATATGAGTATCTGTCATAGTTGCCTATCTAAATGAGCAGGAAATTCGCATTGAAGTGTACATTGTATGGATGTTGAGTTTAGGTCTTCAAAAGGATAAAACCCAAGTTATTTGCTTCAGCCAATTGCTTCTCCAATGCCAGAGCAGCAGAACCTATGTACTGATGAGTGACGGGACGAAGAACATGGATTTATTATGGGGAGGGTTTCTTTCGTTGTAGCTCGTTTGCTTTGAGCTGGAACATATACATGCCTTTGTGAAAACAACCATTGTGTTGTTGTATTGTTTCCATATTCAAGTTGATCTATGGTTGAATTTTGGGAGGGTGGAGAGGACAAGCATAGCATAAGTATTAGTTTTTCCTCCATTAACGGAAAATAAAATCCTGTTGTCTCGGTCTACATGTTGTCTAGATTCAACATGCTAAGAATCACAACTGGAACTTTCAGGATTTCGATTATTCTCATGACAACAACATTAATAAATGAACTTGGCTGGGATCTTGAATCACATGATTTAGTGTACTTAACTTTCGATCTCCTTTTGACTAGAGCATACGCAGTGGGAGTCCCAGATAGACACTTGGCAAGGACCAATTCTTTGTGACAGAAGGCTCCCTTCATGGTGAATCCTTTGCAGATATTTTTATGAGATTACTTTTTATTGCTCCATTGCCTAATGACTTCGCATCTAATCAATGCTAAGAATATGTTTGGGTTGGAAACATTTCCCAGGTACCCAGTTACACTTTTCAATGAGCTCTACTATCTGAATTCAGGTGGAACCATTTGGACAGGTATGCACATTTTTTGTGGACTTCTGCTTATGATTATCTTTCCACTCCAATTATTAGAGGCTATTTTCTTTTTGTAGATGGTTCACCTCCTGTGCGGAACTTATTGAGCGGACATGTGAAATTTTCACTTGACCAGGCCAAGTTAGGTTTGAAAAATGTGGTGGACAATGACACGGCTGTTGAAATAATTGAGAGAATGGCATCGACCTTATCCCGAATCCATGGTTCCGTGACATCAAATACTGCTTTCGGGACCTGTTTGCTCCAGGACGGGGAAGAAAATATTGGACAGTTCCTTTACCTAGAAGGAAATGAATACCTCATGTGGAATACATATGATGTCCATTTCTATTCATCTTTTGCACTTATCATGCTATATCCAAAGCTTGAACTCAGCATCCAACGAGACTGTGCAGCAGCAGTGATGCTACATGATCCTCAAAAGAGGAAAATCATGAGTGATGGAAAGTGGGTTCCTCGCAAGGTTCTTGGAGCTGTTCCCCATGATATTGGACTAAACAATCCATGGTTTGAGGTTAATGCTTATAACCTGTTCAATACAGATAGATGGAAGGACTTAAACCCAAAATTTGTCCTTCAAGTTTACAGGGACTTTGTTGCAACTGGTGATATCAACTTTGCAAAAGCCGTTTGGCCTTCAGTTTATATTGCAATGGCCTACATGGATCAGTTTGACAAAGATGGGGATGGGATGATAGAAAATGAGGGCTTTCCTGATCAAACTTATGATGCATGGTCTGTTACTGGAGTAAGCGCGTACTGTGGTGGGCTCTGGGTGGCTGCCCTTCAGGCTGCTTCAGCCATGGCACGTGAAGTTGGTGATATTGCTTCTGGAAACTATTTTTGGGTTAAGTACCAAAAGGCAAAAGTGGTCTATGACAAGTTATGGAATGGTTGCTACTATAACTATGACATCAGTGGAAGTCGTGCAAGTGCATCAATTCATGCAGATCAACTAGCTGGACAGTGGTTAGTGGAATCATCTTTAGGCTACTTTTTTCCTCTAATGAATTGCCACAGTATTGATAACTGTCTCATCTTATATGACACATGCCATGGTCTATTGGTTCAGAATATTGCTGGAGGAGAAGAATTATGCATCGTTGCAAGATAAAAAAAAAACTGATAATGAGGTTAAAATAGAACAGAACTGAAATTGATCTTGTGCGAACTGAATATGCACCTTTGGCAAAATAATTTTTCTTGAGCTTGTAATGGCTAGGTTATTCTCTTGATTATGGAAGAATCGCATAAAGGAACTGAATGTTTGATGGAGTTACAGGATTGCCAGAGCATGCGGTCTTCTCCCAATTGCTGATAATGACAAAATCCGAAGTGCGCTTGAAAAAGTCTTTGAGTTTAATGTATCAAAGATGAAAGGAGGGACTCGTGGAGCAGTCAATGGAATGTTGCCTGATGGAAGAATTGATATGTCGGCGATGCAATCAAGGGAAGTATGGCCAGGAGTTACATATTCTTTGGCTGCTTCCATGATCCAAGAGGGAATGATGGACATGGCATTTCAGACTGCAGCTGGCATCTATGAAGCAGCTTGGTCGGAAAAAAGTCTTGGGTGAGCGAACTTCTTATGCATGCTTCGAATCAGCCACTGGATTCCCCATTGAATGTGATTACGCACGTGTAAATTCTTAAAATCTCTTGCGAACACCATTATCTATCTGCTAGCTAAGATGCTGATAAACAGTTAAGAAATTTGAAGCAAAAGGGCCTTTTTTTTATATTTTTTGCTGAGAGTGGGACAAGGAAGTCGTAAATGACATTGAAAATTGAACTTCTGCATGAGATTATTTAGGTCTCTGCCAATGCCTATGTTTTGCATGTGATTATCTTGGATCTGTAAGAATGCCTAGTATCCCTTCAAATGCGGATAAGTCTTAAATGACGGAGAATTTGATTTTGCCTTGTTGCAGTTTTGCTTTTCAGACTCCAGAAGCATGGAATGAAAATGATGAATTCAGATCACTTTGTTACATGAGGCCACTGGCTATTTGGGCAATGCAGTGGGCCTTGTCCAAACCCAAACTTTTTGGACAGGAAATCAAACGAGAAAGTGATGAATCGCCAGACTTCAGCCATCACGCCAGTTTTTCGAAAATCGCAAGTCTTCTGAAGTTGCAGGATGAGCCACCCAAGGGCATCTTTCAAATTCTTTATGAGTCCACTTGCAGGAGACTCGCATCCTGATTCTTGTTATTTACCTGCTATTGTGGTTGATTATGCAAAATAAGCAAATCCGAACAGCAGTGCGGTCATGTTGGCATCTTTCGTGGGAGACTCACTAACCAGCCTAAGCAGAAAATCTATCAGCTGCAATCTCGAAACCCGACATTGAAAATTGTCCAGTGTGATTTCCTTGAGGGATTAATCCATATAGTTTCAATGAAGCATTTCATTGTCCTGAACAAACATGCTTGGCAGCTTGGCCATTCATTATGATGTTCTATATGTATACTGCCTATGTTTGAGTGAAGCACATTGCTTTCATTTGTCCTTACTGAGACAGGCTTGGTTTGAATGGTTGATGTGCTTGAAACAAGGCTTAAAGCAATCCTCATACTCGGATTTTCCTCCAAACATGAGTTTGAATGGCTTGAATCTTTAACAGACCAAAGCTTTTCCTTCCTGGACTACGGTTGTCTCGCACTCGTGGGTTACGATGAACGAACGGCGACCTTCGAGTATGTGCAGCGTGAAGTACAGAGACGCTGTATCTGTTGTTGGAGCTTTCTGGCTTTGCAATGTCTTGTGTGAAGTGAAGGAGGGAGTGGGAGTGGGAGTGGGAGTGGGGTTTTATAGCATCAAACCGATGCAGACACGACGCGATTAAGGATGTGGAATCTCTGAAACTAAAGTGGGCAAATCTGCCCAATCCAATCCCGCTTGTGTAAACGCCATGTGCTTAAAAAATTAGGCACGGCCAACCCAGAAAGGGAGTGTGACGCGCAGAGGCAAATACTCGTCGGAACTGCTCGGCATCTGGTCGGGCGAGGTGGAGAAATTACTAAAAAAAATTTAAAAATATTCCACTTGTATCAATTTTCAATCCTAAACCTTTCAATTTGGTCAATTTAGTCATAAATCTTTTAATATTTTGCCAATTTAATCCTAAACTATCTGACGATTTGCCAATTTAATCAAACTGGCTAATTTTTGTTGTCAATTTAGTCAAACTGGCTAATTTTTGTTGGAAATCGCTGACGTAGCGATTCAGTCGCAACTGGTCAACCTAGGTGGCTCGACCGATGTAAACGTTAACGATTTTTGCAATTTTTCCTTTTATTTTTTATTTTTTTCTTTCCCTTTCTCTTTAATTGGTTTAAGACATTTTTAGTAATTTCTCCGAGTGAGACTTTTCGAGAAGCGCTTTGCTTTTTTGTGGTTTGCGAGCTTGCGGTGCTGTGTCGTTTTGTGTCGTTTTGGAGTTTTCTCATATAATCGAGTTGAGTCGCGTAGGAAATGGTCTGGATCTTGCTTTTGAAAGCGATTTTCTTCCCTTCCTATTCTTGGACCACAAAATCACCTCAATAAAAAAGTATTTTGTCCTTTCTTTTTCCCTGGAGGGTTTGTGTTAGTGACTTTTGGAACCCCACCACACGGGTCCTCAATCCTAACATAAGATCAATCACCTCGTTGAAAAAGAAATGCCTTGATTAACAAAGCTCTATACTTCAATCAGCCCATGAAGTAATTTGCCTGAATGTCTGAAAATTAATCGAGCGAAAATTCCAATGAAAAATATCGAAATTGGAATTCTATCTATGTCATATCGGGATACAATTTGGCCGCACACGCCCATTAGGTACTAGAAGGTCTGAATTTGTAATGAATATCTTGTCTGATCTTAGGTCACACGAGGGTCTGCATTTGTCCCCGACTTTATCACGATTCTTTTTTCTTCTTCTGTACAATGGCCATGTGGTGTTCGGATTACTTCTTGAGTGTTCCAACAAAACTTGAACCCAAGATCAGAAATAAAAGAGCAAACTCCGTACCCATCTAAGCCAATACGCCGTTAAACATCACATATCCTATTGCTTTGCACTTCAGCACATTGTGACTAACCTATCAACCGAGCCCGGTCATGAATAATTTACAAACTACTTCCCTAAGACAAATTACTCGAGAGCAGAGTTTGTTCTTCTAATGAGTAAACTTTACGAACTACATTGAATAATTTACAATTTTAACCATATTGAAATGCAAGTTCTATCGTTAATGCTCATAATCAATCAAGCGCTCAAAAAGTCCCGTATCCCCTTATTAGCGAAAGTCAAACTTTAAAAATTGAGATTGGGCCCAAAATGACCAAAAATTACAATTTCTATCAGAAATCGTTGTGAGTAAATTCTACGCTTCTTTTTACTTTGAAATGTCAATGCACAACACTGACCAGTAGAACTTGCAAATGACTTTAAATTACGCAAGAAACTATGAGCACGATGAGGAACTTCTTACAATTACTCTGATAATTTCTTCGAAAGCGAGGTCCATTGATTCTCAGCGTAGCAAAGGTTCCCTTGGTCGCGCTGTGTCTTCATACCGGACCATGACTCACTAAATCAATGGTGGTATATGAAGTAAGGGATTACTCTTTCTTCATCGAAGGCGAATGGTTAGGTAGGCCTGGGTTGTTGTCATCTCTCTCTCTCTCTCACATCACACATTAGAAGGAAAAGCTCAACACCCATGTGGAGAAAACAACGATGGAATCCAATGCTTCCTCCCCATATGCAGACGCACTGAAGAGCACTTTTATGGTCGTTCATCCGTGATATTTTCGAGTGATTTCGATTTCTTAGAAAGTTCTGTTTTCGATTTTGCGACTTCCCAGGTCCCACGTTAGATGGGGGAAAGCTTTTGAGGTGATTAACAAGTAATTAAGCCAACCCCAAAGGCCTTCATCTTGATTACTCCTTTTTAGGATATGGCCCACAAGGAACGCATCGTGTAATAGCAAGTTACATCGGAGTAGAACTCTTCCACTTGATGTGGAGTTCAAGAAAGGATCGGGCGTCAAACTAATCCGAAGAGGTTAAGGAGTATTTGTTGCAGTGAAAGGACTTGGATAAGGTACGACTCTCAACAAGCTTCTATAATCGCAAAGGGGACAAGAATGGATTGGATCACGCATTGAGTAGGGTAAGAGTTGTGGGAGGACATGACCAATTGATATTGACGAAGACACAAGAGATACAAGTGGGGAGTTTGTGACATCTCGAATATCGTGTTTAATGAGAGAAGGCTTGGGTTGTGATGCATAAATAAATGAGATCATCCCACAAAAGGCCACCATCTTGAGTACTCATTTTGGTGGTTTGACCTTCGTGGCCCTATTGGGTTGCAACGAAGAACTTACGCAATGCTAGAGATACCAATTTACTCATGTACTGAATTAATATATTAAGTGATGTGACACTCTGTAAGTGTTTATTTAAGTTAGTGAGTCCATTTCAGCAATTAATCGGAAGATGACCCGTTATTGAATGAAAAAGTCAATGAAACTCCTAATTTGTATCCCTAGTATCACTTGGAAAAAGTTAAATCTTAAAGCGCGCATGCTGTCCAGCCTTGTGGCAAAGCATGCACATGTACACGCATACACACCTTACATAAACTCGAATTACATGCATCGTGCAGCTGATTGGTATCAGTTCATTATGTACTCCATCAAGTAAACAAAGCACTTGAATATGTACACCATCAAGTAGACAAATTAATGTGGCATTAAGGAGTATAGATACTGCACGTATCTTGAATCCAAACAAACCTGTCACGATTGCAGCAAATGTAGTCTGTTCTTGTGGCAATGGCTTCTTCAGCTTGTGCTTTGAGCGACCAATGTGATTAGGGTTTTGGGGGGAATCTGGTATGAAAACAACATCGGAGCACCATTTTGGACGAGAACCGCGAAAAGATTAGATGGCCACCATTTATAGGGCAACACCAAGCCACATTTACGTATGGAGCAAGCAAGCGCATCGAGAGACTGATCGAAAAGCTTTTTTTTCTTTGGTACTTCCTTCACTCTCTCTCTAGTGCAAGCATACGTGGAGACCGCCCAACATGATATTCAAGACACTGTCAAAACCTCAGAATCATGCAACCTAATCTCTCCTTGTTTTCCTTTTCCCGCATGTTTCGTCAAATCAGATCAGATCAGATCATCATCTTCTCTCGTTCCCCATAAAATTGGGTGGCAGCATACGGTGGAATTGAACGCGTAATGGCTAGATGCTTGGGGAGGGCAGGATGGTCAGAAAATGATGATTATTATTGATATCATGGGCCTTCCATTGAAGAAGGCAATTAAGAGATGATCGAAATGTTTGCGGTAAATGGTGAGAATTCACACCTGTAAAGCTCTCCCATTTCGCTATAACTCGCAACGTCTCTCATGAGTTTTTGGCAAAGCATCATTACCTTCTCTCTCTCTCTCTCTCTCTCTCTCTCTCTCTCTCTCTCTCTCTCCCTGTCTCTCTAAGCGCCACAAAAAGAAAACAAAAAGAAAATGGACAAAGAAAGAAAGAGCCCATAAATAGAACGGAGAGAGAGAAGTAGGAGCAGTAGCTTGCTCACTTTGGTTTTCCTTCTCCATCTTTCCATCTCTCTCGCTCTCTCTCTCTCTTTGGGATTCGTGTGTTCTTCATTTTTTGCACCACCCGAGATTTTCCGAAAGCTGAAGTGGCCGGAGAGTGAAGCTTAAGAGAGAGAGAGCCATCACCCGAAGCCCGAAGGTCAGTCCTCGTTTTGATGGTCTTTTATAGGAAAGAAATTATGCGATGGTATTTTGACCAGAGATATCTATCTATCTTCACCGCCCATGTCGTTCTTTTTTCTTTTAATTCATTGAATTGCAGTTTTTGGTACTTCAGAGATCTTTATCTTAGATCTATGGCCATTGGCCTGCTGATGGAAGAGAATCTTCTCGCCATCATCTCCAAGATCTTCCCTATCTATCTGTCTCTCTCTCATCTTCATTTTGATCTATTAATAGCCTTAGTTTCTGAGATTACTCCGAGCCTTCATTCTATTTTTCATCTTCTTTGTTTCTTCTCAAGTGACAAAAAAGGAAAGTCATGGCCTTGAGCAATCCAACAAGCATTTTCTCTGAAACCCTCGTCCAAAAATCATACCATTTACCTAATTAAGGATTGTTTTCGTCATAAAATTTGTATCCATCCTCATCATAATTTCCTGATCTCGCCGAATTTCTGTGAGCTAATTCTAAAACAAAAGATTTGTACGAACATCTTTGTACTCTCCTGAAACCAAAAGCTAGAAGATGCATGCCACAGCAGACGAACTGGCAGTGAAGAGAGAGAGAGAGAGAGAGAGAGAGAGAGAGCGAGATTACATGAAATGGAGCAAGCATATGGAATGAGAAAATATTTGCTTTTTCACTCATTCTTCAAATGTTCCGACATAGGTTAGGGAAAAAAAATTGCTTTCCTCAAGATCTTGCACAAAGTTGTGTTACAACTCGTACGGCCTTTATGGGGTTCTCTATGAGTTGAACTTGAACACAGCAGGCGTCAACTTTTCAGTTTCCTCTCATCTTTCATGGGCCAAAAGAAAAACCTCAAGCGTGAGTCTTCCCGAGAAAAAAATCGTCTGATAAAAAAAGAAGAAAGGTCAAACCAAATGCCCGGTTGCTTAGATCTGTTAGTTTCTCGACACATGTTATAGATTTTCCTCTTCTACATGTATTTGCATAAGCATGTGCTCAGAAACTTAACCCTTTTCGCTGAAGCACTTATACATGATATAAACTCACTCCCGAACACTTAACCCTAAACCATACGCTAATACATGAGGCTGATTATCTGATGAGCTTGATCATCAGATCATGGGGAGAGGAAAGATCGAGATCAAGAGGATCGAGAACACCACGAACCGTCAGGTCACCTTCTGCAAGAGAAGGAACGGACTGATGAAGAAGACCTACGAGCTCTCCGTCCTCTGTGATGCCGAAGTCGCCCTCATCGTCTTCTCCAGTAGAGGACGCCTCTACGAGTACTCCAACAACAAGTAAGTTTGTAACTTTTATTTTTATTTTTTGGGTGTTATTATATATATATGCATTCATCTACATATATATATATATATATGTATGTATATATTCTTCAAGTTGGGTCTTTTTGCAGGTTCGTGAGGAGAAAAAGATGCATAGATTTGCATAAAATTTTGTGTTACTGTTGTGTATATATAGATAAATTAGTCACTAAAATATCTAATCTGATTCATTTTTATATTTCAAAGATTGTATTTACATATATATATATTTAATTATGGAGTAGAAGGAAAAAAAATGAATGAGTATGTCAGTCAAATTAATCGAGTTGACCATTAAAATGAAATATTGTTTATGTTGAGAATTAATTTGTTCCTAAGAGTTGCAAAGAACAAATTTTTTTTATAAGCTATGATGCATCCAAGAGGTTCAAATTGTGAACCATTGGGAAGATGCAACATTTAAAGTTAAACTCTAATAGTTGCAACTTTAAGATATTAACGTATTCATTTCTTTTTTTGGGTCCATAAATAGATTAAAAAAAAACCGTTTAAAATAATGACAAATTCATATACGCGACTTTCTTGTTTTTCTTCTCCATACAATATCTCTTTTGAACTTTTGGATTTGGGTTTATGGGTGAAGAGCACTTGAAGTTCATCATATGTTCTTTTGATAGGCATAACATCATGGAGTTGGTACTATATATGTATTGAATTTGTAGCCTCTTTTTTTTTTTTCTCTTCCACAACATCACGTGCATTTATTAAGTGACCGACTAATTAAAAAATTATTTTTTGGTGCATGAGTTGATTGATGGTTTAAGGTATAAGGTTGACTCTCTTCTTTAGCTTTCTTGATTTTGAACTTTAAATTTCTAACTTCTTGTCCTTCGACCGTTGACTGTTTCTATTTTCGGCAAGGTGGAATGAGCATGGAGTGCCAACGATTTCTCACATACCTCAGCATTATCTCATTATCATAACTTAATCTCATATTAACTGATTCTGAGGCCATAAAGACATGACACGATGGGAAAGAAAAGCAAGAGAATGATATAATGATTTGTACTTGTCTGCCATAAACTTCATCTTTCTCTACATTCAAAAATCTCATTATAATATGCACCTAAAACGGTCGACAATCTATTGGGCTAAACAGATAATATTTTTAGGTCATTACTTTTCGCGCATTATTAATGTCTATATATTTTCTATCATCTTTTGATGTTACAGTTGCATATAATTTATTTTGAGTTTGCTTAATGATGAAATAGTCAATGATATATAAGATTAGAGTTGTAGAAATACCACTTAGGAATAGAAGAATACCATTAAAAGGGCTGTATTTTCTTCATCAAACAACACAAACTATATAATGTTCTCCATCACCTATTGAGCCATGATGGATCTGCAAGTTCAATTTCACTTTGAACACATTACTGTTGCAAGTTCAATTTCACTTTGAACACATTACTGTTGCTGATATATATATCCTATGACTTCTGTTATTTCACTCTAGAGATAGGTCATTGATATTTTCTGTTCAGTCTTTAACGTTTCCTATGAACCAAAATCTCTCCTAGGTTCATATAGTTACACACTAATACATGTTATTGGACTCATGTCCTCAAGATATGGACGTCTTCTGTTTCTCACCTCTTTTCTTGGATTGTAATTTAACTGGTGCCTTCTTAAGAAAAATGATATGTTGGAAAGAAGGTGACAGTCTTTCTGAGCATTTTAGAAAGATTTGGGTTACCGCAGTGCAGTCCATTACCTAATGTTAAGTCTATATATGAGTGACTAATGATGTTTTGGTTGCCCGTTATGTGCTGCCCAATTATATGGGGCTTTACAGATCCTTCACTTTCAAATTGCCGTTTGTCCCGCAATTTCTTAAGGAAATAATCAATAGGACACAATTGTAAGTATTGTAATAAATTGGTAAGATGATTGCTTCTTGATGTTGATCATAGGAGGAAAAGTTTCAATCTAAATTATAGTTTCAGGTATATTTTTTTTTTTGGTAAGGTAGTTTCAGGTATATTGTGTTTTTCTAGGATTGAATTCCTAGTTGTGAGACCCACATGATCATTATGTCTATGATAATGCGTTGATTTACATAGGCCGAGTCGATGTAAGAAGGACAGTGTGAGGGTTTGACTTCTTCTTTTTTTTCTTTTTGTTTTCTAGGTCTTATTATTATGTTGCTTTGGCTTAAACGAAAGCAATCTATGTAGTGTTTTTGTTTCTTTTTTTATTTTGGAATCCCCATAGACTGACCCTTTTATCGTGGGACTCAGACTGACCCTTTTATCATGGGATTCAATGGCTCTGCCAGTCCATCATGGAAGTCCACTCGGTGTGGTATGATGGCCCGTCCATGTACGAACGAGAACAGGTGATTGCATGGAATGGGGTTCTGATCTTTTTGCCTCCTGCAAATTCCGATGCATGCAAAAACCTAGAAAGCAAAAAGGAAAAAGAAGAAAATCAAGTCTTTTGGTGGTCATATCATTTCCATTCTCATCTCTCAGAACAACACTATCTGCTCATTGTTCACTCACCGGAAGATTTTGCCCCTCCATTTTTCAGCTCTCGCCGCATTAGTTGTGTGAGTGAGCTCAATGTCATCGTACATGGGGACTCTGGGGGCATGTGTAATGTCCCTGATCGAGACCAAGAAGGAGGGTTTGCCCTTTTGATCATCTGATGTGTGCTTTGAGTCTCATAAACCCTTATACGTATGTTTCTTAATGTTATATGGGATACATGCCTGAGTAGGGCTGGGTACCGGGTAATAAATTAAATTATTTTTTTCAAGTATTAACAAACATTAAAATAATAATTAATGAAAACACACCTACAAATCAATGAAAAACACTCCTTCAATTACCCTAAAAGAGAACGTCTAATTACTTCGGCGTCTTTGATGCTGTGTCCCTCACCATGATTCAAATCATACAGTGTTGCCATTCTCCCTTTGTTCCTATTGGGCATGTTTCTTCGGAGTCAATTCTTGCAAAAACCAACACATGCCCTACAATGGGCATTTATGAATTTTTGCAGACAAGTTGGACCTATTGTCTTCCAAGATCCGTTAGTTAGCATTGAACGTGGGCTCCAGTGGTCAGCAAGTCATGAGCCATGGTAGAGAGAATCGAAAAATTGATGGCTCATCTCTTCCACCATTTCAGAATGTCGACATTGTTTTCGCCAACTCTATCAATGTATTTGGAGTAGTATGTTCCTGAGTACGTCTCCCAACTCATCGGTAGATGAAGACAAAGGCATAGTGGAAGGCCATAGCATGTTCTACTTCTTGTGAAGTAGAGAGCATACATGTTTCTGGGAATAGGTCGGTGAGGGTGTCATCTTTGTTCATGGAATGGAACTTGTCGTATTCAATTGACTGGCATATGCAACATAAGTATTTCGGAGCCAACTCATAACACCGTCAATATCTATTTCACTTGGACCTCCACACCCAATCCCAAATTTTCTTAGTATGGAGCAAGGAGAATTTTGAGCCCCTTCAACTTGAATCTTGGATCCACGACAAAGGATGTCATAAAAACAGACGAAATGTTCTTTTAATATTTGACATATGTTAGGCTTTCATGGCACTACTCCTTTGTTCAAGAAGGAATCACCCTCCTTGTTCGCCAATTGAACTGGCATCATGTATAGGAGCAGAATGGCCCGGCTACTTGACGGATAATTGCTAACACTCAAAGTATCCATCGCATCACTGAAAATCTGCAAGAAGTCCCTAAATACTTCAGCAACCCTCCAATCTTGTTGTGTAGAAGGCGGGAGACCGGCACTTTCGCTATGAGTGGTGGAGTAGGGCGTTAGAACACCCATCTCCTCGCATGTCTTCTTCAATGTCTACTACGTTTAATCCTACCTCGTTCTTATGTCCAAAGTGAGTTTTTTAACTTGTCTTCCCTGCGTCATATACCAGATCTCCAACTCTTAATGCCTCAATGGGGGTGGATCTAATGTATTGAACCCACCCATATAAGTTGGCCACAGGATCACAAAACTGGCAAAGGCTGCCTTGCACGCACAACTTAATGCAATGGCACATGCACCGCATATGGAAGAAAGTTCCATTGTAAATGGTATTTAGCGGTTGGATTCGAGGGCGGATGAAGGAGGTGTTCATTTCTAACCCCAATGCCTGAGTGTGAAGGAAAATTGATATTTCTATGAGTATTGTTTCAAGAAGTAACATATATTTACTTGGTTCATAACTTAATGCCCTTTTGTTGGTGAAAGAGATTGTATTGGATAAGTATGGTTCCTCGTATCATCAAGTGCAAACAGTGGAAGCCACTTGTACTTTCAGCTCTTGTATCTTATTTGGTCCATGAGATTAGTAATTTAAGTTTTGGATTTAGGGTTTTTGAGGGATGAGGGCTACAAGAGTTGTAGGGGTGTTTTGGGAAGAAAAACAATAATGGTATGTAAAAATCTAGCATATCAACAAATGGTAGGTATAATTTTGAATCTACTAAACTTATGGAGTAGAGTGGTGACTTTGAAAAGTAGAGGATGCAAAAGAGTATTAGGACAAATATGAAGGCTTATTTGAATTTTCCCATAAAGAAATCATGTTATTTCTCTAGTGCTATGTATTGGTGTTATGGTTTGAGTTTGGAAAGCATAAAGCAGACTTGATTTCTGTCACCGTGCTTGTGACTTCTTTCCATCTGTACTGATCTCTCTTAGCCTATCTTAATATCCTCCTTTCTTCTTGTTAATCCAACCAATGAAACCTCGATTGAGCTATTCCTAAACTTACGTGAAAGATTACTAATCCAATGATTAAGCCTCCTTCAAATTCTATCCAAGCTGGTGGGTTGGTGCCTGGTGGCATAATCTCTTTATCCATATCCAACTTGATATTATTTTTGAATTATTTTCGTGTGGATCATTGAAATGACTAATATGAATATCAGTAGAAGAGATGGACAGAAAGTTGGTTCCTGTAAGTTTGTTTGGACATCTATCACTATTCTGACCATTTACTTCTTCCATTTTTTTATGCATCTTATGAATGTTCGTGCATATTTCCATACATTAGCTTCGAGCGAAACCGAGGGTCTCCTCTCGTTTGCTCTCTTCCGTGAAAATCAATCCTCGAATGTCGAAAAGTGCCCTGAACAAGTCAAAGAGAATGACCGAGTCACGTCCTTTTCTTTCCTAAACTTTTCCCTACTTTCATGTTAAAACATAAATGCAGCAGAAAGTCTGTGAACGTTGTTTCGTGACAAGAGATCCTGTTTCATCTGAGGAGGTTTTGCGTCCCCAAAAAACTCACTAACATCATGTGTATCTACAGTTTAGCAAAAAATACATATATTAACAGTAGTTGAAGTGATATCCGTAGGGAACTTCTTCATGAGGTGATGAACAAACTATACTTTCACCAGTAAATTTTTTTTTTTTGAAGTTTCTCTTACTGCATATTCTTTTTGCACATATTGTTTCACAAAATTGAATCATAATTGATTAGTGTGGTCAGTCCGATATAAATGTGACCTATATCCATAAGGAAGAAGGGTAAAAAGTGTATAAGGTAATGATGCAAATAATATATTTGGAATGGAACCCAATAACCTTATCTACAAAAACCCTAGAAAACCACATAAAATACACCTAGAGGCCAAATCATAAAGTGCGCATGGATTCAAGTCAGGTCCAGTCTAGCTAGTCCCCTTACTAGGGACGAACTTGTCAAATGGTCACCGTCATGGACTCGACCCACGTCACATACACATTAAAATACTTATTCAGTATATATATTGAATAAGATTTATTCTATGAATGATCTGATTTTTTACGTGAACCGATCATAATATACAATTACTTTTTGAAAGAATTGCTTATTATGACATTATCAGTGATGACAATTTCTTTCTTTATGGTGCTAAGAAGACTAGAATCTTACAAGAAAGTTCTCAAAGGGGATATTTGAATGGTTAGTAAAACTGATCAAGATATTATGGTAGCTTTGTTCATTTCACAAATAGAAGTTTCATATTATTTAATATATAATATTTACTACAATAATTTTAGTACTTGCACTTTGCATTTTTCTTTCTTACACCAGAGCTGTTTCAACCAAAGTTCCAAGGGATTAATTGAACATGAATTTGCTCTTCAGTGCCTCCCTGTTCTGGCTAAGTTGATCGTGCTTCCTCGTACCCGCTAACAATTGCTGGTCTTGCCATCAATGTCACATCGTTAGAATGACCACCACCTTCGCTTGTATCGTGCTTTCCAGCTTCCATAGCTTTGTAACAAGTTTTTCCCACTTCCATCGGAATGTGTAAGAATTGTTTCAGACAATAGCTCACTATCTTATCAATGTCTCATCCTAGCAATATCACAAGGTCACATCCTAGAAAAGCTAAGGGTGGTTGTCATTGTCGCCTCATCACGAAATGTCACATTCTAGAAACCGGAGCCGAGCCGATACGATCATTAATGGGGAAGACTCTTTCTTCATACACTCTCATGTAGTTTTGAGATGGAAAACAAAATACTTTAGCAATCAAAAAAATGGATGACAATAGAGTCCAATCTAGTAGTCTAAATCTTTATAATGTATAAACCCACAAGTAAATGTTTTGTGTGCTTGGTTCGAGTTACCTCACTCGTGAATTTTTGTGAAGCCATCTTTAGGAGCATAGAATTGTGTGTCTATGATAATATACTAGTGTATGGAACGGGGGACTAGTGCACCTCGTAAGAATTAGTCAGGTGCTCAAAGAGTTCCGGACACTCCCATTAGTATAAAAAAAAAGATATTTTATGTTACATCTCTTTGTTGATTTAGTTGCGTTCTTTCCATTTATTTCAGTAAAGCAGCACTTGTATTTTCATCAGTTACAATATATGAATGTTGCTAAGATGCAAATTGGAATATGCATGGTCCTCTAACAAATGAATCATTCCCCTATTGAATCTTGTGCATTAAACTCTATTAAATTGTAGCTGCAGATATCTTCAAACCGGAGCTGACAATTCCTTCTAAGTTTAAGAAATTTCATGCTGAAGTGCAGTAGCGCTTTTGTGGTGAAAATATCAAATATTGACATACTTTTGGCTTATATGTGTAGCATAAGGTCCACTATAGAGAGGTACAAAAAGGCTAATTCAGATAGTTCAAACACAAGCTCTGTCATAGAGATCAATGCTCAGGTGGGTTACTTTCTATTGTCTTGTAAGTTACTCTTAGCATGTGTAATTAGTAGGGCATGGATCCTCCACATCAAGAAAGGTGAATTGCCACCATCAATCTCCTCTCTTGAAATGCATGATATATCAACCCACTTAAAAATCAAAGGTTGAGATTTACTTAGCAACCAAAAACCCTGACCATCTCTTTATCTTTGAGTGGGTTTGTGCGCCATCCAAGATGCTCTTCAAATGAAGCAGATTCTAGCCCTTGTAACTGTTGTTTCGCACAAAAAGAACATGTTATTACTAAGTATTCTCAGAAGATATTTCTGCAATTCTTTATGTTTGAACTTTAGCTGAGAATCCTAGCATTTCTACAAAGGCTAATGCTAGGTATACTAAGTTATATTGTAAATTGCACAATGAGCACCTTAACAAGGTGGAACATGCTCCACTCCAGTAAATATCCCCGCATCACTTCATATATATATTTGTATAATTTTCAAAATGCAGTCGTGGTATACCTAGAATTATTCTTGTAAAAATAGTCTCTTTTCTTACAGTGACGCGTGCATATGATTTTTTACTTGACAAAATATTTCCCTAATTGAAAAGTTTCGTCGCATGAGATCCTTTTATCTTAGAAAGATTAAAAGAATGAGCATTGTTAGATACACTGAAATTGATCCATAAAAACTTATATATGAAGTGATACGGTAGACTGTAGGCGTACATTTATACGAGTGGCCGGTTATATTTGATAGCCAATAAGATTCTAACAATTATGTAAATATGTAATAGCAGTGTATTTCTAAGGATTGCCTCTGAAGATGACATGTAGAACTGTAAATGGCTAGAAAAACCTTATTTTCATTGGAAGCACTGGCTTTCTTGCATTCTTCTTAAGAAAACACAGCCACATCATAGAGTGATCGATTTGGAAGGATTGTTCTTATTTGGCGCATTGTTGACTAACCATGGGATGATCATTCCATATTACGATATAAGCAACTAATATTGAAGATGATGACCTTACGTATTGGCCTTCATGTTTGTTGTTAATTATGCTCTTAATTGCTATCAACATTGTGAAAATTGTACTGCTTTCCTTAAATTTGGCAAACTGTTCCAATTGGTTATATTCTTTACTCAACTAACGTCAAGATAGATTTCACATTTTTCTCAAAGAAGGCTGGTAATTTCTCTTCATCATTTCTTTTATAAGGAAGCACTTATATCATTATTTTTCTGCACAATGATCTCATGAGTATAATATCATGCTTGTTGTAAGTTTTGTATTGTTCTTGAGAAAATATACATCTCATGCTTAGCAACTAATATTACTAAGAAATCCGATGAAGCCCATGCCATGAACTAGTTACTTAGGATAGCAATTTTGTAAATTGGTTTTTGTGTATTTAGCATTAATCTTAAGTAGAAGGGTTAGCCTCCTCCTTTCCACGAGTTAAATCCATAGTATAACAACCTGTGACATTTCACACTGAAGGATTTTTCCACTTTTGTTCTTGGTTTTTATTTGGATCGTACTGGCGGACATAATTAAACTGTCAATGTGTCAAGGTCATATTGTTTCTTGCCATTCTTTCATGTTCATGATATAGTAGTTAATGCTCTCTTTTCTTTTGATTTTGGCCTTTACGTTTCACTTGACATAGTATTACCAGCAAGAATCTGCAAAGTTGAGGCAGCAGATCCAAATGCTGCAAAACTCCAACAGGTAAACTTTCCTTGATCCATCTATATATCAGCCCGTGCGTTCAATACTGGCTAAGACTCAAGATTGTTATGTATTTAATCAATTTGGAGGAATGCCAATGACCACCTGATTCTTAATCCTTTATATACAAGACCTCTCAATTTATTAGTAAAATTGAGAGACATCTTTTCTAATTAGTAGATTGCTTTATTTGGTGCTCAGGACCTTCTAATGTTGTCATGCTTTCTAGGCACTTGATGGGTGATTCCTTAAGTTCACTCTCTGTTAAGGAGCTGAAGCAGCTGGAAAATAGGCTCGAACGTGGCATCTCGAGGATCAGGTCAAAGAAGGTACAAGTTTTAGTACCACGTGTTCTTAATTTATTGAAGATTCTGAATCTATGTAAGTCGCGTCATGTTTTATGAATAGATCGCGTGTGCACGTGCATAAAAGCTGCTTGTACTAATGCTCTCACTTAGAAACGCAAACTTTTGTCAGACTAGGCCGGTTCTTCAGCAGCGATACTTTTCATTTTGAATCGCTTCTTTCCAACTGGTATACATACATTTCAGACGGATTGTCATGTTCTATAGTCAGATTGTTTCAGACGACAAAGAGTATTCTTTTTCCCCTCTTGGCTATTATGTGTTACTAATAATAACTCCTCCCGACAGCATGAGATGTTGCTGACTGAGATCGAGTACCTGCAGAAAAGGGTAAGATCAGTTCTAATTCACCTTTTAGTTGGCCTTGTAATTTTTAGTATTAACCATACTACGTGCATGAAGTTTGGATATTCTTTCTTATCAGGAGATTGAGCTCGAAAATGAAAGCGTGTTCCTCCGCACGAAGGTACAAACGTTGTAGAGACTACATTTACTTGATATGCAATCAAGATTACAACCAGAAGCTATATACATTATCAGAATTTGTTATGTAAAAACTCGAAACATCAATGTGAAGACATACTTTAATGTAGCAACTCCAGTATCAGCCGTCGCGGCAAGGATCTTAAATTAATTTTCTCGATCCTCTTTAAAAACTATTTGATGTCCTTGCACATTGCTTATTTGGTTTCTTTCAGATTTCCGAGGTGGAAAGGATTCAACAAGGAAACATGGTTGCTGGCCCTCAGCTTAATGCAATGGAAGCATTGGCTTCTCGCAATTTCTTCCCTACTAACATGATCGAGGGCGGAACTGCCTACTCACACTCCAACAAGAAAGTTCTCCATCTCGGGTATACAATTTTACCACGTCGAAAGTTCATTGTGATTTCCTCATTTATACTTAGTTATGTGTCAAATAGGTATTCATGCCCTAATAAACATCCCAAGGATTCGAGTCATAGAGAGTTTGACCTAATGATCTCAATATTTGTTAGATTGGCTCCCTATTTTGTGTGTAAAATTCTTCTTCAATTTGTCTCTAATTATCGTCTCTGATTATCTAATGAACATCAAAATTTTTATGTTTTGTGGAAAATCGCTCTCTTATCCATTGAGCTCAGACTTTTTTTGTGCTCATTACAAAGCGACGGCAATCTATCATAGATGACTAATGTGCAATAGTGTATTTGTAACGTGTTTGTCTTATGGTAAAAGTTCTGATGCTGAATTGAGCTGCATTTCATTGAACAGAATTACTTGTTAATTGTGCAGGTGATTCACCAGGCTGGTTTGGGTTGAAGTACATCCTCTATTTCTCAAGAACAATAATTGTGGTTTACGAACTTACAGTAATTTATGTGTGCGTACTCATTTCTATTATGACCGTACTGAAGCAGCACTTTCGTATCTTTTCGTCCTCGGAACTATTGCAATGACTATGCTGTTGTGTGATCATGTCGTCATGCAGTTATCATTGAGGGGTATTTGGTGAAAAATATGCAGATCAGCCTGTACTTTTTGGGTGTGTTAAGGGGTGCTTGACAAGAAGCACCGTATGGTATAATCACATATGAGAGAGTATAGACATAAGACGATGTTACCTAATTTAAGTACGGCGTCCCAGCATAAATAAACATTTGAAGTATAATTTTGTCGGGTATCTTACTGAAAGTTGAGTGAGAGATCACAGCCTAGACGATCTGTTCATCGGCCAATAGACCACGAAATGAGGGTACCTAAACTAGTCATGATACGATGGCCGAGGACCGAAGTGTCGCGCCTAGCTTCGGGCACGTACATGTTCATCCCTATATACTAGTCATCATATTTATTGGAGCATCGAACTGTCAGAATTTACTTAAAATTTTGGTAGCGTTTTTTTATGGCCCAATCCTAAGTGGATCATCTTATATATCTGGTATGTCATAATGTTGAAATGACCCGTTTCGGAGATTGAATCTCACACGGTAGTACTGTATCTGATGAATATCATATGACTATGGAAGTTACATATGTGTCCCAGGTTTTAGGTTGTCCTAATCACCATCTAATCGTACAAAACACACTCGTATCAAGTATAATCGTCTGAAAACAACCGATTGTTTATTTCGCAATGGCTTGAACCAATCCGACGAAGAATTCCTTGCTTGATAGGGCTTGAGATTACAAATCTAAGATGAAATCTCAATGCATGGGATGTGGGGGCCCCACCTTTCTGTATAAATGGGCTATAAACAAAAAAATTGTTTCTCCATGATCACGTTGATCAAGGCATCATCATTTAAAGTGCATCGTAAGTAACCTAACAAGGATTGTGAGATAAATGACATTAAGAACATATATATATATATATATATATATATATATATATATATATATATATGTTTCTTTTCTTCCACGCTTTTGCTTGTTGAGGCCCTTTCATAAGAGAGATCTTTCACACACTCTACACGCCACTGCATAAACAATACCTCTTGACAAAGAAATATATACTTGCGATATTATCCATCAAATGAACTACACAACCAAAGCAAGACATGTTTAGAAAAACTGAGTTGCTTGATACCAATTGTAATAATGTCGGCATATAGATAAACATGACGTTTGAAGATATGTACCACAAGAACTTTCAAGTTACCATCGTGGATACCCAGCTAAAAGGAATGTACGAGATGACATCCAACCAATGTCTAGGCCCGAATGTTTTCACAGTTAGGTCATAGTATGGTACATCGACTTTCGGCTTGCTTACGGAGCTCCTGGGTCTCCCTCTGTGCTTTTTCTAGACTCTCCCTCAGAAGACGGATTTCATCATTTGACTTCATTTGAGCAAACTGCGCAAGCTCTTCTGCCCTCATTCGAGCAGCTTGCTCCTCAGCCAACTTTTGCTCCAGTCTAGTTGTTGTCTCTCTAAGCTTCGCTTCAACCTAGATAAAAGAATCATTCATAAGCTAAAAGATAAACCAACCCAAGTAAAAAGCTTCACTTTTAAGGAACAGAATATTATCAAGCACCCTCCACTATTTCAGATAGTAGTTATGGTTCTACCTTTCCTTAGCAACTGACTTTCAAGGTTGAAAACTTATCTATAGGTCCGACAATGAACTATGTGAAAAAGGAAGCACAGAGTTAGAAATCCTTCAGCATATAAATTTGGACTACTTCCATGAATATTAGAAATTCCAGAAGAGGACTAATGCAGAAGAACAGATAGGCACAAGCTATTATTCTGGGAAGCAACCCTTTCTAGTTTCTCCGCTGATAAAAAGTTCGACCATATAACTCTGAATCAATGAAAGCACCCGACCACAAGGACAGAGCAAAGGCTGATATAGAAGTGTAATGAAATTTATACCATCTCAGTGATTCGCTGCAGCTGCTCTTCATAAGATTTATGCATCTGCTCCTCCAACTTCATGAGCTCTCCTTTAGTGTATCCTTTCAAGGAACCAACAACTTCTTGCTGTTCATGGAGCTTCATTGCCCCTTTCTGTTGATAGACATATACATTACAGAATTGAGCCAAAAGTGACACTGGCACACATTATTTAATATGCTTTCAACAATCACAACCTACGGTTGTCAACTTACCTTCATTTCAACAAATAGATCATCTGTATAAGGTTTTCCATCATTCGACACCATGACCATGTTTACAAGGGATAACAGATGCTGAACCTGTTCAATCCTCTTGGTTTCATCCTTGGTCTTGTTGTCAAATAGTACCTTTCGATTCTCACAGAGAAGTAAAATGTCCTATAAAATAAGGATGGTGCATTAACATATGTTAGAGCAGAATTTAAGAGATGACACACTAAAGAGAGACAACGCTTCATGCACAGAGTTTAACATCCAATGCACGTTGCAAGAAAGATAGCATCACTAATCAATTTTTGAGTACACATGCATGTCCAACCATTCAATTCACAAGGAAATGATAAAGGCATGCTGACAGACACATCTGGCTGGTTCAATACTTTAACTTCCAAAATTACCAACGCTAACCAAATATTAAAAATAAGATGTTGTCTGACAAGGTGTGCAATATTAAGTATGGTCGAACACAATGTGGTTTATGGGGAACCCAAATCAGTGTTCTAGTATTCCATGATAACTTACCTCATCAAAAAGTTTAAGTATATAGTATTCTCAGTGACAATAAAATCTCAGGTCAAAAAGCACATCAATGCTGGTGTTAAGTGAAGATTAATTCTTGAACAAAGAGTTGTAGATAGGATCGTAGGAACTACTAGAAAAGAATATGCAGTTCATGAAGCATCCAATTTATAGTCAAGAGAGCTGTTTAATTGTTCTAATGTAGATTCTTCATTGGTAAACTCTTAATCCAATAGAACTCCCTCTTGGCCCGACAAATTTTCAAAAAGAAGAAGACAATAGTTTACTGCATTTCTCATATTGCTCAAGAAACAAGCAGTCACCATAATTACCCCCGAATGATCCATAAAAAATTGCGGAATTCATCTCAAACAGCAGAAACACGAGAAACCTCTATCTTTTATTGTGCTATAACCTAATCAAATGAATGACAAGAAAGAAACGTTTACTTTTATCATGCAATAACCTAAGAAAATGGAATACGAGAGAGAAACCTCTGCTTTTTTTAATCAGTAAGAAATCTCTACTTTTATAGTGCAATAAGAAGTAAAGCAGGCAGAAAATGAACCTTCAAAGGCTGTGGGCACTCACGACCCAAATAGTCCTCCAACGTCTCATCATTATCGTCAAGCTCATCTCCTCCAGTAAATACCACAATCATGTAGTTAATTATTTTACTGCCAAATAAAGTTCTCAAGCTACGGAGAGCAGCTTCTTCTTCCTCTGAAAACCGTGTTCTGACAGAGAACACTACAAGTACAGCATGAATTCCATCTTTCGCCATATCAATACATTTTACTATTTCTTTGCCAACAAAATCAATTCCAGCAGAGATATCAAATAGACCTGCCACAATATGCATTATCAGAGCCGCTATTTGCCAGATAAATGTCTGGACTAGCCAATAAGCAAAAGCTTCAACACACAATTTTTTTCTCTTGAATTGGCGTAATATAATTTCATGTACAAGATTGATCCCACAATCATACCTGGCGTATCTATCACATTCATAATTTGGCCATCCCGCAGGACAGTTCTCTGCAATTCACAGGTGCTTGTGACGCCAGAAGAGCTAGCCCTTGACTTAAAGGCCTTTCTTCCAAGAATGGTGTTCCCCGTAGCACTTTTGCCATTGCCAGTACGGCCAACAAGTACCAGTGTCTTAATCCCATTGCTTGGGGAAGTAAGCTCCCAGTCATCATCGATTGCACTTCCCCCCATCATGTACCCTGCATGTATACACTCACAATGATGTTTAAAAAAATATATATAATTATCACAGCCATCTGTTGCTATATCACGACTGCACTTCGACACGACTTCAAAGAGTTATGTCAAAGCTTGATTCTATATTCTAGCAAATCATTTTCCGTTTATTTCGTTTCCTCCCCTGCTTCCGTTTCTCTTTCCATTACCAAATTGAGACATCCATAGAGTCTCATCAGTTGACAGTTATCAACATACAAAGGTAATCAGGAAACTTATGCTTCCCAATTTCACTCTGACTGATATCATGCCCTGGTGTTTGTGAAAATTCCCCAGAGACTTGTTCTCAAATTTGAGACCCATTCAATTTTTCTTTGAAATTTCCTGATAGTCCCTGGGTCCAGCACCGGCCCCCGCGGACAACTAAACGAGTCAAATGCAAGAATTCTCACACTCGCTCCCCGCAGTCAATATTACGATCAAAACTGAGCGCATCGGAAACAAAGCAGAACAGCCGACAAACAAGGCACTCGCCACACGAAGAACTAGATATCATCACGATCGTCGAGTTTGACAACAACCCACATCCTCAAACGGTGGATAATGATCAAACAAACACACAATCGATGAGCCGGAGCAAAAAGGAGCGATTTTGATCATCGGGATCGACTTACAAAAATCAAGAACAGACCAAGAGGCACGGAACCTTCAAACCCCGCGGCGAAAACGGAGAAGGGTCGCGAGATCAACTTACTGGGAACCCAACAACAGAAGAACGCGCAAGAGGGACGAGCTCCAAGTCCGGGGAGATCAGGAAGACAGGAATATAGCGCCGGGACAACCAAGAAAGAGATGGCTTTTCTTCACCGCCTCGGGCTTCGGGGAAGAAACCCTCCTATAGATTGGATCATATGAGGGGCAAGTATCTGGTGCATTCATCCGCAGCGGACGATGATGATCAAGAAGAAGAAAGTCGTCAGCTACTGGGTCCTACCTCGGACTCGATCCACCTTATCTTCGTCGAAACAGGGGCAAACGATAAACCCCGCCTAAAAAAAAATTTGAGGACAACGACATGAATAGTTTTTAAACTTTAATTTAATATGTAATTTAATTTTTAAATTTTTAATTTGTTCAAATAGTACATGAACTTTAAGCTAATGTTTAATGTGATCCATGAACTTTTAATTTGTTCAATGTCATTCCTTAACTTTTGGTACACGTTCAATTCAGTCCCTAAACCATATGAAAATGTTCAATGTAGTCCCTGAACTTGAATTAATGGAAATGATTGCATTGAACATTTTCATTTAGTTCATGGACTGAATTCAACGTGTACCAAAAGTTCAAGGATGACATTGAACAAATTAACAGTTCAGGAACCACATTGCACATTGGATTAAAGTTCAGGGACTACATTGAACAAATTAAAAGTTCAAGAATCAAATTGCACATTGGGTCAAAATTCAGAGACTATTTGTGTCATTTTCCCAAGAAAAAATGAATCAAATTCAATTTGACGTTTATTTTGGACATTATATAATACACTTCTCACGATATGTTATTTAAAATTTTAAAAACGAAAATTTTTATTTAAATCCAAAAATTTCTGCTTAAAAAAATAATATAGGATTGTGCATATCGATATTTGAATAAATTTTTTTGTCACTATATTTGAATACTTTGAAAGACGTGTTTATTTAGCAAAAATTGCAAAGGTTACCGGAAAGAAATGCTCGAAAGTGGCCTTCTCGTATTTGAATTGCCGGTTGAGTTCAATGGGACCAAAAAAAAAGTTTATTGGCTTGAATTTGTTTGGTTTAAGCCAAACATTCCAAAGCATGCATTCATTGTTTGATTAGTTATTTCGAATATATGTAAGATAAATTTACTCATTTGTCAATTAATATAATATATTTAAAATAAATTAAATGAACATATTTACGAAAATATCCCCATACTATGAAAATTTGAGGTCCTCTTTGCTTTATATCATATTGTTGGTGAGCGATAAACTTATACGTGATTATCCAAAAAAAAGAGTTAAGAATATGAGTTATATTCAAAATTTAAAACTAATAAGCATCTTAAACGATGGTTGTGGAAAATAGGAAACTTAATTTGGCTTGAGATTATGCCGAAACAATGAATAAAGGAAGGTTAAGGCCTAGTTATTCCATTCTAGGTCTTTTTTAAGTAGGCAAAATGACACTAAGGGCCCGTTTAGCAAGTTGCCAAACAGTGAAAATTTATGTTCTTTTTTTCTCAGAATCAGTTTTGGAACAAAAATCCGTTTGTTAAATTTTTTGTTCTCGAGCACAAATTTGCAAAAAATTGTTTCTGGAATCAGTTTTGGAACAGAATCAAGAAGCAAAAAAAAGCATATTCTTGATTTTGGGAACAATTTTTCCATTTCTGATTTTTCTTGGTTTTCTTCTTCCTTCTTGGTTTGTTCTTCTTCTTTTTCCTAGCCTACCTCGGCCGGCCGCTAACCACCGGTGACCGGCCAAGGCCGGCGAGGGCGATTCACGGCCGCGACGGCGAGGCCGACCTCGTCGTCGCGACCCAGACGGCGGCGAGGGCCGCGATGCCCTCACCAGCCCTAGCCTGTGGCCGATTGCCGGCACCGGCGACCGGCCATGGCCAAGGAAGGGAAGGGAAGGGAAAGAAAGAAAAAAAAATGAAAAAAAAGAAAAAAAAAAGAAAGAAATATTAAAAAATTCAAAATATTATTAATAAAAAGAAATTTTGTGCAGTTACCGAACGTATTTTTATTCCTTTTCTATTTTAAGAATAGAAATTTTAGGCAGTTACCAAACGCCTTCAAATGCTTAGAAATTGTTCCTGGGCACGGAATAAAAAAAATCATTTCTGAACAGAATCAGTTCCCAGATACAGAATCGTTATCATGTGCACCCTATTAGTTCATAAACTTTGACCCAATATATAATGTCATTCTTGAACTTCTGATTTGTTCAATACAGTCATTGAACTATTTATAAATTTTCAATCTTGTCCTTAAACTTTCAATTTGTTGTATGCCATCCTTCAACTCTCTATAGACAAGTCCAATTAGTCCTTCAAAACCATTCACAAATTTTCATAATTACAATTACCCATATTCTTTTTGTTATTTCAATCCATTTCATAAGTCAACCAACAAAAAAGATTATCCCTTTTTATTACCTTTTACTTTTTTGTCTTACTAAATATTGCGATAGTTTTATTTAAGTATATTTTAGCTTATGATTTTTATATAGAAAAATTATAACCTCATTTAGAGTTGTATTAGGTTAATATTCCTGCTATTTCAATTTTCCAATTTATAGATTTAACTAAAATTAATTAAAAATGACACGCGTAATCTTGAATATTTTATTTATCTATAAGATTAGGAACAAGATTTTGATTAACATAAGTGCAATCCTCTATAGATAAATTAATATCGTTTTTAGATATCCTTATGCAAACGCTTATTTTTAAAATATGAGGAATATCAACCCGACATAACTCTAGATAAGGATCTATTTTACTATTATAGAGATTTATAAGCTAAAATATACGTAAATGGAACTATTGTAATATTTATAAAGGCTAAGACAAAAGGCAATGAAGAAATAGCATAATCTTTTGTGATTTGTGAAATGGATTGAAATGAAAAAAATATTCTAAAATACGAGCAAATTATGAAAAGTTATGACAAAGGATTGATTTGACTTCGTGAAAGGCTAGATTGAATAAGTTGAATGTCGAGGGACTGGATTGAACATTTAGGAATAGTTTAGAGACCAAATTGAACGAAATAAAAGTTTAAGTACGGTACTGCACATTAGGCCAAAATTTAAGGACTATTTGCGCAATTCAGTGGTAAAATTTCTCACGCACTTAAATTATAAGTCAATTTGGTAACCTAATTATCAACAAAATCTTCCTCCCTCTCATTTTTTATTCTCTTTCATGCCCACATGAAATAATTTACATTATGTGTAGAAGATAAGAACTCATTAGAATTTCATCAGTGGAGAGGTCCATCTCCTTGCACTGGTCCTAGTAAACATTTATGTATTGATTTTAAAAAATAATAAAAAGAGAGAGAGAAAGGTGACTACAACTAATAGTCTAATGTCCCAACTAATAGTCTATTAGCTTCTAAGTTAATAAATGAATATTGACCTTCCGGATAATATGATAAGGTCAATCATTATTGAATGTTATAATCGATTTTATTTATCAAGTCGATGCTCCTTATAATTCTTATAGTCCCTTTTGATTTCGACTTCAATAGGACTAGAATTTCATATTCTCAAAATACCTAAATATCCTTTCGATCTCTAAAATGCGACTTGGACCTATCCTTAGGATAAGGGGCAACCATAGAAACAACAATGCGTCTTTCAACATTATGATCCATCAAAACCACATCGTCCTCACAAGTTAGAACAGGGGGGATCAATTGAGATAGATACATGTTTTTCGGGTCGAATTCGGAAATATTCTAAAAGTTTGTGGTGATTTTCCAATTCAAACTTGATTTCTGGGATTTGATGGAGTAGGGTGCTAAATAGTTACCCTGGACCATCCTGTTTTTTGACCCTCCAAGTTGCAAGGATGCCCATTGCACACAGAATACAATCAATGTTATCTCCTCCTCTGTTTTGTGTTACTCTGAAAATTTCCAGAGGCGAATGGCGCACGGCAGTCGGATTTCGTGCTACAATTCACCCGATTTTCTTGATCATAAGGACGCGTCGCCTTTTCCCGATCCAAGAGACCCACACGGGATCACCTGTCACGACTCTATACCCCGCGTTTGCATACAATGTGCGAGCGCCAGAGTCGTCCTCATGGGCTCGGAGCACCAGATACAGGTAGCCCCATCCCATGCAGAGCTCATCACAGGCTTTGAGCAGTGCGGTCGCCACTTTCCGCCTCCTGTTTAGGAATTAGAATCGCGATACGTTCAGCTTGTCACGATGGAACACCTGCTGTGAAAAGGTAAGATAGATGTTGACCTGAAGCTCTCGGACACTGCAATGCCGGACACATAGAGGTACTCTTCAGCTCCCGGTAAGTACTGAAGCACGGCCTCCTCACTCAACACCGTGACGTCGACCACTCCGACCACTCCATCTTCGTGCTCAGGAACACTCGCCGTGGGCTCAGCCACTAAGCAGGCATACCTGTTTTGATCGATGTCAGTTTTGCTTTTATTTTTTGCTGACATTATTGTTGACGAATTAGGATAAACTGCGATTGCACTGCAGTTGATATAATTTCTTGCCTGTCTGAAGGCGAGTTTCGGAGTTTGTAAAGGAGCCCGGCGAGCACTTCTGCCTACGATAAGGTGTGTTAAAGCAGGACATGTTAGAGTCTTAACACTTAACCGCGATGAGATCACGTGATTACTTCGATACCGTAGTTCGCTAATCTGAGGCGAAAAATACTCCGGCGAGCGAAATGGATCGGACTCTAAACATTATCGGACCACTTGATATACAGTCGATCTAAGAATAAAATTCTTCGTCAAGAAGTTCTGGTTTGGTTCCTAAGCACAAAATTCAAGTGCATTCATGGCTTTATGGGGCGTCCGAAAGAGATGCGAACCTGGAAAAACTGGAAGAAGAGATCGTTGAAGAGAGCCACCGGTTCATGGAAGGCTTCGGCTTGGATTCGAGCCACCGCCCTCATCTCGACTCCGTCTTCGATCAACCTCCTCGCTCCCCATCCGTGCGCCTTCACAAGATACTCGAACCGTCCACCGCCGCCGTCGTCTCTCCGCTCTGTCCTCAACCCCGTAATTCCTCCAAATTCCGCTTCCTCCGGCGACGACAACGCGCACCGTAATGCGGGAACTCCGCCTCTCCCCTCGCGCCGCCATCTTTCTCTCTCCCGGAGCTCTCTGCAGCGAACGATTTGACAGACAAGATCGTCGCCGGCGCTTTGTTTAAGGCTGGCGTCGCGGAACAGGCCTCGCGCGAAGCAGCCGCTCGAAATGAGGTGACAGCTGGGAGCTATCATATGAACCATGCTACGTTAGAGCACGACCGGGGGGCGATCAAATGGCTTCTTCTGCGTGCTTGGGCGTGCGCGTGTGCGCAGTTGCACGTTCTTTATCCATTGAAGCTCTTGCTCGAGCACGTAAAGACCATCAGTTTTCTGATCACAGAAATCTGTGGAGAGGCCATGCGCGGACGGCCTCAAGGAGTGGTCCGTCGTCACCATTATCTATGTTTCCCACGAGCCAGAAGGAAAGCGCCACGTGGATGTAAGGAGAGCCTAACGATTGTTTCTCAAATATTTTTTCGAAAACTATCATGCGGGCCCTAGGGGTGTCAAAAGAACCCGCTGAAACATCACCCAACTTGACCCAACCCGATTCAAACATGAAATTTTTGTATTGGATCGGATTGGACCTTAACTTGTTTAGGTAATAGTAAAAACAAGGCTTTAGCTTATTTTGGATCTACCCGAGCCTGCCCGAAACAAGCCCACCAGAAACAAACAAGGACCATATGATCTTCTTGCTCCCAAGCCCCACCCGAAGCCCTATCGTCTTCTTCCAGAGCTCCGCTTTCTCTCTCTAGCGGATCCCGTCTCCTCCCCAGTACTTTGACTTGCGCCACCTCCCTCGATCCACCGTCATCGTCATCCCCCCCAGGCATCGAGCTCGAACCAAGTCAGTCCCCGCAAACCCTAACTCCATCCCGATTTCGTGAATGAAAGCGGGTCCATCGTGCGTCGCCAACCGCTACGTCAGGTAGCGGATTCTGAATTGTGGGTCTTTCGAAGTTTCGCTTTTCCGATAGCAAATTGTGGGTTTATCGCTGATGGGTGCGGGTTTGCTGTTCGATGTGAAGCGAATTCCGTGGTGGGTTTCGCGTGCTTGTTTGTATTTGGGGGGGAGAGGGTGGTGAAGTTTTCGTTTTGCGTTGGCTGCATTGTTTTCGAGGACTGGGGGGAGAAGTGGACTGATGGAGCTGCTAGTGAAGATGGTTGTAGTGATTCTCACGTGGGTTTCGCGGCGTTTTGCTTGCAGGGCCGGTTGTGGTTCTGGATTAGGGTTCGCGGGCTGGTTCGCGAGTTCGGTCGGAGGAGGAAGAAGGGTCGCTATGCGAAGTGAGCGTAGAAATCTGAAATTGGAAGGATAGGCTGTATAGCATTGGTTGACTGCGCTTCGAGGTTTGTAGAGTTGAATGGCTAATGACCGTTTGTGATGCCGATGTCTAGTTGGGTGTCTTGGGTGTCTGAATTCGATTATTTTGCAATTTGGATCACTGAATTTCTTTGCAATTGATGCACTCTGTCCATTTTCCAACCAAATGTCCAGCAAAAAACTAACGTGGCCTATTATGTGGCAATTTTTACCATGGTCAAAGTGCATCAGCTCAACCAATTTTTTTTATTCTTATTGCAAATTTACTTTTTCATATTCAGATTAGGCATTTAGCAATTGTTGTCTTCTTCATTTCTTACTTGCAGTAAGTGCTGTTAGAGGAAGCTTTCTGCGAACAATGATCACAGTAAAGCTTTTACGTTGTCCTTTTTAAGGGCTAATCACGAGTATTCTGGTGAAGGATCAGCATGTGAAACTATTGCTGAGGGGGCGAAAAGGGAGCAACTGCTGGAAATTGTTCATTTAGACAGACTTTTTCATGGGCAACTCTGGATGAGCAGCTGACTAACTCATCGATGAACAAAATTTGTTTATACTTCATTGAAACTGGGGGTCTACCAGTCTTTGTTGGAGAGTTCTACAAAAGAATGAACATGACCTAGAGCTTGCTTTTATGGAATTAGTGCTCTTGTTTGTCGCAGTCAACATTAGTGCTTTTATGTTGAGGCATTTGCTATCTAGAATATTATAGGCTTGGGCATTCTCCACAGCTTACTAGACTCTGTCCTTCATAGTCCATGAATGAGGTCCAGTTGGTTCCTTTTTCATTACATCCTTCAACAGCTTTACTTACAATATAATCCAACACTTAGTTTGTGCAGATTTTCTATTGTACTTTGCTCTGTATTGCTTGAACAGTTGATTGGGTGCCACCATTCACATCCATTTCCAGATAATTAATGTTAAAAACAGTTGGCTATTGCTTGCCTAATGAGCATCACATTGTAATTGTAACTTGTTTATGCTACTGTAATCTTTCTAGATCAAACCTGCTCTTCTGTATCGGCTTCTGGCACTTTGAGTGCATCATAATATTTTCTGCTTCAAGGTATCTGCACAAGCACTAACGAAGCTATGGGACAGCATGAAGATTTTGAGCAAAACAAGGTGCTAATAAAGTTATTGAGAAAATGAATCGACCGCAAGAAATGATTAGTAAACCTCTAAACACGAATCTGACCCGAACCGAACCGACCCGACCCATTGACACCCCTAGCGGGCCCAGAAGAACGTGCGAGCCCATCGCATCTCAATTATTGAATATTGTGGGTCTCATGTGATCTGACGATGGAGATGAATCGAGCTGAGATGAACTGAGTGTATGAAATTCGCGTACTCATAATTTTGCCTAGGAGCATTGGCACCACTCGAGAAAGGTTATGTGGTGATCAATGGTGATGACTCGGCTAAGTGATCAAGCCCTTAATTTGCACGGGTTAGATGATGTATTTGTATCATGACTCTTACTCGGAAGGGAAAAAAAAAATCTTGGATGCCACCTGTGGATGGAGCCTTAATTGATTCACATAAGCGGATAACTTGCGTATATCAATGGAGATTAATCGACCCGCTATTACTTAGAATAATAAGAACATTTCGGACGACGTGTAAAAGGACAATGTACGTATGCATTGCAATTTCCTAATCACTCGTAATTCCATGGGCAAGTGAGGATCCAAACACGAAACTTCATACGATAAAAGACCATGGGCATAAGTATCACATGGACAAACATCATTTGAAAGCACGGCAGAGCCTACATGATTGACGATTATTACCAACTCGATTCGATTACGGATAACGACTATGTAAATATTCGTTTTTCTCGAAGTTAATAAATAATGAAGCGGAAGATAGGGTGGAGGAATTTGTGTATATTTCGATATATGATGATGATGCCTATTTATATGCTTCACGATACAATTATCTAAGGTAACATGTATCAATCGAGATACGCACAATTAAGGGAGATATAAGTGCAATCTTGAAAGATATAGATAATTAACAGTAACATCATAATTGTTTCTAGGGTTATTATCACGAAAAACTCCAAACCGGTACACATATGATAAATTTACTCCCAACTAATTTTTTGAGAATCAAAAACCCCAAACTGATATACCTGTGACAAATTTACTCTACGTTAGTTTCCGTTAAATTATATTGTCGAATTGTTTAGTTAAATGACGCATGACAATTATGAATGTACAAGTTTGAAGTTTTACCCTCCGTTTGGCCCAGGTGTACTAGTTTGTGATTTTTTTTTTCGCATTAATTCAATTTAATGGAGCATAAATCCGTCACAGGTCCAGTTTGGGATTTTTGACGGTCAAAAAATTAATTTATGATAAATTTATCACAAATATATTAATTTAGAATTTTTCGTAATATTAATTCTTATTTTTTATATAAGATATCGTCCTCTAGAAAAAATCTTAAGAATCTCTATTATCGCTGTAAGCTCGGATATTCCATCATGAGCTGGACCGTCGGGATCGAAGACGAAACGGGCGCGCCTCCTCAGTCGAGCACCTTTTTCAGCCGCGTGTGCGTGTGTTTTTCTTTTTGTGGGTAAAGTTGGAAGAGTCAAAAGAAGGAACAGGAAATCGGTACGGCGCGCAGGGTGGGGCAAAAGACAAGAACCTCGAAAGCAACCGGTGGGGCGGGTGGAGGGGGCAGTTTGCATGCCCCCCCCCCTGACAGCCAAGAAAACATTAAATGACCTCAACTGCCGGTTCACACATAAGTGGGACCCACGCCTGCGACCTTCGTCGCTCGCAAGTGGTGTGGGTAATTTAACCGAATTCATAGATCGCACAAAGTAAAAAAAGGGGGAAATCCCGCGTTAAATAGACTCCCTAATTTCGAATCGATAGATCGCGTGCGATTCCCACGCCCGTCCATCCATCCATCCTCTTCTTCTTCTCCTTCTCCCGGCCCTCCGCCAACGAGGGCCTTGATTTTCCGTGACAGCGACCTCGACCGACGCTTCGTTTCCAGCCTTATATTAGCTCCCCCCGACGTTTAATTATATATTCTCGAAACTCGACGAAATGGACTTGTGACCCTATTGAATTAGGAGACGAACTTTGATCTCTAGATCCGCTACAAGCCCCAAAAATAAAAATAAAAATCAGGCATGAGCGTGGTTCCAGAATAGCCTGATTCCAGAACGTGTAGAGTCGTTCTGGGTTTTAAATATTGGAGAACTGGTTCTGATAAGTAGGTTCCGGACATGTGTTTTTCTTGTTCCGTGTCTTCAGATAACCCTGCGGTATTTCATGACGTCTGATGATGAGTGTGTAATTTTCGATGATATCCATATATTCTTCGTGTGTCTAAATATGGATTGTGATGAGTGAATTGTGGTAGCAAATGATGGTCATTAAAGGTTAGGGGTGAGCGGTTCCCGGTCCGGTCCGGTTCCAAGGTGGAACCGGGAACCGGACCGAGAGAACCGGTTCTCAAATTTTGGGAACGGGACGGGACCGGTTGGTTCTAGGACCGAACGGACCGGGACTGGCCGGTCCGGTCCGGCTCCTCCGGTCCAATGGAAGTTACTTAGAGTTTAGGATTTTTTTTTTTGGTCAAACACTTAAGGTTTAGTTCACATTTTACTAATTTTTGTCAATAAATTTATGTCAATGAAGTTCACTTAGGGTTTAATTCACATTTTACTATTTTTTATCAATGAATTTATGATAATGAAGTTCACTTAGAGTTTAGTTCACATTTTATTATTTTTTTAAAGAAAAAAATAACAAAAATATATATTAAATAAGTCGGTCGTCCGTTCCCTTGAACCGGAATCGGATCGCCCGAAACCGGTTTCGAGAACGGAACCTGACCGATAGTCCCGAGAACCGACTAAACTCGCTGGTCCGGTCCGGCCCGTTTTGCCGGTCCAAGTTAGCTCTACCCCTATTAAAGGTGATGTCCATATATATACACCTGCAACCGTTCAATTAAGAATACAAGTGAAACTTAGGCAAACCCTTGAATTGAACCTAAAATCGGTAATAAAATTCCAGAGTATACATAAAATTCACGCCCAATATGGTATCGTACACACAAGTAACAAATCAATTAATTTATAGAGGACATTGCTTACCAGTGTTTCGGGATAATTATTAATTATATTTGATTCGTAATATTTTAATTAATAATATAAATATCGATGACCATAAAATTTTTTGGATTGGTTGCTCAGTAAGTTTTTAGTTGTATCGTAGAAAATTCCTACGGTTTCGAGAAGCCAGAAACAGAAGGAGAAGGAGCAGAGAAGTATTAGTAAGTTCGTCGTCATCGCCTCCGCAATTCGCCGCACGCTCCTCATTTATCATCGCCACCTGCCCCCCGCGCAAGAAGTCAAAATGCTCCTCCCCTTCTCCGCCGGAACTTCTCTCTCCGGGAAGAGCTCCTGAAGGATTATCCTCTCGCTCCGAAGCGCTCCCCCATCGTCGCAGTCCCGCTTCGGTCGGAGGAAGGAGGAGGAGGAGGAGGAGCGGCGGCGGCGGCGGCGGCGGCGGCATGGGGAATCGGTTCATATGCATGGCGAAGAAGGAGGCGAAGGAGAGCGGGAACGTGTCGCGGAGCAAGAGGATGGCCGCCGGCCGGTCCCAGAGGAAGCTGGTGGTGGAGGAGGAGCTCCTCCATCGCCAGGCTCTCTCCATGGCCCTGCACCAGTCGCAGAGGTTCGACGGATCCATGTCCCGCCGCATCAACGGCAACACCAGCTCTCGCAGGCGCGCTCTCCCCGATCAATTCCCCAACGGAAAACCGGTGAGCTCCGAGTTCCGAGTCGATTTTTTGCTCGTTTCTGAGTGGATCTTACGCGAATTGAGCTTTGGCGAGTAAGATCTGAAAGGTTAGCGATAGCAGTAGGGGTAGTACTGGTAGTGGCCAATTCAATTGGAGCCAGTAACGGTCAATGGTCAGGTGCTTGAGTCCCGGAACGATGCTTGTGCGCGGAAAAGGGCGGGCGAGTCGCAGAAAAAAAAAAAGAGAGAGGAAAGACGTCGTCTTTCTTCTTTCAGAGCTTCAAAAAGTGCAATGATTGATGCGCACTTGCTTTCCTCCAAATTTTTTTTTTTCTATATTGTACTTTTGTCTGCTGCTGGGTGAAGCTTTTGAAGAGAAGATGATCTGCTTTTCTTTTTGCCCCCTTTCCGTGAGCAGAAATTGTGGGACCAATTGCGTGTGATTCAGTCATGAGAAAGTTTCCGATCTTTTGAGTAAAGCGTCGGGTAGTGTGAATCTAGAGAGCTTAACCCTAAGTTGACGCTGCATTTTTCTTATATTTTCTTTGACTCTTTCTTTAAGAAAAACAGGATGCAAAGTAAAATTTGCAGGAAAAGTAATGATTTTTTTTTTATGTAAACTGCATTATTGTATTCAATCGTGGTTTTTCTTTTTTCTTGTGGTTGTGTGATTTGTGCTTGATTGCATCTTTAGGCCCAAACTTGAGCTACATGGTTTATACTTCCTCTTCTGTTCTTCATATGAAACCGAGCTGCGCTGGGACATGGGTTGATCCAACTAATGAAGGATGCTTTCAACTGGCTTTACATTATTCTAGAGTATGAAAAGCAGAGATTCCATCCTCTGGCAAAACATGTTTTAGCTGCTACACCTTGCGTAAATTTCGTTTCTTTCTTTGTTTGATCACGTGAAAAGGAAAATGGACATAGATATAACTAGAATGTCCTTACGCAGGTAGCAGACTTTCTGGAAGGTGTAAAATGGAAGAAAGTTGTCCTGATACATGGAGAAGGGTTTGGAGCTTGGTGCTGGTATAAGACGATAGTTCTTTTAGAGGAAGTGGGACTCATCCCCACAGCCATCGATCTCACAGGTTCTGGTATTGATACAACTGATACTAATAGTGTCAGCACGCTCGCAGAATATTCAAAACCACTGATTGACTATCTGCAGAACCTTCCAGAGGATGAAAAGGTCTAAAGATGCAACATTAGGTTTATGTCCTGAACAACCTTCTTTCTTTCTTTTTCTAGGTGAAAGAGTGAGACTGTTGTTTCGTGCAGGTAATATTGGTTGGTCACAGCATTGGTGGTGCATGTGTTTCTTATGCTTTGGAGCAATTCCCAGAAAAGATTTCTAAAGCAGTTTATGTTTGTGGTACAATGGTGGCTAATGGTCGGATGCCTTTTGATGTATTTGCTGAAGAGGTATGCACCAATATGGTTCATAGGGGCAAGGGGAGGTTCCCCGATGAGTGGAATCTTGTATGTCTTTGCTCTGCAGATGATGATATCCACTTGTTGCAGCCTTATCTGTTGAAGATTCAACAAAATTTTTCCTTTCGATTCTTCTAATTTTTTCAACTTTTTATCAATTGATATGCAATTTTTGCCCCTCCTAAATTGGCATATTCATTGTTCACTTGCTGTGTTGCCTCGTGGTTTGTTTTGTTCAATTTGTAACATTGTGATTGGATGTTGCATGCAGCTTGGCTCTGCAGAACTCTTTATGCAAGAATCGAAGTACTTAATATATGGGAATGGAAAGGACAAGACTCCTACAGGATTTCAGTTTGAGAAAAATCAAATGAAGGGATTATACTTTAATCAATCCCCTGCTAAGGTTAGTTGCACTTTTAGAAGCACTTTTAGGTGTTGTATTAAAAAAGAGTCCATTCTTTTATGCATCTCACTAGAAGAACTTACTGCACTCTAGTCTACTGCATTGTACAGTAAATGTACACACTAGGTCTCGGTCTCAATACCCTGACCCGACAACACCAGAAAAACAACAAGGATATATTGCTGCATATCAGGAATTGTGATGATAACAAAGTATGACATGATGGTGGAGATTGCCTGTCGAGTTTTGTTATCATTCTTTTCGGTGCTTGCACGCTCAAGCACGTTTTTAGTATGAGAGAGAGACAGTGATAGAGATTGCCTGTCGAGTTTTGTTATCATTCTTTTCGGTGCGTGCACTCTCAAGCATGTTTTTAGTATGAGAGAGAGAGAGAGAGAGAGAGAGAGAGAGAGAGAGAGGGAGAGATTGCCTGTTTTTAGTATGAGAGAGAGAGAGAGAGTTTTTAGTATGAGAGAGAGAGAGAGAGAGAGAGACTCCTGGAGTACCTCATTGACTTTGTTACTGTATTTACTTTAGATGACTTATGGTGCGAATGCATATTGTGGAAATTAACAGCCAGCTTATTCTAGGTGGATATTATACCATACTATCTACAACCTCCAATTTATATTGGCCAAAAAGCTGGCTGGGTAGAAAAACATGTTCCCATTGTTTTCATGAGCTTATGGGGGAAGAAGAGAGTTCTGTGTCTCTCTCTTTGACCTGGAGGAATAAGAACGGGCCATTATTTGCTTCAGATTCCTCTCGGAAGTAAACGTGTCGTAGTTATGTGAGTTTAATACAGTAAAATAATGTTTGCTCACTCGGGGATTCATAATTTCCTATTGTTCACTCTGTTTCCGCCTCCTATCCCTGATCAGATCGACCCATTACATTTTTTATTTGCACTTGTCTGGTTCTACATTAGGCTTTACTTGTGACTATGCTCTAAGTGACTAGTGTTTTTATGTGGGAAATCCTTCCGTTTTCACTGTCCTGACTCCAGACCAACAAATACGTTCGGAAAATGATTTACAGAATTTTCCTTATACTTCTTTAAAGCCATTCCACATGCAGAGTTATGTCTCCCGTGGCCTCTTCTGCTGCCCAATTAACATATAGTCTATTACTATCAGCAAAGTCATATTTATAAGATCTTAATCCAAGAACAAAATCAGCGAAAATTTTTTACAGGATGTTTAACACCTTTCAAAGAGGAAAAATAGTTGGGCAGAGATCTTTAATCTGAAGATTGTCTAGAGTCCAAATACTGCTTCAAACAGCTTTCCATGCAGCTTCTGCTTGTTCAGGACATGACCAACTATTACCCAAGGAATTTCCGTTTGATATTCCATTTGACTAGTTAAGAACTAATATAAAGACTCCGGTGTATTTGTGGCCTCTTGCTGACATCCACCAAATTGAGTCACCCCTTTCTCCACTTCCCAGTTTTGTGCTTGCATCATTTACTCCTTTGCTCATCCTTAACTCTCCAAAAGTAAATCCAACCCATTTTGAACCACTACTGGAATTCCATACTGGAAGCTTGCTAGCAGATCTCCAATTTTTGAACTCCCGCTAACTAATCCATACCTGCCATCAGTTACACTCCATAAGTGCAATTCTTCTCAGATGTCATGGCATAGCTACTGCAGCCTATTAGAACTGAATATAAAGTGTCTTGAGGTCTACTTCCTTGCTAGCTCTAGAGTATTCGCTGGTCGGTTTTACCAGCATTTATATATAGATAAGACTCATGCTTACTAAACCCCTCGCATCTTAAAGTGGTTTGAAATAGCATGTTCCTAATCAAATTAGCTTTTGTTTAAAAAGTCCCTGGCTGAAGACTATGTCTTACAGTGGATGAACTATTACTGTTGTGATCAAAGTCTTTGTTTGAAATCTGCTTGAGGTTGAAACTTTTGCGCTCACTTTTGCCTAATCAAAGCATGGTTTAATTTTATAATTCACCAGTCTGTTTCTTCATGAGCCATTTTGAGTGGTAGGTTAAAGTGTTGTGGATTTTAAATGCTCTCATGCCTCTATAGAGAGCTATGTTTCTAAACTTGGTTTGCCACATCAAGCACGGACATAGCAGAATTGTTTATTTGCTCTAGAGCCCCCTGGGTTATTGATTATGTGACTCTCATTAATCTTGCAATTGTAATTGATTATTTTATTTAGTGCATGCTCGGTCTAATTGTTTTTGAATGAACATTCTTTTTAGGATGTTGCGTTGGCCATGGTTTCGATGAGACCTATTCCGCTGGGGCCTATAATGCAAGAATTATCATTGTCCCCGGAAAAGTATGGTACTTGCCGTCGGTTCTATGTTCAGACACTGGATGATCGTGCCCTTTCTCCCGATGTGCAAGAGAAGCTGGTGCGAGAAAACCCTCCAGAAGGCGTCTTCAAGATTAAAGGCAGCGATCACTGCCCGTTCTTCTCAAAACCACAGTCGCTGCACAAAATTTTAGTGGAAATTGCTCAAATTCCATAGAACTACGTGGTGCCTTTTGTTTCTCGCCTTTATCCTAGATGATTGGAGCCATCCAGTTATCTAATTCTAATTCATCCAGGGTCATCGAGCTACGTATACAGAGGGGCGAGTTCTATTGTACCGCGTTTATTTCCCTGTGGCGGTGAAAGAATGTTAAAGCTTCGAGTGGCCATCGTCTAGGCTGTTTAGTGTGACGAATCTAGTCGGCATTTATACTATGTAAATGTGTATAATCAATTTGATTAATTTAGCTGTAAGGTTCCTTTTTGTTTTTTGGCCTTCAATTTAGCTGTAAGTTGAGTATGTATACTGTGCCTTCTCTTTTATTAAAGCTTATAATTTCTTCGTCTGTGGAAAGGGATGCAAAGCACGAGTTTCGGCCGTGCTTAGGTTTGGACCAAATGGGCGTAGGGCGATCGAATTTGCCATTGAAAAACTTCTAAATCTTGCCATTGATTCTTCTGTCCACCGGGAATTCTCTCATGATCACCATTCCCATGAATGGCTTTCATTTCTATTCTCACTCTATATGCTACTCTATTTATGTTTTAGAGTCGGTAGATGTTAGAGAAGGCAACCTAGTTGTTCATCAACTAACCTCTTAACCTCTCTATGGTACACTTAATAACATGCCGTTTCATGTTAGCTGTCTTTCCACTTTCTTCGTGGCTACTAATGTAGATTCGACTTCATTCACAAAAACGACATGACGTGTAGAGTGTTGAGCATCTTTTGAATTGTCTAATTCAATTGAATAGTACCCCTAACGTTGATGTGGCTTACAACATATAATATCTTTTATTTTATCTTGGGCCAAAATTTATTCGTCCCTTTGGTTCGTCCCATCACTTTGTTTTCAAGTGGTTTCACGCCACTAGGTGTGCTGTCAGTGGCGGTTCAAAACCATCTGAGTTAAAATGGGGTCGTCGTTCTGGACCCAACGGAGGGGCTTTCGTCATAACTCAAGTTTTCCTAGAAAAAAAAAAAACGTGATATCGATCAGAACAAGAAAATAACATAACTTTTATACATTCACTCTGATGATTATATTAATCCATCATCATAAATCAAGTGGTCATTAATTATGGGAAAAATGATCAGGCTAAAGAGTGTCAGATATGATAACAATTTTTCTTCTTTTTTTAAATTTTTTTGTCGATTTTTAATTAAAAATTTAAAAATAAAATATATTATTATTATATTAGGTCGTCGGTGGGCGGGTGGGCGGTTCAACGCCGTTCGGTCCGGTTCCGGCGGTCGACGGTCGGTTCGCTACCCACGTCAACTACGGTTGGTAAACTTTTAACTGAAATTGAATTTATTCTTTGAAAAATGTGGCGTGCAACTTTTTAGGGGCCAACGGGCATGTGACCCTGCTAGTCAAGGGACTGGAGAATAGGGCTGAAGAGTACCCAGGTCTGAAGTTCAATCTCCGTGAGTACCGTATATACATGTACATAGAAGCGAGAAGTGAGATAAAAAAAAAAAAGGAGACCTTCTTAAGGAAGTAAAATCATCTAAAATTTTACTGTGAATCAGTGAGACTATCCCAAAGGTGTGTTGTCCAGGATTACAATCATAGAATTTTTCTGTTCCATTATTGGATAATTCATTTATCGAGATATGCCAAAGCACGAAGATCAACATTTTTATTGAGATAAACTTTTTACATGAAGGGTGCATAATTGGATAGATAAACTCATACCAACCCATAAATCTAGTATCTAATTAGAGATTTTCCTATTTGCAATTTACAAGTAACATGTTTCGAGTATGGCTCAGTCTCAACAAAATAATTCACTATATAGTTCTTTTTTTTTTTTTATCAATAGGTGTTTGAAACTCTTTGAATATCCGATTAGTCTCTATTGTGAATGACAGTTTTCTCGTTGCACACATATTGGGTAATTACCGAAAACACATAGATTTATGACCCTGAGGTGGTCCTAGGAGAATGCACAAGCGTGGCGATTCAAACCCAAATCTTGAACGAGAAAGACGAACACGCTTATCATCCGAACAAACCCACGATTTAATTTCACCAGATGAGCTAAGATTTAAGCTATGTGAGGAGAACGAGGGAAAATGCGAATGAAAATTTGGACGAAATATGATAAAGAACCAAAAAAATTTAGACCAAGAAAAGTACGTTCTTTTTCATCTTTCCTTCCTTCCGCTAAACTAAAGATAGTTCAGGCAGGTTTATCCTGATCAATTCGATAACTGGTGGGAAGGTAAGTACCTACTTTTACTACCGCCATTCGCCAACTCCAAGAACATATCCTCTTCCGTACCCCCCGCAGAATGGCAAGCTAATACCAATAACGTCTTCCCTCTGTCTCACAGAGAGAGAGAGAGAGAGAGAGAGAGAGAGAGATGGCTATGGCTTGCTCTGGGCACATGCCAGTAGAAGCAGCCAAGCCACAGCCCCGAACCCACTTTCTTGCTTGTGATTCCCCTTCGAATTCCCGCAAGATTTTCGCTTCCAGTTTGCATTTTCTCGGTAAAGATCCCGCCCCATGTCGTCGTTTCCATGCGTCCCATATCAAGAACGCCCCTTTCGCGCGGCGTTCCAAACTCGCGGTAAGCAGAAGCGATTCGATTCGGGACTATAGTCTTGAGGTCGTGAAAAGCTTTATTCCCGAGGTCTGAAGCAAAAGTTTGAATCTTTGTTGTTCCTGTTTTTTAAAATTTTCATCTTTTGGTTTATGTGGCAGCTGGTGGCAATGGCCAAGCCCGACCCATTGAAGATAATGTTATCTGGAGCGCCCGCTTCGGGTAAAGGGACTCAGTGTGAGCTCATCACTAAGAAAGTAAGAGTATTTCTTTGGCTGAACTCTTGATCATTGTTGGGTGGCTTTCTCTTTTCGGGAATTCCGTTGCATTCCATGTGTTTGGTAATATGTCGTATACGTCCACATAGCTCCGATGCTCATTGATCTAAAGAGCTGATGTGGTTATGGTTAACTGAGCTGGAGACTCGACGGTGATGCGCCCCATCAGGAGAGTTTTTTGAAGTCCACTAGTTCGGTTGGTTAGTGGATTTAGTTCGGCATGATTCTTTAGGAGCCGCGAATGCTGGCTCAAAATGAAATCTTTTTGAAGCGTCGGTACTTAATCTGGATTTGCCTTACATCAAATGTGAATGACCTTGCAGTCTATTCTTATGGCATGCCGAACTGGTAATACTGGCAATTTGGCAAAAGAAACATACACTGGTGGCCTTCTCCAAGCACTCATCAGTCTCTATATATCTTTTTCTTCCTTTCTTAGTTCACCACGCATAGTTGACAGTTTCTACCATCTAATTTGATTAATCAAGCATGAACTTGGCAGCTGCATATGCAATTTGAGTGTGTTTCCGAGGAAAGCAAGAAACGCTGTTTATCTAAGGACTGTCAAGTTTGTTTCTCCTTTTATGAGAGAATACTCTCTTAAACTGGTCGATATAATTGCCACGCTGAAATATGTTTGTCTAAATTATTTTCTCCGCATGATCTGCTTCTGGGATCTGATTTTGCATTTCCTTAGAGACCTTTTGATAATAAGTGAAAGGGATGGGAAAAATAAACTGAAAGATTCTCATATCATACTTCTCTAGTTTTGGTGGAATACCTGATCATACATTTCGATGCAATCCCCTGTTTCTTTCTTTCTTGAGAAGTAGAGAAAAGTAATTAGAGGAAGTAGGTCAGGCAGAACGATTATCAAATTTTAAGGTTGGCTAAATTTTTTAGAGATCATTTTCAAAATGAGCCTCCTTTGCAGTTATATCATGGTTTTCCTTGGACCAATTTACTTCAGTACCTTGCTCAGCAGGAATTTGGTGATCGCTTTTCTTTACTAGATTTCCTTCAATTTAAGGGACCTATTATTAAAGCTTGTTTTACTTGAGAAACTTTTTCTGGCCTTGTAAAGTAGTGTGTGTGTTTATATATATATTTGGCAAATGAATCTAACATTAATTATAGAAATACCGAGACTATAATGAGAAGTTTATTATAAAAATACTGAGAGGACAAGAGTGACCGGTGCTTGAAACTTTAGCTCATTAGGTTAAAAATAAAAGGTAAGTGGAAATAAGTCAATTTGCATTTTGCGGCTGTGCTTCATTTATTACCTATGAGTGGATATGTCTATTTTTCTGAAGGAGTTAATTTTTTCCATAAAAGAGTCAGCAATATTGCTGGACAGCCATGTATTTTACACCATAAAGTTGATTATCAGATGCCTACAAGCATCCAATGAGTAAACATCTAGAGGGATATTTAACTCCTTACCTGTGCTTTGTGTCCATGGGCCAACTCTAGCTGTAATAGAGATGTTTCAGCGGGAACTGTTCTTGAATCAGACACATGGAGTCAATATTGTCTCAGCCAAGAAACGTGTACTTGAATCTTTGGCTACTAGCCATAGGATGATGTAATGTTGTAGTGGTAATAGTTCTTATATCAACATTAAAGGAAACTTTATAATAATCTCTCCTTCCTTTTAACATGTATCTTCCTCCCTTTGAACGATATAATGTCATTGTCTCTATGAGTTACTGCTTTTATCACACTTTGGGGTGGCCCGTGAGAAAAAGCAGATTGAATCAATTCGTCCTCATATATGCAGTACGGTTTGGTGCACATTGCTGCTGGGGATCTGTTACGGGCAGAAGTCGCAGCTGGGAGTGAAAATGGGAAGCGAGCAAAGGAGTATATGGAGAAAGGGCAATTGGTCCCTGACGAAATAGTTGTAATGGTAGGGACAGCACATTCTTTTGAAATATAGTAATTGCTCGTGCTGATGCTTCCTTATATTTGACCCTTAGATGGTTAAGGAGCGGCTGTTGCAATCAGATTCCCTAGAAAATGGTTGGCTTTTAGATGGATACCCCAGGAGCTTATCCCAAGCCACAGCTCTGCAAGAATTTGGGCTCCAGGCAGATCTTTTCATTCTTTTGGAAGTAAGAATCTGTAGTTTCTATTTTTTGTTGTTATTTTGCATTTAGCCTTTGGATTGACCTTAAGCTCCTGTTTGAGTTGGTGACGTATTTATTTTTTTTTCCACAGTCATCTTATTTTTAATGACTGAATTGGTTGGAATATATTTTTTCGGGATATTATATGGTAACTGGGCGGAATTTACTTTACGTACCTGCTGCATAGGTGTTGGATGAGAAAAGATTGAGACTGGGATATCCGTAATTATTATTTGCAATATCCACTGTGTTTGCTAGGTCCCTGAAGAGATTCTTGTGGAAAGAGTTGTTGGCAGACGGTTAGATCCTGTTACTGGTAGGATATATCACTTGAAGTATTCTCCTCCAGAGACTGAAGAGATCGCTGCCAGATTGACACGGAGGTTTGATGATACCGAAGAAAAGGTATGTCGATATATACACATACCAAAGGTCAAGGGAATACATATTTAGAGCTATGGTATCGAGTAACTGAAGCCATAATCTTAAAAATCTATTGGGGGCCATTATGTGCTTCTTTGACTCCGTGTGTATTTTGATTTCTTCTAGGTGAAGTTGCGGTTGCGCACTCATCATCAAAATGTGGAAGCAGTGCTTTCAATGTATAAAGACATAACAATCAAGGCACGCACTCTCTTTCTCTCTCTCTCTCTAGACTAGGCTTCCGGCTAGACAATTTGCCAGTTACTAACACATTATACAAATTACGATCATGTAATATATGTTACTTATCACTGTCATTTCAGTAGCAGATCACTAGAATTTTGCTTATATCACCTTCACAAAACCCTTCTTTGCATCACTAGTTATATAAATCTTACTTTGTCAATATGACAGTTCTAAATAGATCATATTGCCAACTTCTTCCTATAGCAAAAACAGCCAGACATAGTCAATATGTCAACTCCAAAGCTACTATAGATACCTTAACCTATGACGTGAAGAGACGGAGAGGACAGCATTTTGACCTATGAATTCTTTAACCTTTCATTTGAGGATGCAAAGAGGATTGCATTTTGACCTTTGAACCGGAGTGTGGAAGATACGCTAGTGCAGAAAATCGGCTAAAGACATTTTGATTTGTGATTGGTCAACTGCGAAGTCTGTCTCGATGTAATCTTTCCTTGATGCTTGGATTCTCTGAGATTCCCAGTGTAATCCGCATAGAATAGTACCTATCATACATGCTAGATGCATATACATATATACGACTCATTTACATTCATACACATTTAAGTGTCTGGAAACTTTTGTGTAAAATGATTAATTAATCTGATCAGGTAAATGGAGACGCTCCAAAGGAGAATGTGTTTGCCCAAATTGATAATGCTCTCTCGAAACTTCTTGAACAAGGGAAAGCTACTTCGGGATCTCTTGCAGCATAGTAGACGAAGAATACTGAACAACTATTGAGACAACTTTTTTGAACGGTTTTCCATCACTGTTATGAAAAATGCGACGCTGAAGCTTGAATTTGTCGGGCACTCACAAAGTTGATGTTCCTCCTAGTGTAATTTTTTGAAAAAAAGAAGTTTGGCCTAAATGATATCATTGGTCCATACCGATTACTTGAAGGGAAGCTTGTCATTTATGATTTTATAATGGAATATGTAGGCCAAGGTGCCAGTCAAATTCTAACCTACATAGGGCTCGTTCCATTGTTTGTATGATGTTGAGACTTCAGGTTATGTCCACTCTTCACTATCGACTGTGAAGTGTACTTAAGTTATGAGTCAGAAATTAGAAATGCAGTTTGTTTTCTTCCTGTTCTGTACATGATACACTGGAAGAACTCTGCCTGTTATTTCTGTTATATCCGAGAAGGATCTACCGAGAGATTGAAATCTTGAACAGAGATTGAGAGAAACTCTCTTAAATTAGGCACGTCTTTCCATGCAAGAATCCTTTCATACGATGCTCTGTATAGAAATATGACGGAATCGGGTGGTTCGCTTATCAGCACAAGAAATTGACTGAACAATTCGTGTTATTATCACCAGACTTTGACTGGATGTTCATCTTTGTTTTCCAGGTCCTTAAGTTACCACTGGACCCGAAAAAATTTCTTGATTTTATGCTCTCCTTTGTATTTCGTTAATGTTGACAATGAAGTTTGGGCGCTTACTACCAAAGAGATTTGCATTTCGAATGTTTCGAAGATGCATCATTATCTGGCAAAGGTAAAGTGCCAGTTTAGCTGAAACTGGAACATTAATCTGAGAATTAAGAAGACGGTATCGATAAATCCAAAATAAGGGGTAACCCATGGAAACAGAGCCTTTAAATGCACTGGTTTGTTTTCTCTTTCCGTCCAAATTAAGGTCTAAGCTTAGGATGATGCTGGTCATCATATGCATCAGAAATGGAGGCCCACGTATGTGTAGATACCATTCCGCTTTCCACATTCGTTCTCCGCTTCATCTTCCGGATCTAACAACAAATTTGTGGGAGCAAGATGCATTACCATTGACATCAATGCGACATGCTATTCATTCAATATAAAACAGAAAATAAGGAGAGAGAGAGAGAGAGAGAGAGAGAGAGAGAGAGAGAGAGAGAGAGAGAGATCCCCCATTGAGCAAAATGTGAACTTATATGATTTCATTAACGGTTGAAATGAACAAAACCTCTTCTTACAGTTTCAGCATTCTGTATGAACGCATTTCAACCTTCAAACATCATGCGACACCGTACGAATCAATTCATTTTGCAGACGTCTGTTTTCCGGTTGTGCTTACAGAGATGGATAGGAATGACTGCTTTAAGTAGAACACGGCAGGACGAAAGTTTATTGCTGGTATTAGCATAAGTTATGTACACGCAAACAGCTTGAGATACCTAAATAATCACACCGAAGTAGGCTATCTAGAAAACCTATATCCCAGAAAAATGCATTCACTTCATGTGATGGTAAACCTACTGCTGCTATTAACAACCAAAAACTTGCCAGTACCACACATATGGAATAGCTGAGAAGCATTTTAGGCACCCACCTTTACATAAGAGCTTGAAGCTTGACCTTAGTTTATGCTAGTGATAGAGAAGTTAACCAAAGACAGACCTTCCATTCTTATTAGCATCATTTTCCGTATACCTTAATGTGCACGGTTCAGCATCACTGAGCATGCTTACAACCTCTCTCATAGTTGGACGCAGAGATGGGAGTTTGGCGGTGCAGAGAACTGCAACTTTCAACACTTTGATCATGTCATCTTCAATGGAGTTGGATACCACCTTATCGTCTAGTACTTTGAGGACATTTGCTCGGTTGCTAAGATGAGTTAGCGTCCAGTGAACGATGTCTCTTCCCTCACCATACTCGTCCTCGAGCGGTTGTCTACCGGTGACGATTTCTAGCAGAACGACTCCAAAACTGTATACATCAGTCTTTTCACTCACTGTAAGTGTATAAGCCAGCTCTGCAAAGGAAAAAAAAAGGAAAAAAGAAAGATATTGATGTGAAGAAAGTGTAGTAATATGTCCAATATGAACTTTAACATTACACAAGCAAAAACTCAAAACAAATTTTAGAAAAGTCAAATAAATGGGGTCTGCTGTATATCGAAAACTCACCTGGAGCAATATAGCCATGAGTTCCAGCTAGACGGCTACAATTAGGTCCCTTATGGGACTTCTCAACAGTCTTGGCGATACCAAAATCAGCAATTTTCGGTTCATAATCTTCATCAAGTAGAATATTTGTGGACTTAATGTCGCGATGAATAATGGGAGGTGAACAATCGTGATGCAGATAAGCAATTCCCTTTGCTGCTCCAACAGCAATTCTGTATCTCTGAAACCAATCCAGTTCTGGCCGACCATCTTTGATCTGTCGGTGAAGTGCTTGAAACAGATTACCATTTGCCATGTATTCAAAGACTAAGAAACTCGTACCTCCTTTCATCAGAGAAGCATACAACTTGAGTATATTTCTGTGCCTGATATTCCCCAAAGTCTCCATTTCAGCAAGCAATAGCTTCGCACCATCTGCTTTCCACAGTTGCTTCACAGCTACTGTCCCATCGCTTTTCTTCAACTCCACACGATATACTTTTCCAGTCCCCCCAATTCCAATCAGATTTTCCTCTTCCAAGTTACATATATCATCTGCATCGATTTCCACTTGGTGGAAAGATGCAAGTTTCCATTTTGGATATGTTTCCTTCCCTTCCTCCATAGAATTCACCGGATCAGCCTCGACATATTTGAAGTTCTTATAACTAACAAGGAGTAAACCAACTAAGACAACAACCAGAGCTGATAATATGATGCTGAACAGAGCCAGCTTATCTGCGAAAATGCCCCTCCGAGTGTGCTTTTCACTGCAAATCTTGATATCTGAATTCACCGGCGGTCCTGAATTTTGGTCGACACAAAATCCCATGTTTCCAAGAAATGCTTTGGTCCCTCCTATCCTCAACAGATCAGAAGGAATTTCACCAGACAATTGGTTTTCAGACACATCAATGGAGCTTAGCTTCAATTTCGCCAAACTCTCTGGTACTGAACCCGTTAACTTATTTCCCGATACATTTAAGGAGTTCAAGGAGCTCATCTGTGAAAGGGAGTTGGGGATATCACCACTCAGAGCATTCAAGGCAAGATTCAAGTCAACCAATTTACCGCATTCACCGAGCTCCCCTGGAATCGGCCCCGTCAGTGAATTTTCTTCCAAATGCAAGGACCCGAGTTGCCCGAGATTGCCGATTTCAGGCGGTATATTACCAGAAAAATTGTTATTCATCAGATAAAGTTTCTCCAAGTTCCTAAGTTTGCCCAGTCCGGATGGAATCTCGCCTGAAAACCTGTTATTCTGTAGCACCAACTGATTCAAATTGGTAGAGTTGCCAATGTCTGATGATACAACTCCATTGAAATTATTATCACCGAAATCAATCAGTCTTGCATAGGGTAACGCCCACACCCCGTCTGGAATTGGCCCCGATAATTGATTCTGGTTTACTCTAAATCTCTCAAGGGACTTACATTCAGCATAAGAATCGGGCAGGCCGCCTGAAAAGTTGTTTCCCAGAGCAAGCAAGAACTGCAAGGTCCTGTTTTCACACAGGAACCTCGGGAACTCACCTGAAAACTGGTTTTCGGATATGTCTATGCTTTTGAGAGGAGAAAATCGACCGAGATTGGCCGGGAAATTGCCAGAGAAACTGTTCCTGTAGATCGAAAACCCAATGAGGTGACGTAAGTCCCCGAACCCTTCGGGAAGCACCCCAGAGAAATTGTTTTCATATAGCTGAAAAACCGTCAAGTTCTTAAGGTTATCAATTCCCGGAGGTAATACACCGTGCAAGTTATTAGCAGATATGTCGAATTGCTGCAGGTCTGTGAGCTCCACCAGCTCAGGCGGGAGTTCTCCGGTCAAGTTGTTACGAAAGAGCTCGATCTGTTTAAGATTTCGTAATTTGGCAATTGATTTCGACAATGTCCCCGAGATCTCGTTTACTGATAAATCCAAAGTCCGGAGCGCGGTGAGTTCGAAGATGGATTCCGGGATCTCTCCTTTCAAGTGGCATCTGCCCAAGAAGAGCCAAGTCAAGTTCTTCAGATTCCCAAGACTCTCAGGGATTTCACCCTCATCGTAATTGTTATCACCAAGACCCAGAGAAACCAGCCCTGTCAAATTAGCTACCCACCCCGGCAATTCGCCGGACAGCTGATTCGATGTAATATCAAGAAACTTGAGGCTTTTCAGCGGAGAAAGGTCCGGCACTCTTCCCACCAATTGATTGCCAGAGAGCTTCAAGACTTTGAGATTGCTACAATTGGCAAGCTCTCCAGGGATCTTCCCGGAAATGGAATTTGAATGCAGCGAAAGAGAGACCAGGCTCCTGAGCTTTGAAATGGAAGGCGATATCGTCCCCGAGAGAGATTGGTTGTGAAGCCATATCCCCACAACTTCTTTAGAAACCGGGTCGCAAGTGACCCCGAAGAAGTCGCACGGAGACCCCGTTTCTCTCCAGGACTCGAGCATGTTCCAAGGGTCCTTCAGCTGAGCCTTGATTTCGAGGAGCGCCCGGGTCTCAACCGTCAGGGCCGTGCATGGCGGGACTCGGCAGCAGAACAAAACGAGGGAAACCATGATGAACCGAAACGGTAAACAGAGGAGGGAGGCTCTGGCCATTGCGAAGAAGCCCGGTGCCAGAAGAGTCATTTGGCACAAAGGGAATCGCAGGAGAAGGTGGTCCTCCCGATCGAAGTTCAAGAACCAGAGGCGCTATGCGCGTCGGTTATGAGCACCATCCTGCGAAAAGAGCCGAAGATCAGACATTACTTCTATACCCAACAATGATTCCACGAAGCATATGAATAAGATAAAGAGACATACAGAAGACAGAAACAATACACTAATCTATTGAGCAAATTAACAGACGCGATAGCGACGCGAGCGAGCGAGCGAGCTAGAGACGGATGACGTTAATACGTCAATTCGTTTGTAGCTGTGGATTCTTGCAAATACAGAAAAGAAAGATAGAGGGAAGATCACTACACTTTGAAGTCACTCATTAGTCCACTACCACACCTAATACATTTAATCTTATTTAAAGCTTCGATCTTTTCCCTCCAAATCATTCATTAATCAGTTTCGTACAGTCCGCCATAATTGCAGAATCATCGGCTCCTCATCCATGGCGCGACTAAGTGAAGAGCAATCCAAGACGCCTTTTTGACAAAAGCGGACATCTATGGAGAAAGGCTAAAAAGCGAACGAGGATCACCCTCGGTAGTACAATCAAATCGAACCTAACGCCACCTAATTCTCCATATTGTATTATTATATTCACCGTTGTAATAATAATAATTCAAATCCACGATCACTTCAATCAACGAGTGAGCGCAACGCATGTCCTGAGCGAGCCCACTTCGCCTCACCGTAGAAGCAACGACGTTATTAGCCTCGCAATCTCAGAACAAGAACGATGGGTAAAGAGAGGGCGAGACAGGAACCTGAAAGGCCAAAAAAACTTCCGTCCAAGGTCGGCGACTCCGAAGGAGCAGGCCGCGTCGCAGTTCGGCGCTCCCACCTCGAATGCTCGGGGAAGAGGCCGCTACACTCGCTATATAGCGGGGCGCGCGTGCCGCCGGAGCCTAGGAAGACGGGAAGGAGCGGCGGTTCCCGAGAACGCTTAAAAAAGCGCGCCGGGGGGGACGAACGGAGGAGGGGGCGCGGGGAGAATGGGAAAACGGGGTTGGTTACCTCGAAGGCGGGGATCGATGTTTAAATGAGCCGAAATGGAGGTTTCCCGAGGAGAAGGAAGCGTGGGGGGAGCAGTCAACTAAAGACCCATCAATGCATGCTCCTCAACCACTCTCCATCAACCTCGCGCTCCCGGCGCGCCTCGTTTCTCCCATGGCTGGCGGAGGACTCGGAGCGGGAGCGGGCAAGGAAGGCGTCCGCGGGAACCTCGCCAGCGACGACGAAGCATTCACGAACTGGGTTTGTCTGTATGTGATCTTCGCGTCTGAATTATAAAGCTCTTCGACAGCGAAGAAGAAGGCGAAGAAGAAGAAGAGAGAGAAGGTAGAGAGAGAGAGAGAGTTATCAGTGATGGATGGATGGTTCGAAAGCAGCAGTGCAGTGTTTCCTCGTTGCTGCCTTTTGACCAATCGCTGAGGGCTCGGACAAAGAGAGAGTGGGGTGGGGGCCCACTTGAGTGACGAGGTATTTGCCGTCGAGGGGCAAGAAAAGAAAAAAGAAACTTTGCCATTTCTCGAGTTGTGTTTTCCGCGTGCATCATTAGCTCCTGTCCTGATTTGCTCTAAAAAATATATATTAGAATATTTCTCGGACACTGTTCGCATGATGCACGAGATTTTCTGGGGGATTTTTTTTAGAGATAATGACGTAAATGGTCCCTGAAATTTTGGCTCAATATGCAATATGGTTCATGAACTTTTTATTTATTCAATGTAGCCCCTGAACTATCCAATGTATAATTTCGTCCCTGAACTTTTAATTTGTTCAATATGACACCTGAACATGTTCAGTTTAGTCTCCGAACTATATAAAAATGTTTAATGTAGTCCTTCCATTAATTTTAGTTCAGGGACCACATTGAATATTTTCATATAGTTTAGGGACTAAATTGAACATGAACCAAAAGTCCAGATCCACATTGAACAAATTAAAAGTTCGGGGACTAAATTGAACATTAGGCTAAAGTTCGGGGACTACATTGAACAAATTAAAAGTTCATTGACCAATTTGCACATTGAGCCATAGTTCAGCGACTGTTTGTGTCATTATCCCAATTTTTTATGGTCCGATCGACGAGTCCTGACGAGGTGCAGGACGGGATTATGTGTCCCGATGAGCCCCACTAGGGTTCGATTGCATCGAGCCCATCTCGATTGTTAGACCTGGTGAGCCTCCCGATCGGGACGTACGGCATCGACGTTCGAATGGCTCGCTATCCACGCTATATCCTTAATGGAAAGAGCATTAATATCTAATGACGCTTGTCTCGTGTTAATATCTAACACGAGAGACGACGTATTAAATCTAACTGACGCTTCGGAAGCTTAACTAGGACAGCCGACGTATTAAATCCTAGCGGAGTTTATCGTGAGGTCGTTCATTTTTTTGGGTTTCAGCTATTCAATGCACTAAACTTTCGATTATGTTATTGGATGTGTTTGCCCATTGGAATTCGACCGCTCTCTCGACCCCGACGCGAGGTCGAGGTGGTGCGAAGATTATGCGGCGAATTTTTTCGAAATGCCACGCCGCTGCCACGTGTCCGTCTCGTCAGCATTTTCGGTCGAAAAATTGGCATTGCAAAAATGTGAAAAAAAATTGAATGTAATAAAGATGATTCTAAATGAAAATTATGTAAATACTGAAATTGGGGCTACATCCTCTGCTTTTTTTGTACGGAGGGGATGAGGATGAAGACAAAAAAAAAGGGGGTTGGATGAGCATGCTTTATCGCGGGGATTTGCGACTTGTCTGGGTTAGAAAAGAGTCGTGTCCGGTCAAAACACATAGAGAAAAACGAGGTTGGTCTAGTGCCACGTCGGGAAAACCCTTAACCGAATCTCCTGTTGTATTCGAACTCTTTAATGTTATTAAGAATTCACACGAGACTCACATGATCTAAAAAGTGAAACGCACTGAATTGGTATACGTCCAATGTACTCGATAACGTCTTCACAACCGTCACTCCTATTATCATCTCGTGTTTCGCGGTGTTGTTACCTCGAGAAGATTCGAGATGGTTTATGGTAAATGAAGTGGATGGCATCAAATTAATGCCGGTTACAAATTTGGCACTAGTGACCCCAAAAAAGACTTGGACTTTTGTTATTTTAATTTTGGCCGGACACTCTTAAACTTTACTTATTCATTTTATGGAAAAAAGTTAGGGTTAATACCACGAAAAACCCTAAATTGGTACACTTGTGACACATTTACCCCAAACCATTTTTTTGACCATAAAAAACCCCAAACTGGTACACCTGTGATAATTTTACCCCGAACTATTTTTTTGACCATCAAAAACCCCAAACTGGTACATCTGTGACAATTTTACCCTGAACTTACCACAAAAAACCCCAAACTGGTACATACGTGATAATTTTACCCTGAATTTAAATTTTAATATTATTTTTTTATTTTTTTCGAATTTTTATTTATTTATTTCCTTTTATTTTTTTTTCTTTATCTTCAACCTCTGACCGGTCGCCGGCGAGAGCCGCCCGACGCCGGCGTCAGGCGAGGGCCGTCCTCGCCAGATCCGACGAGGGCGACCCTCGCCGCAGATCGGCGAGGCCGCCTCGCTGCGTCGGCGAGGGCCGCCCTCGGGCAGACGGCGAGGGCCGCCTCGCCTGCGTCGGGCGAGGGCCGCCTCGTGCGGTATCGGCCGAGGGCCGCCTCGCTGCGTCGGGCGAGGGCGCCTCGCCCGCCCGGGGCAAGGGCGATCCTCGCCCTACTCGGGCGAGGGCGACCCTCCCGGTATCGGGCGAGGGCCGCCCTCGCCGGATTTGGAAGGGCGACCCTCGCCTGCGTCGGGCGAGAGTTGCCCTCTCCGGTGTCGGGCGAAGGCGTCTCGCCCGCCCGGGGAGGGCGACCCTCGCCCGACTCAGGCGAGGGCGACCCTCGCCTGCGTCGGGCGAAGGCTGCCCTCGCCGGCTTCGGGTGAGGCAGCCCTCGCCTAGGCGGGCGAGGACGGCCCTCGCCTGAGTCGGGCAAGGGCGGCCCTCGCTAGATCCGGCGAGGGTTGCCCTTGCCGAGTCCAGCGAGGGCGGCCCTCGCCAGTGGCTGCCGAGGGCGGCCCTCGCCGGCTTCCGCCTCTAGCCGGTCGCCGGACCGGAGACCGGCCAGAGGTTGAAGTGAAGAAAAAAGAAAAAATTCAAAAAAATAATTTTAAAAATTGGTTGGGGTAAAATTGTCACATGTGTACCAGTTTGGGGTTTTCTATGGTCAAAAAAATAGTTTGGAGTAAATGTGTCACAAATGTACCAGTTTAGGGTTTTTCGTAGTATTAACCCAAAAAGTTATAAAAAAAACTTTCAAAATATGCCTATTATGACACATTCACTCTTAACTTTTTGTGTGACAGCAAAAACTTCAAACTATGCTTACTGGAACACATTTATCCCAAACTTTCTTTTGTGACAAAAAAAATCTCAAACTCGTACCTATGTGACACATTTTCTCTCCGTCAAGGTTCTATCAAATGATTTTTCAGTCAAAACAATGTCGTTTTCATTTCACTTAAGCCACTGAGTGCCATGTTAATAACATTTACTTTTCCGGCGTCAATGTAGGCAAATTTTTAACGGTCCTTATTGACGGAACTTTGACGAAGAGTATATGTTTTACATAGTTTCAAGTTTGGAATTTTTGGTGTTATGGAAAAGTTTATGATAAATGTGTCATAATAAGTATAGTTTTGGATTTTTGGTGATTCTTTCCTTTTATTTTATCTCTTGAATATCGTACCTTGAAATTACCAATTATATATGACTTAATGAGGGGAAAAATAAAAGAACTTCGAAAATAGTAAAAAGAAAGGAAACGAGAGAAGTCACTTGTTCGATTCGACTAATCGTGAAACTAATATCTCTTAAATAAATTCTGCAACAAAGAAAAAGAGTTGCCGAGAATTCTTAATAACACGGAGATCCGTTTAACATACGACGTACGACCCAACACCGTCCATCGTACACGATTTACGATCGCAACATCGTCGTCAACCGGCTAACCGTGTCGTAGGTAAATCGAATTGGTTGCAACTAACCCACCCTGGTACCAAAAGAGGAGAGGAAACTTACCAAAAAGTTCTAAACCTATTGTAATTATGCCAAATCAGTCATAAACCTTTTTTTTTTTGTGCAATTCAGTCCTGAACCTTTTGCATTTGTGTCAATTCAGTTCATCCAGCCAATTTTAGCAGGCTGGCGCTGACGTGAACGCTGGCGGATGCTAATGTGGCAATTTTTAAATATTTTTTCCAAATTTGTTATTAATTTGTTATTTTATTTGTTATTTTTCTTTTTCTTCCTTCTTTTATTTTTTTCCCCCACAGTGGCCATGGGAAAAAAATAAAAGGAAAAGGAAAAATAAAAAGAAAAGAATAAAAAGTTAATTAAAAAATTCGAAAAAATATATATTTAAAAATTGCCACGTCAGCGTCGGTTAGCATCCATGTTAGCGTCGGCCGGCCAAGATTGATCGGATGGATTGAATTGGTACAAATGCAAAAGGTTCATGACTAAATTTGCACATAAAAAAAAAGGTTTATGACTGATTTAGAACGATTATAATACGTTTAGGAGTTTTTTGATAATTTTCCCGAGAGAGAGGAGATAAAACACCACGGCAACGACATGATCCGTGGTGGCCTGGGCGGGGCTTGATGAGAATGATAAGGAGGGATATGGCATCATGCCCAAAAGAAGATGCTTGCAGGGGCGTGCCGGAATACCAAACAGAGATCGGTCCGAATACGGTGCTGATTTGAACCCCCCATCTTGCGTCGTAATCTCGTTTGTCCATGCCCGAGAGAGAGACAGAGACAGAGAGAGAGAGACTAAACCTTTTTTAACTTGCGTGATGCTCTTGTCCTTCCCTTCCCAAAGCTCTATAGTGCGCCAAAGTGCTACTGTTGCTTTCCAATGGACATTCGAGGGGCTACGCATGCAGAGAGGGGGAAAGGCTGGTCCCTTGCCGATTGGTCAGCTCTTATCACTTGACTTTACTGGTCCTTCTCTCCTTCCAGATTCAGGACTTCGTGGCAGGAAACCCCGGCATCAGGACAATTTAGTGCACAGAAGTCTAACGCATCATACATCGATGTACTTTTCACCCGAGGCAATTGCGTGCTTATGCTACAGAAGATTCCGTGAAGTGATAACATTTTGAATGGTAGCAGCATGCGCGCTTTGTTGTCATTGCTTCGAGATTGACTATGAGTTATCTCTTGCGAGTTGCTTTCGCGTGAACTCTGGGACGTTATACTAGTTGATACCGATTGAAACCATTAGACATAGCCCATCTACAATAAGTACAATGAAAAGGTACGTGGATAAAACTTTTCCAATTTATACCCCTAGTTTTTACGGACTTTTGATGCTACTATGAAACCCGATTGTTTAGTGTCGATTTCGTAAGCTCGCATTTAGTTCTTGAGCTATGAGTATTGTAGAGGCTAAATTTATTAGATTGAGCCGATCGCGCTTAAAGAATATGTGGGATTCACATTGGGTCTCGCTTAAAAACGCAAATTTTCTTACAAATTCTGTATTGTGATTGATTCCATCTACTACGTCATGATCCATAATGTATGATAGATTCGTTCTTGTTCCAACAAAATAAGTATGGAAAGCCTGATAACCTAAAAAAGATAAAGCAAAGCAGGCATTTGTTCATTGGATGGAAAGAAAAAAGCACACGGATTGCATTGAAAGGCTCACTCATCGCCATTGAAACATCATTGACATTGGAAAACGGTAGATGTTGAAGGCCATGCAAATAGCATTCACGTATGAGATCTATATTACTGGGCTCTCAGTGGGCTTGAGGCGAATGGGATGTTATCCTCATCAGGAATCAGCTTCTGCCACCCGAATTTCGCGACCAGATTGTGTATGAAAATAAGTATTTCGAGGCGAGCGTATTCCTTGCCGGGGCACATCCGAGGGCCGCCGCCGAACGGTATGAGAACGTGAAGGACGGCGGACCGTTTCCTTCAAATCATGACGTACGGGTCAAACCTGGAAATACTTCGGGTTCTTGTGCGTCGAATGTGCTGTCCAATATGCCTGCAAAACATCACGACAGTAATTTAAACATGATTTACAATGACGCCCTTTGTTCTTTTGAAATGGGTTTGACAATGTTTTGAAGGTTGGTTAGCCCAAAATAGCTAAACAGAATATGCGCTGGGATTCCTATGTCTTTTTCCTAGCCCAAGGCCAAGAACACTCACAATTTTAAGGAAAAAATTGGCAAAAAAGTCCTAAACTTATTACACGGCGGCCAATTCTATCTTAATCCTTTCAGTTGTGCCAGATTAGTCCTAAACCTATTGTATGGAGGCCAATTCAGTCTTGAACTTTTTAATTATGCCAATTAGTCATTAACAATTTCAGGATTTGCAAATTTAGTTCTAAACATTTTAACGAATTACCAATATCGTCCTTTCGGCTAATTTTGATTGGAAATTGCTGACGTGGCGGTCCAGTCAATTTCGGCTGTCTTATGTGGTCTAGCCGACAATGACGTGGATAATTTTTATTTTTTGAAAAAATTTCGATTTTTCTTTTCTTTTCTTTTTTTTCCTTTTCTTCTTCATTATGGCAGCAGGGCCGCCGGCCATTGGCTAAGAGCTGGCGAGGGTGTGGCGACCCTTGCTGATTTTGGGCGAGGGCCTAGGTGACGGCTCGCGACACCCTTGCCGGCCGCAACGAGGGCAGCGACTCTCGCCCAGGGGCTGGCAACCCTTCTGCCATAATGAAGAAGAAAAGAAAAAAAAGAAAAAGATCAATATAAAATAATAAAAAAATTGTCCGCTTTAGTGCCGACCGTGCCATGTAGGACGGCCGACGCTGACTGGACTACCACGTCAGCAATTTTCGGTCAAAATTAATCGGAAGGACTACATTGGGAATTCGTTAAAAAGTTTATGACTAAATTGACAAATCGTCAAAATATTTAGCACTAAATTGGTACAATTGAAAAATTTATGACGGAATTGGCAAATTGTCAGAAGGTTTATGATTAAATTGGCACAATTGAAAAGCTTAGGATTGAGTTAGTCGTTATATAATAAGTTTAGGATTTTTTTGGATAATTTTACCTTTGCAAAAAGCAAGCGTTTTTTTTTGTGCTGACGGGAACGGGGGTGGCTAAGACAGAGGGTGTCGAGAGACTCTCTATAGCTTTTGGCCTACTCTTTAGCTTTTTTTGGCCAATAGTGAAAATTTCTTTTTTTTTTAAAAAATTACTCTTTCGCTTTTGCGAGTTGGTGTGTTCATGTTTTGGTTTCTTCTTTGAAGCTGTGATTTGACGAGAGGGACGTTGGACACGAGCAGGAAGGAGGATGGGCCCACCAGATATTTTCTCGGAGCGAGTCGGTCCATTTCATTTTGAGAGATGCTCTGCAAAGCCATACATGGCATGATGCCGCGTGTCGATAGGGTATAATTCTGATGAAGAAGAAGGAAAAAAAAATTAAACAACAAAATAGTTATTGCAGTATCTCGTGGACCTTCCGTCCTTTTGGGACGGTGAAATTTTGCGTAGTTAAACTCAATCTGCTATGGCCTCTCAAAATGCTCCTTGGACAGTGTTCATGTGCTAGTTTCTTCTTTGAAGCTGTGATTTGACGATGGGACGTTGGACATGAGGAGGAAGGAGGATGGAAGTCGGCAAAGCTGGTTCTTTTGTTGGAGGACAGGAAGAGAGAGAGAGAGCTGTCTTCAATCAACCAAGAGCGAGGCAGCAGTCAGCAGATGCTTCGGCGGAAGAGAGAGAAAGTGGGACCCAAGGACGACACGCGACGCCGCCGGTGTCGTCCATTGAATGGGCCGGTCCACCATATATTTTCTCGGAGCGGAGTCGGTCCATTTCATTTTGAGAGATGCTCTGCAAAGCCATACATGGCATGATGCCGCGTGTCGATAGGGTATAATTCTGATGAAGATCGGGAACAACATAGTTGTGCAGTGTCTCGTGGACCTTCCGTCCTTTTGGGACCGTGAAACCCGCGTAGTTAAACTCGGCTATGGCCTCTCAAAATGCTCCTTGGACAGGAGGTGCTAGCCTCATTGACGTGCGAAGTACGTCGTGTGCTTGCTCATCCGGTCGTATATGAACTTCTCCGGCTTCGCTTTTCCCTCGCCGCCATGACGTATTCCTGGGTTTCACCTATGACCGGCCAACCCAACCCGGCGGGAGGTTGGCAGGAGTAGATTTGTGCCTAGGAAGATGATGCAGAATGAGGAATAGGACAAGGCGATGTGAAGAGCGTCAGATAAGAAAAGGTCCATGATGCCTGGGGAGTTACTGATAAATGGTAGTGAACATTAAAAACAGTGATTAGAAGAGACATGGATAAGCAAGATAAGAAGCCCGATAAATCTCGGATTGTACATGCAAATTTGTTGTTTTTTTTAAGATTCCATCCGAGGTTCAGTTGTAACCTCTGACTGCATTTGGTCGTCTGGATTCGGATTGAGATATGGTAAGATAAAGTATGATTGAAAATCCTTCCAATTTCCTCCATATTGTAGTAAATCCCATCATATGTTTGGTACAACTAGGATAAGAGTCCTTGAACATTTTCATATAGTTCACGGACTAAATTGAACACGTATTAAAAGTCCAGGGGCCCCATTGAATATATTAAAAGTTCAGGGATTAAATTGAACATTCGGCTAAAGTTCATGGACTACCTTGAACAAGTCAAAAGTTCAGGGACCAAATTGCACATTTGTCCAAAGTTCAGGGACTGTTTGTGTCATTTTCCCTGAAAAAACGGCTACTTCCCCAAAAATCCCGCCAAATTCAAAGTCCGACCCTCCCAATTTGGCTATTCAACGCTACAAATTCCCCCACAAATCTCTCAAATTCTGCATCTCTCCAGTCTTGGTTTCATGCAGGTTCTGGTCTCATCTGATAGTCGCAAAGACTTAGTAGAGAAAAGCCCAAATGACATCGAGATACCAGCCGAATCCAAATCGAAAAGCGGCAATGAGCAAGTGACTGAATGAACCACAAAGGGCAAATCAACATTGATATATCCAAGAGAGACGCTAAATCTGTTCACCAAAACTCGCTGTTGCTGAGAGCATTTGGGAATGCCAATTGGCTTCGATTTCTCCTGCTTCGCCTCTCTCACGTTCAAGATTCTCTTCTTCGCCATCGCTGCGAATTCACACGAAACAATCCATTCAGTTTGCTTTCGGGAAACACAGAGAGCGAAGGACGTGAGCTAGCGAGAGAGACCTAAAAATTGAAGAAGGAATCGAGTAAATGACAACAATAGTAAAGATCGTACTCGCGCAGTGATTGGAAGTGACGATCACATTTTTTTTCAATTTTTTTATCCAATCCGAGTTTTATCCCATCTCTGTCCCGGATTTCTTATCCAACATTTTATCCCGGTAATATTCGGGTTTATGTAATCCAAGAGACGTCCACAAACACTGGATAGAGTAATTTGTTATCATATCCAAACTCAAATCCGGATTACCAAACGCAGCCTTTTCACATAATGCATGCCGGGCTTGTGGGGGCCCACCATATGTTGTTGTCACTTGTCAGCTCTCTCTCTCCTTGGGTTATTCACAATCCCAGCTCAATCAGCCCCCCGCTGATTTGACTCATCGTTCCCGGACTAAATTCCAGAGCCATTACGAGGTGCATCGAGTCCGTATGACCCAATATATTGCAATACTCAAACCCGTTCGAGTCAAATCATGGGCCATTATGCGTCAGGGTCACGTACGCCTGGTACACCTAAGAATTTTCCTTCTATGATCCGTCCGGCAGCATCCTGGGCAATTTAATCGGCAGTTTTTGCAGCGGCACCCTGTGCCAAGCGAGAAGAAACTGCTCGAGTTGCTAATCGTGGATAAGGAACGGCTGATTGCATGAATCAAGTTAGTTAGAGAATTTGAATGCGCAAGAAAAATTGACATTTAGCAAGAGCTAAGATAAGACACCAAATGGTCCTCAACTCTAAATCCCCTCGGTTATGAGAGTTTTTGCTTGCACCATCCGCAAAAAGTCATTAAGACGTGAAGGTGCACTCAGAGAATGGGCACAAAGGAATATGTGATCTGCATTAGATGAGGAGCATATGATGAACACGAAATGAAATAGGTAATAATGTAGCTGAATCTCGAAAATTGCAAATATCGAGTTCTTGTTGTTATTTGAGGTGATTCTTGGAAAGTCTATTTGGCTCGAGTTTAGCACAAGATGAGAAGTGCAACCGCATTGGCAGTTGGACAACATCAACAAACGAAACTGACTGAACCAGAACTATTTTTCACAGCGGTCATATATGATCTAGACTTTCCACGTTGGTCATGCTACAGAAGACAACCTCTTACAATCAGACTTTACATTGGCACAGCCGCACTGGAGTACTCGCTGCACCAGTAAGCGATGATATCTGGACCAAGTTGAATCTGTCGCTCTTAGCATCTCTCGAAGATCTTGTAAAGCTTCTCCAATGAAGCCACCTGAATAACAGAAGGGTCACTAACTAAGTTAACTACATTGTCCGTATTCCCTTTCCAATCCAATCTTTACATTGAACAAATGAGAGGCGGTAAAAAGCTGCAGTCAGCTCGGCTCAATCATCAATCACTTTGGTGAAGAAAGTGCATAGGCAAAACTCAGCATAGAAAGCGTACATTATTGCACGATGTGTTGAGGTCCATCTCCACATGTGACGTGGAGTAGAAGTATTTTCACAAAAATAGCTCAAATTAAGGGTAGTTGATTTGCTCTTCCTACAATGACATAAAGGATCCCAATAGATTAGAAATCTAGATTAGTACCTGGACAAATGTTCCATTTGCAGCCATAGAAGCTGGTGGCTTCAGAAAGAGTCTCAGGGAAGGAAACAAGACATGCTGAATTGACCATTCTCGCTGCGACCAGGCCATCTGTGCCTCGGACAGTAGTTCGTGATCAATCTCATCCTCCGTCTTATTGTCATTGCCTGGACAGAAAGGAACACACAATATGAATATTCCACCCTTTACCTTTCTTGTTTCTGAAGCAAAAAATAATTTGTATCTTGATGGACATGCTTGCTGGTGGCAGATAAGAGGGCGAAATGTTTAAAATAATATGTACAAAGCTATATTGATCCATCCCTCTATGAAGCAAGTCATCACAGCTATCATACTCTTCTGAAAGGACTATTATCTTGTTTCTTCTGTACATGATCCCAAGAATGAAAATAGTAAAATGCAAATCCATCATCTTGAAACAATAGGACAGGCCAAAAGCCGGAAACATGGGATTTTAACTACAACATATTAAAATTATAACGAGCTTCTAACTCAGCAAAAAACAAAAAAATAGTACTGTAGTAAATCAATTTTCGATGATCTACTTGGTTCATCTACATCTGAAGATACATGAGCGACTTGTTACCAATCTTTGTGAATATATCTGCATAATAGATAGCTATAAGACGAATCTCAAGTTTGAAGATTTGTTGCAATCATGTAAGTGAAGCAAACACCTTATATATCACAAGCCATGAGAAATAAAAGAATAAGCAAAAAAAGAACCAAAAGAAGAATGGGTTAATGATGTGGGAAGATCAATGATGCAGGAATCCTATCAATCTTTCCCACTGGAAAAAAAAATGGCTTCAACGAGCTTCTTGGATGTCTTTTCCATCCAACTAGCTAGTAGAAATACTTCAAACTCCAAATATTGTCTGGGCATAAGCTTCACAACTAGTTCGTTCAGTGCCCAAGACGAATGCTATAATTACAGACTTAAGTGCAGACACCAAGCAAGGAGTAGGATCCACTGACAGCAATAAGAATATACCTCCATCGTCAGAAGCACTGAGATGCTTGCTCCTTTTGTAGAATTGCAGACCATCACCAGAGGGATTGGGCAGCAGAGGAGTATGCATAGCATAGAAGTTTCCCAAAGCAGCTGAAATTCCTTGTAGACAATTCTTCTCATCCTCCCAATCAACCTGCGACAACAGTTTTTATGCAATTTAAGCAACAAATCCATTCAGAGAAGAGCAGTGTTAGAACCTGGCTATGGATCCCATCTGTCTTCCTGTCGTAAAGAGACACTTTCATGTGGCATTAAAGGGGGAAAGTAAAATGTTCAATGATAAATGCATTATACCGCTCTTCTAAATTGTCCGAGGGAAGAAACATCAAATAATCATAATCACCTTAATGATGTGTTCTTCTCAGAGAAGCTAATACATCACTCGGTTTAGGATATCAAGTTTAGCTTTAGCCATCTTCTCTTGGTCTCTCTCTCAGAAACACCTACATCACTCAGTTTCCATGCATCTATGGGTTTTGTGAATTTGAAAAGCTTGAATATTCCATCGAGTTGCAAAAGAGCATAAACTGTGAGTCTAGAGTTAAAACAAAGGATTTTTTTATGCGGACACTTCTGAAGATTGGACAGATTTTTATTCCAATAATTTGGAAAAAAAATTTCCTGAATTTGATGCGGCAGCGGTTTATTAAAAGAATTTCACAGACCATATTGATAGTAAACTTTCTCATGGACAAAACGATGACATAATATGGGAGAGAATGAACAAAGGTTGTGAATCCCTTGGTGAAATGTGATAAGATGCAAGGGATCTAGTACACAAATTTTAGCACATATGCTTTATAAGAATGAAGAATGATAATTCAAGAATGCTGAGATAACACAACAGGAAAAAGTATAAAAACAGCTCAGAGATGAGAAAATTGATGACAACACATACATCATTTCCCAAACAAAGGACAAACTCAGGGAGACGATCCATGTCAGGTGTATATTGGTCAAGAATGACAGGAAGCCAGCACAAATTGCTATCTTCATCTACATGAACGCAAAAATACTCATCCAGCAGTTCGGCCTTTTGCTTGAGCAGGTTGGTGTTCAGCTGAACCCAAAAAGAAAAAAAGGATCAGAAGTAATATCAGCCATAAAACCAAGTAAAACACATGGCTTAGCTAGCCAAATTATACAATCATTAGACTATTATATTCTCTCCTACCAAAAAAAGAGATAAAAAACAGTGTCAGGACTGAAAAGGAATGAAACATTGATAGAGGGATATTATAAGTAGAGTAAGGAATTTTACAATCTTCAATGACAGTGTTAAGGAGTATCGAGAAACTTTTTGAGCAAGCTTGAAGTTATAACCTCAAAAACAACCCAATAATCCCATTGTCCGCTCAAATGCACCAGCAGTCATTAAGCGAACCACAGTAAGAGAATCAAGAAACCACAACAGGTGAGGTCTTTTTCGTAATTTACTTCATTTGGGTCAATACATGGACCATGTGACAGTTGTTTTTCCTTTGAGGTAAGAGGTGCAAGGCTTTTCAAATCAATGTGAACTGCGATGTCCTTTCAGTATGTTTTTTTTTTTTCAAGTCAATAATCAAAAAGGTACTTTATGGACCATGCCACCTTAGATTCTCAATTTGTGGAAGAGAAGTATTCCTCGGTAGAAATGTAGATGTCAAGCTTTGGAACAGTGTTTTCCTCTCAAGAATGGTCTAAAGCATTTGGTTAGAGCAGATACTTATAATGAAAATGTCTCTCAATCCCATGAAACGTTGCCATGCAAAACTTGAGGTGTCCGATAACATTGAGAAGGTAATATGTGCAAATCCTTTCCTAAATAAAATTTTGTTTGATTGTATATTTCAGATGCTACTCTAATCAACCTGAAGGTGAAACATACTTCACAGCAGATGTTTGAAAGGCCATACTTAAGTTTCTGAAGAAGTATCGCAAAATTAAAGAGGAAAGTAGAAGAGCTTTCAAAAGCCTGTTTGTTTGGACTTTATATGATAGCAAAAAAGTTGCTTTCCACTAAAATTTAAATTATTACTAATTTCAGCAAATTATGAAAAATTTATATGTAATCTATATGTCAACATTTGAGTGTTGTAAAAGTTTCAGGAGTCGAGATTAAATTAAGCAAAAGCAAATAGTAAAAATTAACCCAAACAGTGGGCACTTCAATGGATACACAAACTGAGTTCCAAATCTCATGTTTCACATTACACATTACAAATCATCAACATGCATTTAATTAGGAATAAACACGAGCAATGCCTCTAAAAATGAAAAATCTAGACTAGCTTTATGGCTTGTTGCATAAAAAGGTTCAACTATTCCATGTTAAAAAAGAACAACTATTCCAAGATTATAGAAAACAACCATTCGATGTTAATCTTCAAGGAGAAAGAAGAAGCTAAAGGCAATTGATATACTACGTAGTGGAACTAAAAGGAGGTCAATATCACAGAACATCTATTGAAGAAGTTCATTAAGGATACAAGACATTGAAAGAGCAGATTAAAAAAGAAACACAGGACACAATCACAGAGGCAGTGGCAACGTAGTAGTATCCCTTTAGTGATTCACCACCCCATCATGTGATTCACTACCATGAGGGTTGTTTAGATTTTTCTGGTATTTCTCCATACCATCAGTCAAATTCATTAACTTTGCCATGATGCCAATCCACCAATAGTTTTCTAAATTTGACTTAAGAGTACCAATGACAAGATTAGGCTATCAGAATGGCTTAGCAGAACCCTATATATCTGTCTCTTTACTAATTTGATGATGCAGGACCAAAATATGTGCATTAATTGATATTCAGCAGAATCTTCGACATGGTATATAAATTTTCATTCTTGGGTTTCTTTTGAAAATTGAAGTCTCCGATCTACAGCCACTGCTATAAAGAATGACATTATAGTGAAGTTACGAAAGAGAATACCAAGGTTCCTTAAAAAAGAAGGCAAAATGGAAGCTTGATCATCGCAAATGATTTACTCCTCAATTTCACAAAGTTTGAGGTTTCTTGATAATCTTTTAGAAAATTCATGCCACCCATATAACTTTGAATTGTTTCTATGATCCTTCGTCATTTGCACCAATGATAGAGTTATCTATTAAATCATTAGCATTTTTGCAAGACTATCAACTACCTTGTATATACATTAATACCGATAGCAAAATTTCAAAACAAAAGAGCTAGCAAAGTTGCATATTCAAACTTTTCTCTAAATGATGCACTATTGGCTCCAGTGACATGTCAGAGGAATTCAATTATTTATTACGAATAACACAACACTAATCCTAAAAAATCTAGCATAAAAGATACAGCACAAACTGAACTTACAACAAGTCAATTTACCCACATAATCTTGTCACTTTGGCTGACCCTTCCCTAGATAGCGATTATTTGAGATAGACTGAAATGATATTTGACCTTTTTAATATTACTTAAAGTAAAAAACTAGGTAATACATTATGAATTTGACAAAATACTTCTCGGTCGACAAAAACAGTACTTCAAATGAAGTTTATAATGCTCGTCTGTCTTAGGCATATGAACAAGCAGGGATCAAACAAAGGCAATTGATAAGGAAATAACTCACCTCTGCAATCTTCTTCTTTAAATCGTCATTCTCAGAGCATTCTGGATCCAAATCCTCCTCTTTTAGGGCCAAAGTAATCAATTCTGGCAAGGGTGCGGGATCACTCAGCTTTATACCATTGAAATGTGCAAAACGGCGCAAGACTTGCTGATACATTAGCTCCTTGCTGTAATGCAGAACGTCCTAATTTCAGTATTGTCATGCATTGAAAAGGCACCAAAAGGCAGCCGTAAACTCATGATTGAGAAGGAAAAGACACATTTAGCTACTTCCGAGTACCAACTTGAAGTATTTATCGACAAAAAGGTAAAAGGGTAATCTCCTAAGAAGGAAGATAGCTGAAGTGTGGAAGAGAAAGAGGCCAAAAGATATGATAAATTAGTGGATCCTATATGCCAACGTATCAGACAGGAGGTACAGCATCATGGAATCCACATATCTGGGCTTCACACCATATATTGGGGGCTTTGGTCATGATTAAGAGTGAGCTCACAAGCCAACTAGTTTGCTGTCCAGAAACAGTTGACTTAGTTTCTACAACTATGGAACAATACATCATAAAAAAAACTCCAAGATTCTAAGGGAAGAAAGATAAACAGTACTAAAGATAAGGCCAAAGCATGTGGATGGAGATAAAGAAGACCAGTTTCCATCCACCAGATTTTTATGACGACATACATCAATGTACCAAGCAACAACCAGTTGAAGAGAAAGTATGTCTCAGCAACACAAAATGAGGGTTTGGCTCATTTAATCCAGGAAAAGAAAAAAATGGACTCAGCCACCGAGTCAACTGTAGAAAATCAATCTTTTCTCAGCAAGATGAGAAAAGGGAATATGCACAAGTTACAGCAGCAGAACTAAATGAATATAAGAACAAAGTACAAAGTTATGCTAATACCACTAGAATTCAGTGAGCATAGGGCTGAAAGTACTACCTCAAATTTACGACATTTGCGAGATAAAGATTAGTATTATGCTGAAGTAATGCATAAACATCATCTGCCATTCCAACATATGTGCAGTGTCTAACGATGTCCAGCAGTCCTACAAACAAACCAAAGCAATGCATCAGATAACTATATATATACTCACAAAGTTTTGTAATTAGCAATCAATTAGTCAATTAAGTCTCGTAAAGAGCTCACCAGAGTGGCACTTTGAATCAATTTCATCTACAAGCTCCTGAATACTTGAAAGATCTGCAGTTTCCTTAGGGTTTCTTCTTTGCCGAATTGAAGATCTGCATAAACCCAGAAATACAGAGACAGTGACAGAGCAAAGCATGCGAAGTTGCTGCAAAATGTCAAAAATAATAATAAGTATCTTCCGATTATTCCCAAAATTTTGTCCACAAGTTTCAAGAAAGGGTAACCGCATGAAGTCAATTTCGTCAATCATGAGTTTAAAACATCAAGAGTATATACTGACCGTCTTCCCTTCACTTGTAGATACATATTGTATTTCAAGATCATGACCTTCGTCAAACCTTTAAGGATTAAAATTAAACAATTCACTTTTAAAGCTCAAGTCTGAAGTTATTTGTTAGTTTAGCTAGCATCTGAGTCACCAGTTACCTTTATATCAGACAATACATGCATTCAAAACCATACTATGAGTCCATAATTACAATGGATACTTAGAACAAATATATGGTCTGATCTGGCAAAGCTGTCCATGAAAACGTCAATTACCTATTGTAAGAATAAATGTAAAACTAAAAAGACAGAAAATAATTAGAAGCTGCAGAAAGCCACACTTGAGAAGCTGGGAGACTGAAGAATGACATAATGATTTATGTGCTAGAATATGACTAATGTTTTTAAAATCAGAAAAATTTTACCAAGACATTGGCCCCAACAAATTTATATGCCATACCAAATATCCACACAGCGGCAAATATAAAATGCTACTGTCAGAGTAAAGAAAGAATTTGTACTACTAGAAACCAATCTGGGCCACTACCTGACGGCAGTCAAGCTATTACTGTTCTCCAGATTGGTAAGAGGCTTGGCCTGTAAATATGCATGCAACCTTCCAGCAGGATCTAATGAATCCGTTCTAACCATCTTCTGCACAGGCACTTTTTGTGATTTTGGTCCTATTCACATTGAAGCAATAACAGAAAAACTTAATAAGCGGCAGTCCATAATTCAGATAATACAGTGAAGTGTGACAATTTGAGACTTTAACAATCATTAGAAAGCTCTCTAAATGCTATTCCATGTAGCCACATGAGCGCCTAATAATCTTTTATCCATTACTTTACATTGAGTAAAAGCTGAAAAGCAACTTCTGTAAAAAGTAATATACAATAGTATAAAAGTGGACATTAACAATTTTTACCCAATCAAGTACAAATAAAATGTCTATTGTAATAAAATAACATAACTACATGGTTCCATAAGTTTTAATCCAAAGACAATTTTGGAAACAAAAGCATCAAACAAATTATTTTCCTATTATTGACCACATAACTGGAATGTTGTAATTGTTGCCATTGTAGAAATACTCAGACGCTTAAGTGCAAGTTTTAAAATTGCTAGATGCAAAGCATAATTGTTTGAAGACATCGGATGCAAATATACTCACCACCATGCCACCCAACTAAAAAGGTGTAAACTTCACTGTAAGTAACGACAATGACTTCACCATAAGTGACAACAATGACTCATGATATTTCCAGCCAAGCATTTTCCAAAGAAAATTTGCAAAAGAGCATGCAAATCGATCATGCAAGTTGGTATAGTGAAGGCAAAAGGATTACATTCACATTGCCAAAACTGAAAGAGAACAATTTTCTTACTGGATGAAGAGGGATTATAGTGACGATCCTTGCTTGTAACCATAGGACTTGCAATAATAGGACAAGATGCTGAAGGCTCTACTGTCTGGTACCCATAATATCAGAGGACAAACAAAGAAAACAACAAATGGATTAATTAGCACGATCCATACAGCAATGCAAGAATAAGCCCTTAACACAGGAGAAGATTCATTACAATGCTTGAAGCAGATTAGAAGCACATGCTGATAAGTAAAAGCGCTGCTGGCAAAAAAAAATGCAAAAACGATGGAAGATGTATCAAGTGCTAACTCTTTGAGCATTCACAAAGTTTAGAACACCTGCTTACTAAGCATTCCATATGTTAAGAAGGATGAATAACAATGAAGGAAAAAGATCTAATATTATGGAAAGACAAACTTAAAGGACATTGTTCTACTGTCTCAAGTAATCCTTTAGTAGAAATCTAAGATATGAACATTAAATCCAACAATTTACTTTAAAGAGAGACTCCGAACAACCAAAATATCAAAAAGGTGTCCAAGAATACATTACCTGTTCTTGAAATGTCCTTGCTTCATTTGAATTTCTCAATTTTGATTCAACCACAGACTGAATCTTCCCAATTATAACTTCTTGACTCAAGAGGCTTACCTGAAAATTTAATTTTTAGCAGTATCCTGTCAAGAATTTTCCACAAAGGCCAGTAATGTGCAATAGCCATTCTCTTTCATGATTGCAAGCACTATGCTTGGGGCATGCTTAAAAAATTTTATGCAGCAGACTTCATCTGTTCTTGCTCCACTTGCCACCTAGCATTCGAACCTACAAGTTTGACCATTCTCCTCCCTAATCCCTCTCTAAACAACGCCAATTGTTAGGCTTTACTAACACCAAACAGCGAAAAAAATGGCATTTCTTAATTGGAAACCTGACCTAAACCTCCAACTGTTCTTTATGGAAATGTGGGAGTGTGCAAATAACAAGCAGTACAAAACAAGTTCCGACATCACTGCCTGTACTGACAAGAAAGAGGCACTAATTACAGTTTCTTCTCATAACAACTGATAAAGGACAATGGACAGAGAAATGCATGCCAAAGACATGTTGCCACATGGCGCCATCATAATGTATATACGAACTGAAAGGATATAGTGTGCCAGCATGTTTCAAATCATCAAAAGGGAGCTTGTATATAGCAAGTGAATAAACCATACAAGTTGTCCAGCTCAGATGGTGTCAACATATTATTATTCTAAACTAGTTATAAATAATAGAATGTACCTTTAACTTTGGGCCGCATAAATAACATTAAAGACAGCTTTTATATAAACTGAGAAAGGCATTTTAATGCATGCATTCTATATATGTTGAAAGGATTGAGTGAGGAACAGTAACGGGGCGATGTGGCTTCATGAGGACTTTTTAATGAATTTTGATTTTTTTACCACACTCTACTACTTTTCACCTAATCCAAAATTACAAGTATTTTTGAAAAAATATTGAAGAGGTGATGAGTCTTTTGAGGATTCTTTAATGGTTTTGATTTTTTTTCCCTAATCTCACCCTTTAATTATGTCCATTCTTAATTTTTACAAACAATGAAACTACTATATGAGTTTATGTATATGTACAAAATATACTGATATAAATAGTATCAAAGTGATGTGGTCTCTCCTAAAACTAATATTCGAACTACTAATATTAAAATCTAACCAAAAAAAAACTACTAATATTAATGAAAAGGGATTTGAACAATAAAGATGATTACTTATGGTAGTGCGATAACGTGTTGCTGTCAGAAAAATGAGTCGTATTTTTTAATAGGACCATGCATTACTATTCTTAATTTGTACACCAACCAAAAGTATTGTATATAAAAACCAAAATGAGATTAATTTTACATAGTAAAGGATGATCTATTTAATTTTTGGAAATTTTGCTTGGAGATTAATTCTTTCCCGCATTTCATACTTCATTCTGATGCTTACTTTCTATATAACCTTAATATCCTAATAAGAAAAAATCAGACGTTCCTGCATCATCAATTTCTCTCCAAAGCAGGGTCGTGCAGATCTATGATGAAGTTATAATTTTGACCGGCATGGGTATGTCAAGCAAGTAATGCAATGAGTAGTGCTCCAAGAGTAAGCATAAATTTTCTCATATCCAACCCAATTAGCATTGTCGCACTAACAAAAAGATCTTATCTTCTCTTATAGTTATTTTTTTATGCTCGGCAAATACTTTATTTAATAAATTCGAGGAGTTTATCACTTTACAAAAATGTTGCAGTGAACTAACATTTTCATCATAATCTTAATTTATCGTAAAGTTTGAGCTCAGAATGTATTTGACTTAGGAGGTGCTAGTCTTTGCCTGTGCATGGCACGGGTTATTTTCTAGCAAATTCTTTAAAGCACCATATAGAGAAACCAGAAATTGGAGCACGTACTTTAAGTTGTTTTAACTTTCTTCAATTTCACTTGCAAAGCAGCATTTCTCTCACCACTTTAGGTAGGAATGAACAATAGTCTAATATCCATATATACAGATAAATATGCTAATATGTTACGGATGCAAACCCAAAGAAGAGCGGAAAGATGGAAGGAAGAATAATGGACGTCAGAACAGCATCGCAGAGTTCACCTCCAACATTCACATCAGCAACAATTACAACAATATTAGGAAATAAGAATTTCCAAATCGTGAATATGAATTTTCTAAACCATCAAACTTGCAGTTTTTGTACATAAATGTAAGAAATATTACCTCTCGTTTTGTCGGATGAACATTTACATCAACATGCTCAGGTGGCAAGGTAATTGCCATATATATGAAGGGTTTTGATGCCTTGGGCAAGGTTGCAGCATAAACGACTTCCATTGCTCTTTTTAATGCAGTGCATTCCACTATTCTATCTGCATGAAACAGATAAAGCTATGACTTATATCGTATATCCAGATGAGTAGTTCATGCCATACTACCCATAAGCTATACTCAGGACTGACCAAAAGAAGCTAGCTGCCAACACATAATAGAGAGTACTTCTAGGGAAGAAGTTATTCTAACAAAACATCTCCCCCAAGAAACTGGGACGCTCTTATGCTCCAAACTTTATCTGGAGGACTTTCCAAGCAAATACGAAAGAGCTCAAGCATCAAAATATTGGAATGTATTCCAGGGACATGAATGAAAGTGATCAATCTCTATATAAACAAAGGGACTGAAAGAGACAAAAGGTGTCATCAATAGGCCAAGTATTTAGAGTAAATGCATCCACGCCACAAACTATTTCAAAGTAAGAAGAAAGAATGCAGTTTTGACTTTACACGCCTCTGGTCATCACTAAGCAACAGTAAGTGGTAACAGAAGAAGGGGAGGGAAGATGGCAGCTTCAATCATCGGACAAACTTTCCATGAATTATGGAAATTAATTCAGTTACATGAGCTTGTTTCGATAACCAACATAACAGGAAATCGTACAAACCGTTGATGAAAAGAACCATCGTGGTCTTCTTTGCACTGTAAGATGAATTGGAAATGAACCCATTCATCTCAAAAATAGAGCTGGAAGGATCATCGTCCCGAGCTTCCACTTTCAGCAGATTGTGAGCAACGGACACACCATAAACAGACTTTATGGCGTCAAGCCTTGATGAAGTAGCAACCCTATGAACATCCGCTCTAGCAGCTCCATGCTGGTCAGAGCACGTGTTATCAAATTGCTCATGTAAGACAATAAGTACCTCCACTCATTGAACCAATAAAGACAAGATGGATAATGAAGATCAGTAAAGCAAAGAAGAGAAACCTTTCTGCAGGAGAAGCTTAAACCTATATGATGAATGGCAAATCTACTTAATAGGTCCACAATCTTTGAATAATCATCAGCTGAGTTCTGTAGGGTCTTCCTCCGAGCAACCATGTTATAGAATAGATTCTCAACCTATTAAGGAGTAAGCATACAACAAGAGATTGTGAAAATGGAAAACCACCTTCTATGCGAGTTTTGTCCATAAGGACGGATCTTGAAATCTAAATTCTTACAATGCGATCCATACCTTCTCAAGCAAATTGAGAACAAAAACAATATTTACTGCCTTGACATAAACTCCAAATAAATGAAGAGAATATATATCATACCATTATCTGAGTTCCTTTAACAGCAGCACATGCCTTTGGTTCATGCTCCATGACACCATCTCTATACGATACCCTGAAGAAATATGGAGGAACTATAAAACATGTGTTCCTTTGAATAAATCCCAAAAGCTTCGGCATCATTGTTTATTGTGACTACAGTCTTAAAATACTATTTTTCTATCCCATGGAAAACTTCCACTCCTAACTAATGAAATTGACTAACACAAAGAAATAAACATTATGCACATCCAGTCAATAAAAGCAAGTGTGCTAGGTAAAATTTGACTTGAAGCAACTTGTATCAGATAATAATTATGGTTGATCTCTCGAGATTAATAAATCCAACATATTTTTGTGTCCGATGGAACATATGTGAAGCTGACAACCATTCCCAGACCATCTCTCTCACTCTAAGACAAATAATAAACGAGAAAGAAAAACAGCCGCACGGAATTTTAGGTACACGAACATGACAAATAACTAGAAAACAAGCGAAACATGTAGAATTTACGCAACACGAAACAACTGAAACAGTCGAATAAGCATCTAATCTCTCTTCATCAATCTCCTACAATCCAGCAAGTAGCATGACATCGAATTACCTGTAACCATGCAGCTGTCCTTCAGTGATAGTGGTGACGGTAACATGGGCAACGTACGTCATGCTCGCCAGCGCCTCTCCTCTAAAACCCATCGACTGTATGGACTGCAAGTCCTCAAACGTGGACAGCTTGGAGGTCGTGTGTCTCTCACACAGGATAGGCAAGTCCTCATACTACGCCCAACAAAGCCAACAATTAACTCAAGCACCATACATTACAAGCTAAAAAGGACGACCCATATTCAAAAAAACTTAGCAATTGCTCGTCCCAACGAAACAAGTGCTCTGCATTCGTTCACAGGTTCCTCCTCCATAAGAAGCAACTACGAACTAGCGCTCCGTTCGCTTACTGAGAAACAACATGAAAAGATTTGATTTTTTTTCCCCTACTGCGTACGCGAATGCCGTGGCCGTCGTCGGAGACTTGGATGAGCTTGAGCCCGCCGTCCTTGACGGCGACGTTGATGGCGGTGGAGCGGGCGTCGAGGCTGTTCTCGACGAGCTCCTTCACGGCCGACACCGGCCGCTGGATGACCTCGCCGGCGGCGATCCGGTTCACCACGGAGTCGTGGAGCCGCCGGATCTTGGGAGGCTCCTTCGGCTGCCGCGGCGGCGGCGGTTCCGGCTCTTCGATTTCCATTCCTTCTTCAGCTCCGACTTCCGACCGTGAATTTTCCCGCCAATCGAGGGTGGCGATTGCTGTTAAATTGCCGGGCGGCGGCAGTTCCTGTTTTTCTCCTTAACTCTTGCCTTTTGGGGGCGTGAAAATTCACAGTCTTTGTAATTTTGGGATTTTTCTCCATTTTTTTTTTGGCCCATCGACTTGGATTCGGATCCCGATTCTATCCTAAATTTTTTTTATCTTGCAAAATGCATCGATCCAATGATACCGTTAGAGACCCGACGTATCATAATCAGTGATCTGCGAGCGTGTCGGGATGCACACAAACGATCATTCGGAACCACGCAAATCAAGCATAATTAATCACTGTCCAAACTGAAGGACGACAAGATCCAAGATGTTAGGCAAGATCACGGCAAGAGGAACCTTCAGAGCAAAGGAATACGAAGATTTGGACACCGACTGAAACTCGATGGAGCTAGATTTGGAATCCGAGCAAAAATTTGCATTTTTTTTTTGAGAAAAAATGTGTTTGGGCCATTTTCTTTTTATTGTCTAATGCTCCCTATTTTATGGCTCTCATGAACACAAATACTAATAGTAGAAATTACGTGTTATTTATCGACTTTTTTTTCGAAAAGCTAATAATATTAAATTTCATCAAAGAAGAAATCAATTACTAATACAATTATAGGATATTGCTAAAGAGATTACTTGAGACACTTATAAGATATACTATTTAAAGATATTTGCAGCTTTTCAACGCAATTTTTTTTCGACAAAAAACAATTATTTTTCGGTATGAAGCGTACTCATAGTCTTGAAAATCAAAATATTTCCAAAAAAAAATCTTTTGACAAAAAAAAAACATTCTTATCCAATTTTATTTAATTGATATCCGGACCACTCGTTAACGAAATTCTTTATGAACATTTTGCTTGGCTAAGTGTCTTTGTAATTACACTGGTTAATACCATGAAAAATTCAAAACTGATACACTTGTGATAAATTTACCAAAAACTAATTTTTTACCACCAAAAACCCAAAACTTATAGACCTATGATAAATTTACCCTAAACTAATTTTTTGACCATCAAAAATCTCAAATTGGTACATTTGTGACAAATTTACCCTTCGTTAAATTTGATTAATACCACGAAAAATCACAAACCGATATGCCTATGACAAACGAAGAGTAAAACCCCAAACTGGTACGCCTGTTAACTGCCACGTGTCATCCAACTCAGAAATTTGACGGTAAAATTTAATGGAAACTAGCAATGGCTAAAATTGTCACAAGTGTATCAGTTTTAGGTTTTTGATAATTAAAAAATTAGTTTATGATAAATCTATCTCAGGTATATTAGTTAATGATATTAACTAGGGGTGAGCATGGTTTGGGTGGGCAATTCTCACCCTAGAACCGGGAACCACCCATTAAGGACCGGCTCCGAAAAATTGAAATCAGGAATCGCCTGTTGGTTTCATGGATCCACTCGGGAACCGGACCGCTGGTCCGATCCGGTTCTTGGGTGGATCCATGGAACCGGTCCCACTAGCCAAGGATGGAGATGGAGACAGAGATAGAGACGAAGAGTCGGAGATGGTGAGATGAGCATTGATCGAGAAGAGTGAGAAAGCGAGAGTGAGCACGAGGCGAAACACAAAAGAAGATGTTTCTCGGCTCATTTTGAGGCCGTAAACGTCGAGCGAGTTAGGTTTAGTTTAGAGATTTAAGATTTTTTTATAAATAAATATTAAACTAATATATTATATTTATTATTATATTACCGGTCTGGTCCGGATGGGCGGACGGGCGTTCCACACCTGAATCGTGAACCGGACTAATACCCATCAGTTCCCAAAAATTGAAATCGGGAACTGGACTGTCAGGGCGACTTCCGATTCTTTTGGACACCCCTGGTATTAACCTCGTTACACTCGTGTCACCAAAAGCTCCACTTCATCATTACCGCCAAAATGTTATCTAGAGCAGAGCGTCGGTCTGTCTTTCTGATGCTGGAGGGAGCGACCACCAAACCGTGAGTCCGTGGGGGTGACACCATATCACCTTCATCGTCACCATCATCGTCATTAACATCTCTCTCTCTCTCTCTCTGCTGCGAGAACCGCTCGTGCGCAGTGAGCTTCCGCTTCCCTTCCTATGACTTTCGGTCACTGCCCCCCCATCGCTGCCGCCGGTCTCTGCGTGAGCCCCTCCACTCGCTGCCTCCTCGCCAACAATGCCCACCCGGCTCTTCTTCGCCCGGTGTGTCCGGCCCCAACCGTCCCCCGCAAGCCCGTCTCGCCGCAACTCCGTCGCCCTCTCTCTCGTTCCTTCGATCCCGTGACATCGTTCCCCGGGAGGAAGCGCCGCAGACGGCGTCGCCATCGTCGCTGTCTATTTCCCAGTGCTTCTTCTTCTTCTTCTCTGGAGCTCCCTCTCCTCCCTTTCAACATGAACGAGGTCAGTAGTGAGCTTTTTGTGGGCTGGTCTCTATGCTCTTCTTTTCGGCGTATTGTGGTGGACTGAGGTTGTTAAGCCTTTTTAACTCGTGGGTAGTGTCTCTTCTGGAAGCCTTGAAATGTTCTGTACCTAAATTCTGTACCTTGACGTGTGTTTGTCTGTCCAAACGCATGTAGCTTGGTAGTGTAGTTGCTTAGTCTCCCTTACTCAGATGCTTCTGAATTTACGAGTTTCTTTACTTGTTGAATTGGGTTGCTTTTGCTGCTAGAATTGGAATAAGAATAGATGGAGCTGCTTGTTGAAAATTGTTGTTTTGAGTCCTCCAGAAGCAGGGAGGATGAGCGTGGAAAAGTAAATAGACAGAGCTTATACATCTTTGCTTTGAGTCAGCTGAAAATTCATGGATTAAATATGGCCATAACGCCGAGATTTCATATATATTTGGAATCATAGAAACTTTCTCTCTAATTCTTTTTGTGATATTGTCATGGATGACGCCCATAGAAGAATGCAGCTCTAATAAGCTTGTTCGTCATTGCATGTCTCTCGGTTTTGTTTGATTGATACAACCTCCTGAACTCCAGTCAGACACCCAATATTTTGCTTCTAGTTAAGAATGGCCTGCTACTTACCTTTGTCAATTAAATAATCGCAGGTACTTGTTCCCTCCGAGACCAAAACACTACATTTGTATGAGGCTAGATATTTAGCCCTGCTGGAGGAGGTATAGTATCAGCATCATCTTCCTTGCCCTTAGTCCCTCATTCTCGTTATTAACAGGAATTTTTCCATGTTTTCTTGCAATGCATGCAAGTGTATTTGGAACTCTTCTTTGAGACATACGGGGAAGCATTTGTTCCCTACAACAGTTTGTCTTCTAATCTCCAGCTTAACATCTCCTAGTTTCATGCATTGTTATTGTTCGTTGAAACCATGAGATAGAGCTGCCTAATGGCATCTCTATGGCTGTGATCACTTATTTATATGCATATCCTCGTTTTACTTCTGATTCTGATTTTCCTCTTCTGTTGTCCATTTCCATCTTTTACTACAGCTGAAATATCGACTTCTCGAGTCCTTTAATATATTCTGTTATTCAATATCGATAAAAGCATGCCTAATAGGTTTCAAGGTCATCGGCATCAAACCAGTTGATACAAGTAAAACTTGAGTTTAACCTCTCTGCCAAAGAACTTCTACTGGTTAAGTTTTTTATACAAGAGTTGACAGTTTCAGGATTTTACACCTAAATTGTGAATTTGTTAATGCCAAAGATATGTTGTTATATCGTTGATCACCTAAAAGTGAATCTACTTTGTCATAATGTGTCTGCTTATCTTGAGTTTGAGGGCTCCAGATCAGTGTGAGTGATCGACAATTCACTCAAAGAAGGTCGTCCTATGTGGCCTTCCATATATCAAGCAAGAGTGTCTCATTTGATGGTAAATGTTGTTTTAGCTTTATGTATTCATATTTGGAAGTTTAATGAGGATTTTATTGCTTACAGTCTATGTCAAGGAAGAATCTCTTTGTGCATTTCTTGCTTGAGCCCATATATATACCTGGTTCATCGGATGGGACATCATTTGCGGCTAAATATGGTTGCCTGGTTTTGATAGAGAAAGTGAGCTTCTACTGAAAAAGGATGAAATAAATTAGAAATTTTATAATCGTAATATGGACGATATGACATTTAAATGAAGTTTCAGTGCTCTGCAGGTTGAACGGCTAGATGTTGGAGCGCTAGTTTCTATACGAGGAGTTGGCCGTGTCAAGCTTCTGAACTTTATACAGGCAAGCAGTTCAAGAATATTTCTGTTCGGTTCAGCCTGTTTTCTTTATTGTTATTTAATCTTTGACGTACCCAGCAAATTTTTTGGTGGGAAGTTATGTTTTTATTTTCTTTCTTCAAGACTGTTCTGTGCACAATTGCTGTTTTAAGAACATCCTCCTCTTGCAATTTCAATTTCCCTCTGCAACACTAGTTTTGGAAGGATACTCTTTTCTATCTAGTATGGTGGAAGGAAGACTGGAGGCTACCATGCATATTTTCACAGCATGAGTGCTTTAAAAGTTTGGTGAGAAGGTCTATGTCAAGTTGGCACGATTTAGGCATGTCATTTGTTCGTTTTCAAGACAGAAATTCTCTTGTTCTCTAAATATGTCCACTTAAGGGAATACTGGAGCATTGTCTGCATCTAGAATGCAATGGTCATACTTCTACATTGTGTATGTTTGATTTGGACAGGTCCGATAGCTGGTTGTGAAACTATTAATATATTTTTTGGATGTGTCTCGAGTTCTTTTTTTTTTTTTTTGTTGGCCATTTGAAGGTGTCTTGAGTTAGTATAACTGTACTCTAGTTTTTCTCGCTTTAACTTGTTTACAATTACTTGCAGGCAGAACCTTACTTAAAAGGTCTAGTCATACCAGTGCAGGACTCAAGTGCTGTAAATACTACTGAGACAAGCTCAAAAGTGGATCAATTAAAAGAGTCTCTTTGCAATTTAATTAAGCTGGAAATTAAACTCAAGGTATATTACTCTCCCTAGGAATATTCAGTCAGTTTTCTAATCCTTCGAGGAATCAACTAGAATATGGAACTACTGGGTTGTATATCTTGCGTTCTTCCATGTAGGAGTATTTTCATGGTCATTGTTATCATGTTCCATGATTCATGCAAAATCATTGCTTCTTCTAATCTACCTCTCGTTTTTTCATACCCTCTTGATGTAATTGGAAAGAAGATAATCAAACACAAGAGAAGTACAAACTGAGCATTCTGTGGGGGCAGATATTAGCTACCTTGAAAATTAAAAGCGCATCAATGATAAAGGGCACCAGTAGTGAGCTTTACTTTTAGACTCAGCTGCCAATTGAGTAACAGTGGTCCATATATTTATACTTGTACAAATTTTAAGCCTTAATATATCTGTAACACCGACAATCTACTGTGAGCTAGACAAGAAGCTGGAGTACTGTCTTTGCCTCTGCAATTAATTGACAAATGTACCGTTCATTTGCCATTTTGGAAAACAATAATTTCCATTATTTTACTTCGTCATGCAACTGGTACTGGGTGTTGGTTACGAGTTAGCTTTATCTTGCTCAATCTTCTAAGTTTGTACATGATATCGTCTTATTCTCTATCTGCATTCAGATTGACCACGGTGCTCCAGCTACCACCTGTGGCTTCATGAAATTTATGCTCATTAATTTTATTTCATTAGGCTCCCAAGGAGGCACTCTTGCAAACACATACAGCAAACTCTCTAAGGTGGGCTGAAACACTCCATCTGTAGATTGTGACGAGAGTTTCATTCCTTCTTTGGCTGAGCGTGTTTCCTTTGCAGCCCTGCAGCCTGTGTCAGGCAATGTCTCTTTTAACTACAACTTTTCAACATTTAATTAGTGAAGGTTCTTTATTTCTTAATGGCATTTGACATAGGAGTTGCCATTTAAGTGTGCTTAAGAGCCTGAAAAAGAGAATCCTTTATTTCAGCTCAAATTTTCTCTTTTCATTATCTTATGTAGGCAGAAATAACCATCCGTACAATTTGACCTACTAGAACTTTAGTCTCAATTTTAACATTTGCAATATTTGAGTACTTTCTGAAAGTAGGGCAACTGTTTACTAATTTAGAGTTCTATTCGCTTTGATTTTCCTTGAGAATGATGCTGTAGGGATTGGATGCTATTATGCAGCACGAGTGTTGTACATTGATAAGGTGTAAAAAGTAGTGATTAGGAATTCTTTGTGTTAGAATTGATGGCATTGCCTACTTTTAGCTCAAAGAGAGAGCCAACGAACTGGTGAGCTAAAATGCATAAGACCCAAAAGTAGTCCCATGCAGCACGCTGAAATGGGTCTTTACAATGGAAAAGTTGGTTGAAACAACACTTATGTGGGGAATTTCTCCCTTTTCTTGAAGGCATTAAGTGGTTTTTCTTTTGGAAACAAAAGTTGCAGACTCAAATCAAGTATCGCAGAGAGAATGTTGTTCTCGTATTTTCTCTATATTTTTAGTATTTGATTGCTTTATCAAGTTGTGCTTAGAATAGTAGAAAACCATTACCTAACATTCAAGTGGCAAATAGTGAAAAAAACTGGGTTTGTCGCTATTGGCAGGATCAACTGAATCGGAGCTGCTCAAGCTGCAACAAGAGAAGTTAAGGGCAATGGATACTAAAGAAACACTTGAGAGGCTGGAAGACTCACTTGTGTTAGTGAAAGAGAACATTTCAATTGTTGCGGCAAAGCTTGCTATCCAGTCTCTCGAGATGTAGCAAGTTAAATACCTTTCAACAGGCCCTTCTTGGTGTCCTGGTAGAGGAGAGCAGCGATATATTGATGTCAAGAGCTATTAATATTTTGAAATCAGCATCTCTCTGGATTGATGAAGCGCTTGTGTACGTTTGAAATCAGCATCTCTGTGGATTGATGAAGCGCTTGTGTACGTACGACACAACGCAATGCTTGGGCAGTCCCAAAAGCCTGACAAGGTTCAATCAACTTTCACAAATACACTGACGGTGAACTTCCGGCAGTGGCGGGATGGCTGACTCTTTTCGTGCTTTATAGTTTGGACAAGATGAAAAGAGTTTGTAACATTCTTTTCATCCGATGTTGCGAGATAGGGAGGGATTATGGATTCCAGGATGGGATACCACTTTGCTGCTCAAACTTTTTCTGAACGCCACATTCAATTTTTCTCCAAACTGTTGCTATTAGCATGTTTTTGTAGTGGAAGATTGACCCCACGGAGCATGTTAGAGTTGGCCGTGTTGTGTTTGACTCACAAGTCACGGTGAATTTCAAGACTGTGAAGAAAGGCGAGCTGAAATGCATATATGATTATGATATTTTTCAGAATTGCAAAGAGAAAGTGCGGCACGTGTAAAAATGTCACTTGTATTACTTAAAAAAATGAATGAACGAAAAGTATTTTCATCATTAACGAAAATATTTAGATATAAATTGTTGTCGAAAATGAAAATATTTTTCATTGACTAATTATGTTAGCGATTATTTTTAAGAAAATATTTTTCAAATCATTCATTTTCCGTGAAACAAATGGAGGTTAATAGTCATATGATTTCCGTGCCAGCCTTTACATTTATGTAATTCGGACATTTGTTATTTGTTCACCCTAAATTTTTGTAATGAACAAGTGATTTTTTTTCAAATGAAAACTTCTAGTGCAAATTCATTGTTCTTTTACCTTGATTATGATTATAGTGGGTTATTACTGTTGCTACCATTGTACATATACAATTAAAGGTTCACGAATCTACAATAATTTTATGTCGTGATTTCCTTAGTTAATGTTTATTTGGCAATTCTTGTTAAATTAACCAAATAGGAAAATTCAGGGTGCAACTTAAAAAGAGAGTTTAGTTGGCAATTTCACGAGTCAATTTGTGCAATCTGCTCTTTTCATCAGCCACGGCCAGTTTTGCTAATGTATAATATTATTGACTCATGAAATTGTCACGCCACATTAGTAATTAAGTTTGCGGAGAGGGGAGAGGGGCAATTCCTGCCGCCGTCGCCATCCATGATCGATGGCAATTGGTTTACCATCCTCAAGTGCAGGCGAGGGCCGACCGACCTGTGCTCGGTAGCGGTGGGACGACGGCAGCCCTCTCGGCCTCGTCAGCGTCCGAACAGGGTACACATTTTGTACAAATGTTTTTACATGTCAAGAAAAGGGGGGGCCATGAGAAAAGAGAAGAGGTGGTGGTGGTGGTGGGGACAGGGATCTTGGGATATTTTTCCATCACCCGTGACCGGTTTTCTAACGTGGGCCTGCAGCAAGATATTCCCAGTAATCTTCCGGTTTAATTCAGTTCGAAAAGGTTTGGCTATCAGCGCACCTTGCACAGAGAGAGAGAGAGAGAGAGAGAGAGAGAGAGAGAGAGAGAGAGAGATATGGCTTCCTCAGTGAACGCCCCTCACTTCCATGCATCAGTTAGCGCCGTCAGTTCCAACAAGAACCTCGTCTCCTGCCTCCAGAGCTCCTCGTTTCGGTTCCGACCCTTGTGTAAAGCCTCTCGTCTTCTCTCAAATGTAAGTTCAGCCACTTCCACCACTGTTTCTTCAGTCGTTGTTCTTGCCGCCGGTTGTTCCTTTGCTTTTACTTCGGTTCTTCGGTTTCTTTTTCCTTCTCTCGGGTACCCTTTATCATGTTCTTTCAGTTTGTGATTGGTATAGAAACATTTCGGCTGTAAACACTCTTTGACAGATCTTATGAGAAGCAGCACTGCCAAATGATCCGCGAATGTGAGTTATGGTTCTAGATGCGGGGGGGTCGATGAGAACCTTTATGTTCACGAGGTGAGAGACACTTATAAATGAACTTATATGACATGATGAATGCTGAAACTTGAGCATTCACCAATGGGAAGAGGCTCGAGGAAGAGAGAGCTCAATCCAATCTAATTATGATATATAATATGGTCGTCGCAGATAAAAGGCGCATCTTGAAGCATGAGTGGTCGTCATTTCTATTACAAACTTTAGGTGAAACTGATTCTGCACTTGGTTTCCCCCTAAATCTAGTTAATGACATAATTGTCTTCAAACAAAAGAGTTGTTGGGTTGGGGATATCAGCTCAGAACCTAAAGAAAGCATCAGAGGCGAGCTCTACTTTGGATATATTCCGGATGTGACTGTTGTTACTGGTCAAAGAACTGGGAAAATCAAACTAGATATTTACAGTATAGAAGTGCGATTATCCGGAGAGTTTCCAATGAACTATTTACCTTTTCCAGAAGCAGGACACCAATCTTCTTTTAATTCAATGCGTTACGGCATTCTACATGTAGCGAATAAACCCACTTTCGAGATTAAAAAGGCTCTCTGGCTCTCTCCCTCCATTTTGGTCGCCTAAACACAGACATGGAGAGGCTGATCTTCAAGTTGGGAAGAAATAGGATTTGCAGGATTCCAATGAACTGCTTGATTCAAAAGTTGTCTTGTTGTCAGCATTTATGTTATGTTTCGCACTGCATGATTCCACCTTTGTAAACTTCAGATCGTTTTTGTCTTCATCAGTGATCCACGCTGCATCCTATTTAGCTTGCATTCTTCATTCGAATTTACTATCGCTTTTACATGGTCCCATGCTTTTTAGCTTTTAATGGGGAGGAAAAAACCACAGGAGCTGAAGGGGGCAACCAAATGTTCATACATATGCCTATAGGATCAAATGTCCTGTAAAGATATGTACATTTCATTTCTCATGCCTTAGAATCAAGCTGCACAGCAACATTCCTCGAGACTATCATGAGGAAGGTGTATTTTTGCAGTCTCGCCGTAGATTACAGTTGGTTCATATCTAGAGCAGCAGCGTTCAAACCTTCAAAAATATTCTCTTTGCCGAGTTTTGTGCTCAATTGCTCACATCAATTTATGCTGAATCCGGAGCCTGTTTTATCTGTGCAACGAGATGTTGAGAAATTTTAATGGTGGACTGCACTGATGGGTGTTGCATCACATGTTTATCATTGGAGTAATAGCTATTGTAGATATAAGAATTTATAATAAAAATGACAGTAAAATAAAATCCTGTCCTCACTGGAGATTGATTTTCTGTGTTTTTTACGCAGTTTCTTAGTACCAGTGTCTGTAATTTACAGGTTTAAGTTTTCTCAGAGAAACCTTGGACTTATCTATGGGCCTTTTAAATCTCAGAACAGTTGAAACTTCTCGCGTCAAGATACTTGTTAACAGAGGGAACTGCATATTTATCAACTGAGAGAGTATACAAGACACTCCTCAATTTACTCATATATTTCAGTCACGATTGCTGCAGCGTTACCTGCATTATTGCTTGCGTTTGAGTAGTGCCAGTACTTTTATCCCTGGCAAGTGATAGTAAGCTCCTACTACAATTTATTAAGCTCAATGTTCGCTGTCTGTTCTGTATGGTTTGTGATTTCTTAACTCTGAAGCTTCAGTCTGTGTTCAGATTGCTTCCAAGTTGAATGCACGGAAATTGGTAGTACAAAATACCTCAAACAAGATCTTCAGCAGCCTAGTGGAACTTGAAGGCGAAAATGATGAGGCGTGTGAGTTGGTCAACGGAATTGAACTTTCCATAGGGGAGGGTGATGATCTCATTAGTGCTTACCTTTTCAAGGCAGTGAAAAACAACAACGGCACTGGGATACTGCTTTTGTCCGATATATATGGACTTGAAGATTCTTCCACAAGGGAGTTTGCATATCGAGTTGCCTGTAATGGTTACAAGTATGTCGAATCCCCTAGCTATTGCTGTTGAAACTATTACTTTTATGATCCGACGAGCAGAGTCTTCATTAAATGGGTGTAACTTGACCTCAAAATCACAGTTTGCATTGTGATTTTCCCACAAAGATGAAGCCTAGTGTTGTTATTGCCTGCAGCTTGTCATTCCCTCGTGTATCTTCTCATGTTAATCCTTTATCTCAACCTCCAAACTGATGTGAACTTTGTTGGTTTATCACAGTGTACTGGTTCCAGACTTATTTCGTGGAGATCCGTGGACAAAAGACAGGCCCAAGGACCTCTTTGAGCAATGGTATGCTAGACAACAACCAGACAGGGTCGCAAAGGACATCGGAACGGCGAAAGATTGGCTGGTTGATGAACTTCTTTCCGCAGGGATCTCCAAGAAGCTTGGTCTTATCGGATTCTGTTTTGGCGGCGGCCGAGTAATAGACATTCTGGCCAAAGACCAGTCCAACAATTTTGGTGCTGGAGTCTCCTTCTATGGTACAAGGATCGACAAATCTGTAGCTTGCAATATAAACGTGCCGGTCTTGCTTATTTCAGGGGATGAGGATCCACTTTGTCCAGTGACTTTGTTGAGGGATATCGAGAAAAGCATAGGTAGAGGATCAAGGGTAGTGATTTTTGAAGGAAGAGGTCATGGATTCGCGCACAGGCCCAATTCTCCAGACGAAGATGAAGATGCAGAACAGGCATTCCTGGCCATGAGGAGCTGGTTGCATGATGAGTTAGTCGGGGGTAACTCATCTTAGGAGTGTGTATAGATTTCTTTGTGTTTGCTCGTTACGGTGGTAGCCGGTAGCCGATATGAGGTTGATATGATGATATGCAGTGACAGGCCCAAGGGGCTAGCGAGGGCCATCAATCTCCTTGGCCCCTTGGTGCTCAATGTAACTTTCAGTATGGATCAATCTATGAAATTCCTCATGTAGATTTACTCTCCTTATGTAAATGATGATATACTTCTCATGGGAGGACCGACCACCTGCTCACGGTAACCAAAGTCCTAGCTTCCAAATAAAAGGACTACAGAGAGGTGCTCAAAACATTGGAAGGGGGGGCCACCTGTGTCTTAAATCATATCAGAGAGGGAAAATATGCAAAATCCACAACATGATGTAAAGCCATTATTTTAGTTTCTGGGTGAAAATGACAGGTACACAATCATATCATAAAATTTGCAATAGCTTTTATCATGGAGACCATGCTAGTAGCACATAGTGAAAGCCCTTGCACGGGAAAAAAGGCCAACAACAATCTCAATTTGAGAAAACTCCATCTGAACGATCAAGTGTATCCGAGGTCGTAGATGCCCTCAATCTTGCCCTTCCTACACAAGATTTGAAACAAGAACACTCAGTCAACAGAGAAAGCAATAAACTTAAACATTCATGCTAGACCTAAATAATATGGTTTGATAACGCCCATAAGATGTTCTCACTTGCCCAATTCGAATTCAACTTGTGCAGAGTCCAATATAAAAGGATATTTCCTTTTTCATGAGCGTTCCTTTCACTTAAAAAACAAATGAGTTTGTAGCTAGAATTAATTATCTTATTCACACAAATGAAGTTCTGGCTTCATAGTGGACTTCAATCCAGGAAAAAATGAAATCAAAACCAAAATGAATAAGTTGACTTTGTTTTTCTTCCAAACGGAAACCAAACCAGTCAATTATTAACCAGAAATTCGGTTTTATTGTTTGATATTGATGAACTCATTTTTTGCTTCAATCTTGGTCTGGATTCAATAAATCAAAATTTCTCGGTCAAGATTATTAGTTTTCAGATGTTCTGAAACACCCCTCCTTTTAATTCCCCATTCCTCTTGATGGCCCGGACACATACCCATTCTAGCTTACTTCCTAGAACGCATAAGTGAAGAGTCTAAAGTAGTTTGAGAAATGGAATGAGAAAATGAAGAAGAACAACACCATAATTTAATTATCTAGTAGCATGCACATGCAATTAAGAAGACTATAGATGTCGAGAATAACTTCATATAACAATCAACGGGTATAATGGGAGGGAACTTCAAAGTACCTGGAACTACAATTTTACAGCAGAGTACAAAAGAAAAACATGCATTGATATAAGATCCATGATACAAAATTCACAAAAAAAAGCCCTGATATACACAAGCAATACATTTGTCTCCCTTCCTGTTAGCATTCGTGGGCAAATAATGTATGAATGATTATTACCAAAAGTATGACGTGGAACCCAGACGAAAACAAAAGAAAGTCAGAAAATTTCATCCCACTGATCAAGAATATCTACCAGCATAGACAGTCAGCTTTCAGAGCATACGAATAGGTCCCAACATTTTTGAGACAGTCTTGAAAAGGAAAATAAGGTTTATTCATCTATTATGTGGTTCTGCTCACCAAGTCATCATTTGTGAGGAAATGAAAAAGTCATAAAAAATTCTTATTGACATGACAAATGCGCAAGTTGATACTGATTATCTGTAAAAGATAAAAGAGATGAAATTTGCATCGTGTAAGTTGACAAAGCCTGCTATGTGTACAAGAGACAGGAGAACAGTATCTTATAGGGTTGATCCTAACATACAACAATGAGATTGACCAATTGTCAATGGAAGTGGAGGTACCTATTAATGAGTTAAGGTCTATCATTCCACCGGCATCAAATTTTACAGGTGGGCGGTCCAGAAAGCCGCATTAAAACGATGTTAGAAATATGACAATTTGTATATTGAAGTGGTACTCCTATACTACCCAAGAAACATAAAATCTTGTCTCAATTCTGCATGACATATATGAGGCTATCAAGATTTAGCAGTAATAGGATAAAATTTGGACATCTGCCAGCAGCTCAGACACACAAAGGAGGGCACAGTAATCCTACCAATTTATAGCATCTCATGCACACACCCACCCAAATATCAATAATGCTTTCTTAGTGCTTACTGCAAACTCAAACTTATACTTGATAGGCAATGCAGCAACATCCTCTATCACATCCTAGTCTTTAAACTATGCTCGGGTTGAACAAGTCCTATAAGATTTATTTGAAGGAATAAAGAGATATAAGCAAACTAACCAAACAAACAACAACATCAAAGCAGAATATACGGTAAAAGTCATGACAATCTTCATACATATATGCTCTGTTTGTGGGCACCACATCAAGGGGTGATTACTACCCACACACAAGAAAAACTAACACAAAAGATACAATTAAGTTCGAGTGACACCTTTGGACAAATTCTGTTACATGACCAACCAAGCCATATGGAAGAAAAGACTCTTTCCCTCAATGAGTCCGTGTATCTTTCTTTGTGAATAAACCAAGAAAAGAAAGAGGAAGAACTAATTCAGTTCCCATTTCCTCACAACAACAAGAACCATTTCGGCCCTAAGCTCTTCTACCACTGTCAGCTACGTTAACCAGGGGCCACCCATTAGCTTAAGCATCACAGTCCAGGTATGACTTATCAAAGAACAGTGATAGATGACATGATCAACTTTTCAGCACCGCCCTTTGCACCATAAACATCTTTAACCAAGCCATCCTCTTTTGGCAGCTACCAAAACTAAGTATACTTTACTATATAGCTTAAAGCAGATCTAATTGGCACTCCAAAGATCCACTTCCCCAAATGCAGGCTCTATATTTAACTCCAATCCACGCCTCCTACTATTACAAGATCACTTAATGTCCCTTTATCACTAATCTCCATCTCCGTCTGTACTCTCATAAAAGTGTTGCCAAGTGTTGAACCCCTCACTTCATTAATAAATTATTCTAACCACACAACTTTAAGTGAGTTGTAATGCCTATTAGAAGCTCATAACAATTGACGATTGTCATTTCAACCAGTTACACGTTCCATATGATACAGTATGAATAAAACATTCAAACTTAAAAATTAGAAGAAGATATATAAATTTAAAAATGTAAAGGTTTTTGGGCCAACACCTTGCATTTCAAATGCTAAGCCCTCAGAAGTTTGTGTCCTACAATGTACTTTTTGCTTGTTGCTTGTTAGCTAAATGGAATGCCCAGAAAGTTCTGAACGAAAAGCCACTCACAAATATCCATACATACTAGCACTCTGCCTACATATGCATGAGTGCACGTGGGAAAGTAAGAAAGTAAGAAAACCTTTGCTACAAAGAATGAAACTGACTATTCCATAATAACATCCCCTCATTCCATCCCCTGCCACTATATCCCAACAATAGCACAGAATAAGCTGATCAAAATAACAGTTAGCTGTCATGCACACAAAAAGAAAAGCAAAAAAAAGCAATTTGCATGATGTTAAAGAGTAAAAATTTAGAAGAACATAAATGCTATAAAGTCAAGATTCGAAGAATAAGACCTGAGGAGACGACTCCACGACTGTCACATGAGCAGAAACATCAGATGCCTTGGGGGGCGGTTTTTTAGGACATCCATTGAATTTCTGCGAACACTCTGTGTAAGCAGAGCCAATGCCCAAACCAGCACCAAAAGCTAGAGATGACCATCTAGCTGCGGGACTCCCTGTCACGACAAAAACAGTGAGCTCTACAAAGGTAAAAGCACCCACGCACATGCTAACACAGAGTTCACTCCATTCAACAATGACCATTTGTCCAAGGGAATGCAATTTTACTCCGCGAAAGATGCCGCCGGAACAGTAAGAGCGTCCTAAGTCGGGAGACGAAGAACCGAAAGTCAATCAAAGAAGAGACATTTCGAGCCTCAAAAGCGAAAGAGAGAGCCAAACGCAGTCATGACCTCGTCCATCCAAAAGAACGCCAGTTCACCACAAGGCACAAACCAATCGCTGACAGAAATGTGAACGAATTCGAGAATACTCGTACGGCGATATGTCCGATGAATCAGTTACCGCAGGTTATTCGGAACGGTACGACACAGAAGAAACGGAGAGGGAGGGAGGGAGGGAGGGGGGGCCACGTACTGAAGAGGAGGAGGCCACCGAAGGCGCCGGCCAAGGAGGAGTAGAAGGATCGCCGGACGGTGAGATCGACGCACGCGTCCCACTTAGCGTCCACGTCGTACTTAGCCGGCACGATCTCCTTCTTGTCCTCCGCCATCATACCTGTCCGTCGTCCCCTCTCTCCCTTCTTTTACCCGCCCGAAGCAAATCGCGAGACGGATTCGACGGACCGCCGGAGATAGCCAATCGCAATCGCAATCGCAATCGCAGTTTTCTTCTTCTTCTTCTTCTTCCTCCTCCTCCTCCTCCTGTTCCTGTTCCTGCTTTCTGCAATCTTCCTCCTCTCCCTCTTCTTCTTCTTCGAGATTCTCTGGCGAGATTGAGAGCGAGCTCTAGGGCTTGCCCCGCGCTGCTCTTTGGGCCTTTGTCCAGCCCGCAGTGATTGGGCCCTTGACGGCCCACTAGCTCTCTATCCCCTCCCGCCTTCTATTCTTTTTATTTCGATTTCGGCCCTTGTAGTATCCAAATTTACCTCAAATGCCATTGGGGATGATCGCTTCCCGGTCCAATTCGGTCTCACTTGAAAACCAGATTGGAGGGACTGGTTTTTAGTTTCCAGAACCGAAGATCGGACTGGAAGTCTCTAGAATTGGATCAGCCGGGCCAATCCGGTTCCCAAGCGATCTAGTGGAACCGAGTTTCACTAGAAATAGGACGATTAGAGAAGAGAGGAGAGGGAAAGACTAAACAGGAGGCGTGGGCATCATGAGTGAATTTGAAATGATTAAAAGAGAAGAGCAAGAGGAGACTTGCGTAATGAATTTTATATTATTAGATTTACATTTAAAAAATAAAAAATAATAATCGGTAATCGGACCAAACCGGTCCGAGTGATTCTCAGTTTGATTGGTTCGTCCTCCTGACCCCCTTATTGCCACGGTCACGTGCACAGCCCTGCGGTCGATAGCTACCGCATCTGCCACGTAAGCTCGCACCGTTGCATCCTGCGGGACCCACGCGGGCCCCACAAATCCAACGGCCCAGATGCGGTGGACTCATAACGATCCGGGAGCATCTGATAACTTTCGGCTGCACTCCGGCGGAGCACACTAAGTTCCGGGAGAGCCACGTGCGTTCGGAGACACGAAAGCAGACTCTTCTGCTCCTCCTCCGTCTGCTCTGCTCTGACAAAGCGACGTCGTGGCTTCCCGACCGTTACGCCGAAACATAGGATTCCAGAGCCCTCCTCGACGCGCCGTCACCGTCCGCTCGCTCCGCCACAAACGCCCACCGACCCGACCCGACCCCGACCACGACCCGTCCAGACGGAGGCCCCACTTCGCGCCCCGACGTTAGTAAGTCTGGAGCCATCATCATCATCACCTTCGCCTCAAAAAGAAAGAAAGCCTCTTTCCCCCTCTCTCTCTCTCGCGTCCCGTCACTGGCAAAACCTCCCACCACCATTTTCCGCCATACCCATCTCCATCCGTTCCAGCAATGGCCGATGTAGCCGCGCCGCCGCCGCCGCCGCCGCCGCCGCAAGAGACGGAGGAGCTCCCGCCCCCGGAGCCGCCGCTCGCGGAGCCGCCGAGGGAGCATGCTCCAGCGGAGCAGGGGGAGCTGCCCCCGGCGGAGCCTGCGCCGCCAGCCGCCGCCGCGGTGGCGATGACCACGGCGGTGGAGTCCGAGCTGCTGGAGAAAGCGCCGCCGGCCCACGAGGAGGTCGTCGTCTCTGTCGACGCCACCAAGAAGCCGGAGCCGCCGGCCGAGCCGCGGAAGGTCACGCAGCCCTTTGCTTCCTTCAAGGAGGAGAGCAACAAGGTCGCCGATCTCTCCGATCCCGAGAGGAATGCTCTGGAGGAGCTGAAGCAGCTCTTCCAGGAAGCGCTCAACTCCAACACGTTCTTCTCCAAGCAAGCCCCAGAGCAAGAACCCGAAACCGGCGATGCTTCCGTCTCCGCTGGAGAAGCCTCCATCTGGGGGATCCCGCTGCTCAAGGACGAGCGGACCGACGTCGTCCTGCTCAAGTTCCTCCGGGCTCGTGACTTCAAGGTCAAGGACGCGTTCGTCATGCTGCGGAGCACGGTCCGCTGGCGAAAGGACTTCAGCATCGACGCCTTCGTGGACGAGGACCTCGGCGACGATCTTGAGAAGGTCGTGTTCATGCACGGCCACGATCGGGAGGGCCATCCCGTGTGCTACAACGTCTATGGGGAGTTTCAGAACAAGGAGGTGTATCAGAAGACGTTCGCCGACGAGGAGAAGCGGGCCAAGTTCTTGCGGTGGAGGGTCCAGTTCTTGGAGAGGAGCATCCGGAAGCTCGATTTCAATCCGGGTGGCACTTGCACTATTTTTCAGGTGAGCGATCTCAAGAATTCCCCGGGACCGGGGAAGCGCGAGCTCCGGATCGCCACCAAGCAGGCTCTCCAGATGCTTCAGGACAACTATCCCGAGTTCGTGGCCAAGCAGGTATGCTCACGTTGATTTCCTGGTTGATGAGTTATGTTCGGCTGTTCCTGTTGTTTGAATTGACGAATTTTGTGGGTTATGATGGGGTTTTTGGTTAGGTGTTTATCAATGTTCCCTGGTGGTATCTGGCGTTTTACGCAATGGTCAGCCCTTTTTTGACCCATAGGACCAAGAGCAAGTTTGTGTTTGCAAGCCCCTCGAGAACCGTGGAGACGCTTTTCAAGTAAATAGATCCGGACGCATTTCAATGCATTAAGTTTTAATCATTTCCTCCTGGAGCCTTTGTTATATTCGAAACATTGTGCTTGTATGATTGGCAGGTACATTTCTCCTGAGCAAGTACCGGTGCAGTATGGTGGCCTGAGCGTAGATTATTGCGATTGCGATCCCGAATTTACTGTTTCCGACCCTGCAACCGAGATGACAGTTAAGCCGGGGACCAAACAAATTGTGGAAATCATGATCTATGAGGTATATAAACAGATATTTTCATTCAATCTTTTGCTTGAGTTCTGCTTGTCATGGATGCTACTTTTCTAATTCTATATCCTGCAAAATATGTGATAAGAAAACTAATGGATGGATTACGTGTACTAGTGTTAGTGACTGAGATTCTTCCAAATGCAGAAATGTGTTATCACTTGGGAGCTCCGTGTTGTTGGGTGGGAAGTCAGTTATGGTGCTGAGTTTGTGCCTAACACTGGTGGATATTCAATCAATATCCAGAAGCCCAAGAAGATGTCACCTGCGGATGAGCCGGTGGCGCATGGAACCTTCAAAGTTTCGGAACTTGGCAAAGTGTTGCTCACTGTTGATAACCCTACCTCAAAGAAGAAGAAGCTTCTCTACAGGTTCAAGATTGACCTATTGGGTGATTGAGCCTGCAAAATTAATCATAGTTAGCCAAACGCAATATATTCTCGGATATATTGGTGAGTAAGAAGTCTCTGGTGCTCATATTTGTCCTCTCTCCTGGAGAAAGTTTGATTGGCGGTCAATCCTTGTACATTATGTGTCACATCTTCCTTTTGTTTAGTTCATCTATTTGCGGTTTGGATTTTGAGGTTTAGGCTTTAGCTTTTTTGAACCCTTTTTGTTTTTCACATGGTCGCCATTTCTTGTTTTCCCCTCCTGGTGATGAGAGGCACGATCTGGAAAATTTTGAATTTGGAGTACCAACTTGCTCCCAGTGGCTATGTTGGATACCTCTAGGTGAAGGTGGGAAGATATCGCCATGGAGACACTAGTGGTATAGTGTGGCATCTGTATTGTTTTTTTTCTGTTCACTGTTGAATGTGATTTGCATTTGCTCTTGATGTACATTAATGGAATGTGCTTGAAGTTTACATATGTCAGAACTAGTTGGCGCTGGCAGATGCATTTTTTGAAGGTCAACCTGTAAGAGTAACTGACAGAATTTAGAGTTCAAATCTAACTTATCAGAGTTCCACTTTTTAGAGTGACTCCTTTGTAGTCGGTTGGAGGAATCTTAATATAATGACCTCTACGTTTAAAGTTCCTGGTGGGAGGCATGATTCGGTTTTTCATCCTCAAGAGTCTTCTGGTAGCTCTTCAGGATGAATCTGTTTCAATGTGGAGCTACTTTCTATTTGCTTATGCATTCATCTATTCGTGTGTTGATCTTTGCTTGGTTAATATACCTCAGGGAAGAAGCATTCTCCTTTTCCTGGATGACTGAATTATATGCATTTTTTACATCATTCTTGCTTGTTCTGATGCTTTGAACATGTGAATAATGGTATGCTTGTTTTGGTTGTTGGTGAGGAACATGTAAATTTATGTAAACTCTCTTTCTTGATGAGAAAGGTCTTTCTTGGTATATTTCCTTTGAAGATCCGCTTATCCAAGCTTTATTACAGCGCTTCGAAGGCTTTATCAGAGTACTTTTATGGTTCCTTCCAAGCTTCTGACTTGAGCATTTTACGTTTTCCACATTCCCCTTCGTTTTGGAGTGTTTTCCACATTCCCCCTTTGTTTGGCATACTTGTGTTTGTTTGCGGATTCCGATGATGCTGCATCTCCCTTGCCTTCTTGATCTCCCTCAACTTTCGGTGATTCGAGCTGTTCCGTGGAGAAATCCGAATGGAAGTGGTCGAATTATTCGAGTTGATTAGATGGTGTACTGTTTTTACCACTTTCACCTATTTGACCAGATGGCATCTGCTTGATGTGGCCGCAATGCATCTGTTATGTAAGAACCGGTCTTCTGATGCTGTCATATTGTTCTTGGTCGACCTTGCTTGCTTTCGATTGCGTCTCTTCCAGGAGTTCGTAGCATAATGATAAGAATCTCTCACAACAAGCTGAGATGTTGTTATTGATTGTCTATTGTCGGTAATATGGAACGGTTCTAGGCACCCGTAACTGGTTCTAGGCACCCATCACGGGCCAACCAACTCAGCTCACACGACCTATGCATAAGCAGTGGAGTGTTATGTGAATTCACTCTTATTTGTTCAAGTGAAGGGATGTGGGTGTATCACTCTTACTTGTTCAAGTGCAGGGGTGGATTCACCCACTAACACGTAAACAAAACATTTCCTCGAGGTTGAGATGTTTGGAGTGAAAAAAACCGGCATTGAATAGTTAGCGGCACTATAAGATGCTCTGAGATTTTCTTCTACATTGCACTGGATTGTTGCATTTGATGTTCCTATAGTGTGATGTTCGACTTTCATTCAGGATTACACAGCGTGGTCCTGAAATCGTCTTCGCAGCCAGATATTTTCTTGGGTTGATGCGTCTGCTCCTTTGATCTTTCGCATTCGTGATACCTCTTTCATTGAGGTGGTCTGTCTCGGCTTTTTTTAGAGGAAAAGAAATGATCGTGATGTGTTTGACTTGTTACTGGTGTTTGATATTATCGTATAGAATCACATGAAAGTAATTTATATGAAAGTAATTTATATGGCGGATGCACTGCGTGGCGTGCGAAAATGAGAGAAAACTGTCAAAAAAGTCCTAAACCTTTTGCATTGGTGTCAATTTAGTCCCCAATTCAGTCTTAAACCTTTTACATTGGTGCCAATTGAGTCCTAAACCTTTTTTTAGTGCCAATTCAGTCCTAAACCTTTTACATTGGTGCCAATTCAATCATTTCGGCTAATAGCTATTCACGTGTTGAATGACTGAATTGGCATCAATGCAAAAGGTTTAGGACTGAATTAGCACCAGTGTAAGAGGTTTATGACTGTTTTTGACACTTTTCTCGCGAAAATGATGTGGCGCAACCAATTGAGTGGTAGCGTTCTATGAATCTCAGTTCTATTTGACCGTGTGGCGCAACCAATTGAGTGATAGCGTTTTATGAATCTCATTTCTATTTGACCGTGTGGGTTATGCATCTCGATTTGTTGGTCGGTTATATCACGAGTCATTCCGTATCCATCACATAAAATACATTCTTGTAGAATTGACTATTTTATAAAGGATGAACTGCTTTGAATTATAATATGGAAAGAAGAGTGCTCTCTGGTGGAGTTAAGGGAAATGCCTGCTTTTCGAGACAGATGACTGTCCAACGTCCCTTCTTTTGCTTTTCTGCTTTTCCACATTCCTGAGAATCTGCAGCTCAACGGGAATTGAAATTTGCCTCCAAAGTGCTTCAAAAGTTGGCAACTGGGCATGGCCTTGAATCTTTTCTTCTTTCTGTTGAAAGGTCATCTCTGCTTCTCTCGTTCAGGAAGACAGTCCCCATTGTCTAGAACGAACTCGCTGGGGCCGCGTGAATGCCGACCCTAAACAGCTGCGACAAGGTGGCTCTATGCGTTAATTAGGCGGTGGTCCTCTTCCGATTTCCAGATAAAAGTAACTCTCTTCTTCGGCAGCTGTGCACATACCGCCATCATTAGGCGCTTAACATGCGCGAGTAAGGGACCTTGGCAGTTGGCAGGGTCCATCCTGCAAAAAGAGAGCAGGCGTCGTCGCTAAACTAATCCTTTATTAAATGAGTTGGTGGAGAGCATGATTATCAACCAAACTTGGGTGCCTCTCTCTTTGTCATGAACTTCGTTGTCCATGGCGACAACTCATGTTTTGGCGACGCCTCCGGTTGGGGCCAAAAGGGAAGAAAGTCTGTCAACATCGTTCGTGCCTAACCCTTTCTTTCCTCCCACCAACTCTTCTCTTTGTATATAACATGAATGAACAATAGTCAATCGGCCAGTTTATATGGGACGACATGATGACACGATTCATCTTGATTCGTTCCAATGCTCAAATGGTTTACGACTATTATGACGCCCTTTCATGAGCATAATTCTTGCGGTGATTCCACAAAGTTAGGACATTGGAAGATGAACTTTGTCTAGAAGAATATTGTGGATGACTATTTGAATGTAAGGTGTCAAATATACCAGATGTAGATGCCTGCAAATAGGTATATAATCGCCTGTAATGTAGGTGTAGTTACTCGTAGGAAGTCTTTAGTGAGGTAAATTCGAATTCCGAATTGATTCTATGAAGTAACTCTTCTCTTAATTGTGTCAAAGGGTACACCAAAATGGAACCCTGTACTAAGCCAATTTCATGTTGAATTCAGAATTTGCCTTCATTTTCTCACGTCATGTTTCTTCGTTAAAGCTTTGAAAAACTCATGAAAGTGTTTGTCATAGGCGAATTGAAAATAAACTGAAATACTGGTATCTTTCTCTTGCATTCTCTTTTTTTCTCAAGAAACCAACTTACATTGAAGCCATCTGAAGAAATTTCATGTGTTTGAATTTTTCTTCACACTGTTAACCCACAACGTAGTATAAGAATTGAACACCTTAGGGGGTGCATTTGTCCTCAATGAATGGTACCATATGGACAATCTTATAGTCTGTAAATTTCCTTAAATGTTACCCAAAATTTCCTTAAATGTTCGTAAGTTGGTATCTTTCTAAAATCATCCCGATGATCGAAACTCGTGATCTCTCAATTTGTCTGGACAAAATGAATGGGATTGGTCCGGAGAACTCTACTCATTGCCCGGTCCTTTCTCTGATACAGTCTTCTTTATTTAACTGGGTGGGATATCTAAGACGAGGAGATGAGCTCATAGAAATTCTCGACAATGTAATTATCCATCACTCAAAACATATCTCGTCAGCTCTCAAAATGTACTAATGGTGAGTGTGTTTCGCGAAAATTAAATGATCGTTTATATCGCTTATAAAAATAAACGAACGAAAAATATTTTCATTGACTTAATAATATTTTTTTAAATTATTCATTTTTCACGGAATAAATGAATTCGCAGTGGACAAGAGTTCGCATGTTCAGAGGATTCATGTGCATCGGGATTATGGAGTGATTGCTTGGGAATGTCCCCACCCCCATAATGCAAAGCGGAGGACAAAAGAAAGTAAGGCAAGCTGAAAAGGGGTGGAGGGAAGAGACTTATCAGCTGATAAAGTTAAAGAGAAAGCTAGGCATAGTTTAAGTTTATACAGTTTCAAACCATTCCTCAAGAATCAATAATAATAAGAAGCTACAATGAAGTCCTCACAATCAATTTGGTTTTACTGAAATTCAGACTGAACAAAAAGGGCACATATTACAACCGGGAAATACAAATGAAATATTTCAAAAATGAAAAGCAATCCAAGTTTACTGATCAACAAGGGCATTGGTCTTCCGGGCAGGCCTTGGTCTTGGACCTGTAAAGGAGCGTCTTCCTCTTGGAGGACTGGTTGTCGATGGTAAGCACCACCTTGCCCGGTTCCTCGACCTTGAAGCGGCCGCAGATGATGGGCTGCTCGTCGGCTGGGGTTATCTTCCTGGACTTCTGCACGATCACGGTGTAGGCACCCTCGGCGCTCGGCACGAACTCGGCTCCGTAGCTCACGTCGCACCCCACTACTTTAGCCTCCCAGACCAGAAGGCGTGTCTGCACATGAGTGACATGACACCGTATTTTCATTTATCAGAACAGTGGACAACGTGAGAATAGAACACATCACATCAGACAACCAGCTTTAGATCATTTCTGGGCTGTTTAGAAGGGGAAAGAATACCAATGGTAATGGAGTTTGTAATTAACGTGAAAAATAGCCTAGCCTACCTCACTAACAGGGAATTCAACAGTGTGCTGGGTTGCCGGCTTGATCGCGACCTCTGTAGCAGGTTCGGCAGTAGTGAACTCCTGCTCAGCCTCTGTGCTTAGCCCACCATATTGCACTGGCACTCGTTCTGGTGCTATGTATCTGTTGTCATCATCCAGAATCAGATTGAGAAATTCTTCTGACAGATCGTTATGAAGGTGTTTGGGAGGCCCACATTGACCAAACAGCACGTGATGATCAAGAAAATGAAAAGGGAAACCAAAACAAGAGAATTACTTGAAGAGTGTCTCGGCAGATCTTGATGGGCTTGCAAACACAAACTTGCTCTTGGTCCTCTGCGTCAAGAAAGGGCTGATAATCCTATTGTAGGCCAGGTACCACCATGGAACATTGATGAACACCTTCACTCGTATAAGATAGAGTCATCAGACTCGCAGTACAGCATCGAAATCACTATTCAAGGTCTTTGCACTGATATAGTTGGCGCGTCGAAATTTGTGTATATGATTTCTTCCCCGAGAACTTAATCAACCAGGGAAATAGCAAGGAAAACGGACCTACATTATGCTTCTTTTATTGTGTTATGCGACCAAGTTATATATGTTCCGCTTTCTGAAGACAAACAGTTATGGGAAGTTGACATATATATGCTTATCATGTCTCACCTGCTTGGCCACAAATTCAGGGTAGTTGTCCTGAAGAATCTGGAGAGCCTGGCCAGTGGTCTGCCTCAGCTCCCTCCTGAGAAGCCCCGGCGAGTTCTTCAGGTCAATCACCTGAACCACTGTCGAGACGCCGCCAGGACTCATGTCGAGCTTCCTGACGCTTCTCTCCAGGAACTGGATCCTCCACTTGAGGAACTTCTTCCTCTTCTCTTCGTCCCCGAAGGCTTTCTGATACAGCTCCTTGTCCTGAAACTCGCCATACACGTTGTAGCACACCGGGTGGCCCTCCCGGTCGAGCCCGTGCATGAACACTGCCTTGTCATATTCTGTCCCGAGGTCCTCCTCGACCAAGGCGTCGACGCCAAACTCCCTGCGCCAGCGGACCGTGCTCTTGATCATGTCGAAGGACTCCTTCACCTTGAAGTCCCTGGCTCTCAGGAACTTCAGGAGGATGACGTCGCTCCTCTCGTCGTCGCCAAGGAGCGGGACTCCACAGATGAACAACTCCTCTGGCTCCGCCACGGGTTCCGCTTCTTCCTTGCATTCTATGGCCGCAGCCAGAGCGGCCTCCTCCTCCTCTGTTTTTGCCGCCGAGGCAGTTGTGGACACCTCGACTATCGTCTCCTTGATGGCCTCGACGGTCTTGGCGCCATCCTCTTCGACCGCAGTCACTTTCTCCACCACCTCCTGGACGATCACCACCGCCTCCGCCTCCTCCACTGGCGCCGGCGGCGGTACTTCCGCAGCTGCCTCGGCTTCAGGCTTCGGGGGCTCCTCGGCGGACGCTTTCGCCTCCTCTTTGTCTTCCTCCTTCTCCTCTTCCTTAGGAGGCGACTCTGATGGTTGAGCGGCGAACTCGCGCTTGTCCAGAGCCTCCCGGACGAGGCGCTTGAGCTCGTCGAGGGCCTTCTTCTGGGCCTCGGGGAGCTCCCCGACCACGTTGGTCTCTTCCTTGAAGGAAGCGAACTTGGAGGCCTTCGCGATCTTCTCCTCCGCCTCCGCCTCCGCGCCCTTCGGCTCGCCCTCCACGACGGCTCCCACAGGAGACGGCGGCGGCGGCGGCTCTTTTCCGGCAGCTGGCGCTTCGGCTGCATGCGGCACGTCCGGGACCACCCCGACCACGACTTCCTCCGCCGGGGCCGGCGCTTCCGGAGCGGGAGGCGGGTTCTGAGGGTCCTCAGCCATTACCGCAGAACTTCAGAGAGAGAGAGAGAGGGGTGTTTACGAAGCGGCAAGAGGTTGAAGATGAAGATGAAGATAAAGATGAAGAGGAAGAGAGGAAGGCCTTCGTATTTGTAACTGGAGTTGGCAAGGGAAGCGAGGTCGAATAGACAGACTGTTTCTGGGTCGAGAGAAGGCGAAGCCAACTCAGATTATGGACTTTCTTTTTTGCTTTTTTTTTGGGGGGCCCCACTTCGAAATATTTTGTAATTTGACCCTTCTTTTCTTTTCTTTTCTTTTGGACTTCCTCCCTCCCCCTCCCTAACTTTGGGGTGGGGCCCATCGAGCGACGCGACACGCATACCTGTTGTTCTTGTTGTTGTTGCTGTTTCTCCTTTTTTTCGCTTTTTTCCAAGCAACTTACGTGAATCATTCCATCCCACCACCTTAATTGGTTCGCTTCGCCTTTTTTGTGGAGTCCATGTTGATTTCATCAACACTTTGGCACATTAGGTCTTCAATCGAAATGGAATGAAATTCTCTCTCTCCTCTGCTTTGATTTCACCAAGAATAGAAAAAGGGTTTCTGTAAATAGTTCTTGTTGGTAAAATGTGCAGCACGTTATTTCGTTAATAGCCCCGTTAAAAATTATGCAGAGGAAAAAATGATATTATGCGAATCTCGTCACTTCCGACGAGTCATCATTTTCCCTTCAAATGTTCGAAATCACAATTGGAATCTAACACTCATTATCACCAAACTAAAGTCTAAATAAGAAAAGTCAATGCTTGTTCAAAGTCATAAGAGATAAAAAGAAAATCACAACTATGCTGATGCAGAAGTTCCGTTTCACATGTCGAGGGACATGGAAGATCAGCTTAATCATGTAACTGGGGTTATTTCAAGCCGAAGATATATCGAATTTTAATTTTAAATTTCGTACTCACATCACCTCTAAACTTCTAGAACGGGTAACGGTGGTTCCGGATTCATTAAAATAAAAAAGGCCGAACACAAAGTATTTAGCTCATAAAATCGCTGAGTTAATCGATGGGTTTCTTATTATTCGAAAGAACGAGTTGATTTCTTTCTTTCAAAGAGCCTTCAAAATGTGCGTAGCGATCATCATGACGAGCAAAATGGGAAGGAGGAGGATGAATTGTTAGAATACCATTTTCCTTAAAAGTAATGTTAGAATACTAGTTATCTTTATTATAGCAAAAATAATTATAAAAAAGATTTGGTGTGTGAGGCGCCAACTTGTGTAGATGATCGGCATTCGCTGAGGACAGCCTGTGGATACATCGTGATTCTTCATCATAATCTCATCTGTCTAATAAATTCCAAAAGGCTATGTTTAGACGACCATTTGGATTTAAATATGCAACTCGCTTTGGACTTCTAACCAAGTTTAGTTTAGTTTTTAAGGTTTTGGTCAGTCGCCAAAACGGAAAGGGATTAGTTTTGTGTCCGTCTTCAGCTTGCGTCACTTGCGAGCGCGCGATGACCTCTTGCCTAACCAAAACCTCTTAAACTTGTAAATTAACATGATTTAGTCAAGTTTCTGAAAATTAATCGGGCACTGATCCTAGAACTGAGTAATAAGAGGGTAAAAGCCATAATTTCCTCTTTCGTTTTTGATAATTCAGGGATACGAACATGGAAAGCGGCTATCTGGAGGGCCACGAATGATTATACCCCCCTCGGAATAAAAATCACGGGGTTTTCTCTACCGTACAATAATAATGTTCTAAAAACGTGCGGCACCGCGAAACTCATCGTTAACCCTTCAAAAACGAGATTAGCTTTATAGCCCCATAACTTTCGTCTCCCTAATTCTTTCTTTTTAGGAATAAGTGTATTGAAAGTCCTAAAACTTGTCGTAACGGTGCAATTAAATCCTAAAACTTTCAAAAAGCGTAATCAAATTCTAAAACTTATCGTGAAAATGCAATTGAATCCTAAAACTTGTTAAATTTGGGGAAAAGTGCCAAAAAAGTCTTAAACCTTTTGCATTGGTGCTGATTTAATTCTAAATCTTTTTTTGGTGCCAATTCGGTCCTAAACCTTTTGCATTGGTGCCAATTTAGTCCTAAACTTTTTTTTGTGCCAATTCGGTCCTAAACTTTTTGCATTGATGTCAATTCAGTCCTAAATCTTTTATCTTTGTGCCAATTCAATCCTTCCTATCAATTTTGGCCGGATTTTGCTGACGTGGACGCCGGCCGGCTGGCGGCCGGTCACCGGCGCTAACGTGGACAACTTAAATAATATTTTCATAATTTTTTTGGATTTTTATTTATTTATTTCTTTTTTTTTCCCACCCCTCCCTCCTTCCTCCAACCGATCGCCAGCGAGGTCGACCTTGGCGGCAACCGGCTGGAGGAAGGATTTGGCGAGGTCATGCCTCACCCAGCCATGGCGAGGCCGCCCTCGCTAGTGGCTGACGAGGTCAACCTCGCCGGCCTCTGGCCTCTAGCCGACTGGACCGCCTCATCGGCCTCTGGCCTCTGGTCGGTTACCAGTCCGGCAACAATTGGAGGAAGGAGAGAGGGGAGGGGGAAAAAAAGAGAGAAAAAAATAAATAAAAATTCAAAAAAAATATTAAAATATTATTAAAGTTGTCCACGTCAGTGCCAGTGACCGGCCGCTGGCCGGTCGGCATTCACGTCAATAAAATCCGGCCAAAATTGGCTGGAATGACTAAATTAGCACAAAAACAAAAGGTTTAGGACTGAATTGGCACAAATATAAAAAGTTTAGGACTGAATTGGCACCAATGCAAAAGGTTTAGGACTGAATTGGCACTTAAAAAAGGTTTAGGACTAAATTGGCACTAATGCAAAATGTTTAGGACTTCTTTGGCACTTTTCCCGTTAAATTTGTGCAATCAAGTCCTACAGCTTATTAGCATTTTCCGTCTGTCAAATTGGACGAAGTTAATGAAAGGATTTGATTACGCCAACTTGACAAGTTTTAGTACTCAATTGTATTTTCGCAACTAGTTTTAGGACTTTTAGTACACATGTCTCTTCTTTCTGCGTACCCCCACTCACGAGTGTCCGGATCTCCAGCTCGATTATTTTTTGTGCCGTGTCCACAATCCTACCCCAATTCACGTGCATCGAACATGACTCGGCCTCGACCTAGCACGGTGAGCGTGACCGCAGAGTCACTTCAAATGAGAAACATAGTGATTTTTAGGCGATGTATTGTGATTTGCATTGAGAGCAGTCGAGAGGAACAAACCACCCCAGCCTTCACCAAGACGATGAAATCAGCTGCTTGACCATATGCTTGCAGGAACAGCCTGTCACGTAATCATTTTCCTGGGTCGGAGAAACTCAGAAACCCCACCCAAGTCCTAACGTTCAAGACAGACACCTACATGTGAACTTGGGATTTAAAAAGATTGTTCCCACTCTAAAACATGTTAACAAGAACTGAACAAGATTTTGGCTTCGCTAAGCAAAATATAGTTGTTGCCGGCGACAGCGGATATGCGGGGGCCTGAGAGGCTGTCAGCATCTTCGAGTCGTAGGAGGATTTGGGGGGCCACATTCCAACTAATATCTTGTGGAGGTGACACAGATACATGGAGTCCAGTATAGGTCTAGTTTTATGGCAATAACCTTATAATCAATGACCGAAATTTCGACGTAGGAGTCTGTGAAATCATTAATCTCGCAGGAAGAAGCGACATTATCTCGTCACGGCGAAACGGTTTTCGCGGAATGGAACAAAAGGCGCCCACGAGGGGAGTCGAAGAGATGGGCGGCGAAATCTGTGGCATTGTACATTTCACTGTACTGACTTCGAGTCGGATCACATCTCATTTTACAACATCTTCAGTGCTCATTGTAGACTGTATGGACAGCACATGTCGGGGTTAATAGTTATGTCGCTCGTGAGGGCCAAACCAATTCTCCGCTAAAATTATAAGCCTCTCAGCGAATTCAGCAAATCCACGAACCGAATCATGAACTAGCATCAACAATTCCCATTCAATACTGTGTTTGTAATCTATGACAGCTGAGAGTTATATACATTTACATCTCTCTGGTTTCAAGTGTTCCACACGACGCAAATTTTGACCGAAGTTCACATAAGTATCCCCAAATGATGGTACATTATCACATAAAGCTTTGATTTTACAGCAGTGGAAGCGGAGGTTCTCATATTGTTCTTGACCTGTTGTAGATATAAGATCTAGCAAAATACAGATAGACGACCAATTCCAATGCACTTAGCCCGGACAGGAGCCAATAAAAGTAATCTAGATGGGCTCTATTGAGGTTATTAGCGAACCAGCTATCTCCCCCATCGCCTCCGGTCGCATTCGCTATGGCAGACACGAGAAAGCTGCTGAGAAAGTTGCCAACGCCGAAAATGCTGAGATACAAGGAAAGGCCCACGCTTCTCAACTCATTGGGAACCTGATCATAGAAGAACTCTTGCAAACCCACCATGGTGAACACATCCGAGATCCCAAACAAGAGGTACTGAGGAATCAGCCACCACACACTCATCGGAACTGTCGCATTAGGCATATCGACCAGCCCATGTTCTCGAGCAATTTCGAGCCTTTTCATCTCGACTAGTGCGGCAACCACCATGGAAACAGCAGATAAGAACATCCCGGTCCCTATCCTTTGAAGCATCGTGATGCCGGAGGGTCTTTGAGTAAAACCTCTCGCCAGAGGGACGAACATGCGGTCGTAGATGGGAATAAACAGGACAACTGAAAGACTGATAAAGGACTGGAGTGACGCGGGTGGAATGTCGAATCCAGGCGTGATGGATCGGTCCATAGTTACTCCTTGCTTGGTAAAAAAAGTAGAGGACTGAGCAAATACTACGGCGTAAATCAAGCTTGTCGCCCATATTGGAGTGAGCCTTAATACTGACTTCGCTTCTTCCACCTCACCAAAGGTGCAAACCTTACTGTCGCCCTTTGAACCGTCCGGCGATAGCAAGGCCTTATTGAGGAACCTGCAACAGAGATTTCCATATTGAGATGTTAGTGGAAACTGTTTCAGTTTAACGTTATAATGTGATCAAGCCAATATCTTGGGTACAAAATGCAAGAAGTTAGTAGATGGAAGACATAAGAAGAGGAAGTCCGTTATCTTTTACACTAAGGTGGGTGTGGGGATCATAATTGAAGTTCTTGCACTATAAATGACCTTGAGAAGTTGCCATACAATAGTTTGAATGTAAAGGCAAAATTTCTGATTGAGGAACTAAACTGCATTTTCAACAAAACAGGTGACAAATGTTCTTTTCCTAGTTATCAATCCGCTGATCTAGAATCAACCACTATTCCAGATATCTAAAAGACAGCTAGATAGCATTCACCTAAGATAAAGTGTCTTGGAAATTGCATGCATTCATCCCGTCGAGGTCCTCATTAGCAAACACTATGGTTCTTTACATACAGTATTTTTTGATGAGAAGACGCACAAACATGGTACATCACTGTACAGTACACAAAACCAATGTGACTTTTAAGTTGCACAATCTCCTGTGAACATCCTTTGTGGGATGAATGTTTCAGAAGTGTATGAACCGATCAAAATGACTGTCATGAGTATTCAAGTTAACATTTCATTTAAACTGTTACAAGGTCCAACCAAAAGTTTCAGCTATTAGGTTGAGAGCGACCCCACATGGAAAACTAAACAACCCCATAGTCACGAAATGTGAAATAATTTAATAGTAACAGTAAAAAACATAAACATTTGTTGTTAAGGATTAGAGAATGGTTCTGATTAACAAATGCTAAAACACATCTTACTCTATGACATAGATTTCATTACCACAGCCCGCGATGGGTAGTCACGGTGAACAATACTCAAATAGTTCTAAATTCTTATGTTAATGGACCAATTGTGTCATATAACCAAAGAAATGAGGCTCTATTAAACACCACACGTTTTGGATATATTGCTGGAAATCTCAGTTTAGTAAATATCCATGCCTCATAGTATTTGTGAAAGCATCCTCTTACTTGAATTGGCCAGAACCTTCATAAGGCAAGGTTCCACGAGATTCTTCTTCAGCAGTTAATGCCTTAGTGGTAGTTTTCCAGTTCCTAGCTGCTGTAGCAAACACTGAACCGATTCTCAAAAATGGGCTTCTCTCATCACTTTTGACGCTATACCGATATGTTTTGGTGCCAAGCAGGAAAAGAATTAAAGCAGCTGCCATAGCAACGCAAGGTATTCCAAATCCCAGACCCCAGTTAAGGTTGTCCTGTATGTAGTTCAGGATGAGAAGCGTTGCTAATGTACCCCCGCACATGCAAAAGTACCACCAGTTGAAGAATGAGCTTTTGGCTTTACACTCCTCTGGATTTTGCCCATCGAATTGATCAGCACCAAATGCCTGTACACAAGGCTTGTGTCCTCCTTGTGCAAAGGCTACCAGATACAGAGAAGAGAAGAACAACACCACTTGGTGGAGAGGGGGAGAGCAAGACGAGATTTGAATCGTGCTCTTGCTTTGGCAGTCAGATGTATTGAAAGAAGGAACGATGGCTGAGAGAGTCAACAAGCCCAGTCCCTGCAACATATTTTGAACCGAGAAAACATTACCATTCTAGTCATTCTCCTAAATATAAATTAAGTAAATTTATGGTGTTCTATAATTGAGGTACGTTATGGCCATATCAGAGCTTTACAGACAAAAGCCTGTTGAAGTTGACCCCGATTCCAAGTATCTTTAACTTAAGAAATACGGTATAAGTCAGACTGGCTGAATTGTCTGGAGATAGGTTAACAGTCCGTAGAAACCGAGAGAAATCGCATAAGACTGCTTAATGAACTTGATATACTTCTGGTCACATAGCTATAGTAGTGACGACATATGTACCAGTACTACACAGGGAGAAAAAGAAGAAGAAATTCCACTCACTCAACCACAGTGGCACCAAATAGGTTACTCAAAAATTGCAGAAGTGGGGCATACACATTCAAAAGCTATGAATAATCAGGTTAGTCTCCATGGACTGAGCCTATGCAATATTTTTCCCCTGACATCGGCATGCTCAAGCTTTTAGAAGTCAAATCACCCAAAAGAGCTGAGCTTTAGTAGAGAGAGCAAGCCTGAGTAAAACCAGTACACTCCATTTGCTATTTTCTACGTGTTCCGAACGAATCGAAAAGGTGTCGATGCGTAGAGATGCTGGAAAACTACTGGGGGAAGATCTTCTACCAGTTTCTGATCAAAGACACCTTCTATGATTGATTTGCAGTGCAATGGTTTACACTAGACATCAAAAGCAATTGAATTGGAATAGCAATCGAATCCATCTGCAAGAGAGAGGAACTAACCAAGATGTAGACGAGGGAAGCGACGACGATGGTCCTGTATCGGCCGAGGAACGAGTCGGCGACGAAGGCCCCAATCAGGGGCGAGAGCGACGCCGTGCCCGACCAGGCGTTCACGTCCGCCGCCGCCGCGGCCGTGGACTGGCCGAGCGGCCCCGTCAAGTAAGTTATCAGGTTCGAAGAGATCCCGTAGTACGCGAACCTCTCCGCCACTTCCACACCTGAACAAAACACCCAAAAAAAATGGCAACATCGATCAGCGCACGGTCACCAAAACACCCGTCGTTCGTCGCTGGAAGAAGGGTACGGGGACAAAGAAATCCGAGCTACCGATGATGAAACCGGCGGATCTCCACCCGCCGGAGGCGGATCTCGCGACGGGACGGCCCCTGTAGTCGACGGCGCCGTCGACGGTGTCCCGGAGCAGGGGAGTCTCGGCGTCGTCAGAGCGGGCGGCGGCGGCGAAGAAGGTGGGTGCGGTTCCCATTGTTCAGCTACAGCAGCCGATGGCTCACCGTCGATAAAGGTAAAGACTTTTCAATGGTTCACGTTCGTTTGTTGTTGTCGAGAACACGTTCCGACATTATGGGTGTCGCTGTTCGTTTGCGTCATCCGAAAAGCTTGCGTGCTCTAATACGACGATGACCCGTGACCATACTCGTGCGAGTGTGGGAACGCTTTGAAAAATCTCTCAAAGGAAAATGTGAAAAAAAGCAACCTTTGACGTCACAAACAGATACTGTAATCTTTCTTCCCCAATGCTTTCTGTCATTTGCAGAAGCCATTGTTGACCACAGAAGAATGTGGTGTTTCAATGGGGGAAGAATGGTAAGAGGAGTCGGACTGAATGATGTTGGACATTTGTGTTTGTTGTTTCATAGGAAACCCAATGATGCTCACATCTACTTCTCAAATCATTGAATTAGATTAGATTAGAACTAATTAGAGGGTGAGGAATGCTGAACTAGGCTGTGTAGTTTGCTCGAGACAAATGTACAGCATTTTCTGCAGATTTCACAAACACCAATTCGCTATAGTAGAAAGATCTTCACAAAATACTTACAAATAGGTCCATTCGAGTTCAGTCCTATAGCTCGGACGAACCACCTGATATCTCGGCCCTGCGTGAGCCGGCATGATGCAGTGGTTAACATGTATTCGGCTCATGTTCTTGGGCGAACCGGCTCGATGTTCTGCTAATACAACTTCCCGAAACTCATGCCGGGAAGCCACTCTTATAGCATAATAGAGAATCGTCAACTTATAGATACAACTCAGCTTCATATTCGTATGACTTTCTCCAGGATTGCACCAACTCATGCTCTGAAGAAAATAATGTCCGATTAAAAACTACACTGAGGCGACTGAAAATTCAAGTGGAAAAGAGGAAAGAGGAGAAAAGCATTCTGTTCTATCTAGGACGATTTCAATCATTGTGTACAGATCATCAGGCTGCCCTCCGCCGATATATGTAAGCCATTGCGCAACAGGAAAATAAGACAAATCCAACTGCACCCATCCCGGCAAGCAGCCAATAGAAGTAATTGAGATGCGCCTTGTTAAGATTATTCGAAAACCAATCATCATTACTGGTTGCTGCTTTGATGATTGAGATAAGGATGCTGCTCAGAATGCTCCCTACACCAATAACACTAAGGTAAAGCGACAGCCCAATGCTCCTTAATTCAGAGGGGACCTGATCATAGAAGAACTCTTGCAGACCAACCATGGTCAAAGCTTCAGCGAGCCCGAAAAGCACATATTGGGGAACCAACCACCACACGCTCATCGGAATCGTGGCATTTGGTATATCCACCAGCCCGTATTCTCGGGCAATTTCCAGTCTTTTCGTTTCAACTAGGGCTGCAGTGACCATCCCAAGAATCGAGAAGAACATCCCGGCCCCTATTCTTTGCAGCGTTGTAATTCCAGAGGGTTTGTTGGTTAAACTTCTTGCTACAGGGACGAAAATCCGATCATATATCGGGATAGTGATGACAATGGCGAGTCCAATAAATACTTGGAGTGACGCAGCTGGTATTTCAAAGCCTGGGAAGATGGTTCTGTCCATTGTGGCTCCTTGCTTTGTAAAGAAGGTTGAGATTTGTGCATAGACAATGGCAAATACCAGATTTGTCAGCCATATTGGAACAAGCCGTAGTATGGACTTTGCTTCCTCAACATCGTCAACATTAGTTTGGTTTTCTTTCGAGTCATCTGCTATAATCAAAGCTTTGTTTAGAAACCTGCAAGATTGAAAGATCTAATTGAGTCTCGAATATGTAGGCATGAAGTGACCTAAAGCTGATACAAGTAACGAAAAAGAAAAAAAAATGATATTTACATGTAGCACTAGTTCCTAGTTTAGTCACTACCTTATCAAAGGCAAACAGACTTTAGTTAAATAACTGGTCAGCCGAGCTTTCTAAGACGAATATTTACATTGTGCATTGAACCTGTCACTACTTATGTCTTTGAACCTTGAGCTTCAAAGACGCTGCAATTTGTGCTACCAGGATATGTAGAGAACCGGCAAGAAAAACAAAAAAGAAGAAGAAGAAAGGCATCAATCAATTTCGTACATGAATTGCTTGTAATTCTCCAGAGGTAATTTTAGAGCTTCCTCTTCAATAGGCAACAATGGAGCCTTCTTCCTCCAATTTTTAGCTGCAGCAACATAAACACGACCAATTCTTATGAATGGGCTCGTTCCATTACTTCGGTCGCTGAATCTGTAAGTCCTCGTCCCCATCAAGAAAATGACCAAAGCGACCACCATTACAATACAGGGAATTCCAAATCCAAGGCTCCAGTTGAGGTTGTCTTGAATGTAAACTAAGACCACAAGTGTCACCGAGACTCCTGCACATAAGCCAAAATACCACCAATTGAAGAAGGAGCTTTTAGCTTTGGTCTCCACTGGGTCTCGTTCGTCGAACTGATCTGCCCCGAAGGCTTGAACACATGGTTTATGGCCAGCTTGTCCAATTGCCACCATATAGAGAGAGAAGAAAAACAAGATGACGTGGAGCTTAGAGGACGAACAGGATGTTATCTTAGTGGTGTTTTGGCATTCAGATGTGCCGAGAGAAGTTAGGACAGCCGATAGAGTCAGCAAAGCCAGTCCCTGCCACAAATTTCACAACAATCTCAGTCCCCTGCCATTTAAACATGAAAGAAGATCCGAGAATAAAAGATTAAACACGTATCTGCAAGCATTGACTACAAAAGGGCCGTCATCGATTTATGAAATCTGGGGTTCCAAATCTTCTTTAGACATCAGCCACCTCAAAAAGGATTGCAAGCAAGACATGTAATGCAAAGCTAGTTTCAGTAACTCAAGCAGGTTTCCAGCAATGTGCTCAAGCAGTATCTGAACACAGTTCAGTTCATGCAGTTGTCTCCTAATCCTCTTCCCCCCTTTTCTATTCCATTTCTAGTTAGAGTTTGTGTCCTTAATGCAGTTGTCAAGAAAGAACTTCTGAGTGACTTCCCCTTTTCCTTCCTTTCAATTCTTTAAAACACACGCCCACAAAAGAAAAGGTACTTCTTTTCTGCAGATAATAGTCTCAGCAGAATGAATTGGGCCTGCCTGCTTGTTAAGTTTCAAGTACTCTTCCAATAGTATTCTCTCGTGTCCAATCAAGATAATTTTCACTCAGTCAATTGCTTTTCATAAAAACCGTTCGGAAGTTTTCGTTTAATTTCAAGAAACACTGTTATTACTGCCAAAAAGAAAGGGCCAATTGCACGGTTATCTAAACAACCCTATTTCAGCTACATTCACCTAATTACTCTTTCAATTTCGGCAAACTCCAAAAATAACAGTAGACGTCAATCTTGATTCGATGATCACAACAAGAAATGAGCAAGCGCGGAACGAACCAAAATATAGACAAGCGAAGCAATGATGATGGTCCGGTAACGTCCCAGGTAAGAATCGGCGACGAAGGCACCGAGGAGAGGCAACAGAGACGCCGCCCCAGACCACGCGTTGACGTTCTCCGCCGCCGCCGCCGTCGACTCCCCCAGCGGCCCCGTCAAGTAGGTTATCAGGTTCGCCGCTATCCCATAATACGCAAACCGCTCGGCAACCTCCACGCCTGGCAATCATTAGCACACGGCATCAAAAGACACGAACTTGACCGACACCCACGTGGCGTCATCACGCCTTCCATGCGAATCAGGGCGACAAAACATTTCAGCTCTTACCGATGATGAAGAACGCAGATCTCCACCCCCCGGAGCAGGATCTCCGAGCCGGACGACCGTTGTAGTCTACGGCGCCGCCCACGACGTCGCCGCCCAGGAGCGGGCGCTCTCGCTCCGGCGAACCCGCGCCTGAAGAATCGGGTGGGCCCATCTGGGTTGCTTCAGCAGAGAGGGTTCTTGCGATCTCTGCAGCTGTTCCGCGCGTCCTCGTCTTCGTCCGGGTCCCGAACGACTATCGTTCTTTATTAGGGTGCTCGGGACGCTGTTCATTTATGGGTTAGCCATCGTTCGTCTTCTTCTGCATGGTCGGAAATGCGACGAGCGAGCTGAGGGAGCGCCACCAATGTCTGTCGCAGCTGGGAGTGGGACGCGTCGTCACTTCCTTAACCTGGGACGCCATTGACGACCACGGGGCATTGCGTTTCTTTTCCTGAATTGGGATTACCGTCCATTGCCCGACTCGAATGCGAGATTCGCAAAGGTTCGGAACGAGATCAACGTCGGTGACGGGACCGATCAGTTGGGACAAGGTTCTCAAGCGAAGACTTCTCAACTCAGTTCGAGAATCGATCTCAACGACTCTCGTTTTGTTCCTGTCGGGATTGGCGATGCTGGTCCGTTTTTGAAGATGAATCTAACTTTTACCCTCTACTTTGTTTCTAAAAGAATTAATAATTAAAAAATATTTTTTAAAATAATTGATTGCTTGAAGTAATTAATTATTTAAAAATATTTTTATTATCGATGATAATTTATATTTAAATATTTTAATTGATGATAAAAAAAATTTCCGTTAATAAGAGATCATTTTTTAGAAAATATTTTTTAAATCATTTAGAGTACAAATGACAACATTTCTCTTCCCTGGCCTTATTTCTGGCTAGAAATAGAATTTTTTTCTTTCTCGGACGAGTTTCTGAGCAAAATATAGTGTTTCATAATGACACAAAATTTTTATTTTCGGAATAGAAATTCGTTTGATAACGACACAAAATTTATGTTCCCATCTACCAAGAAAGCGGAGATCGGCAAAGAAGTTACGAGGGAGCGGGGCCACGGTGGCAAGCGATGGACGGCCGGTCAACGAGCGGCAATGGCGGTGAATGGCTGGTCGGTGAGTGGGCGGCGATAACGCTAGCCGATGACCGCCCTGCGAGCAATGGACGGGCTCCGCCTGAGAGAAAGAATGGCGGATGGCCGGTGAGTGGGTGATGGCGAAAGTGGACAACCGTACGGCAGTAGCCGGACAAAGAGATGGCCGGCGAGTGGGCGACGGCAGTAGCGGCGGATGGTCGACCCAAGTGAGCGGCGGCGGTAGGCGGCGATGACGAATGGCCAGCAAGTGGGCGACGGTGGGCGGCGACGGTGAGCAATAAAAGAAAGTTGTTTTTTCTGTTTATGTTTCATAAATAGAAAAGTAGAAAATTTTAACTTATCATTTTTGTTCCAAATCTATTTCTAGGCCAAAATTTTTCCTAAAAATAAAAAAAATGAAATTATTTTACCAAATGGATTTCTATTCCAAACATGTTCTCGGGAACAAAAAAAATAGAAAAACAGGAAAATAAAATGGTTATCATTCACGCCCTTATTATCCGTAAAATGGACGCACCAATAGATACTCAAAACTAGCTTGATTGCCGTTTCTAGCCTCATAATTTTATGAGATAATGACACAACCAGTACCCGAACCTTGGTCCAATGTGCAATTTGATCCTTGAACTTTTAATTTATTTAATATAGTTCCTGAACTTTAGCATAATATTCAATATGCTCCATGGACTTTTAATTTTGTTCAATATGTATTTTTTAATTTTATGGATCTTCTTTTGATACATGTTCGAGATTTAGTCAGGCGTGTATATCGACTATATGAATGGCGATGCACTAAATACAGTCGGCGTAGAATATTAAAACTAAAAATTTTTGAAATTTAACTTGGGCCAGTGCTATTTTTTAATTAATGTTGTTAATAAGACGGGCTATTTGGCTTTTAATTTATTTTTTGATTTATATTTAGTCTAACTATATGAAAATGGTCAATGCACTAAACTAAATTGAACATGTACCAAAAGTTCATAATGACATCGAACAAATTAAAAGTTCAAGAACCACATTAAATATTAGGTTAAAGTTCATGGACTACATTGAACAAATTAAAAATTCATGGATCAAATTACACATTGACCTAAAATTCGAGAATTGTTTATGTCATTTTTCCTAATTTTATTATGTAATCCAATCGCTACTACAATAAATATAGCTCCATGTTTTGACAAGATATCAATTTTATACTAAAAGAATAAGACAAAAGCCACCTTACCTACCATGATATCAAGATCAATGAATATATATTTTTTTAAGTGGAAATAATATCTAGAAAAGATTGGGCAATTTATTGAATATAAATATTTGTTTTTCGGTCAATATTGAATAGTCATTTAAGCGGCGGATTACCGCAACAGACTGCGCATCGGGTTGTTGACAAATCATAAACTTTGATAGAGGTTGAGTAATTATATGTACATATTCATTAAAAAGAGTTTACTTTAAATCCTCATGATTCTATTTTATCAAAATTCGATAATTTATTGAATAGTCATTGAAAAATGTTTTTATTATCGACGATAATTTATGTTTAAATATTTTCATTGATGATAAAAATATTTTTCCGTTAACAAGAGATCATTTTTTGGAAAATATTTTCTATATCATTTAGGGCACGAATGACAATATTTTTCTTCCCCGGTCGTATTTCTGGCTAGAAATAGAAAAATCTATTTCTCTTTCTTAGATGAGTTTCTGAGTAAAAAGTAGTGTTTGATAATGATACAACATTTTTGTTTCCAGAATAGAAATTCGTTTGATAATGACACAAAATTTATGTTCCCACCGGCCAGCGAGTGGTGGTAGCAGGTGGCTATGGAGCGGCGGCAGCGGCGGATGGCCAGCGAGTGACAGCGGTGGTGGTGAGCGATGGATGATGGTGGGTGGCAAGGGACAGCCAGCCGGCGAGCGGCGACGACGGATGGCCGGCGAGTGGGCGATGGTAGCAGCGGACAGCCGACTGACGAGTGGCGGAGGAGACGGCGAACGGCCGACGAGTGGGCGGTAAGGGTGAGCAATGAAAGAAAGTTGTTATTTTCTGTTTATGTTCTAAAAATAGAAAAGTAGAAAATTTTAACTTTTTATTTCTGTTCTAAATCTATTTCTAGGCTAAAATTTATCCAAAAAATAAAAAAAATGAAATTATTTTACCAAACGGATTTCTGTTCCAATCCTGTTCCCGAAAACAAAACAAAAAATAGAAAAACAGGGAAACGGAATGATTATCATTCATGCTCTTATTATCCGTGAAATGGATGCACCAATAGAAACTCAAAACTAGCCTGATTGCCATTTCTAGCCTCATAATTTTATGGGATAATGACACAAACAATCCCTGAACTTTGACCCAATGTGGTCGATGAATTTTTAATTTGTTTAATGTGATTCATTGATTTTTTATTCATGTTCAATTTAGTCCCTCAACTATATGAAAATGTTCAATGTAGTCTTGAACTTGAATTGATGGAAGAACTATATTGAACATTTTCATATAGTTCATGGACTAAATTAAACATGTACCAAAAGTTCAGGGATGACATTAAACAAATTAAAAGTTCACGAACCGCATTGAACATTAGGCTAACGTTTAGGGACTACATTGAACAAATTAAAAGTTCAGGTACCAAATTGCACATTGGGCCAAAGTTCGGGGACTGTTTGTACCATTTTTCCTAATTTTATTATGTAATCCAATAGCTACTAGTATACTACAATAAATATAGTGCCATGTTTCGACAAGGCATCAATTTTATACGAAAAGAACAAGACAAAAGCCACCTTACCTACCATGATATCAAGATCAACGAATATATATATATTAAGTGGAAATAATTTCTAGCAAAGATTTTTATCGTATAGTGATATTTGTTTTTCGGTTAATATTGAATAGTGATTTAAGAGGCGGATTACCGCAACAAATTGCGCATCGGGTTGTCGACGAATCATAAACTTTGATAGAGGTTGAGTAATTATACGTACATATTCATTAAAAGAGTTTACTTAAATCCTCATGAAATCGATTTTGTCGAAATTCGACATTTTTGTGCTCCCCTATCTAAATTGGATCGACTTTTACGCACATTCACTTAGCATCCTCAGATATTGAAATCTCTAATTAACAATTCGCGCCTAAACCCCATAATTTGAACGATCAAAATTACCATTTCTATGATAAACACCCAAACCTTCATTTTCATGTCATCACAAAATCGTAGACCCAAAAGTCAAAGTGATGTTAACTTGGTTCCCGTGAGCTAAGTGTCGTGGGTGTTTTGCCTATCGTCGTGTATACTTGGTAATTAAGAAGCAAATCTACCTGATACCTTTGACCGGAGCCGACGCGAAATGTCGATACGATAACTCAAACCTGGGACTTCATGTAAGGAAAACGAAAGCTCTAACCCATCCGAACAATCCCATAGGATTCCCACACCGCTATCTTATAGCTGTTTGTCCCGATACATCGAAAAGAACTCCACGCAAATCATTAAAATCGGGGTCCTTCCTAACGAAGGACTAGCTTGTTTCGAATGTAAGCGGGGGTCGAATCGCATCAGGATCCTTTCGAGCGTTCGATCGCGATGGCCTCCCTCATTTTTCGAGCATCGTCTCCTAATTCCTATCGGTACAGAACAAAGTTTTGTAATGCTTTCGATCGCGCCTCGTCTTTAGCTCCCTCCTTCGGCTTTAACGAGCGCGGAGCGCAGCGAACAAGTGAAAGAGTTGCCAAACTAGGCAATCGCACAGCGACTGAACAGAGCGAGAATCCCGGGAGCATCTGCTTATGGACGGCGGAAGGAAAACGACCGGTTCTGATTGGACTTTGCAGACAGCGAGCGAGACAGGGTGTGGAGAAGCGAGATTCGAGGTCAAAAGTTCAAGAATGGTCCAAATTTCATTTAACATTTACATCCCAATCGAATGGCAAGGAGGAGAGGAGAGGAGAGGAGAGGAGAGGAGAAGCAGATCGAAGAAGAGCGGGCTTGATCAAAAGGGCAACCTCGCTTTTTTTCTTTTGGTGATCGCCCGCTGTTTAATTAGCAATTTCATCATGTACACGAGTAGAATTCATGGCAAAACAGAGCACAATCGACAACACCCAGAAAGAAAAAAACGAAAGAAAGAAAGAAAGAAAGAAAAGAGAGAAAATCCCACAAAATCGAATCCCCCCATCTACCAATCAAACTCAAGCGAGGAGTGGACTCCGACAACTCTCTAGGAACCCGACATCCCCGTCGTTGTCGTCGCCGTCGCCGTCGCCGTCGTCCCCGCACTCGTACACGGATCCCACCAGCATCAGCTGATCTTCCAGGTACCTCTGGAGCAACAGCCCCACCTCGCGGTCCCCCACGCCGCCGCCGCAGCAGCGCCCCTCCTCGCATCTCCGCAGCCTGTCCGCGGCGGCGGCCGCCTCCTCGTCCTCGTCGTCCTCCCCCTCGTCCCCGGATCTCCTCTTCCGGCAGCAGAGCCGGAGGCAGAGCTCGGCGGCGCAGAGCAGGGGGAAGGTGGCGCAGAGCAGGGGGAGGAGCAGCGGGGAGCAGAGCGCCAGCAGCAGGCAGCGGCGGCTCCGGTGGCGCGCGCGGAGCCACGTCGCGACGGCTAGCATGATCCTCGCCGTCGGTGACACGGGCGGGCGGCGGATCGCGGCCGGGGAGGGGGGTCGCCGGCGGCGGTGGCGGGGGGATCCATGGGGCGACCGAGAGTCATGGGGAGGCGTGGTTTTGGGTTGGGAGAGAAGCATCCGCAAGCCCACATGAGCCGAAAGTATGTTTTTATAAGTGGGACGGGCATGGGAACACTTCTCTTCTTAGCTGTGTGTTCGTCGATTTTATTCTAATCTCATTCATCAATCCCCCCACCACTTTTCTTAATTACTTGATTAGTTAATTAATTAATTCGGAGGCCGCCCTAAACACCGTGCAATACTCGAATCCGTTCTACTCGAGAAAATGTAAAGGGCGTACCCACCGGGAGCAATTTTACATGGCATACGACTTTCTCTGTCGAAGTGCGCATCGAGTTCAGTTCGAGCTGGGAAGCAATTTGGTCGGTTCAATTGCTAATTTCCAGAATGATCGGTTCAAATTTCTAGCTCCGAATCAAAACCAGGGTAATTTAGTGGAGCGATCAAGATAGGGACGATTTAGTTGACCGGAGAAACGGTCCGATCGGTTCAATTCTTAATTTCAAGAGTACTGGAGTCAAGCTTGGATTTTTCTTGCCTCTCCCTACTATTGAATTAAAGCACTAGGCTGATGATGGCTAGCGATTAACAATATACAAACTCTTTTGTTTCCTACCTTAGTAAATGGATGAATTTAAAGAATCATATTTTCCTGACATGATTAAGAATGTAGAAACTGAAAGACCAAATTTTTGAAACCCTAAACAAAATAAGAAAGCACTGAAATTCCATAGTGATGAGTTGTCAAGGGAAAGTTACCGACAAGGCTTTTAAGATGAAACCAGAAAGTAGGCCCGGAGACATTGGAGGCCCAAACCTTTTTGAATTTGCAATGTTTCCCCACTTTCAAGCCCAGCTTTTAGACCACTTTTGTACAGTAATGGGCCAACGCCTCCCGCTGGATCCAAACTTGTGAAAAATCTGAACTAAAACTCGATCATCCTAACTTTCTGTGGCACCTCTTTTAACTGACAACGAGGAACTTGTGATTTGTACATTTCGTAGGCACCCATTTCACCGAAAAGTGTCGATGAAACATTTTTCAAGAATATGGATCATATGAATTGACAAAGGTTGCAAATGATCCTTTGTTGATTTTGGACGGGAAACTAAATCACAACAAATTTAAAAGTATCAAAACTAGAGGCAATTGCGACTAGCCATATAAATTGCGAAAAAATATGAATAAAGATAAATTTGCAAAGAACTTTGAGTTCTGTAATTGATTGGGGTCATTTAGAAAGAGTACAATGTAACTATTTATCTCACAATTGACGATTATAAACGATTATTGAATTAAAAAAGATAACTTCCTAATCACATCTCAGAACAAATAACTTCCTAATCCCATCTGCAGTTTCAAGAAGTTACATTATTCACAATTTCCCATTATCTAGTAACACTTATGTGAAAGAAGTTACATATAACTTCCCAGGTGAGTTGCAATCCTCTTTAAATTGTCCATTGTTCTTTTCATCGATAACTTCTGTTGTTCACTAAACTTTGCTATTATCGACTAAATTAGTCATTTGTCAATTATAACCAAAAGAGGGTCATTTTGGGGTGTCAATATATGCCCCTTTTAGATGAATTGACTGATTATTGATTATTGGATTCTTTTAAATTAGATAATCAAGGTTCATCGTATGCCCCCTTGTCATTGCCAAATTTGATTTTTCCCTACTGGATTGCCTCTTGAATTGTTTTCTTAAAAACAACACAATTAACTGTGTTATGGCTCCATGGGTTGTGCCACTTGCAATTTTTTTTGTTTATTAAATCTTCTTTACTTGGGATAATTTGGCATTTCGTTATTTTTATTAGGCCATCTTTTAAGAGTAAATAGAAAATTTTTCCCATCTTGTTAATGTTGAACGAGTATATATCAGTGTCTTTAGCCCCTACTATTCATTTTCCTTTTATTTTGGCAGGGTGTAAGGATCAAACAACGTAAGGCTTGTCGAGCATCATATTTGCCACATGTATTTCAATATTTTCATTCGGGTCATATTTATACTCTCGCTCATGATTTTTCATTAAAGCCACGTTTTGCGCAAAATTTTCATGTGGCCCTTTATATCTATCTTTAAGAAGTTGCTCAGACTAAATTCTCTCGTTACCAATTGAAATAAATTCGCAAAATCTTGATTTGAAACTTTTCTCTTAGATTGAATTTCAATCCATCGAAGCCAAATTCATAAAATCTTTTTCTGAGACTGATGTAAGGCATTTATTCCTAACCTTCTTAAATCGAGCAACAACTTCATCGACCAACTCATTATTATATTGATAGAATCTGGTCAGATCAGCAATCAACATGTATCATTCTATAAAATTGAGAATGAAGCTGTCTTTACATCTTTGCCCAATTGCACACCGAATTGGGTGGTAAATTAGTGTATCTTGGTAAAAGTAGTTTTTAACAAAGACAATAAATCGAACAATGTACTCGATGATCGATTATTCATCTTCACCAGTAAAAACGTCAAAGTCGGGCATTTTGAAACCTCTTGAAAAATGCTGATTATCGATCCATCTGGGATGTGATTTTCTATAAACAGGTATAATAACACCCCTGTCTAATCTCAATTGTTATCGAACTTCTTCTACAAAATGTGCTAGGTTCATTTGTGGATTTGGTTGGCGATTTTTCCCCCTAGGCGGTGATGCTGGTTTTGTCGGGTTATCTACATTAATTGGCATGTTATGCCTAATAGGAATGTTCACATTGTGTGGTACCAATGAAGCCAGTGGCATTACATTTTTAACATTTGGCAATTGACTGGCCTGTCGACTGGTATGATTTGCCAAATTATTGTTACTAATTTTGGTTATTTTGACCAACATTAGCTGCAGAAAATGAAGAGGAATTAGGAACGTACCATGTTACCCCTCGATTTGTTTGCAGCGGTTGGTTGAACAATACTGGCCCTCAATATGGCATTCTTCATAGCATTGATGATGATCGACTTGATCATGTCTGACATGTTACTTGCAATGTGAAAGGCTACATTATTTTGCTACTCTTGGAACAATCTTCCCATGATTCACCCCTTGTTGGAATTTGGAGCAACATCCCTTGATTTCTCTTCAATGTGATACATTGAAACATAACTTCCTCATGTTGATTATCTTCTGCCACTTTCCAAATGGCTGAAGTATCAAAATGTGCGACCATTCCATTACTAGTTTGACTTCAAATGGCTGGGCGAGGCTTGACCTTGCTGGCCAGAGGAAGAAAGAAGAAGGAAGAAAAAAAAAACAGAAAGAGAAAGAAAAGAAAAAATAGGAAAAAGAAAAGAATAAATAAATAAATTCAAAAAATATCATTAAAAATTGTCCCTGGCAGCACCGGTCACGCCACGTAAGATAGCGTTCATGTCAGCGATTTCCGACTAAAATTGATCAGATGGACTGAATTGGCACAAATATAAAAATTTTATGACTCAATTGGCAAAAATAAATGTTAAGATTGAATTGATACGAATATAATAGGTTTAGGATATTTTTTATAGCTCTCTCGAGGAACTCAAAGATAGCTCTCACGGGGGAGTGCTGCTCCAAGTGCACGTGAAGCTCCACGTCTTCCCACTTCCCGATGCCATTTGCCGTCCGATCTCTTGAGTTGTTTGTCGCTTGTCAATGAGCGGTTTGACCACCAATATGTGTCTCCAAGTTCTTCTGTCTACGTGCCACCTTTCTCTCCCGGCGAACATGAAGGGTAACGGCATGAATGCAAACCGGGTACAATGCTTATAGATCGAGCACACAATGCAGAAACCCAATTTTATTAAACATCTCCTTAAACGAGAACTGCACTTCGAATGACACGTGAGTGAAAGTAGAAACATAAGTGAAACATCAATCGCCCTTAACCATGTTGATCTTAGGTTGAACTCACTCACTCAAGCTCGACTGAATGAACCAAGACATGGTCGTAGCAGACACACACAACTAATATGCTGATCGAAACTTTATTCGATGCAGATGAGGTGTAAAAATAGAAGACGAATGACGCACATCGTCATTGAGAGATCTAGCTTGAACCCACTCCACTTACATGTGAATCCACGTTCACATCTATTGAGTTCGCGTGCGGTGGATGTATCTGAGGATTTCTCGGCTTTGGGAGGCGGCTCCATATCTGAGCTAACTTGGCCAGAGCCTTTGTAGAAGATCCGATGTCTTGCAGAGCCTCGGCGGCCTTCTCTCTCATCGCCCAGCTCTTCTCTCTCAGCTCTCTCCCGTGCTCCGACTCCATCAGCTCTCTCACCGCCCTCTCCACTTCGTCCCCACTTACGAATCCGTCGCCGTCCCGTTGCTCCACGCCGATCGCCATCCCCATGTCCTGCACCAGGAAGTTCCTGTTCATGTGCTGCTCCGCGTACAGTGGCCACCCCACCAGCGCCACCCCCGCCACCACCGCCTCCAGCACCGAGTTCCACCCGCAGTGCGTCACGAACCCCCCCACCGCCTCCTTCCTCAGCACAGCTGCTTGCGGCGCCCATGACCTCACCACCATCCCCCTCTCCTTGGTCCTCTCCAGGAAACCCTCCGGCATGAGCTCCTCTAAATCCACATCGCCGTTGCCACCGCCCACAGGAACCGATGACCGGTCTTTTCCAGCCCAACCGCTACTTCCTTGATCTGCTCGGCCGAGAACGTTCCCTGGCTTCCGAAGCACAGGAAGACCACGCTCTTCCTCGGCTGCTTCTCCAGCCAAGAAAGGCAATCCTGCTGCCTGCCGACGGTGCTGTCGCCGGCACGCGAGGACTCGTCCGCAATCAGGGGCCCAAGGCAGTACACCGGTGGGGTCGGCGCGTCCGGCACGCACGTGCCGCTGGTGATGATCTCCACTGCCTTCGGCTCGAGCGCTTCAAACGTGTTCACCAGAATCCCATCCGCCTTGGTCAGGTGGTCACAGAAGTAGCACATCTCGCCGTAGGCTGGGTCGTCCTGATCGAGGGTTGGCTCAGGCATCTGCGGGGCCTTCAAGGATGAAAGGCCCGGGAACTGAAGGACGACCCCGTCCTGGTCCTTGAAGCTCTTAGTCGAGCGCTCGAAAAGTCTCGGAAAATAAATGAACGCTGCAAGCGCTGACGCGCCAGAGGTGTAGAA